TTAATATCAAGACCTTCTTCGCCAACTTTAGTGGCAACCAGTAGATTGAGCTGGAACAAGAAAAGGAATCTCTGGAAGTTAGTTGGAAGTGGCTTGAAAATTCATGTTTATCCAAATGGGTGTGTGTATGTGTCTTCGTTTAGATATTATGTGAGTAAGCATAGAAAGTACAGAAATTCCCAAAACTAACTGCAAGTTTAAAGATGGCTAAAGTAACACCTCTTTAGATTGGAACCGTTCAAGAATTGTCTTCATACTCTTTCTTGACATGCTCTTCAGTCCAGAACTAAGTCCAACAAGGAAATCAGACTTCCAAGACTGTAGAGCTTTCAAATTATTTAGTATGCATGACAACGTTCTTGCAGTCACAATCCGATTGACAAATATTATACACTTCATATGTGGCTCTATCCTGCAAGGGAAAAAAACGAAGCTTACTGCAAAGCATAGCATTGGCTGCTCTTTCAAAATGCACTCATGAGCATGACAGTTTAATGAAGCACAATGCAATGAAAAGCAATCAACATAAGAAAGAAAAAACTAAAATAAAAAGGTAGAGATGAAAGACAGCTTATGTAAACTAGACTTTCTCAAATAAAGTAAGCTTGTCATCTTTAAGGCAAATGATACCAATGAGAAAACGCATATTCAGTATCGGATTTTGGTTAAGTGGCCACTATGTAAAGCTAAAGAAAGTTCATTCATTTCTTTACTTCACACATGCTTTATGAAATATTCAGTATTAAAGCATTCCAAGACTTTGTCACCTCTCCCAAGTACCAACCTGAATGCCGAAAGGATTTTAATCAGTTGTAATAGCTTTCTAGAGAAAAATGGTTCCTTCAATGCTGCTAAGCTGGCGAGTTCAGAGGCTTTCTCATCTACAACCACAGTGAAGACAGAACAAATATTGAGGTGATCAATGGCTTGTTTCACGTGAAAATCATAAATACATTTCAGAATATACTTAAAAATTTCAGAAGTTGCAGCTCCGAGAAAACATATGCAATGAGAAATGTCAGTTTCTACCATGGCAGTATTAGAAATAAAATCTCAATGTTCAGATAAAGAAAAAGAAAAAAAACTAGGATACTGTCATCCTACCTTTAGCAACATCGGAAGAAAGGACTTCGGCAGCCAAAGAGAGATATGTATCACATATCTTTGACTTAAGATTCTCTTCCACAGGCTTTTCTTGTACACGATGGTCACTATTCAATTGGATTCTAGCAGCCTCCAGCAAATGAAAGAGAAGAATCATTAGCAGGCTACAGCATGAATTAAAGACACATATGACACAAACAAGAAACAACATAGAAAGTATCGTGTTGGCTAGACGTAAGGTTTACATATCGAGATAAAATGTTTTGTCATAAATTAAAGAAAATTGCTTGGAACCTTGCCAGCAATTTTCTCTAGGAACTTTTATAATGTTAGGGAATTATCCACAGTATTCAGCGAGCATCCAACAGAAACCCTTCTTTCTTTTCTATTTTTTTCTTATATTGTACTCCTAAGGAATCTTATGCCAGTTGGTGGAGTCTGTGACCTCGATCTAGTACACTAATAATGCAAAGTTGAATACAGTTCGCAACTATGATTATTACTGTACCCTAAAACATATCAGCTGCTTCGTAAAACATTGAAGAAACCAGGAAATACAAGTAACCAATACACAATATACAAGTAACAAAAACATCTGAAACCAAAACCTGAAAACCTGATATCAAATCTATAAATTGGTTCATTATGAAATGTCTACCTGTATTGCTCCCCAGAGGCCAAGGTTCACCAGACTATATATGAGATTATCATGAGTTCTTTTGAGAAGCTTTTTCATATTTAACAGGCTCTGTGTTTGATGGGTATCAATCTGCTGGTTAAGTGATGCCAAGCACTGTTCATACCAGGAAGAAATATCAGCTCATATATCCAGGCACAGTGAGCAAAAAGAGTTATAAGACATATTAGACAACCCGCTGTTTGATGTCCTCCAGCATGTTTTCATATATGATGGTTGATTGAGATGCTTCACTCATAGCTGACTGATAATAATATACTTTGACTATAGGAGATGAAACAAAACCTTCAAGCTGGACATTGCTTTCCACTGAGTAAACCTTTCAGATCACGGAAAACAAAAAGGGAAATATTAAAACACTGTTCGGAAAGGCAAACTGAATGTAAGAATTAGTATGAATTCAACCATGAGAATGATCTTTCTGCTTTAGACTTGCATCAAATGATTAGTTTGGCACCATAAGCTTGGGCCGACAATACCAAATAAAAGATCCAAGCAATAGCAGAGTATTATTTCTACTACAGTATCACCCAAATAAACACAGCGTGACAGGGTTTAACATAAATTTGCTGGCATCAATCATGCTTAGGAAAAATATCGTGCATTCCGAAATACCAAAAATACAAATTAGAATTTCCACTTCTAAGGTAGATAATTGTGCTTTAAGTTCTTCTGCCAACAGTCAATCTTTCGATGAAAATAGGGAATTTAAGAACCAGCATACCTTGGCATTGAGCAAATTTTCAAGGCTGTTTATGTTTTTTGATAAATTCTCTGATTGAAAAGACCCTGAAAAGTAGGTAGAGCTGTCAAAATCTAAACCATTTATAGAACGAGTATGATCAAAGGTCGCAGCTATTACTAAAATCACGAAAAACCTCGCAACAAAAAGAGAAAAAAACGAAAGGAAACCAATACAGGAGCTAATTCTCTTGCTATATAATTTCTATGAAACATATGTTCTTTTTTTCTAGGTGAAGCTTATCACATTCACCATTCACTATTTTAAAAGATGCTGAGCACCGAAAGAAGATCAGAAAAGGGGAATTTTAAATGGTAGAGGAAATATAAAAAATCTGCCAACAAGTTTCTCTTATTGTTGTTGAGAATGACTTAGACCATTTCATAATGGATGCTTTGGACAGAAATGGGCATGTAATCCGGAATTAACATTAGAAAAATATGGCCTACCTTTGCCAACAACTGGAGATGCAGTCATTCCAAATATGCGAGGTCGTTGTAAACCTTCTGTTTTATAGAAAACCTACATTTGCAACAAAGTGAAGCACCTAAAATTTAGTTATATGTTAAAAATGTTTCACACCATCCTGTTTTATAGAAAGGTACCTTCAAGATTTGTGCGTAAGGATGGTTGCTTTGTTCTTGAGCATGGTGACACTCGTCAAATATTAGAAGGGAAATACACTCCATCCTGATGAAACAGTGCTGTAAGTTATGCAGAAGTATCTGTGGGGTCATAACGAGAACCTGCAGGAAACATACGCCCCAAAACAATTGAAAGATGATCGCATAGGTCAAACCAATGGTTCACACATAAAATGCAAAATGGAATTAACAATCAACTTAATGAGACTTATAGGGATAGAAAGACAATCAGAAAAAACAGGTAAGTCACCTCATTCTCTGAAACCTCTCTCTCCCAGTCAGAATGGCTACTCACAGTGCGATTGCCGCCACAATGTGTTGCAACTTTGAAGTTAATAGACTTTGCTATGACTTGTGCTTGCTGTAAACAATAACAAAGAGTTAAAACATATGAAACTAATCTAATCAATCCGTAACAATCAGCTCTATTGAGATGTAATCAAGAGGAATACTCTCTCACCTGTTCGACCAAAGCCACAGTGGGAGCAAGAAATATACAAACGCTTTTCTTAGGGCTAAGAATCAAGTGGCCAAGCTCATATATAACCATCACTGCAATGTGAGTCTTCCCACAACCTGTGCCGAGATAAACGATAACGTTCTCTTCCATTGCTTTCTTGCACAGCTCCAGCTGATACCTTTAGAAAGCAAATAAAATCTCTGAGCACTCAAAAATAATTTCAACACAATCAACAACAAAACTCGTTTGAGAAATCTCCGATTTACTTCTATAACTAAGACAGTCCGATCAACTATTTTCAGATAACATGTTAATTAAGCCTGATAAACTTACTCAGCTACAAATTTGCAGCTGCAACAGATATATTAACGGAATCTGAAAAAAAAAATACTACGCAAATGCGAAAGTGTACGGGAACAGAATCGTGGAAGCAACCAAACTGAAGAAAATGCAAGCTGTGAAGGTGTACAGAGAGGAGAAGCTGAAAAATCAAACCTCCTGGCAATTTTTCTAGGGTCTTTCTCCAATTTAGCCGAGTGATCGTCCGTACAAGCAGCCGAGTACGAAGAAGAGAGAGAAGAGGAAGAAGAAGAAGAAGCAAAAGAGGAAGAAAAAGCGGAAGAAGAAGAGAGGTTAGTGTCGGAAGCATCGGCGTCGCAGCCGAGTGAGCAGAAATCGTCGGCGATTTCATCGTCCGGCATGGTCAAAGAAGCGAGAAACTTGTGAGTGGCAGTGAGAATTGGCTCCTTTTTGCTTTTTTCCCAGAGCTTTTGCAATTTCCTCCCCATCGAAGTAATTTCTTTTTCTTTTCTTTTTCCCTCTTTCTCTGGTCAAGCTGAGGTCAACTTCACACATTATTCACCTTCGCACGTCTCTCTCTCTCTAACGATTATTCCCTTCTTTTTTTGTCGTCACACTTAAAATGATTCAATTACACACTAATAGCCTTTTTATGGGATTTGGCTATTACAATATTTTAACTAGCTAATCAATTTGATTAAATCCTGACCGTCGAAAATTGTTGTTATGCTATTTCTTAGGTTCATGTTTTGCTTGTATACCACATTTATGCTAGATACATAAACGATGACAAAAATAAAACTTTTTTACATGTAATATTATTAATTCTTCATGTATTTAATGATTACCAAAGGCTTTGAATTAAGAATTAATGGAAACGCAGAACCATATGCATTTACGATTCTTGATTTGCACTCTCAGAAATAGAAAATATGGTGGAAAACACCTTTACACTTGTAATTATAGTTTTTAACCAATGAGAAATTGACGTCAATTGAAGTGTTAAATGTTTTTTTTTCAAGATAAAACAAAAATTGTTTGGCTCTGTATGACATGAATGTATCAATTTTTGATATTACTGTGTACATGAATGTATTGAAATTATAGTACATGAACGTATCAATATAAGGGTATATTCATGTATGTTCAACTACATATATTTTGAGTTCATATGAACCTATGAAAATTCAAAATTGTATCAATATACTTTTGCAGACAAAAAGTTTCATCATGCACTATTCAACTAAGAAGTACTTGCTTTCGTTCTTCCTCTCATGCATTGTTGTGATGATTTTCAACTACAACAATAATGGCATCGTAACCGCAGCAAACAACAACTTTGGCTTAAACTACGGTCTCCTCGGAGACAACCTCCCGCCTCCGGCCAATGTTATCAACCTTTACAAGTCCATAGGCATTACTAAAATCCGAATCTTCGACCCCAACACCGAGGTTCTTAGCGCCTTACGCGGCCACCGCGATATTGGAGTCACGGTAGGCATCAAGGACCAAGACTTGGCTGCTCTTGCAGCCAGCGAAGAAGCTGTTAATGGCTGGTTCGCGACCAACATCGAGCCTTATCTAGCCGACGTCAACATCTCCTTCATTACCGCAGGTAACGAAGTCATCCCTGGACCGATCGGTCCTCAAGTGTTACCCGTCATTCAGTCTCTGGCCAACCTCGTGAAGTCGAGGAATCTTCCCATCTCGATAACCACCGTGGTGTCTATGTCGAACCTCGGGCAGTCGTATCCACCTTCCGCCGGAATGCTCACGTCACAGGCGCGTGAACAACTCACACCGGTGCTGAAGTTTCTGTCTCAAACAAGCACGCCTATCCTCGTCAACATATACCCTTACTTCCCTTACGCATCCGACCCGGTGAACATCCATCTCGACTACGCAACTTTCAGAACAGAGTCCGTTGTGGTTCAAGATGGACCGCTAGGCTATTCAAACATGTTTGATGCAATGTTCGACGCGTTCCTGTGGGCGATGGAGAAGGAAGGCGTCCAAGATTTACCGGTGGTGGTGTCCGAGACCGGATGGCCTTCCGCCGGGAACGGGGACTTGACCACGCCGGATATCGCGGCTACCTATAACGGAAACTTTTTGAAGCATGTGGTTAGCGGAAAAGGGACGCCTAAGAGGCCTAACAATGGCGTCGACGGGTTTATATTCGCAACGTTCAATGAAAATCAGAAGCCGCCCGGGACTGAACAAAACTTTGGTCTGTATAATCCTAGTGACATGAGGCCAATCTATAAGCTGTTTTGAGACTTTCCCGATACGATCCATTAATAATATTGCTCTAGTTGTTGTTATTTATAGTAAGTTATGAATAACAACTACTATACCCGATGGTGTAAGCTGTTAGCTTCTATGAGATTCATCAGATCTCGTAGTGGGACATAGTTGAATTTGTAAACAATTAATCTTAATATTATTTTCCTTAAAAACTTAACTATCTCATTGATTTCAGTGATATTCATTTCCTTTTCATCCCACTTATTACATTGAATATTTACCATTACTGTCAAAAATTTCCATTACGTTCAAAAAATGATGATGAGATTGGATTTGATGTAGATTGGTTTGGCTGTTTTGAACAAAATAGTTTCTTCTGAAATGGTTAAAATACAAAATTGAACGGTGAGATTTGAGTGGTCAGACTCTGACCGGTCTCGATTTGTTTCATTTCATTTCCGCGTCAACAGCCAGCGTAATATCAATCATTCTTCTTCCTCTGATCCCACAGAAAAACCCTAGCATCTTCTCTCATTTCCCCCCAAATCTCACGATTAGTTTATACCAAGGGGGGAGGATAATCATCAAGGTCAACCCATGGAAGCTTAAAGGGGAATCGAATCCTCTCATACTCTCACAATCGGGATCGGTGTTGTAGAATCTGGGGGGGAAGGCCGAGAAAAGAAAATGTCGTCGGAGATTGAGGTCGTGGAAGAAGTCCAATCGAATCCCAAGGCGAACGGGGAATCGAGTTCCAAAGGGATTGAAGATGAGAGCTTGAAGAACGATGTTTATACTGCGGCGGCTTATGGTGATTTGGAGAAGCTTCATCGATTGGTCGAGTGTGAGGGTTGCTCTGTTTCTGAGCCCGATGGCCTTGGCTACTATGCTCTTCAGTGGTCCGCCTTGAACAACCGCACAGCCGTTGCGCAGTATATTATCGAGGTTACAACGCTCAACCCTATTTTTCGTTTTTTTTTTCCAATCTGGGATTTTGTGCTTTAGCTCGTGAAGATTCCGATAGATTTTCATACGTTTTGTTTGTTGATGCTAGCTTATTTGTTTACTTCTCCATGCTACCTTATTTGTTCCCATTGTTTATCTTCTCTTGGCGTGTGAATCGTTAAGAATGAGCATTGGGTTTGAACTGAAAATTATCCACTTCGATTGGGGTTTTGCAGCATGGTGGAGATATAAACGCGACAGATCATACTGGACAGACTGCGTTGCACTGGAGTGCTGTTCGCGGTGCGATACAAGTTGCAGAACTCTTGCTACAAGAGGGTGCAAGGGTAGATGCAACAGATATGTATGGATATCAGGTTCAACTCCTCTTTGACAACTTTGTGATTTAAGGGAGATTTTATTTCGTTTCAATGCTAGTAGGCTTCTCTTTTGCACATTGCTTCGGGTTGAGACTAAGTTTCTATAACTAGTATTACTTGTCATGATATGGTTGCATGGATGCGTTCTGAGGTTCATGTAGGTATATCAGCACTTTGTGCTTTGCCATTTGTTTCAATCAGGAAGGGGAGCTTATGTTCGGTCAACAATATGCATATAAAATTTGCTTGATCTAAAAACCTGGTCCTTGGAAAATTAGTTTATTGGTCGTCAAACGATATTTTCTCACGACCCATCATTGTTCAAAGCTTTATCTAAAATAGAGATAACTTTCATTTTGCCTGGATTTAATCAGCTTTTAGAATGTTCATTGTGATATCAATTTCATTTAAAAATCTCAAGAGACCTTGTCCTTGCCATCTCCATAGTTTTAGGAGGTTGAACAATCAAGGTTTTCTTATTCTCGAAATTTCTCAGTGAAAGCTTTCCGCTGTGAAACTTGCCATCTATGTGTTAAAGTTGTCCGTGAAAGATCCTATTAAATTTCTATTCTCTAGTTTGGTACTTTGGTTCTCAATGGATGCATGCTAATAGCCATCTTAAACTGTTTGTAGCCAACACATGTTGCAGCACAGTATGGCCAGACTGCTTTTCTCTGTCACGTCGTCTCAAAGTGGAATGCTGATCCTGATGTGCCCGATAATGATGGAAGAAGCCCCTTGCACTGGTAAGGTTGCCTCGGAGTGGAATATAAGCTTGAAATTGTTACTTAGTTAATAGTTTTTGGCTTCTTTTCATATTTACTTCTTAACACTTAGGTTTGCATGTTCATTTGGTGACTGTATAGTTGATTGTATTTGTTTTCTTTGCATATTGTTCCTCTAGGTTGTCCTAGTTGCCAAATTTTCTTTTGCTGGTTCTCGAGTTTTTTTTGTCATGAGGATCTGTAAATATGTATTTCTGTTTCGATCTAGAGACCAAAATTATGTTGGTTTAGTTTTTCTCGTTGTTCTACTTAAGAGTTCTTTATTGCTGCATGCATGATTCTGCTGCATGGTTTCAAGCTTGCTCATGTTGACCTCCATATTCTATCTTTCTTTTCAGTATCTATTCAGGGGACAGTGCTAATTGTCTTTTTTTCTTCTTCTCACGTTCAGGGCTGCATATAAAGGTTTTGCAGATTCCATTCGCCTTCTTTTATTTCTAGACGCATATAGAGGACGGCAGGACAAAGAAGGTGGTTTAGAAACATATTTTTTCTTATGAAATCCTCTTTATTTATCTAGTTAGATCAGAAAACCAAACATTTATATCATCTTTTCTGCAATTGATTCTGTTATCAGGTTGCACTCCTTTGCACTGGGCTGCCATTCGAGGTAATTTAGAGGCTTGCACTGTCTTGGTTCAGGCTGGAAAGAAAGAGGATTTGATGATTACTGACAATACCGGCCTTACCCCTGCACAACTTGCTGCTGAAAAGAATCACCGACAAGTTTCTTTTTTCCTTGTAGGTATTCGTTTCACTTTCTATGTTGTGTAGCATTTTTTAGGTATAATGTTTATTTGATACTTTCGTAGTGGCTGCTATTGCTTGCAATATATGGTAGTTGAATCATTCTATTGGCCTGATGTTTATTGGCAATAATGTGCATCACATTAGACCTTTGCATACATGGAAACAAATTACTGTTGCCAAGCTCTACTTGTTGCTGCACCATGTTAGTTTCATCAAACCTGTAATTTTTTTTTTAATATGCAGAATGAACAGCATCGTACTTTGAATTTTGAGAGTTTTTTCATATATTCTGTCTGAATATTAGTCTGAGAACACTTAATTGCAGGGTAATGCTAGAAGGCTGCTTGAAAAGCGGTGTGACGGAAGCAGTCCCCTTGGAAGATTATCAAAGTTGGGACTTGCTCCAGTTCTTTGGTCCATGATCCTGCTGCTTCTACTTATATATACTAATTCTGTTATTTTGGGTAAATACCTTGCTCTTCTTGAATATCTTTTGAGTGCAACATATCAAGTAACTATTCTATGCATGCTTACTTATTATTTAGTGAATCCTTTGGTCATTGCAGCATCCAATCTGCCAAAGCTAACAACTGGGATTGGTGCGCTTGCATGGCTGGGATTCCTTCTTGCAACTGGAGGGCTTGTTTTGTTTTACCGTTGTAGCAAGTATATACTCACTCTACTTACTTAAAATTTCTTTTTTGAAGGCCTTTACTTCTATTGTGGATTCCTGTTTTTCTGTGTAGTAGTACGAAAATACCTTTGTATCACAAGAAGTGGGGTTTCTTATCGTTTTATAATAAAAATGTTTTTTTGATTTTTTTTGCAGAAAGGATCCAGGTTACATTAGAATGAATATCCATGATCCGCAGACCATGAAAGATGATGTTGGTACCATTAACTTTATTAAATATCAAGTTTGAGTGACGTAATTGTCAATAATTCATGAGTATATATACTCTCGGTACTATTTTCTGGTCAAGTGTCATTACGGGTTTCCTTCCCCCTTTACAGGAACCACTGTTGAAAATAGAGTTAAACAACCCTGCTTTGCTTGCTGGGAATTGGACGCAGCTCTGTGCAACATGCAAGGTACGTCCTCAACTTTCCCTTTATGCCTTTCTCAATATTAACACCAAATATCTATTCATTGATGCACAACATGAAATTTACTTCATAGCGCCTACTTTGTTTCTTTTTGTTCAGATTATCAGACCTCTTCGAGCTAAGCACTGTTCCACCTGTGATCGTTGTGTAGAGCAATTTGATCATCATTGTCCTTGGGTATCAAACTGTGTCGGAAAAGTAAGTACAGTTTCCATCGTCCAATATTTGTTGCTAAAGATATAAGTTGACAAAATAGGAGGGGAAAGACCAGGCTTTTGATACTAAAATCTCCCTTATTCTTCCTATTATATTTTGATTTGACATAAAATACTGTTCTTTCTCATAGCTGTTTAAGACGAATTTAACGTTTCAAGTGGTATGTTTGTGTTGTATATTTGGGCATAGAAATCAACAGAGATGTTTCTTAGTGTCGCATTACTAATCTGTGGATCTGGTTTGTTTTTCATGAATCACTTTTGCAGAAGAACAAGTGGGACTTTTTCCTTTTTCTTCTACTTGAAGTTCTAGCGATGCTGATAACTGGTGGCGTCACTCTTGCAAGTATGTTTGTAATGGAAGATGCTTTTTAAAGCTTGTCCGATATGTAAATCTGGAGAAAACTTTCTGACAAAATTATAAACGACGTATTATATCCATGCAGGAGTCTTGAGTGACCCTTCAGCTCCATCTTCGTTTGGAGCATGGATGAGCCATGTCGCTAGTAATCATGTGGGGGCGTTATCCTTTCTGCTTATTGAATTCTGTCTCTTCTTTTCAGTTGCCGTCTTAACAGTCATACAGGGGTCTCAGGTGAGTCGGCATTCTTTTTATTCGTACTTTGCGAGTCTTTGTTATTCTTGTGATCTAAATGGTACAAAGACTGTTCTTTTCTACTTCCCTTCCCCGGACTAATCATCTCTACTTTATCTCCAGAACTCACTAAGTAGACTTGAGAGGATTAATCTATTTTCACGATAGGATGAATCATCTGTGTCTTTTTTCCTTTACAGATATCGAGGAACATAACCACAAACGAGATGGCTAATGCACTGCGCTACAGCTACCTAAGAGGTCCAGGCGGTCGCTTCAGGAATCCTTACGATCTGGGTTGCAGAAGAAACTGCTCGGATTTCTTGGTGAAAGGTTATAACGAAGACATTGAGTGTCATGAAGAGGACACAACACAGAGACAAGAGGGTATTAGTATGATGCAGATGCAGCGGAGTCCTAATATTCAGAATGGCAATGGCCACGTTGCTATCGATGTTAATCCGATACATAATTCGCAGTCAGCACATGTTCATTCTTCCAACTGCAGCCATAGCCATACCAGTAAGTCAAAGAGTGATAGTGTTCCTTTGGGTTTGGGACTTGGTCTTGGTCGTAACCCAACCCGACCTGTTGTACCTCCATGATTTATGGTCGTGTCCCAAAGTTCTTCATTGTGCATTTGTGTTGTAAGAAACACGTGTGTTCCTATCATCGTGTAACGATAACACATCCCATTTCAGGTGAAGATAGCATTTTAACAGAAATGGTTGTACGTTATGTTTCTGAGTTGAGTAATGGAAGTTTGAATCCATAAATAGTTTGGTAATCCTTGTTTTTTTCTTAAATCACAACCAGATGCAAACTAATCGTCACAAACACAGCGTTACATATTATATATATATGAACTACAAGAGAATGACTTGACTATCTCAAATGCCTACACACCAAAATCTTGTGGAGATCCCAAAAAAAGGAAAAAGAAAGAATGTTGTTGTGTGTATGATGAACGTTTCACGCCAAATGAAATCTGAGTCAGAACCAACGTATAAAGCCACAACTCACCCGGTGACAGAAGAAGAAACTGCAGGATATTTGCTTCACTACTCGCCAAATCAATTGTATGAATGTTACACAAACAAAATAAGAACATATATGCATATATGTTTCTTTCTGTCTACAAAAATCTGAATTTGAAATCCTCCTGTACCACAAGACAAAACCTGCAAAGAGAGATCTTTTGTGGTTAGATGACTGAAAGCTAAAGTGGCATCCAGAATGTGAAATAACTGTAGCAATTGGTCAAATAAATGTTAGGTAGTTATAGCAGAGCATACAGATGTTGTTGTACAATGGCAACGGACAAAACATAGTTTGGTCTGATAAAGTTATTTCAACATCGCACATAACCATAGAGGTAAGAGGCTCAGACCCAACAGTGTTCTTAGTTCTTTTAAACCTATTGCCAGAATTTTTTTTTCCCGGTTTCCAAACTAGCACGAAATATCCATTAAGTACTATTGCAAATAACAGATTCCAAGATTTCTGTGACCATCTAAGGAAAGAGAGGAACTTACTATAGAAAGCACATTAGCCTGTTTCAGATCATTTTTCTACATATATAGAACAACGATTCAGTGATAGTGTTATATATGTACCTTGAAACGAAAAGCTTGATCAAGATAAATGACCAAAGTCATTGTGTGCCACTGGAAAACCTCTTCAACCACGTTGGATTTCTGTATTTGACACATGAACAATATTTCCAGTCCTTCTCTTTATTATCTCCTCAAACTGGTCTGGAGGGATCTCATTTCTCCATCGTTTTGCTTCATATATCTCGTTAAATATCTGTATTATCTCTTCCATGTGAAGCCTTAGATCTGCCGTAATGTAAAAAAAAACGAATCATATTAAATATCATGGCTTCTGTTTTTTCAAACTCGATATAAAGCTAGATCAACGCAGTACCTCGTAAAGGACTGTCTGCCACATGATCATCACTTATCACCGCATCAACATCCTCCTTACAAGTTGCAGCCAACTCAAATATCTCCACTGCAGCTTCTAAACTCTCCTGCCATGTTGGTAGGTCGAGTTTGTACTCCATGATTGATCGCTCATAAAGTACAGAACACAGTAAAACATCTAGCCAAGACTTCAACTTTGCTGCTTCATCTGCTGTGTTATCTTGCGTTGAGCTACCTGGTACTTCGGATCCCAGATTTTTCAACACTTCCATAGACGTTTTGATATTGCTTTCGGCGCTTTGATAAAGCTGCACCACAGCTGCATATGGCCATGTTTTCAAATCAAGGTGACTGACAATTACATAGTACCACGAGTGTCTTGCTTCCTCAAACTGCTGGAGACCTAGCGCAAGATAGACTTCAAACAAATCCGGTTTTATCCTCATGGCCTCTTCGTACTTCTCTTTTGCTTTTGCGTGCTCTCTCTGAGCGCATTCATAAGCAGTTTTAACTTGCTCAGAAACGGATTCTCCAGAAACACCTCGCAGGAGGCTCAACCTTTTCTTTGCCCCTGACATGTGCACATTCCCCAGCTTTAACAATGAACGTGCTGCCACTTCTTGGAATTGCCGAGCTGCTTTTTCGAAAGGCCCTTGAGCTTCATCAGAGGTTACCACTTCCTCCATAGCTTCTGAATTCAGTTTCATCCCAAGTTCTTGAAGATTCAAGCATGTCTCAGGATCAACTCTGGCCTGGACCTTAAATAGCCGAGCAAACTCAACCATCCAGTCTTCAATCTTACTGGTACCTCTTCCGTTTACCTTTGATTTAAAAGAATCAGCGGTTATCTTGAGCTTCTTCATCTCAACTAATCTTCCGAAAAAGGGATCCTGCTCAGGACTAACTTCCACTACATAATACCTCATACTCACAGTGTTCAGTGACCTTGCTAACACCTCACTCATTCTTAGCTCTTCATCTGTTGTGATTGTCACTAAATCTCCTTCTTGGTCCTTGTACTTTATATGAACCGCCCTTAAGCTTGGGAAACGCTCGTGAACAACTTCCCTAAGCTGAAAGAGAGTGCAGTTTAAAGGCAACTCAGCCAATCTAATGTCTTCAGAGTACACAAACTTCACAGCCTTCTTCACATCTCCGATACTTTTATCCTCAACGATCACTTTCTCCTGTTGTTTCTCTTTCACTTTCTTCTTGCTCTTCTTATCGATAATCTTTTCCTTTCCCTTCTCACCTGCAAGATTGTTGTTATTCTTCTTCTCCGTCTCTGCATTCTCACCATCACTCTTCTCCTGCACTTGATTGCTTCTTTTCTTCTTCTTCGCTCGTGCCCACAGTGCAGAGGAAGCCTCAGCAGGCTCAACGTAATCCGGAGGCAGCTCTATCACTGAATCTTTGATCATTAACCCTTTGCTCTCCAAAGTTTTCTTAAGCTTATCGACAATATCAGACGCCATGGGGTTTTTTGGATCCAGTTTCGAGACCAAAGAAACATCTTTCAACGCCAAATCTAACTTATTCAAGGCCTCATAGCATCTTGCCCTCTTCAACAATGCTTTGCTATAGTCAGGAGCGATGCTAAGTGCTAAATCGCATTCTTGGATTGCTTTCGCATACTCTCCAGGATCCAATTGCATATAACACGAAGCCATATTAGCTCGAACATGAGCCACCTCTACATGATCTTTAGGGAGTATCTTGATTGCTTCCCCGTATTTAAGCATTGCACCATCATAATCTCTCCTCTGAAACAACTTGTTACCTTCTTCTTTCAACCCTTGTGCCTTTGAAACAAAATCTACAGCTTCTTCAACCTTGGAATCTCCCTGAACAAAACCATCCACTTGACTTTGGCTTGTTTCGGGTTCTAACTTTCCCTTGAGCTTCTCCATGGTGAGATTTCTCAGAAGCAAAACACACAAGAGAAAATTTCCGAAATTTTAACCAAAGGTTTCTACTTGAAAGCCGCACATGAGATTCTCTATGTCGAATTCATGTGAGCTTCAAAAGAGAAACTAAAACAGCTAATTTCACAGGTCTGACAATGGAACAGTACACATCGAAACGAAAGAAGATATACTACAAGAATTGAGTATATAATTTACAAAATCCCTAGGGATTGCAGATAGAACACGAAACGTGTCTACCTCTTTGTGAATCGAGATCCTTAATCGCAGAAGAAACGGCAATTTTCCGAGCTGAGTCTAGAGAGATTATATAATCTGGAATGGGTTTTCTCGGGAAAGAGATTTAAAAATTTCCGGGAAATAGATGGGAGGAAGAAGAAGCGATGGAAAGAGGATGAAGGAAGAAGAAAAGATTATGAGACCACCATGTGGCTCTGTACATCTGTAACGGAGATAGCTTTGTCTAAAAGCCACGACAAAGGTTGTAATGGTAGAGCCCAAACATTATAAAAATATATTTTATATATATCTTTTTATTAATAATTTTTTTTCTCAATCAAGATAATTTTGTTTATTCTAACAAAAAAAAATTATGTAAAAAAAAATAATAAAAATAATAAATTATTATTTTCGAACACTATTCCAGTCATAACAAATATCAAAAGCATCATTTATCTCATTGAATCTGCATGGTCCATCTTTGGTTATATCCCAGAAACAGTAGATGCATGGAATCCCTTTAGTACGAATACTGTATGCACCATCTCTGATATCATCGTATATATCAAACCGTTTTGATTGTCTTTGAGGCCATGTAAAATGACAAGAAAACATCGTCGATCCCCATATGTTTGGTCTAAAATAAAACGACCAAGAGTTATTCGGAGCGAGAATTTTGAGGCCGAGATCGTCGTCAGTAGAATTACAATGGAGATTTAGTGTCGAACCGTTGCCGAGACGGTTTGTGATCTTCACTTGTGATCTAAGAGGAGACCATTTACGATCAAAATTTGGAGCGCCGATTTTTACTCGTGCGAAAACTATTTGGATGAGCATAAATATCACCACCATATAGATTTTTTGTTTTAAAACTACAGCCATTGTTGAACCAAAATATCACTTATTAGAATAAGTAGTAGATAATGGGTCTTGCTGAAGTAAATAATGTTTTTTAGTAGTAATCAATTAGAAAGCTTAAAACTTTTAGATCTTGTTCTTGTGCTCTCTAAAGATTTTGGAATGGTCTTCATGCTATCATAAATCCTTTATTTATAGAGCTTCAGGTTGGTTCAAACAAACTTATTTTCCTTTTTCTTTAGAGATAATTTCATATTTCATCGTTAATCTATGATATTATGGAAATTTTCCATTGCTGGATACTACTCTTGACGGTCTTTTTTTCTTCCTTTTTTTTTAACCTTTTTCCTTTGGCGGCTAATCTTTTATCTTTCTGGTTTTCCTTTCTCTCGTCGTCCCTTCACTCTCTTGTTATTTCTCTTTCCTCCGCCGTCCAAAAGGAAAAACTTCGATCCCAAGGACAACCATAGTCTTGCCTAATAGTATTTAGTGTCTTTTTGAGATAAATCCAATCCCAAGGACAACCATTGTCCGAACAATGTAAGTAGTATTTGTATGAATCTGTTGAAAGACTTTGCTATATGGTTTTGTTGCGAGAGAAAACACAAAGGTTTGATGAGATTCAGGAACACTAGTCTCAAAAATCTTAATTAACTTGAGAAAAACATCTCTCGCATCCTTAACCACAAACCAAACCTCAAGAGCGCATCCTTACATATAGTGGTGCAAACACACGAACACTAGTTGCTAATAAGACTAATAAAGCTATTTTATGGAAAGATCATCCCCCTCACAACGTAGATCTTCATTGTGTGAGCTAGACCATTACCACTCTTCTTGAACTCGCATATCATTGTATCAGTCGTCTTCACATTATTCCTTCTGAAAACACTTCCGAACCCTTGGATGTACACACTTCCATTATCTTGAACCTTGATTTTCTTCTCCAATGTCCCGAATTTAGCTGTGAGTGGGTCGACGATACTGATAACCTCAGGGAAGCTCAAGTCGTAGTCTTTTACAACGCGAGTGGGGATTAGCTGCATCATGAAAAACAAAGCATTAAAACTGATTGTTATATTTCCTATTGATGCAATTCACATAAAATAAAAATAAAAAAAGCCATAACCAACTATGATGTTTAAATGTGGTTGTGTGAAAAGATCTTCTTTTAGCATTCTTACCAATTGGCTAAGCCTCTTCGGATTTATGATCGCGGTAAAGAACGGGTCATCGCGATCATCCAGATACTTTCTTAGCTCATCATCATTATCATCACACTCAACATCATCATCAACGTCAAGAGCCTCATCATCACCGTCATCGTCATCATCATCATCATCAATAACTGTGATACCGTCACTTGATTTATCATCCTCACCATCAGATGCATCTTCCTCCATCTCTTTGGTTTTCACTGAATTTCCAAGCCTTTTACACGTGGCGCTGCCGTAAATACAGAAATTGAAGATCCCATAGCCATCGAACTCGAACGCCAAGAACTCCCCACCAGTCAGATCTTCATTCTTGACAATTCTTTTCCAGCCATCAACCATAACAAATTTCTCAATTTCACCACAACGTTTCTTCAATTCTAGTTTCCAAACGTTTCCGTAGATGCTTCTAACTGTTACGTTTCCAGGCTTAGAATCTGGTAAGCAGCCGTTGAAAGAAACGGGTATTTCCTGAAAAATGTTCTACAAATTTCAAACCAGCTAGAAATCTACCTATGAACACGAAAGAAACAAAACAGAGTGAAAAGAAGTGTCTATTACCAGATCATCTTCGGATTCACCAGGTAAGTAAATTTTGAAGAACTTTGGAAGACGATGATCCGAATAGTTTCCTGTTCCAAGTTAAAATAATGGATAAATCAGAAAATAGGATACACTGCAATTGGAGAATCAAGAACAATGAAGAGACTTAAAGGCGAAACCTTTGTTCATTGTCACCGCTTTGTCCTGCTCTCAGAAAACCTAATTTATTTTGGGAAGTGAAGGCGAGATAGGTTCTTCAAACCCTAAGTATCGAGATCTAATGGTTTCATCAAATGAGTTTTACTTTTTGTAGCAATAACTTGCAAAAACAGAGGTTGCGCTCTGTTTTCTGTCATATTGCTTCAAATGGAAAAAGACACCACTTATAGCACCACTCATCTTTTCATTAACTGACTGCGAACAAAAATACCCCCAAGGCCTACGAAATCGATAAATGGGCCTAAATTTCGACCCAATATGTCAACCACATTCATATATGTATTTGGGGCATTAAAACTAGGAAGTATTAACATTCTGTTTACATGGCCTTTCAGGTTTTAACAGCCCATAATTTTGATTTCATGAACCAGCTGATTCTTCTCCTTGCCTAACTCAGCAGATCAATTTATCAGTAGACTTCAATTGATTCCTTCTTATTGTCTCTGATCTTCACTGTCACTCCTATATAATACTAAAGCTGAAAATGTGTGGTTGGTCAATGATGAATTAAAGCGTGTTTCTTCGGACGAAAATGATGATGATGCATGGCAGCATGGGAGACGCAATGCTCATTGTAACACAACTTAGTTCAATTTGTAACTTAGACTGGTAGTGTTTAACCAAGTTTTGTTATTTACATTGATTTATTATATGCAAGTTAGTGGTATTAATCTATCACAAGACATAAGTTGGTTTGTTGTAATTTGTAACCATATGCAATGGTCTTAATGTAGCAATATCCTATTTATACGATCATAAAACCCTTTTAACTCGTTTTTACTCTATTTTCAACTCGTTATGAGATCCTACAACGAGCTACACTATGGCTTATCATCACCTTGTAATATGCAGTCACCATTTAATATTCTTTCCGAAACAAGACTGTCTACAAGTTTTTCTCTCATTTTTAACGTCACACGAGCTCTTTTCTTTGGATAACAGACTCCTTTTTTATTATTATTAAATTGTACTCCAGTTTGATATCTATAGCTTTATCACAAATCAGAAATCAGTTTTTTGCCACGAACAAAATTTGGCATTACGAGAGTAAAAGTTGAATCTATTTTTGAATGTTTTTGTGATATATGCATATTTTTGTTTGTAATTTATGCAGTAGCCGCAATCTAATAATACATGCTCTTAGTTCGTCATGTATAGAATAAAATCCACGAAAGATACTGTGGACTTGCTACGAACTCTCTAGTTTCAAATTTCAGTAAAGTCTTATAAATGTGAAAATGAGAATGACAAGGAATTAATCTGATTATAGAAAAAAAACTTGGCATTTGTTTGACCCAATAAAAAAAAGAAAAAGAAACTTGACATTATTCTCGATTCTCAATATCTTTTCTTTCCTTTTTATAGGGAATTGCAACAAAAATTTGCATCATCCTCCTCAATAGTTGGAAAGATTCTTCACTAATTAGCCAAGTTATAATAAGTATCTCACTGTATAAACAAAATATGGAAACTTCATGGTCGACATTACCAAATGCGAATAGTCAAGCTGACTCTGAGCAAATCTGTTTAGTATAAGCGAATTTAGAAGTCATCAGATGATTTCCTAATTACTCCAATTAAGGGCACTAATGGAGTTTCTAATGAAAATTACGAAAAAACAATTGAGAACACTGACTAAAATCGAGTCCTAGTGATGTCATCATCATGCTACCTACACAAAGTTTCAATATACTGCGCGAAGGAAAACCAAAACTCAATTCCTTCTTACGCAAGAAAAAAGATTGAAATTTCGAAAAACCTCGATCAATCTTGATCTTTATGCAAGGCGTAGAAGCGGCTAGGTCGTGGCCGGAACTCAAGGCGGCGATGGATATGGAGGGACGAGAGCTTAGCCATAGTCGACGCTAAAGATTTCCTAAATCGCTCTGCCTCCACACTTCCGAGCCTCGCGAGCGAATTCACTAACGCCGCTTTTCTCAGATTGAACCCCGAATTCCTCGTCGTGTCACCACAGCTGTTTCGCTTCGACGGCGAAACTAGGGTTCTCATCTTCTCGATCTCTAATCGGCGGTGGAACGCGCACCGGAACGATCCGGGGTGCGTCGTGGGGGAGCACAAACACTTGATCTTCTGATTGGAGGGTTTCGGGCTGTTTCCGGGAGAATTCCTCTTCAAACGGAGGTTGAGATTGCAAGCAGATGCGGATCGATGGTGATGATGATGATGATGATGATTATGATGATGATGGTGATTGTGTAATCTCTGGGAAGAAGAAAGAGGGCGTAGAACTGATGATGATGATGATGTGTTTGATCTTCCAGTAGCCGCCATGACTGCAGTAGAGAGAGAGAAAATCGAAAAAAGAAACAGATGAGAGGGAGAGAGAGAGAGAGAGATATGCGTTTTATGTGTTTTGTTAATTAAATCGGTCTGTTAAAAGATTCGTCGATTCCGTTTGATTCGCATCATCTATTTATGGAGGTTACGCAGGGATCTCTGACGGTTGCAAATCGTGACTAGGGTTAAAACTGTAATTTCACATGAGATGCTAAATGTTAATTTCCCTTTTTTTTTTCATTTGAACGCTTTCATTTTCCTTTTTCCTAACCAATATTGAAATTTCTATTTAGGAAATAAACCATTTCGTATCAAAATGTAAACCCGAGCCCGTACCAAATTGGGAACGAAAGTCCGGACCAAATTGGATTAGGCAAAACCAGAGTCAATCCGTTATTAATACTGTATGTCTAATATTACCCAAATTTTTCATATTCACAGTCTTGTTATATATACCTCGAGTTGAAATTATTTTCCAATTTATTAAGAATATCTTTTCTGCATACTCGTGTATGTATTTGTTATGATTTATGAACAAAAAAAATGATATTTGGCTAATTCACCATTATCTAAAATCTCTTTTAGATATCTTTTTTTTTTAATCTTTGAAATGAAACATTTATGTATAACTTTATCTTCGCAGCGAAATTGTCGCTATTATTTTTGCTGGATAAAAAAAGGTGGTGATGAAAACTGATGAAACCGGGACAAACTGAACCAGACTTAAACCGGAATGCCGCATTACCATTTTTTTGATGGTCAGAGAGACTCAGAGCACATGCATTACCCATAAACACAGTTCTTTTATATAAAAGTTACATTTGCAACTATGCAGAAACTAGGATAAGGCAGTGAACAAAATTACCACTGCTCTTTTTTCTTTGCTTTGACAACAAACAAAATTTACTATTTCTTCTTTTACCTATACATAACCAAAAGTCTCCCATGTTTTTTCTTTTTGTTTCGAAAAAAAGAAGAACAAAACTTATGAGTCATCATCATTCTTAATGAACTTCTGAGGCTTACTGCTTGCAAATGCCAACCATACAACCGTCCCCGTCAAGTAGAAGAATATTGATGGCGCGAACAGAGACATCTACACGATAATCACAACTTTGAGTAACAAACACATTAAGCCACTACACATCATTGGAGCTAAAGTTAGCTACTTACAGTCCATGAATGGGTCGAGTCCAGTAGAAACCCAGTTAGGGCCACACCTATAATTCCAGGTACTGCCCCTACTGTGTTGGTAATACCCTGAAATAAAAAAGCATCCCATTACATGTTTAGAGGGAAGTTATGTTTTCATACCCAAATGTAATCTCATAACTCATTGGCAAAAGTCTAGGACCAAGTGCTTGGTTCATCACAATATTAACTCTTCTTCGGTTTCAGTTTTTTACCCATTAAAAAGTCTCTACCTACTGATAGCTCACACACATCAGGAGAACTAGAGAAATGGAAGCAAGAAGAGTTTTAGATAGCATCATGTACCAGAAGTATGCTTGCATATTCGGGTGAGATGTCCTGATGAGTACAATAAAGTCCTGTGAAAAAGGAACAGTGTTTGTCAATTCGGTTTAATAACCTTCTTCGGGTACTTCTTTTCTATATGATGTTGCTTGAATATTCTTGATGGAAGATAGGAAACAGAACATCTCCAGTTACCTGACAAAGCAAAACTTGATAGGGCCAAGCCTGCTGTCAAGATTCCTGCAATTTCCCATGGTGGCAATCCAATGTCCACAGATGAAAGTGTCATGCAGATCGCTGGTGCTATGAACGCAATCGTTTGACAAATCTTTCGGACCTACATGGAAAATTCCCAAGGAGTTTATATATCAAAGTGACGACAGCTGCGAAACCATTGGTTCAAAATTGACAATAAAGGCATAAAATAAACACTTGGAAATCGAGTGAAAACAGATATCAGACTGAAACATATTAAGACCCTTTTGATTTGTTAAAAAAAGGTACGTACACAAGGAGAAGGGATGTGATTTTATACCGTGGTAGTCTCAACTCCATTTGAAATTAAGTAGTCAGCAAATTGTGAAGCAAGGCTTGTCACGAAAATCGATGCCAGTGGAGGGAGGATGGAGACCTGATCTTCACATCCAGATATTAAATCCCAAGTGTTATAACACAGGCTGAAGAATATCACTTTATACAAAAAATTGCAAGCTGAACTAATTTTCCAATACTCCAGGGAAAACACAATATAGAAGACAGTTCTATACTTACCCAAGCAGCATCTCTCAAATTTAGATTCAGCGCCTCACTGCATAACCAAAAAAAAACGATCAAAATTACTTCTTCATCAACAAAGATACGGAGCCAAAGATACATAATACTGATATAGCCATAGATGTTTCTCATAGTCATAAAGAACAACTTTAAAGTAACTTCATCTAAGTCATAGGCTCGGAGATTTTACATCAGAAAATATGAGTAGTGAAACCACAACAAAAATTAAGCATCAAACAGGTCTTGAAATGAGAACACCTCTTTTGTACAAATTAAGTTAGGATTTCACACTGCAGATGAATAGCCTTTAAACAAACAGAGCAGCAAAATCATTGCCCAGTAAAAGGGAACATGGTGAACAGGTGGAAAAGTGAGTCCCTAATTACCTGAAATAAGTTGGTAGCCAAGATAAACAGGTATAGTGGCCCCAACTTCCACAAAAGTGAGTGTATATCATTGCCCAAACAGCTGAGCTCTGGAAAAACGACTTCCATGGAATCTCCTGTAGTAAGATACAGGAAAAATGAGGCATTGACTTATAACAAACGGAAAGGTTTTGGGTTTTCAAAAAATCATTTGTCTGTAGGCCATTTTGGTACCGTTTAAGCAAGTGGGTGATAATATGAATTAAAAAAAAAAGTATAGAGAAGCATGCTGGTATGTCACTATGTCGAAGAAGCAAGTTAGATTCAGTTAGCTTCTTCAGAAATTTGTTGTTTTTTTTGCTAGAAGGCTATGCAGTTCTCTTGTTATAGTTTTTTCAACTATATACTGACTTTAGAAACGATAGGCTTGACATATAGTGAACATCGCTAAATTCAACGTCAATCAATTAGAAATGAGATAATGAATATTAGATAACCTAACCTTCAATGAGTTCCCCAACTCTTCCCGTGTAGCTTTTTCAGGTTTATTATGCGAAGTAGTGGTCCCATCACCTATCAAACAAAAGGCAAGTGTTCAAGTCCATGATCCAAACCATTAACTGTTTTCAGTCTTAATTATAGCGCCTAACAATAAACAGACAACAAAAGATGATTTCGCCACATGTACATTCTAAGAAATGCTTCAGATCGAGATGTTATGAACTTAATATAATGGGTTAGAGAAAGATTTACATGTAATTCTTATCTGCTACAATTCTCTTTCACGTATTAAAAAAAGAAACGACTCTAAGATGGCTTTAACAAAAGGCGTGAGAAAAAAACTACGCAGTACGTAATTGTGTAATAAATCCAACTATGTTACATATATACGTTAACTTAAATCCATAACCTCAAACAAAAGATGGGGCTTCGATGACAGATAATTCACGATTTAGTAAAGTTTGAGTAAGGAAAAGGAAGGAGAAACCACCTCTATATGAAACCTCTTCGTCGTTAAGAAATTGAAACCCGACGAACCTTCAAAATATAGGATAAAAAATCAGAATACAGTAATACTAAACTAACATGTCAGCATCTCATTTGATCTAGAAGAACAGAGAACAACGTCTCTTGCAGCTGAATGAAAGTTACGATGATTTAACCAAAACATCAGACAACAAGTGTTTAGCCAGCATTCAATGAGACTTACCAGCCAACACCAAGAAGACCAAACAGGTAAAAGACAGATTCCCAATTATAGCTTTGGATAATGGGAGGAGCCAAGAGAAGCCTGCGGAGGTAATAATATTAGGTCTTTGCAAGTCTCAAAACTGAGCATTTGTCTTTGTCACTGTTATAATAATATTAACCAAATAAGAAACAATGAAAAAGTACAAAAACCACATAATTGTCACTTTCGTAGTTTAAGTATCACATCAAGAGAACCATACCCCAAAACACTTCCCAAACTCAATCCTCCAAAAACAAAGCCCACTGCCCTTGAGCGTTCCCCAACAGGTATCGTCCTGTATTCAGCAATTAAATGGCACAATCAGGATTTGAAAGAAAAAAACCACATCATCTCTGGCAAATTTGCTCCAGATTAATACATGCCTGGCAATAAGGTCCGTTGCAGCCGATGGGGAAACGCCTTCTCCTATTCCCACCTGGAGTTACAAATATCTGTGTTAAGACAAAGACATAATGTAAGGCTAGAGCAGGGTGGTGGGGGACAGAGAAGGAAAGCGCTCAAGAGAAGTTTATGAGTTTTAAGAAACTAAGGAATGTGTTACTAGACCATGACCACTAACTAGAATAATGATAGCATATGAATCAACATAACGACATAAACATATGGAGGAGGCTTACCAAAATCCGGGAAAAGATTAAACCAGGCATGAATCCAGCAAGTAATGGAACAAGAGCTGTAGCGAAAGACCATGTAAATACACCAATCTCGAGCACTTTTCTGCATCAAGCCAAAAAAAACGAAGGATGATACATTAGACAAAAGCAGGAATCAGCTCTGAAAGCAAAACTGGGAAGAGAGCTTAAAGAAGAAGACAAACCTGCCGCCAAAAATCTTGGAAAGCCAACCTCCAGGCAACTGGCTCAAGGCATAACCCCAAAAGAAGGAAGACTGAACCAGCCCGGCCACAGATGAGCTCCATCCAAACTGGTGTGACATTGGTATTATAGCAATACTCAAGTTCACCTGCGGTTAACACAATACACTTATCATCTATCTATCAATCTCCTTCACAAAATAGGGCAATCTTATCATTACCATAAAACAATAAAAGGGATCCTGATACTAAACTGAGCTCAAATTCACATGACCCTGATCCTCATATCTACTTTAAACCATGCCCAGAAGGTGCTTATACGAAGAAAGGAATGAAATTGTTTGTTCAATTGAATTCGAGAAACCTTGTCCATGTTGCAGATAACGAAGGCGAGGGAAGTGGCGCCGATGAGCTTATATCTCTCGGGTATGTTTTTCCATGGAGGCCAATTCTGCTCGGAACCCGTCTCCGCGCTCAGAACTTCGGAATCGGAATCCGGATTCGGAACCTGGGGAGGGAGTTTTTCGATGGAGTTCTTCGGGAGCTTCTTCTTGCTCTCTCTGGCTCGTTCTGTACCACTGGCGGAGCACTTAACCCTTGATTTAAGAGGATTGTGGTAGTGATGTTGGGGGAAGAAGCGGGTGGTGATGGTGTAGACGGAGAGGAAAGGTTGTTTCTGGGCGTGGATAGGAGAGGAGAAGAAATGGGTGTCGGGTCTCAAGGGAAGTCTCGCCATTGTTGGTGTCAGATAGAGAGAGAGCAGGAAGAAGAAGAGGAGAAATTGAAAAGGGAGTAATGAGTATAATGAAGAAGAGGGAGAGAGGAGGACACGGTGGAGCAAAAGAAGCTTGTGTGGCTCTCTCACTGTGGAGAGAATTGTCTTCGATGTGGGACCCGCCTCGGAATCAAAAGCTTCCCTTTGCGTGACTCTCGTAAACAACTCCAATGGTCAGCATCTTTCTTCCATACTTACGGTGATATTTGGATGGATTATTGGAAAATGATTATCGAAGTTCGATTAATCATCACGTTTATAATTTTAACAAGTGGTTCTGGGATTTTTTCAGGTAAAGCGTTTCTCAAAATTACATCAAAAAGTGACGTCCTTTTCGAAGTTCGATTATCAAAGGGTTTTTCTTTCTTGGCAACTTGTTTCTTCTTGGTACTAAAATAATAATATTATCTTTGGGTTTAGAAAAAAAGCAACAAAGTCAAGATTGTCTTCTTTCTATTACATAAGCTCTTTTGTCCCGAAATGCTTATCAAACAAAGATCCTCTGAAACAAGTAGAAAGAAACAATGGAGAAGCCAAAGTTCAAGACTGTCCAGGAGGTGATCGAAGCCGGCGAAGGACTACCGGAAAAATATCTCCACACACCCACCGGCGACGGCGAAGGTCAACAACCACTTAATGCTTCGGTGTCGGTGATGGATATTCCGGCCATCGATCTCAGTCTTCTCCTCTCTACTTCTGAGGACGGCCGAGAAGAGCTAAGTAAGCTTCACTCGGCGCTCTCTACATGGGGCGTTGTTCAGGTTTGGTTTGACCCTTTTAGTGATGATGAGTTTCTTTAGATGCTCCGGTGAACTCATGGTATTTGATTGCTTAATTGAAACTAGGTGATGAATCATGGAATCACAGAAGCGTTTCTTGACAAGATTTACGAGCTAACGAAGCAGTTCTTTGCGCTTCCGACCGAAGAGAAACAAAAGTGCGCGAGAGAGGTTGGTAGCGTCCAAGGATATGGAAACGACATGATTCTGTCGGATGATCAAGTTCTTGATTGGATCGACCGTTTGTATCTCACTACTTGCCCTGAAGATCAACGAAAAATCCAATTCTGGCCTGAAACCCCAATTGGATTCAGGTAAAAAAGTCCATACTTTTCAATTTCAGCAGCATCTTCGTTCATTGACTTTGGTAAATTTTGACAAAAAAATATTTCTCCAGGGAAACTTTACATGAATACACAATGAAGCAACAGCTAGTGATTGAGAAATTCTTTAAGGCCATGGCTAGATCGTTGGAATTAGAAGAGAATTGCTTTCTAGAGATGTATGGAGAAAACGCTATATTGGATACAAGATTTAACTTGTATCCTCCGTGTCCAAGACCAGACAAGGTAATTGGAGTTAAACCACACGCTGATGGCTCGGCTTTCACTCTTCTCTTACCGGACAAAGATGTGGAAGGGCTTCAGTTCCTGAAAGATGGGAAGTGGTACAAAGCTCCAATCGTCCCTGATGCAATTCTGATCAATGTTGGAGATCAGATCGAGGTAAGGTCTCATGTATATATATATATGGAAATAGTTTTTCAAGAATCAATACTGGTGTAGATTTTTGACATAGATCTCTCGTTGGTGTTCAGATAATGAGCAATGGGATATACAAGAGTCCGGTTCATAGAGTGGTGACAAACAGAGAAAAGGAAAGGATATCTGTGGCAACGTTTTGCATTCCGGGTCCAGACAAAGAGATTCAACCTGCAGAGGGGCTTGTGTCTGAGGCAAGACCAAGGTTGTATAAAACAGTTAAGAAGTATGTGGAGCTCTACTTCGACTACTATCAACAGGGTCGAAGACCGATCGAAGCTGCTTTGATCTGAAAATACTTTTTTCAAGTCTCATTTTTGGTTTCAGAAATGAATCTGTTTTTTTTTTTACTTGATCATTAAAGAGAATACCGTTGCTTTGTTTGTTTAAATGTGAGGCTGTATTGTGTTTGTGTGTGTTACTCTTGAGAATATCATATTTTGGGTCTAAAGCTCATCTTTCACAAAAAACAATTTTAACTTTTTTTTCTTCATTTTTTGTCATTCTACCAAATTAATAGTATGTAAAAGAATAAACTGGTTAAGTCAATCATTGAAACAAAAACACCCGTTAATAAAAAAAAAACAACGAAAAAACAAAAAAATTGAAACCATAGAAAAAGAATTAGTATCAAATTCCGATATAAATTATACCATTTGTCTCCAGCTTCCTCAACCGGAAGTTCGTGAGCCTTAGCAGCTTGCACTTTCGAATTTGTTCGGTGAGAAATAGATTAATATTCCACAATCTCGCAGCTTCGAAGAATGTCCATATATACAGACACATCGATATTGCACTTGATGTATGTGGAAATTCAAGAAAATGGGATGTGTTTGCAGTAAGCAAATAGGAGGAAGAAGGCATGAAAACATTTCGCTTCTTGCTTCTCAAACCGTTTGTAAGTCTCTCTCTACTCATTTTTTTCTCTGTGATACACAATAATACTGACACATATGTTTCATTAGTTATAGTACTGCATGCATGGGAAATATATAATTTTACACGAGTTGGTTAGAGAGTAATTAACAACATCTTGTAACTGTTTTGGGTTCACAGTTAGCGAGGCCGAGGTTGAAGTTCTACATGATTTGTTCCTCAAACTCACTTCTTGTCTCAGCAACCAAAATCTTATAACCAAAGTTAGACTCCAGATCGACTAAATATTCTTTCCACAATGTGCATATTGTCACATTTAAGTTCTTCTACTAATCTGGTTTGTTTCAGGAAGATTTTCAATTTATCTTATTCAAGGACACCAAGAGACGCAGTCTTTCAGCAGAGCGGGTAAAAATTCTAATTGCAATATATATATATATATATATATATATATATAGAGAGAGAGAGAGAGAGAGAGAGAGAGAGAGAGAGAGAGAGAGAGAGAGAGAGAGAGAGAGAGAGGAATTTACATTGTTCATTTGCAACTTTTCTTAATTTAGAATAAATAACCTAAACAATGTAAGAAACATGCAGATTTTCGTATTGTTCGATATGAGAAACGATGGGGGCATAGATTTCGGAGAGTTTGTACACTCTCTCAACGTTTTTCATCCAAACTCATCCCAAAGAGACAAAGCCATATGTATACTTGATCATTCTTTTTTTCTTAATTAATTTATTAGTTACTACATATTATTAAAGAGATCACACGTTAATTTTATACCTTTCAGTTGCATTTCGATTATACGATACTCGTCAGACTGGATTCATTGAACCGGAAGAGGTACGTCGTCGTCCTTACAAAAATAACAACAACACCTATATATACCGTAAATTCAGTAATTGTTAATTCTATATTCAATAAAAGGTGAAAGAGATGATAATAGACGTTTTAGAAGAATCAGAACTGATGCTGACCGAGAGTATCGTTGACTCGATTGTGTCTAAGGTATGTGATGAAGCTTCTATATCGGTTTAACAGTTTTTCGTCGTCGTTTATTTATTATTTATAATTTGGCAGACATTCGAAGAGGCAGATTGCAAAAAAGATGGGAAAATAGATTTGGAAGAATGGGAGAACTTTGTTGCCACATATCCTTTGACGCTCAAGAACATGACCATCCCTTTCTTGAAGTAATTCGTTTGTTTAGTTTTTGTATTCTCATGCATGTACTGTATATTTTTATTTTATAAATACACGCAGCTAAAGAATGGTTTACGAAAAAGATGAATCATATTCTTTTTTTAAAAAATCTTCAAGCTCTCTATACATAGTTTTTTCAGTATTTTTTTTTTCTTTGATTATACCATAACTTTTTTCTTTGAAAACAAAGACATTTTTCTTACATTAACCCTTTCTTTTCAGGGACCTATCAAGATTGTTTCCAGGCTTTCTTCAGTGAATCTCGGATATTGAGGTGCATGCAAATATCAAATGGAAATAAAACACATTTCACTAAAACTATGGTTGTTTCTTGTTTTGGGGTAATGAAAGTATCTGTTGAGTATCACCGGTGCTTCTTAAAGTTATACTTTGAAAAATTTCTTCTTATCAACAAGGTCGAAGACCTACTGAAGCTGCACTAAATCACTTATCTAAAAGAAAAATGTCAATGTAAAGACTTCACAATATAAATCTGTTTCTTTCGTTTCATTAAAACAGAACATCGTTGTTTTGTTTGTTGGTGGAGTGATTGTGTAGCAATTCTGAAATAACAGTATGAGACAATCTATTATTATTTTTATGAAATGTAAGTTTTATTTAAATATCCAGGAAAAAAAAAAGTCAAATAAAATAAGTAAGGTGGTGAAACAGAAAAGTGAATAAATCGATGAAGCTGGATATTCGAATATTTCCTGGTTGATTGAATATTCGAATATTTCAAATCGAACATTCCAAAAAAAGACAAAAGTGATTCCGATGGTTGTAATGTCACCATTCAACAACCGGTCTTCTGTTTTTCTTCCACCTTCCTTCCCATGTTTCTCTCTTTTACACATCAATCGTTCTTCCGAATCCTCTCTCCTCGGAAATTTCCCCTTCTCCGGTGCCGAATCGCCGTGGGAAGGAGATTTTTCCGGGAAAGCTTCCATTTTGTTTCTCCTAGATAGCTCACAAGACTCGGTTTCGTAAATGGCGGCGACGACGGTTGTATCCATCACCGAGAAAGTGCTCGAACGGGTCTACGGAAGTTCCAAATTTACCCTTTCCGTCGCAGGCGGCGACGGCGAAAGGCCTCACCGTCATACCCATCATCACATTCAGAGGCATTCCTACGACGACAGCGACGATGATGTTTGTTACAGCGACGAGGATGAATCGGCGATGGAGCTTGTCCAGATCGGTGCGGAGAGGACGAAGAACGTCTTGATCCTCATGAGCGACACTGGAGGTGGTCACCGTGCCTCTGCCGAAGCCATTCGCGACGCTTTCAAGATCCAATTCGGAGACAAATACAAGGTAAACAAAGAGTGTTGAGACATTGTGGTTTTATCCTCATTCGTCTTTTTTTTTGGTTTTTGATTGAGTTGCAGATACAAATTGATATGGTTTTGGTGGGGTTTTTGACAGATAATCGTGAAGGATGTGTGGAAAGAATACACAGGGTGGCCATTGAATGACATGGAGAGATCATATAAGTTCATGGTGAAGCATGTTCAGCTATGGAAAGTTGCTTTCCACAGCACATCTCCCAAATGGATCCACTCTTGCTATCTTGCAGCCATTGCTGCGTATTACGCCAAGGAAGTAGAGGCGGGTTTAATGGAGTACAAGCCTGAGATCATCATTAGTGTTCATCCTCTGATGCAACACATTCCATTATGGGTTCTTAAATGGCAAGAGCTACAGAAAAGAGTCCTCTTTGTTACCGTCATTACTGATCTCAACACTTGTCATCCTACTTGGTATATATATATTAGCCTGGTTTAGTCTTATGAGAGATGATGCTACATAAAAGTGATTTTTTTTTATCTTCTATGGTTTGGTTCAGGTTTCATCCGGGGGTGAACCGGTGCTATTGCCCGTCTCAAGAAGTGGCGAAAAGGGCGTTGGTTGATGGGCTTGATGAGTCTCAGGTCCGTGTCTTTGGTTTACCTGTGAGGCCATCTTTTGCACGAGCTGTTCTGGTGAAGGGTGAGCTAAGAAGGGAGCTTGAGATGGATCTAGATCTTCGTGCGGTTCTACTGATGGGAGGAGGGGAAGGCATGGGTCCTGTGAAAGAAACCGCAAAGGCTCTTGAAGAATCGCTGTATGACAGAGAGAACAAGAAGCCCATTGGGCAAATGGTTGTTATCTGTGGACGTAACAAGAAGTTGGCCTCTGCGTTAGAAGCCGTTGAATGGAAGATTCCTGTTAAGGTATATATGACCATAAGAAACCGCTTAGGCTATAAGTAGAGGCTCATAGGTTTCAAGACTCAAGCTTGGATATGATTGACATTTACAGGTTCGAGGATTCGAGACTCAGATGGAGAAATGGATGGGAGCTTGTGACTGCATCATCACAAAAGTAAGAGGAACATAACAAATCTCATATATCACCAAAATGTTCATGAAGCTAAGTGTCCCTACGAATCTTGCAGGCTGGACCAGGAACAATAGCTGAATCGCTGATCCGATCACTTCCTATCATCCTCAACGATTACATTCCCGGACAGGTATTAGTTTTTGATGCAATCAGGCTCGCTTGTGTATAAAATACTCATATCACGTTACACTTGAAACCAAACAGGAGAAAGGGAATGTGCCGTATGTAGTGGAGAATGGTGCAGGAGTGTTCACGAGAAGCCCCAAAGAGACAGCCAGAATCGTTGGCGAATGGTTCAGCACAAAGGCAGATGAGCTGGAACAAACGTCAGTCAACGCACGTAAACTAGCTCAGCCTGAGGCAGTCTTCGACATTGTCAAAGACCTCGATGAGCTCTCGGAGCAACGAGGTCACCTTGCTAAAGTCTCATACACTCTCACCTCTTCCTTTGCCAGTTTAGTTTGAGGTACCAGGTCTTATATTAACAAGTCTCCATTATTAGTTCCTTGTCTGTTCTATTTTCTTTCATTCTTTTTTTTTCAAATAATTTGTTTGTTGGTTAAGTCGTATGTATTATTTTATAACAAAATTAAGGAAAAGGCTCATGGTGTGATAGCATTATTGGTAGCTTATTACAAGAAGATTAAGTTTCAAGTAGATTTTCATGTGCCTGTAAAACTTGTTCATATAGAATAACATAGAGAACTAGAAGAACTGGAAACACATACATCATTTCATATTATTATTAACTTTTGTCAATATTTCACATTACATTTAAGACAGGCTTATATAGGGATACATTATTAGCATATGACACATGAGTTCCAGAGACTTAGGATCTCTAAAGACTATCATCATCAAAGCCATGGTAAAAACAGAGAACTAACATTTTTCTCTGTAGCTGAAAATTCCAGGCTATTGTTATTACTTTTATTTATGTAAACCATCACCCTGTTGAAGCCTTCTCATTCTTCATGATCATATGGAAAGATTTAACTCTATCTTCCCCAACGATCTCTCTAAGAACATCGTCTTCAATCTTCTCAGCTTGCCACAGAGACGGGTCTTCAACAAACTCCTCACTGAATATCATGCTAGAAACCCATTCTTTCCATGTCGTCCTCTTGTACTTGTCTTCCTCTAAAGTTCCTCTAGATAAGAGCTGATAGACATAAACAATCTTCTGCTGTCCCGGTCTGAACGCACGGGCAATTGCTTGCTTTGTCTTTGAAGGGTTCCATTCGGAGTCGAGCATGATGACCCGTGAAGCAGCGGTCAGACTAATCCCTTCTGCGCAAGCTGTGATCGAGGCTAGCAAGACTCGGGACGGGTTTCCTGGTTCTTCAAATTTGTCTATCACTCTGCCTCTCTCGAACAGCTCGAGATCACCGGTTAGGGTCAAGATCTCTCTGCCTCTCTGCCACCTGAAAATGTTCTCAAACAGTTCGATAAACAGACGGATTGGCGCAATGTTGTGACAAAATATCAAGATTTTCTCCCTCTTGACCACTCGGAACACCAGGTTTAGCACAAACATGACTTTAGATCCTTTCTTGGCGTCGTGCTTGAGCTTCTCGATCTCCAAGAGTTCTTGCGGGTTCAGGAATTTAGCGCAACAGGTTGTGGTCTTGACCAACCAAGGATGTATAGCTGCCAATGTGACCAGAAGCTCGAGCTCGAGAGGGAACCCGTGATAAGTCCCCATTACATTCTGAAGCATTGTCAGTATCTTATGCTGTACATCAGTCGAGTTCATCAGCAATGTGTAGATCTGTAAACCGGGAAGACCATCGCTGTTTCCACTTCCACTTCCTTCGTAGTTATCAATGAAGCTGTTGGTCATATTCTTCAACATATTGAGACCTTGAAGACGTTCATCTCCCACTCCTGCATCAATCTTTTTGGCAATGATGTCGAGGAAGAGTTTACGAGCTCTGTTCTCTAGCAGGTGAGGCGCCTTATTCACACCTTGGTTAGCTTTGAACTTCTGATCCAACTCCATTAGAACCTCATGAACAAACTTGGGTCTAGCCAAACACAGAGTGTTGAAGTACTCGCAGAAATTGTTCTGGAACAAAGTACCTGAAAGAAGTACCCTTAAGTCAGTACCAACTTTCATCAGGGCCTTGCGTAATCTCGACTTGGTGCTCCTCGGGTTATGTCCTTCATCAAGAACAAGAAGCCCTGGGCTCTCTCTTAGCACTTTAGCCATGTATTTCCGGTGAGCAAACTTGGAGTCTTCCCTCATCAGAGTCAGGAACGAGGTGTAGCCCATTACAAGAACGCTCGGATGCGCGTGCCATTTCTGTATTTTCTCTAAGCAGTCAAGAACATGCATAACATCTTGGCTCGGTTTCGGGACTCCATTGAACTGAACCGAGCTGTTCTGCTTGAACACACAGTAGGTTCTTCGTCCATGGATCAGATGAACCGGGACTGGGATCTCCCATTTGATGAACTCCTTGTACCAAGTATAGAGAGTTGTCTTTGGAGCAAGAATCAAAGGTCTCTTCCCGGGAAATAGCTTCAAGTAGCTCGTGAGGAAAGCGATCATTAGGAATGTTTTACCAGCTCCGGGGGAATGAGAGACCACGCAACCTCCTATGTCATCTGAAGTAGGATCCATAAGCGCGGGTTCTACAGATCCTGCTAGGTTTCTCCAAAGAAACTCGTACGCTCGTCGTTGATGCATATGTAGTTTTCTCTTGAGATGAGGTATTAAAGCCCACACGTTGTCACTTTCTTCAGCTGCAAGAATTTCAGAAGAATCACTTGACGTAGTGAAATCTTCGCTTTCGGCTTCCTTGTGGCTCAATCTTGTCTTTAGGTCACCTTCTTCGATTTGCTTAGTCTCTATAGTCCATTTCTTTTGTTCCGCCTATTTTAAACCCAAACCATGAATATACACTCATTTACAAGCAAAGTAATATTGTTGAATTTGTAAGTTGTGAGTTTCACTTACAAAAGGTGCAGACACATGTCTGATCTCAGTTCCTACATGACCACATAACATACAACACAGCCCGATTTCTTCGTTCAGCATATAGTCATGTTCACAACCACTTTTCGCTTTTTCAAAAGCCTCGTTGTCCACTCTTGCCTGGAGATTTCGAAACACCATACTAACATTATTAGCTGTTGTATATGGAGATATGAGATGTACTTTTGGAAGAGAATGATATACCTCGTTGTCGTCAAGAATGTATGAAGAAGCCAAGCAGAGTTCCATTTCTCTCCATAACATCTCGTTCTCTGAAGTCTCTCCCTCATCATCCTCGCTCGATGTTTCTTCCATCTCTCTGTTCGGTCTAGATGCGAAATTTGTCTTCTTTAACTCCTCCCACTGGTCAACAACACTGGTCGGCTCGTCCTTGGATGCGATTGTTATATCAATGTTGTTCATGTATGTATCTATCAGCTTGTTATACGCACCTGCGCTCAACGTTACTTTCTTGTAGACCCGTGGTTCACCGGAATCCTTTGCTTTCCGAGAACCGGACCTGGATGTTGATCGGAATATTCGTTTTTGAGCCGGCTTCACGTGGTTAGGACCTTTCCAACATAGATCAGATTCCATCATCTCTTCCATCTCCGTCATTTTCTTCCCGTATTTCACCGATTTGCTTCGGTACTTCTCAATCTCATCGAAGTACTGGTTTCTTGAGAAACCGCCACCCTCGACCAAACAACTAGCATTAAGACCAAACTGTTCCAACGGTATAGGCTCAAACACCGGAGTGAAAGGAATAACCGAAAGCTCTGTTTTCCTCTGTTTTCGACCAAGTCCACGCACTCTCCTCTTCTCTACCAAAACAATCTCGCCTTGTCTACTTCCCTGTTCTTGAGATTTACTTCTTTTGTTCTTGACGAGATGCGATAAAGGTACATACAAATCATCATTAGTAGTATCACCATCCTCAACGCTACCTTCATCTTCTTCGTCGTCCTCACTCTCCATACTAACGACGGCCCCTTTTCCATACCGATATGGCATCATCCGAACCCAACCTTCATTTGTATCTTGCTCATAATCGCATCCGTAATATATATCCGGTCTCACATTTCTTCTCTTGGACCGACGCAGTTCCACTACCTCATCTTCTTCCCGGTAGAACTCTGTTTCTTGCTTTACATCAGGATCTTGAGAAGAATCCTCAACTATATCCGCCGGATTAAACTGAACAACTTTCGATAACGAAACACCGTCTTCAACTGTAATATTCATCGAGCTCAGAGAGCTGCTACAGCCTTCATCTGTTACAATCTGATAAACCACCTTGGTTTGCACTGCTCTTATGTGAAACACAATGCTTTTCATAACCGACGTTACAACCAGCCAAGAAAGATCCGGCAAGAAATTTCCCAACGACAGTCTCGTTTTCATCAGTGAAGTACAGTCCTCTGAGAACTTCCACCTGTAGAACTGATCACTACTTTGTTCCTTGTAAAACTTTTGAAGAATGGAGACTTGGTTTAGACCGATGACCACGGAATCTCTGTTGATTCTTTGTCTCTCTGATCCAATGCAGTCTTGGTCTATATATATTCTGACGTAGATCTTGCAAGAGCATTCTGATTCATGAGGCATCCTCTCCATGGAAACAATCCTCGCGTCTACCCAAACCTAAGCAAGAAACAGATATACATAAAGGTGAAGATAATGTTTTTGATGAGTTTGAAGATGCACAGTATTTGAAGATAGAGTTACATCTATACCGGTTCCAAGTCATCCTCGTGAAGAGGATAGAGAACACAAACATCGATACCAGACCGAAGGAAACATATACAGTCGCTCAAAGTGGCCTTTCTTGATCTGAGACGAAGCCTTTGGAATGGACGGATGTCTTCCAACACATAAGCGTCCTCTAAAAGACGTATTGTCATGTTCCCATCTTCGATCCTTATGTACTCCACAGCCTTCCATGTACCAGAGCAGAAGATCTCGAAAGCTAAAATGCAAAAAATCGGTGTATGAAAGTCAAAACTTTGCTCTCCGTTAATCAAAGTAATCCAATTTACACTTTGGCATTGTAAACAACACTTACGGCATGGATCAAATGGATGCTTCAGATCGTAGAAACGCCTTCTCTTCATCTTTATAGTCTTTTGGATTAGTTAACCAGCCGCTGCATAATCAGATATTATATATTTTAGTAAAAAAACGTTTCATTTAGTTGGACCACAAATAATTAGAGGATAAGAGTTAGCGCACAGGTGCAGTATATATATAGCAACCAAATGTTGAAGAAGATACTATCCTGAAGCCATAAAGCGTTAAGGTATAAGCCAACAAACTGATATTGCAGGCTTCTGGAGTCGTCTATTGTATTCATAAAGCTTGCAGATATATAATACTCAATGTTGAAAATACATGAGCAAGCAGAAGCAGAACATGAACCTAACGCATGTTGGAATTGGGCTCAAACCAAACCACAAAAATTCGAGGCGACCTAATCTAAAGATACCTCAAAATCTGGACAGTTTGGGATGATTATGATAACAGAAAGCAAAAGCCAACAAAGAAAAGAACTCTCAGGAGACAGAACAGAGTGCTCTGCTTTCATGCTGTACTGATTCTTTGCAGACTGGGACCAAATGCTGAAACCAGTAGTGTTTAAATCTCATGATTGTTGATTGAGGAAAAGGCTAAGTGCATGCATGTTGTAATTAGCTTCTACTATCCAAATTTGGTTAGAATTGTGTAATGCTCTATCTTTACAAATCTGGCACTCTACATTTAGTCAGATGGACAAAACCAAGACTAAAATCTAATCTCAAATGCACCAAAGGGAAAAAACTGTGAGTAACAAAACTTGACCTTGGAAACAAAAACCAGAGTTGTGCAGTAAAATGGCGAGCCAGAGCGATGATTACTATTGCATGATCCAAGGGCAAATAGAGGTAAAGGAAGATATGGTCAGAAGGATGGTGTATTGAAAAAAAAGGACGGAGACTTCAATATCATCACACTGGTTATTGCAGAATCTTGGCTACTGTGCATATGTTATTATTATTATTATTATTTTCTTGCATGAATTTGTATGCAAACAAAGTAAAGAGAAATGGATTGATTGGAGTGTTGACAATTACGGGTTGTTGTTTCTTTAATGGATGGGAAAAATAGACGGCTGTGATTTGTTCTTTTCTGGAGTATTTTGTTTGATAGATTTTCCGACAAGAGGAAGTCAAGCTCTTCGAACAGTGGGGTCCACCATGGAGATACTGCGGTAACTCTTTCACAGCGAGTGTTCTACAGCGTAGGACCTACAATACTTCAGGGTTATTTACTTCTTGTTTTATGAATAATTAAAATAACATTAGAACTAATCTATATAACTTTCTCTTTTAGTTATTTAGTTATGGTATCAAAAACTTTTAGGATTATCTGTCTTCTTCTAATTTGGATTTTATAAAAAGTTTTTAGATATAATAATTGATTGTTTAATGTGTAATTATTTTAATGCATTCCATTATCATGTCCAACTCATGACATAAATAAGATAAATGACTATTTACGATTTATAATTTTGTGGGTTTCAGTTAACTTAAAATGGATCGTAAATCCTATTAATATGTAAATCTAATTGAAATTGTAATTACTAATTTTCGTTCCTGTTAGTACAACCATGAGAGAAATAGAATTCACAATTAAAAAACTCTAAAATTGGAAGTAAACATAAAAATATTGGTAAAATTATAAATAATGAAAATATTAAAATATGTTAAACTATTTTTAGCCATTAATTTACAATGCTTCTGAAAAAAGTAGAAGATGAGAAAAAACTAATTGAAAGAAGCAAAATATTATTTTTTTAGCTAAGTAAATTTGGTTTTCTTCATATTTTCAGTTTTAGTATTTTCTGTGTTTTTATTTGTTGTTTAAATTTTACTTTCCATTTATTTAAATTTTGAAGTTACACTGATACATAAGAATTATCAAAGCTTTTAAATTAATAATAAAATTTGAAAATAGTAAAAGATATAACATTTTTCATATTTACTATAAAATAAGTTTTCAGACCAAAAATAACAAGAAAGTTTAAAAAATTTCAACTCTATCATTTTTCATTTGTTCTTTATGATTTTGCTTTTTAAGAATGTCTTTTTGAATATATTTTTTTTTTGTCAATATCTTGTGATTTTTTATGAAGGTCTTTCAGAACACTAAAATCAAACATTGGTTCATTTCTTAAATTTTAAAAAATTTAGAAAAGTTTTCCTAAGAAAGTGTTTTTTTTTTTTAATTTTCCTAAAAATTCTGAATATATTTAGGATGGCTTCTTGAATAAGACAATATCGTCATCACAATAATCAAATATGCTATGGATGGAAGATATATAATTTATCTCATATTAGTGGAAGAAAAACTAGTTTCCATGTCATTTTGAGGACTTTCTCCAAAAGATAAAACTGAAGAATTAGCAAATTTAAGCAACAGTAAATCACATAAGCTATCTCAATATGCTAGCTTAGAGGGTTACGGCCAAGTTCAAAAAGTTAACTTAGTCACTTTGACTTGTGATATTGAAAGGTTGTTTATCTTTAATTTTCATCTAAACAAAACTCGTTGTATCTATTACAGAAGATAAAATCGGTAAAAAGATTAGATTTATTTTTGGATTTTAAAATTACATAACAATCTCCTCTCTTAAAGAGCTACTAGAGAAGAAAGGCAAAGGTAAAATTCTCTTTTTGAGAAAGGAAACACAATTTCTCCTATCCAATGAATATAAATATCACATAATCGAGCTTCTTATATAGGCAAATATTAGGACCTGAGCTTGATACTCAAGAGTCATGAACAGGCTTAAAATTATACAATGCCGGATTAAGTATGTGGGCTATTAGTTTAGAAATTTTCTGCTGAGTGAAGCAGTTTTATCTTTATCAACTAGGTGTAAATATAATTAAGCCAATTCATTAAAATAAAGATAAAAAAATAAAACTCTATAGAGAAATATTAATGGATGAGAACAATTAATGTCAAAATTAGTTGGCAGTGGCCAAATTTTTCTCTTGTTACTGCTCATCTTATAATGTTTTTATTGCCCCTACCTTCTTAATCTTGTTATTAATACGATTTTCTTTCTTTTTTTCTCCAGATTTTGATGATAACTACGATAATATCGGTGTAATAATAGCATGACAATAATAACTTTGCTTATTTTATTATTATGATAATTATTTGCGTCGTAAAATAAGAATGTACAACTAATTTTCTTATTCCGAGCACATCCAAGGGTGGTTTTTCAGAAAATTATATGATCATTAAAAAATAAAATTAATAACAAAAAATAGAAAAAATGAGAAACATATCTTATTTGAGATATCTTTAGAAATTGTTTCTTATTTTAAAAGCTAGGTGTTATCATTTTATCAGCTCATTTTTTATTTATTTTTTTGAAAATTTCATTATATTGTTAAATTATATTAATATATTATAGTTTAGATATCTAAATTAAGAAAATTATGGATAAAAATGCTCTAAAATAACTGGAAAAAACTTATTTCTTAGAGAAGAAAGATCGGGATAAACTTCTATTTTCGAAATAATAGGAAGAAGAAGATGATTTCTTCGATCTAGAGAAAACATATATTCCCTCTATTATATAAAAAAAACATTATTCTAAAATTAAATTTTGTTTTACAAAGACTGTTATTTTATATTTTTAATATAGAATTTAATATTTTAATTAGAAAATAAATATTATTTTGTATATAAACAAAAAGTAAAACATAACTTTTAATAATATTTTAATTTTATGTAAAATGTGTCAAAGCGATACTATTTGTAAAACAGAAAAAGTATCAGAACTTATTATATAAGTAAATTTTAGATTGCAGATTATTGGCTGAGTAAAACAACAGTTTCGTCTTTATAAACTAGGCCTAAATATTATTAGGTTAATTCATTGAAATAAAAAAAAAAAAAATTTAAATAAAACAATATAAGACATGTGCCATGGTTTGTAATATGTGTGCGTCTGCCTCTGATAGTAAAATTGTTTATATGGAAACAAAATATGTTTCTGTGTATGTGTAGGTAAAGATTTGGGTTGTAAAATAATAATAATATACAGCTCATTGCTCTCACTAGTTTTAATTTTTTCTATATAAATTAATTATTAATTATATTAATTTGGCTTTGTAAACTAATAAGTCTATGTAGTCCAGCTTGTTTTTAGTGTAACAAAAATTAATTCTAAGGAAAAGGATGAAAAAGTAGAACATTTTCATCTGTTTAGAACATTTTCCTTTCCAAATAAATAAGAGCCATTCATGTAATTTGTTGGTTCACATATATGTGTGACAGAGTTATATATAATATATATATGAGTATTTTGAGAATCCAACAAACTACATAGATAAGTATTTCAATCAGTTGCGCCCAACATTCAGAAAACGTTGAGGTAACAATGTTTTGAGATTTTCTTTTGGTTAGTGTGCCGTGGCCTCGATCACCCAATGTTAAATTGTATACTGTTTTCTCAAGTTTTTGATTATTTTGTGTTAAAGTAAAAGCTTGAAATTATACGACGTAACAGTTATTGTTTGTTAACTACTATGAGTCTGCTACTCAAGAGAATTCATATCAAGTGTAGGGTCAATAGATCTCGATTCAATATGGTTTTAATTGCTTCTTCAATTTCTTAAGTTGAGCAAGCTTTTTCAGATTATGTCTCGAAGGCAGCTTTCGTCCTCTGCCACTCTCTCTGTAGACATGAGTTTACCGGCCTCATGCAGCAGGTATCTTCAAAATCAATACATTTATTTTTCATTATCTCTGTGTTTTTGTATTTTTTAATTTTCGTATGTTTAGTTCTAACATGATGTATCAACTGTCTTATAGTAAGAATCAGAAGGCGACAATTCGACCCAAGAAGAAGAAGAGGGCTAATTCATTTGGGAGCAAGGTTAGTGAATTAGGAATATGAGATCATGTGGTTTTAATTATGGCTCTGTTATATTCTAAAGTTGCAAGATTCTAATAAAATTGTAGGGTTCTCAGCATGAAAAGGTATTCATAGATAACATCGGGAGTGGCACCCTCAGAGAATCTGTGAGACTACCTCCTGGTGAAGACATTAACGAGTGGTTGGCCATTAACAGTTAAGACACAATCATTAGTTAGTTACTCTATCCATACTTAAAATTATATTTTCTTCTTAATTTAACTTTGTGGCTTTGGTTTGTTTTTTAGCCATAGATTTCTACAACCAAATCTGCTTTTTGTACGCTACTCTCGAAGAGTTCTGCACATCCAAAACTTGCCCACTCATGAATGCTGGATCCAGGTAATTTACCCCATCAATCCAAATTTGAGTTAATCATAAAAACTTTGGTCATTTTGTTAATTTTTTCCTTTATTTATTCTTTTTTTTGGGCAGATATGAGTATAGATGGGCAGATGGAATAACTATCAAGAAGCCACTAGTGGTTTCAGCTCCTAAATATGTTGAGTATCTTATGGATTGGATTGACACTCAGATTGATGACCAAACCATCTTCCCTCAAAAACCTGGTATGTAGCTGCAAATCTATCTAATTCGTAGTTTGTAACATCTTTTAATTAATTAAGTTTGGTTTTAATTTGTAACACACTCTCTGTTCAGGAGTACCATTCCCACCGAACTTTGAGGATTTTGTGAAGCGGATTTTGAAAAGGCTGTTTAGGGTTTATGCACACATGTATCATTCTCACTTTCAGAAGATTGTGAAACTCGAGGAAGAAGCTCATCTCAACACTTGCTTCAAACATTTCGTTTACTTCGTATCTGTGAGTTGATGAATTCTTCTCTGGATCATGCAATAGTGTTGATAGTAATTAAACAAACTTTGTTTATCGTGTTATTATTATTATTATTTTTTTTGCAAATATACAGGAGTACCAGTTGATTGAGAAAGCAGAGTTGGATGCTCTTAAAGATCTCGTGGAAACGATAATGAAACAATAGAAAAATTATGTGTTTTCAGGAGGAGAAAAGGTTTTGAGATATTGTTGTCTAATAACCATCCTAAAGGAGTTTATGATTATGTAATATAATAATTACTTTTGTCTTTTACAAAATAAGTTGATGTAACTTGATTAGTAATCTTGTGACGTTTCAAATTTTCAATTAATAAATCGAGAGGCTTGCCCAATAATAACGTACAAGGCAGTTGTAACTGGTAACCAGCACAAGCGTTTTTTTTGTCTTCAGTGTTCATAAACTGCAAGCTATTTGTTCCCCTCTGTGAAGAACTACTTGCCGTTTCCTCTTTTTAGTTCTCCAACTTTTGTTTTTAAGGTCGTTTTGCGGCAAAACTCAAAGAAAAATAATATTTTATTTGAAAGCCGTATAAGAAGAGTGAAAAAAACAAACGCGAACCCTAATTTCCGATCATGACGAGATAAAAACAAACTGCATAGTTTCTTCATTACAACGTTACCCAAACCAACTTCCAAATATATGAATAACTTATAAAGAAAGAAAGAAAGAAAGAAAGAGATGAATAGATCTAGGACACCATCAAACACACATATGCCATTCTATAATGGACTGCCTTCTCCACGAGTGAGTAAGAAGCTGAAACCTGCGTTCTCGTGGATCAATTGAGGAAGTTCAAAATCGTTTACATCCAGTTCTTGCATTGACTTTGATATATCCTCCACTGTGAATGGAATGCTGCGTTTTGATCAATGCACTCAGCGTTACTTGAGAAAATGGCCAAGGGAACACAGAGATTTTGATCATGAAAGAGAGTTTCAGCTTTACCTCGAGTCATCCTCCAAGAGGAAAGATCTTCCAAAAATATTGTTTGATTCCTCTGTGACCGTAAGGTCCATAACCCTCCTCATCTTTTTAAGAACCTGTGGTTTTGGAAAAAAATACCATTAATACCGTATATCTAGACAAAAGAAAGCTCGTTAATTTGTTTACAAGTGAAACATACATCCGAAGAAACACCATGATCATGAGTATAACTGACATATTTGTCATCCCAGTACATTGTGCTGATTCTGTATAGCTGCGCTATACTTAGCACCTGAACCAGAAAAAGAAACTTCAATATTCAACACACTATAGTGAGACAGAGTAATGGTTTTATAAGGGAGATGGTATTCATATAGATGATCTTGGTACCGGGCAGATTTCTCTTGTTAGTTCTTCTAAGGTCTTTTCCTGCTTTTTACGAATGACCTGAAGAGAGAGAGAGAGAGAGAGAGAGAGAGAGAGAGAGAGAGAGAGAGAGAGAGAGAGAGAGAGAGAGAGAGAGAGAGAGAGCCAAAGATTAATGCAATGGGAGAGCATAAAGGGAGTGGCACTAAGAATCATACCAGGAAAGAAACAGCCTCCCTGATATGCCTCAACTCATCCCAAGCCGAACCAACATACTGTAACCAAAACGAATTTTGTAAATAAAATGTCTAAGAGGCAATGGTGTGACAACGAAATCAAAGCTTACTTCATCGGTAGCCTCTATACACCACTGTTTTAATTCATCCAAACCTGCTTTAACGTACTCCCCGTTGCTGAATGAGCAACACTCACGACGTAGAAGAAGACTGCAGAGTTTTATTATACAGAAATCTTTCTGTCAAAATTAATCAAGGAAAATCTGATTTGAGAGGGAAGAACAAGGAGAGATTACTAGTGAAACATGCCTGTTGAAAAGCTCAACATTGATGAATGAGAATATTTGTATGTATATTTTGCTGACTAAGAATGGTGGAACCTGTGTCATGTATAAACATAGAATATAATATCATCATGTTGTGTAATTGATAATTTTAACTGAAAGCCCACAACGCAAAAAAGATTTAATCTTTTGTTGTTTTCTAATGGATACACGAGACTCACAATGTTTGCTTTCATTAGAATCAGGTAACTGCTTAGCCTTTCCACAATACTTTGCCAATATGCAGTCAGAGCTTGTTGAGGAAATTTCTTCCTTTGTGCCTGCATCATGCAAACATGTCTTTATACACTAATCCGATGAATTAACGGAAATGAAACCTGAAAACTATATATCGACGTACGGCTAAGTATGTAAATTGATAAACACAAAAAAGCAATAAAGAAACAACCTTTATACATAACTCAAGAAGAGGAGAGATCTCTTTCTTTAGGTTATCTCTGATCATTCCATACATCTTCTCGAGTAATGCAGTAAGCTGCTGCTTGAAAAGTAGTGCGGGGTACTTTGCTTCAACCTCCCTTTGTCTAGACAAAGAAGAGAGTACTACACGACCTCCCATGTATCCCTATTTGGATTGTAAAGAAAGACACACAAAGACATGGACTGATGAGAAGTTGGATAAAGTGTGAGGAATCCAAATAAATAAATAAATGAGATGAGACCTTGAGTGATAGTACACATGCCAATCCAATCATAGATTTGCACGGTATTGTAGCACTTGTGAATCTGCGTTGCAGTAGGCAACGTAACAGGGCCAAATTAGATAACCAATACGCCGAAGTTTGGTTATTATCTGTTGCTACCTGTAAATGAAAAGACAACATTTTTCCAATATTGAATATTCACAATACTTATCAACGATAGTTTTAGATTTTTTAGAAAAAAAATGCTTCTGAACAATGCAGGCAAGAAAGGAATCAGCTCTTACTTCGATAGCTGAAGCTATTGTCTGAATGATAGGGGCAAAGACGCTGGTTACTTGGACTTCAAGGTTTTGTGAGATGCACTTGACTAGTAGTTCCTGATGTTCCTGAGTAACACCAACAGAGTGCAATGCAATACTCAGAAGAACAAATTTACATGAACAAACAAGCATTCTATTTCTTCTATTACAAGTAACACAAAAAGAACATAAATTAATTTGCTGTTGGCACTAGTATATTCATTCCTAGTAACTGTATACACATAAATGATGATCCAATGAGTTAAAACACACACACACACACACACATACCTTTAGAGCCCCCCCTTCTCTCATCACAGCAGGGTTTGCCTCTTCAACGTGCAACCGAGTTGCTTGCAGAGCTTCCTGTTACATTTGTAAGTAATTGAATGAAACAAGAAAATATACGGGTCTCATTTTGAATGTGCAAAACTCAAATCAGAAAAATTCACTTCCTCTTACCGGTTTAGACATTGTTTTCTGTTCTAGTCAACCAGAAGCAAAACCAACATGTAAACGGTCAGAGCAGGGAAAAAAAAGAAACAGTTGATTAGTAACAGTCTCTTCGCAGCAAAACGTAAGGTAGAAACGTAACTGTCAATAAGATTTCAACTTTCTTTGAACAACGAAGCAAGCAAGAAACGGTCAAAAATTTTGTTCAAAAAAAAAAAAAAAAAGAAACGGTCAAAGATAGAATCAACTTACTCTATTAGCTAAAGCTACTGTTTGAAATGAGATACGGTCAAAGACTACAAGTGTCATCTAAAAAAAGATGATAAATTTGCAAATAAGAAACTTTTTTTTTATATAGAAAAGGATCTCAGTATGACAATTGTCCATTCTTCTAGTCAAATGGAAACTTTTCTAAAATTATATAAAGGATTGCATTTCTTTAATCATTTATATTTTTAAATAATAATTAAATTTATTAGATAAAAACAAAATAACTGGAATAAGATTGATTACCTTTCATAAACTAATTTTTGAGAGAAACAATTATGTGTAATCTACCCAATATAGATCTACATTTTTTTCCCCAAAAATTAAATTATATATTTCTCTAAGTATACTGTTTAAAAAGTTGATGATTTTTTTCCAAATGAAAATTTTTTATTTCAAAATATATGGTCAATATAACTCATTTTTCTTATTTTCCTAATTGTTTTTAAAATTGAAATACAATTCTATTTGTTCAAAAACTACAGACTGTTTTCTTCGGTAAAGGACTACTTGCCGTTTTTATTCAATAACACGCACCACACTTTTTTAGACGTCACGCTGACGCACACCACCATCCACACTCTCAGTCACTCGGATTTCTCGACCACCACAACAATTTGGATCATGGCGCTGAAGCAGAGGACTCGACGGAAGATTCAATCGCAGAAATCGATGACTCTCCCAAGATTAGCGAACGCTCTTTGCGGAGATTTTCGACACGTCAGTTGATTAAGGCCACTGGCCGAGAGTACGCGACGATCCACGAAACTCAAAATCGTAAGCAGAATTCTCCTTTTGTTTTTGGAAAAAAACTCCATTTACAAAGGTTTATAGTTTACCCAACAACTAAAGATTACTCTTTTGATGTTTTCCCTAGCTTTATCCTTAAGATGATAATTGATGAAACGAAAGTTGCTATCAATGTCTTTAATTTAATTTTTCAAAATATTAATAACTGTTGAAGGATGTTTTGTCAAATGTCAATTCAAGTTTCAGAAAAATTTAACGAAAATGACAAGATGTTGCGTATGTCGGCCGTCCTTTTCTTTTGATTCTTTGCGAGTACTCTCTTCACACACGTCTTTAAGGTTGACTGTTGAAACAAAAGTAAATGTAACGAAACGACTCATCTCAGAAGTCTATGTCTTTTTGTGGCCACCATTTTCAACGAGTTATAGACCGCATTTAATTGTCCCCACGACTTCTTTGATGGAATTGCATTTTGGATTTGCTTCTTATCTTAAGCTTCCTTTTCATTTGATGGTTTTTAGTTGAAGCAGAAACCGTTCTTTCTCTTTGTATAAGCGACATGAAGCTGTCTCTTTCACTTGCTTTCAGTGCTCTCGTGCTGCTTGAAGTTTCCACGGTGGTCTTTGCTCAAGCCAGGTTGTCAAATGAGACTGACATGAAGGCTTTGCTTGAGTTCAAGTCTCAAGTTGCTGAAAACAAGAGAGAGGTCTTGGCCTCATGGAACAACACTTCTCCACTCTGCGATTGGGTTGGTGTTACATGTGGCCGGAAACAAGAAAGAGTGATAAGTCTGGACCTTGGAGGATTCAAATTGTCCGGTGCGATCTCACCCTCCATTGGTAATCTCTCGTTTCTCAGATTACTCAATCTTGCAGACAACTCTTTTGGTGATACCATCCCTCGTGAGGTGGGGTTGCTGTTTAGGCTTCAGTACTTGAACATGAGCCACAATCTTCTTGAAGGAAGGATTCCCACAAGTCTTCTTAACTGCTCTAGACTGTCGACCCTTGATTTATCGTCAAACCATCTTGGACATGGCGTCCCTTCGGAACTAGGTTCACTCTCTAAGCTTGCTGTTCTGAGTCTTGATAGAAACAACCTTACCGGAAGGTTTCCTGCATCTTTAGGAAACTTGACGTCACTGCGGAAGCTTGACTTTGCTTATAACCTTATGGAAGGAGAGATTCCAGACGATGTAGCTAGATTGACTCAAGTGGTGTTTTTCCAAATATCAGAGAACAGTTTTTCAGGTGTTTTTCCTCCTGCGCTGTACAACATCTCCTCGCTTGAATATCTAGCCCTAGCTGGTAACAGCTTCTCAGGTGAACTTAAAGCTGGTTTTGGCGATCTTCTTCCAAATCTAAGAGAGCTTATTTTGGGAGTAAATCGTTTCACCGGAGCTATTCCCATAACACTTGGCAATATCTCAAACCTTGAAAGGTTCCATATCTCAACTAATAACCTGACAGGAAGTATCCCTTCGAGTTTTGGAAAACTACGTAATCTGCGGGAGCTAGGGATTGGTTTAAACTCTCTGGGAACTAACTCGTTCAGTGATCTTGAATTTATTGGGGCTTTGGCTAACTGCACCCAGTTAGCGTTCTTAGATGCTGGCTACAACAGACTTCAAGGTGAGCTGCCTGCCTCCCTAGCCAATCTGTCCACCAAACTGACTAGCCTGTCCCTTGGAGGAAATCGCATCTCTGGAACAATTCCTCGTGACATTGGGAATCTCATTAGCCTGCAAGAACTCGGTTTAGAAGCAAATTTGTTGACAGGGGAACTTCCAGTCTCTTTTGGAAAGCTTTTGAAATTGCAGGTGCTGGATCTCTATTCAAATGGAATATCGGGGGAGCTACCATCTTATTTTGACAAGATGACTCAGTTGCATAAGATCCATCTGAACAGCAATAGTTTCCACGGAAGAATCCCTAAGAGTATTGGACGTTGCCGAAACTTGCTAGACCTATGGATTGATACGAATAGGTTGAATGGGACTATACCTCGGGAGATACTGCAAATTCCATCCCTTGCTTACATAGATTTGTCAAGCAATCTCTTGTCCGGCACACTTCCGGAAGAAGTTGGAAAGTTAGAGCTTCTTGTTGGACTAGGTGTTAGCAACAACAAGTTATCAGGACACATCCCACAAACTCTAGGGGGTTGTCTCTCGATGGAGTTTCTCTTTCTGCAAGGAAACTCGTTTGACGGAGCATTTCCAGATATAAGTCGGTTGGTAAGCTTAGCAAATGTTGACATCTCCAACAACAATCTCTCTGGCCACATACCTCAATATCTGGCCAATTTTACTGTGCTGCGGAATCTGAATCTCTCTATGAATAACTTCGAGGGAAGGGTGCCAACAACAGGAGTGTTTCGCAATGCTACAGAGGTTTCTGTTTTTGGAAACAAAAATCTATGCGGCGGCATCAGAGAAATGCAGCTAAAGCCATGCATTGTGCACGCATCACCAAGTCCGAGAAAGCCTCTGTCACTTCGAAAGAAAATTGCCAGTGGTGTTGGTATAGGTGTAGCCTCACTTTTGTTGATAATATTTGTGGCTTCTCTGTGTTGGTTCAAGAAGAGGAGTAAGAAGAAGAAGAAGAAGAACGCAAGTGGTAGTAACCTATCTGATTCTACTACTTTGGGGATGTTCTATGAGAAGATTAGTTATCAAGAGCTTTACAATGCAACAAGTGGCTTCTCTTCAAGCAATCTGATTGGTTCAGGCAACTTCGGTAATGTGTTTAAGGGACTGGTTGGCCGTGATGAGAAAATCGTGGCTGTTAAAGTTCTAAACCTCCTGAAGCATGGAGCAACGAAAAGCTTTATGGCGGAATGTGAAACCTTCAAGGGTATAAGGCATCGCAATTTTGTGAAACTGATAACGGTCTGCTCAAGCATCGATTCCGAAGGAAATGATTTCAGGGCTCTGGTCTATGAGTTCATGCCAAAAGGAAGTCTGGATATGTGGCTACAGCCAGATGATCTGGAAAGAGCAAATGAGCACTCGAGAAGCTTAACACCTCCAGAGAAGCTCAACATAGCAATAGATGTGGCATCCGCTCTGGAGTATCTGCATGTTCATTCTCATGAACCTGTAGCTCACTGTGATATTAAGCCAAGCAACGTTCTTCTAGACGATGACCTGACTGCTCATGTTGGTGACTTTGGTTTGGCTCGGCTCCTCTATAAATTCGATCGAGAATCTTTTCTGAACCAGTTTAGTTCAGCCGGTGTGAGAGGCACCATTGGCTATGCCGCACCAGGTGAATAAACATCTATGTGCAAACAAAGTATTGTGAATTCTCCAATCTCATTGTCTTTTGTTTCTTTGAAATATGCGCAGAATATGGAATGGGAGGCCAACCATCAATACAAGGAGATGTGTACAGCTTTGGAATCCTACTACTGGAGATGTTCACTGGAAAGAAACCGACAGACAAATCATTTGCAGGCGATTACCACCTCCACAGCTACGCAAACTCGGTCTTGTCAGGAGATGATGAGGAAGGTGGAGGCGGAAGCAACGTCGTTGATGAGTGGTTGAGACTGGTTTTGCAGGTGGGAATAAGGTGTTCTGAAGAGTATCCAAGGGATAGGATGGGAGTGGCTGAAGCTTTACGCGAATTAATCTCAGTCAGATCCAAGTTCTTCAGTTCCAAGACGACTAATACAGAGCTAAGTCCTCGGGATGCAATGCAAAGTTCTCCTCAGGAATGGATGCTAGATGCGGACATGCATACAGTCGGTTAATAGGTTTTAAAAATTCTACCGAATTGAACCAAAATAACGATGAAAACGTGTCTCTGCTGCTTTTGTTTCATCGAAACAGAACAATGTTGGAAGGAGAGTCCACTGTATATTGAAATTAGGGTGAAATTACTCTCTGTAATTTTACATATCGGTTATTAGGTTTTAAAAATTCTACCGAATTGAACCGAAGTTATTCGTATGTTTGTTTAAGTTCGGTTAAATTTGGTTATTCCGTTTTTTGGTTGGGAATTATAAATAGTGTAGATTTTCGTTTGATACCTTGTTGGTTTAATTTTCTTACGTTTATTTTTCTGAATTAGGATTTTAGAAAGAAAAAAAAGAAATGGAGATTCTATACCGAGAAAAGAAAATTATTGGGAGAATATGTAAATGTCGGTTAGAGATATTAGGAAACTTGTTGGCCAAGTCTGTCTCAGATATATGTGTAAACTCAATAACAGAAACTTTCTAAACCCTAGCCCTAGCCTTTAAAAATAAAATCCTAACATTATTTGATCGTCGTGTCTTTCTTCTTCCTCCTTCTTCTCCTTCGTTGGTAATTGTTAATCATCTATGCAACTTATAAACCCACGCGCACTGATAAGGCTCGCGTTCTTGACTGATTTGATAGAAAAATAATAAAAGCTTAGGGGGTTTATATTGGTTTCGGCTTTGATTGACAGAAAAGAGCACCATGGATAAGTTGGATATCAAACTATTTCGATCAAATCCGGAGATCTTCCTAGAAAATCAGCGCCGGAGATTTGCCAGCATTGAAATCGTTGATGAGATCACTGAGCTCGACAAAGAATGGCGTCAGCGTAAGTATCCCCTCGATTCCAAAGGAAATGATTACTATATAACGTATTACGTAACCACAAGTTCGAGTAATGTGATTATAACATTCTTCTCTTATAGAATATGACGTTTCAGTCCTGTGATATTGTTGTAGACTGTTTAAGAGGCTGTCAATAAACCATTTTCATTCATACGGGTTAGAATCAAATAAAACGATGGAAGAAACCAGCTAACAATCATATTAACAAATATTTGATGTGCAACTGCAACCTACATAAATAATTTCAAGAGAAATCTTTCTTTTTTTTAAAAACCTATATTAAGTTATAGTGATAACAAACTATAGTTTCCTTCATTACAATTTCCCAAAAAGGGTTACAAAGACTCACCCAAACCAACAAATACATGATTGACTAAAAACAAACAAAAATACTTATATGGCTTACACGATGTAGTTATATGGAGACTTACGATGCACTGCCTTCTTTACGTGTGAGTAAGAATCCGAAACCCGAGTTTTCACGGATCAGTTGAGGAGGTTCAATGTCATTTACATCCACTTGTTGCATTGACTTTGATATGTCTTCCACCGTGAATGGAACGCTGCGTTTTTGGTTGATTCATTGGGTTAGTTGACAAATGGGGAAGGGTACAAGAGAGTTTGAACACAATATTATTTCAGCTTTACCTCGAGTCATCGTCAAAAAGGAAAGAGTTGCTTACGTCGTTGTTCGAGTCCTCTGTCATCATGACCCTCATATCTGCAATAACCTGTGTTTTGGGTGGGAAAACACAATCAATACTATATCTAGACAAAGAAAGATCAGTTTATTTACAAGAGAATCATACATCCGAAGAAACACTATGAGTGCCATATTTGTCATCCCAGTACATCGTGCTGATTCTGTATAGCTGCTGTATACTTAGCACCTGAACCATAAAAGTATTCTTCAGTGTTCAACTCACGAGGGAGAAAAGAGGAATATGACACTGAGTAGAAGAGAGTGAATACCGGACAAATCTCTCTTGTTATTTCGTCCAATGTCTTTTCCGGCTTTTGATGAATGACCTGAACAAAGAGCCAAAACAAGCAAAAGTTCACATGCAAACAATGTAATGGTGGAGCATAAAAGGAGTGGCTTAGCACTCGACTAAGAACTATACCAGGAAACCAACTGCCTGCCTGATATGCCTCAACTCATCCCAAGCTGAGCCAGCATACTGTTATAATATGACACAAATTAATCAAAAGTTGTGGAAAATGTCTAAGCAAATGTTAATAGGCAAAGCGTGACAAAACCGTGGCTCACTTCATCAGTAGCCTCTACACACCACTGCTCTAATTCAGCCAAACCTGCTTTAACGTACTCCCCGTTGCTGAATGAGCAACACTCACGACGTAGAAGAAGACTGCAGAGTTTTATTACAGAGGACATCCTTCTGTTAACCAAGGAAAAGCTGGTTTGAAAGAAAACAAACAGGAGAGATTACAAGTGAAACATGCCTGTTGAATAGCTGAACTTTGATGAAGAAGAATATCTGTGTGAATATTTTGCGAACTAAGAAGGGTGCAGCCTACATCATGTGAACATTGAAAGTAATCAACATTGCCAAAAAAAAAAAGTGTTGAATTTCACTTTTTGTTATTTTTTCTAAAGGAAGTAGATACTCACGATGTTTGCTTTCATTAGATTCAAGTAAGTGTTCATGATTTTTCTAATACTTTGCCAATGGGTAATCAGAGCTTGTTGAGCAACAGCATTTGCTTGTGCTCTCCCTTTCACCAAACTTGCCCTTGATGTCCTTGATGCCTGTTTAATGCAAACATGCCCTTACATAAAGCGAGATATTAATGAAATTAAAGCTAAAAATTAATGCTCAAGCAGTGATAGTTATAACATAACAAAAGCGACAACGAAATTACCAGTATACATAACCCAAGAAGAGGAGAGATATCTTTCTTTAGGTTATCTCTGATCATTCCATATATCTTCTCGAGGAATGCAGTAAGCTGCTGCTTGAAAAGTAGTGCGGGGTACTTTGCTTCAACTTGCCTCAAGTCGTCAAGCTTGGCGAGCCCTTGTCTATTCAGAAAAGAGAGCCCAGCACCTTGAGGAGATCCCCTTAATCCCTATTTCCAATTTTTGAAATAGGCACACAAGATGAGTTGAGACTGCACACCAAGGAAGATCAAGGAAACTTAGAAAAACAGATAGATTCCCAGCTTCTTACTTGTGACATCCTTCCAAATAGGGATGCTGATGTTGTTCTTCGTCTCTGTGGTGTTAAACTAGCTGCTCCAGCTTCTTTGAATGTGCGTTGCAGAAGCAATAATAGTGTGGCTGAATTAGATAACCAATACGCTAGAACCTCATTATTATCTGGGACCTGTATGGAAGACAACATTTCCAAGTGGTATTCAAAAGCTTGTCAACGTTTGGGCTTTGGAACATGTTGAAAAATGAAGCAAGAAAGAACAAACTTACCTCAATGGCCGAAGCTATTGTCTGAATGATACGGTCAAAGACGCTGGTTCTTTCGACTTCAAATGATCTCCAGTGAAGGAGACATTTGTATATGACACATGCAGCAACAGGCTTTCCCCCAGCATATCCTAGGTTTTGTGAGATACATTTGACTAGTAGATCTTGGTTTTCCTGAATAAACACAAAGATTATAACAAATGTTAAGAGAGAAGCAGAGTGCAAATACTGCAAGAACCCCACCATTACAATTAGTACAAGAAAATTCAGATACATGCAGAATAGATACCTGCTGCTTTTCATTCAGAGATTTCTGTGGTTTCTCCTCAGACTCTGGTTCCCGACCAGCAAGAGACAAGTCCTGTGACATTTATAGACGATAAGCATTTAAAGAAACAAGAAAGTACCCTGGTCTATTTGAACGTGCAAATTTAATCAGAAAAATATCAGTTCCTCTTACCGGTGTAGTCTTTGTTTCTTCATTAAGAAGGCTTCCATTCTCTGGAGTGACCTAAACATTGAGAAGAAAAGATTACATGAACAAACAGGCTTTCTTGTATTAATATGTAAAGAAGAAAAAGAATTCATATGTTGTTGGCACCGGTAAAAGCATTGTTTCTGAAAGCGTGGGCATAGATCTGCTGGTTAGAGATATAGCAAGAATCTGTTGACGGAGGTCTTGAATCTCTGACTCTGAATTGCAAAGCTTCTCTTCTAGTCTGAGACCAGAAGCAAATTCAACATGTAAAAGTCCAGTACAGAGGAGACACAGCTATAACTTTATTAACCAACCGTGAAAAAAATAACAATGACTAAGCAAGAGACTCTTCGCATTATCAAACGTTATAAACAAAACGAAACAGTCAAATGTATAATAGATAGACAAAGTTCAACGAACATGAGCAATTAGAATATGTTATTTATTTGTTGATCCCTCATCGATATAATTTACGAACCTTTGTACTGATTCATGAAGCCGATCTGCTTTTCGCGTAGCATTTTCAAGTTCTGTGGCCAGCTCTGAATTTCTAGCCTCTGCCTCTGAGAAAGTTTTTCTCAAGCCTTCTGCAGCTTGTCGTTCAGATTGAAGCGAAGCCTGTAACAAAACAAGATTTAAACTATCACACCAGCTTACGACACTAAGAGCCTAACCAGCATAGATCGACCAACTTTGATGGTGAATATACAAAAGATGATCTAATAACTTTGAAAAACACATACCTTTAGAGTCTCCACCTCTGAGGTTAATAAATTCATTCTTTCAGTATCCTCAACCAATACTGGAGTCTCCTTGATGACTGGAGGTGCTTCTTCGATAGCTTCTTCAACGTTTGGGATTTGGAACATGTTGAAAAAATGAAGCAAGAAAGAACCAATTTACCTCAATGGCAGAAGCTATTGTTTGAATGATACGGTCAAAGACGCTGGTTCTCTGAACAATGACAAGTAAAGATTACATGAACAAACAGGCTTTCTTGTATAAGTATGTAAAGAAGAAAAAGAATTCATATGTTGTTGGCATAGATAACAATGACTAAGTAAGAGAGTCGGTTGTCCAAAAAAAAAAAATAGACTTAGTAAGATTCTCTTCGCAGCATCAAAAGTTATAAACAAAACGAAAATAGTCAAATGTATACAGACAAATTCAACAAACAAGAGCAATTAGAATATGTTCTTTTTTGCTGATCCTTTATCGATATAATTTACGAACCTTTGTACCGATTCATGAAGCTGATCAGCTTTTGTCGTTTACTTTGGGGATGTTCGTGTTCAATGAGAAGATTAGTTACGAAGAGCTTCATACTGCAACAAGTGGCTTCTCTTCAAGTAATCTCATTGATTCAGGCAGCTTTGGTAATGTGTTTAAAGGATTGCTTGGCCGTGATGATATGGCGGAAATGTCAAAACCTTCAAAAGGGTATACGGCATCGTAACCTTGCGAAACTGATTACAATTTGCTAAAGCCTCGATTCCAAAGGACATGATTACTAGTATGATGTAGCATTATGTAACCACAAGTTCAAGTAATGTGATTATAACATTCCTCTGTTATAGAATATTACGTTTCAGTCCTGTGATATTGTTGTAGACTGTTTAAGAGGCTATCAAAAAAACCATTTTCATTCATTCGGGTTAGAATCAAATGAACAATGGAAGAGACCAACTAACAATCACATTAACAAATATTTGATGTGCAACTGCAACCTATATAAATAATTTCAAGAGAAAACTTAAAAAAAAAAAAAACCTATATTAATTATAGTGATAACAAACTCTAGTTTCCTTCATGACAAATTTCCCAAAAAGGGTTACAAAGACTCACCCAAACCAACAAATACATGATTGACTAAAAACAAACAAAAACACTCTCCTCCCCTCTCTGGGCAGGAAAGCATCAAACACACCTAAGCCTTTTCTATGACAAAACCAACTGTAAAAAACAAATAACCCCTGCGAGTTGCCATAACAAGAGGGATGCAAAGAATAAAATGAACTCGGCCTTTCCACAAATACAAAGGCCAGAGACTTAACCCCAAATCAAAGAAGAAAGAATGGAAACAGAAAAGAAAAAGAAAAATGGAAGATAATATACACAAAATGCCCAAAGGTATGCAGTGGCTCACACGATGTATTTATATGTATATGCAGCAGAAACAATCGTCTTTGGTGGACACTTACGATGCACTGCCTTCTTTACGTGTGAGTAAGAATCCGAAACCCGAATTTTCACGGATCAGCTGAGGAGGTTCAATGTCATTTACATCCACTTGTTGCATTGACTTTGATATGTCTTCCACCGTGAATGGAATGCTGCGTTTTTGGTTGATTCCTTGAGTTAGTTGACGAATAGGGAAGGGTACAAGAGAGTTTGAGCACAATATTATTCCAGCTTTACCTCGAGTCATCGTCTAAAAGGAAAGAGCTGCTTACGGCGTTGTTTGAGTCCTCTGTCATCATAACCCTCATATTTGCAATAACCTGTGGTTTTGGGAGAAAAAAAAAAACACAATCAATACCATATCTAGACAAAGAAAGCTCAGTTTATTTACAAGAGAATCATACATCCGAAGAAACACTATGAGTGCCATATTTGTCATCCCAGTACATCGTACTGATTCTGTATAGCTGCTGTATACTTAGCACCTGAACCAGAAAAGTATTCTTCAGTGTTCAACTCATGAGGGAGAAAAGAGGGAGGATTTCACCGAGTAGAAGAGAGTATTACCGGACAGAGTTCTCTTGTTATTTCGTCCAATGTCTTTTTCGGCTTTTGATGAATCACCTGAACAAAGAGCCAAAACAAGCAAAAGTTCACATGCAAACAATGTAATGAAAGCATCAAAGAAGTGGCTTAGCATTCGACTAAGGATTATACCAGGAAACCAACTGCCTGCCTGATATGCTTTAAGTCATCCCAAGCTGAGCCAGCATACTGTTATAATATTAAACATTTTAATCAAAAGTTGTAAAAAATGTTTAAGCAAATGTTAATAGGCAAAGTGTGACAAAGTCGTGGCTCACTTCATCAGTAGCCTCTACACACCACTGTTCCAATTCAGCCAAACCTGCTTTAACGTACTCCCCGTTGCTGAATGAGCAACACTCACGACGTAGAAGTAGACTGCACAATACAGAGAAATTCTTCTGTCAACCAAGGAAAAACTGGATTGAGAGAAAATAGAACGAGAGATTACAAGTGAAACATGCCTGTTGAAAAGCTGAACGTTGATGAAGGAGAATATCTGTGCGAATACTTTGCGGACTAAGAAGGGTGCAGCCTGCATCATGTAAACATTGAATGTAATCAACATTGCATTAAAAAAAAGTTTTGAAGTTTCACTTTTTGTTATTTTTTCTAATGAAAGTACAGACTCACGTTGTTTGCCTTCATTAGATTCAAGTAAGTGTTCAGGCTTTTCCTAATACTTTGCCAATGGGCAATCAGAGCTTGTTGAGCAACAGCATTTGCTTGTGCTCTCCCTTTCACCAAACTTGCCCTTGATGTCCTTGGTGCCTGTTTGATCATGTAACCATACCCTTACATAAATCGATAAATTACTGAAATTTAAGCTAAAAATTAATGGTCAAGCAGTGAAATTAATAACATCTGTTCCCAGAAACCGTATGAACACAAAAGCAACAACGAAAGTACCTGTATACATAACCCAAGAAGAGGAGAGATCTCTTTCTTTAGATTATCTCTGATCATTCCATATATCTTCTCGAGGAATGCAGTAAGCTGCTGCTTGAAAAGTAGTGCGGGGTACTTTGCTTCAACTTGCCTCAAGTCGTCAAGCTTGGTGAGCCCTTGTCTATTCAGAAAAGAGAGCCCAGCACTTTGAGGAGATCCCCTTAACCCCTATTTCAAATTTGAAAGAAGTCCACAAAATGATTTGAGGCTGCACACCAAGGCAGATCAAGGAAACTTGGAAAAACAAATAGATTCCCAGCTTCTTACTTGTGACATCCTTCCAAATAAGGATGCCGATGTTGTTCTTCGTCTCTGTGGTGTTAAACTAGCTGCTCCAGTTGCTTTGAGCGTGCGTTGCAGAAGCAATAATAGTGTGGCTGAATTAGATAACCAATACGCCAGAACCTCATTATTATCTGGGACCTGTATGGAAGACAACATTTCCAAATGGTGTTCAACGTTTGGGTTTTGGAACATGTTGAAATGGTACACAAATGCTTCTGAGAAAGGAAGCAAGAAAGAACCAACTTACCTCAATGGCCGAAGCTATTGTTTGAATGATACGGTCAAAGACGCTGGTTCTTTCGACTTCAAATGATCTCCAGTGAAGTAGACATTTGTATATGACACACGCAGCAACAGGCTTTCCCCCAGCATATCCTAGGTTTTGTGAGATACACTTGACTAGTAGATCTTGATTTTCCTGAATAACGCAAAGATTATAACATATGTTAAGAGAAAAGCAGATTGCCATTAGTACAAGAGATTCATGAATGTAATACATGCAGAATAGATACCTGCTGCTTTTCATTCAGATATTTCTGTGGTTTCTCCTCAGACTCTGGTTCCCGTACAGCAAGAGACAAGTCCTGTGACATTTATAGACGATAAGCAATTGAAGAAACAAGAAAGTGTACAGGTCAAACGTACAAATTTAATCAGAAAAACAAAAAAATAAACTTCCTCTTACCGGTGTACTCTTTGTTTCTCCATTAAGAAGATTACCATTTTCTGGAGTTCTCTGAATATTGAGAAGAAAATATTACATGAACAAACAGGCCTTCTTGTATATATATGTAAAGAAGAAAAAGAATTCATATGTTGTTGGCACCGGTAAAAGCAATGTTTTTGATCGCGTGGGCATAGATCTGCTGGTTGGAGATATAGCAAGAGCCTGTTGACGGAGAACTTGAATCTCTGACTCTGAATTTGAAAGCTTCTCTTCTAGTCTGAAACCAGAAGCAAATTCAACATGTAAAAGTCCAGAACAGAAGAGACACAGTTATAACATATATAATCAACCCACAAGGATAACAATGACTTAGTAATAGTCTCTTCGTAGTAATCAAAACTTACAAACAAAACGATACAGTCAAAATGTAAATATAGACAAAGTTCAACAAACATGAGCAATTAGAATATGTTTTTTTTTCCTGTTGATCCTTCATCGATATAATTTACTAACCTTTGTACTGATTCATGAAGCTGATCTGCTTTCCTCGTAGCATTTTCAAGTTCTGTGGCCAGCTCTGAATTTCTAGCCTCTGCCTCTGAGAAAGCTTTTCTCAAGCCTTCTGCAGCTTGTCGTTCAGACTGAAGTGAAGCCTGTAAGAAAATATGATTTTAGCTAACACATCCAAATTACGAGATTAAGTGCCTTGTCAGCATACATCTACCAATTTTGATACTGAATACACAAAAGATGATCTGATAATTAAAAGACAGATACCTTTAGAGCCTCCACCTCTGATGTTAATGAATTGATTTTTTCAGTATCCTCAACCAATACTGGAGTCTCCTTAATGACTGGAGGTGCTTCTTCGATAGCTTTCCTTGCAGCCTCCCGTTCTCTAACCACAGCAGCGTTTGCTTCTTCAACTTGCAACCGCATAGCTTGTAAAGCCTCCTGTTGTTTTGCATATTCTTGGGCTTTCGCTTCTTCCAGCTCAGTCTATATGACAGGGGATTATCAATAACAGTGTAAGCAAAGCATGTTATAATGCTAGTGGATGGAAATGAACTTACTCTCTGTCGCTTCTCTAGCTGTAAACGCCATGTTAATTCTTCAACACGCTTCTCGAGTTTGTCTTTCGCCTCTCTAAGGGCTCCTGTGTCTCGTGCAGCCTGGTTCAATTAATTATAAACGTAAAAACCTGACCGTTTCATGAAAATGTGAAAACTTAGCGGCAATTCAATACAAATAAAAGATAAGAACCATTTTAAGAGTCCTCAATTCTTTTCGTGCAACCCTGCTCCTCCAGCCACATTGCGTAGAAAGCGCAGCTTTCTGGAGTTTCTTGTAGTAAGAATGTGCCACGTGACTACGAAGACGAGCCTAAAATTTAAAAGGAATAAACCATCAGGTTTTGCAAATTGACGATCCATGGTCTCTTATTTTCTCACTTAAGTAAACAAGAATAACCGGAAGGTGATTCTTAGTAATCACCTGAATAATAGTAGCAGCCTTCATTTGCTTTCTTAATCTGAACTCATTGCGAGCGACCATTCCCCTTAGTGCTGTTTGAACTGTTATTGCTGAATGTCTAATTCTCAAATAAGATTCTCTGGCAATGTGTCTTCTGAAACTCTTCTGGATCTTCACCGCTGCTGCTTGGCGTCTCATTTCCTCATAAAGGTTGCACGCCAATATGCCTTGCATTCAATAAAAAACGGTTTCAGAATCTCATTCCTCCAAGAGTAACACAAAAACAAAAGCCACATGGACACTATTTATACTAACTTAGTACAAACACATGGACTACACACAGAAGCAAGTAAAACTCTGGATCCAATATGTTGGACAACCACAACAAATGGGAACAAAAAGAGAAGAGCAAATACGATACCTCGGCAGTTGGACTGCAATACGATGGCAGCTCCACGTAGAGCACGGAATTCTCTACGGGCAATATAAGTACGGACTTGTCTTTGCATTCTCCTAGCGGCATTTCCAAGAACCTCTGCTCTTCTTGCATCTAACTCAGCCATCTGCCCAGCTCTAAGGAATACTTTTGTTTTCCCTAACTGCAAGTGGCAGCAGCATGTTGGATGAATAAGACATAACTCCTAGAACCACCATAAACGAACCATCACATAACGCAGTTACCAATGACTTACTTCATAGCCCTTTAAGCCTATCTTATCCAGAAGCATTTTGCATGCAACTTTGTCGTCATAACTGCACAGTAAATAGGAATCATTAGATAGAGCGGAAAACGTACAAGGCATGTTTTATAGAAAAGCACTGCAGGAAACAATCATTTCAGCTGCAACTTACTTTCCCTCCAGAACATCCGGAGCAAGAACACCGAAACGATTGAGAAACTCATAAAATGTCCGCTTTGTAGGATAACCAGCACAGCTGATTCTAATAGCTTCCAGAACACCCTTCACAAAAGTAAGACAAAATTAAACTTGTAAGTTTTAATAACCAAAAGTGCATCAACTATAGATACTGCCGAACAGACAAAAATATTATAGAAGGTTCCGATTGTACTTACACCACACCGTAATTGTTGAATTACGTTCACATTCTCGAAAATAGCAGGCTTAAGTACATTATTTGGCTTCACACATCTGATGTAGTGAGGTTCAGTTGAACTTAGTGTCTCCATCAAAGACTGAAGTTGAAGCTGGAATTTGTGATAGAGTATTCTTTGTTAGAACAGATAAAAACATCTTTAGCACTTTGAGCTAGAGTTGCAGCTACATAATGTCAGAAATCATAACTCATCTCCAACATGTGTTAAACTTGAAAGCCATGGAATAAAAATAATAATTACAAAGTCAAAGTGAATGAAAGAAACAAGTTACTGGTGTCTGAGTCAATGAAAAGGCTGCTCTATCTATCACACTCAGGACGTAAATAATATTATAGATGTATCCACTATATACAAACCATTCATGACTACGGAAAAAAACTCTAGTTCCTTAAGTATCTATTGAATTGGAGAATATAACATAGCAGATTCAGAAAAACAAAGCTTCTAAGAAGAGAAGAGAGGAAACATTTTCCAAAGAGGAAAAATTAATTACTAATCACCATACCTTAAAGCGTGACCCGATGGAAGAAAATTTGGTTTTACTTGATGTTTCTTCTGCTAGGCGTGGAAACAGACCAGCTACGAAAGTACAACTGGAAGCGATCAAAAGATCCTGATGTTCTGCCACCACATAATCTTTGTTCTTGTCCAGGAACAAGTCAGCCTGATAAGTTACCTGTTTCAGTAGGAAAGAGAGGATGTTAACATGAAGAATATCTAAACTTGTCATACGCATGTGAAAGGATGTTTTACCTCTCCAGCATAATGCGATATTGCAAAGCTGGTCCGAGATAGCTTTGGTTTGGTGAACCGTTTACTGTTTTTGAACGTTTGATACAGCTTCTGAGCAAATGTTTCATGCGTCGACTTTGGAAACATACTGCAAAAGAATCGAACATCCATTATATACTTGATCTCAGTCAAATTAAGTAAAGAAGCGTCTCTATCAGAGCCGTAGAAGGTTTTTTAGTCATATGCACAAACTGAAACAGCTTCGTCTAAAGAGTCAAGCAGCCTACCATGCTTCGTCTAGAAGTGCAATGACTCCTCCAGGTTTCTGTACGAGCAAGTCACATACACACATACGTGTCAAGAAGGATGAGTTAGTTGTAAACTATCACACAAGAAAACGTTGAGAATGCAATTAAATAAAAAAATCAGGACACCTTCTCAATGAGTTCCAACACATCCTTGTTATCAACAAATTCTATGTAACTCCAATTGATCTCCTCTTTGGTATAATCTTCTTGTTCCATTTTGAAGACGTGCTGCGAAAATATAATTATTGTACGTCAAAGCTAAGTAGGGAGAGAAAAAGATATTCGGAAACTACTGGGTAAGAGAACAACAGACCTGGTTGAAATGTTGTTGCAGCTTTTCATTGGTAAAATTGATGCAAAACTGCTCAAAGCTGAAAAAAAAATCCAAGAAACTCAATACAGCCTTTAACACTATATTACATAAGAAGAAATAATTCTGCAAGCTGCAAAATTTACCTGTTGACCTTAAAGCTTTCAAACCCATAGATATCAAGAACACCAATTATTGTCTTAGAGTTTGGATCTTGCCCGATGGAATTGTTAATTTTATCAACAAGCCTGTAAAAAACAGAATATGGGTGAAATATAGATCTGTCCTCAATAGAAGAGTGAACTTAGCGAAACACACAGAGACAAAATAATACATAAGAGCCTGCAAATTTTAAAGAGGGAAAGATTCTTTGTGTACCAATCAAACAAGCGTGAGTAGATGGTTTTTGCTAACGCATCCCTGCTACCCGTGGCTGAATCAGGATCAAGTGTTCTTGTAATAACCTCTTCTGGTGTCACCATTACACGTTTAATCAATGCATCTTCCAAACTCTTTGCATCACACCTTTTTGAGAGAAGTGAGTCCAGTATCAAAGATGTAAAAAAAAAGAAACAAAAAATAGAAATCAAGATTTAAACAAGTAAGCAGCACATACCTAAGAAGCTCAGCAGTCGCATCCAGATGAAATCTTGACTTGTCATCCTTCAAAACTGAGGAGTCAATCTCTTTTCCTTTTGCAAAATTGACATTTCCTAGATGCAGGATTGCAGCAACAACTCTAAAAATCGCATCCTGGTAGCAATTATCAGAGCAATCAACAAGATGCTCTACCATAGAAATCATTTCTTTGTTGGAAAAAAATGAGCAAATGGGAGACTGACCTGTTCCTCTTCACTGATGCCAACAATATCCATAGCTCGTCGGGTAGCCAGATATTCCTCGGTGTCATCCACACCATCCAGTTTATAGCATTTCGATTGATTGAGGTAGTGGAATGACTTAGGATCTCCCAACTTAAACTTTTCTCTGTCCTACAATCCCCAATCAAATTATTCATGAGGTATAAAGCAGAACGCCTCACAGTAAGGTTTATTGGTGTCATAGTGCAGTACCTCAGGTGGGGCAGCACATAAAAGGTAAAAGCAGTGGTAATTTCTTTCTGGATCTGATATTTGACACACTCGAGACCTTTCCAACAGATATGTTCGGACAGCCGCTCCAGATATTCTCCCACTTTTGTCAAACTGAAGCTCGACAAACTTTCCAAATCGACTGCATTTTTATTGAAAGACAAAGTTACAATGAAGCTTTTCTAAAGCATTTTAAGAGAAGATTTGTAGGAAAAAAAAAACCCTCAGTGAACATATGGATACCTGGAGTTGTTATTCCTGAGAGTTTTGGCGTTTCCAAAAGCTTCAAGAACTGGATTTGACTGTATACCAACAACAAAACCAAAATAGTTAATCAAGCTAGCATTACAAGCCTCTCTGTAAATATATCAATACAGTACCAAACACAGATTTGTGACGCCTCACCTCCAGAACTTGCTGCTCCACTGTTCTTCCTTCAACGCCGGATCGACCTCCAAGGTAAGCAAGGTAGCGCATAAGCATCTTTGTGGTCTCTGTTTTACCAGCGCCACTTTCCCCACTAACCAGAATTGAGTTGCTCTTGCCCTCGTTGATCATCGCCCTACCCAGAGAAGCAATAGTCTAGCATGAGAACATGTACAGGAGAATTTCTGCTAGTAGAATCATTGATTGGTCCTAGTTACCTGTAAGCAACTTCTGCAATTGCAAACACATGGGGGCTCAATTCCCCAAAACCTGCTCCTTTATACTGCTCCATCATATGAGTATCATAGAGATGTGGTAACCTTTGAAACGGATTTACAGCAATCAAGATGTTTCCTGTATAAGTCTGCAAACACAATTAATGGAAGTACTTAATAAATATGTGATTTCGTTACTACTCAGCGCAGAAAATGCATAATAACTTACATAAATTTCATTCAGCTCATATCTCATGGCCAAGTTATTCAAAACACCTGGTTCATGTAGATATGAGAGCTTTGTCATGTCATCAACACCCCCAGGGGGTGCCTCTGTGTCCTTTGGAAATACGTTGGTGATTTTGGCCACCACCTGAAATTAAATTTCATTGGCTGATTAAGACAATATCTGGTTTCAAAGGCAAACAGACAACCTAAGCAGGAAATATCCTATCCAGTGACATTCTTTCTGAAAGGGAAAACTTTCATGCAAAAACATCGTAGGAGGATAGACAACTTACAGTCTTCCCGGCTGTGGTCTGTACATGAGCTTCTTCGCCATTGATTTTGACAACTTCTCCATCAATCCATGCCACTCCTGGATCTTCAATCCAAACATGAGAACCAACTATTATATTGACTGGGGCAACCTACAGGATATAAAGACTGAACTTGTGAGGTATACAGACTTCAATAACCTCACACAAGCTGTTCATATGTTAATAGATTCTTGGGTGGTTAAAACTCCGAGACAAAGTTGTTGTTGTAAATCACTTGAAAGAAAGCTTTTCAAGATTTGTGTATCAGTGAGGAGCAGAGGCCTATCAGGATTTGTAATGTTAATTTCCCCATGAATAAGCAATAGAGTAGGAAACAAGAAGAAGTATGCTTAAGTATAGTATAACATATACAAGAATCCATCATTATATCATGTAAGAATACAACTTATACAAGAAGCATAAGAACAAATTCAGATTGATATGGCAAATTTCAAAGGAGAACAGCAGAAAGGTGCTAGTTTAGGTCCACTGTCCTAACAATATCTTCAGCCTCGAATAGTAAGACAATCTGATAGAGGCTTATATCATATATGACCCCATTACGACATGCTATCTTTGGGAGGTAAACTAATAATAGAAGCTAAAAACATATCTAAAATTATGAGTGCCGCTAAGTAAAAGTTATAGCCAAATTCTCTTATACAACTTGGACTTTACCTGCAAATAACACTTTGTATTGTTTCCCAAAAAAATTAAACTCAACTTCTCTAATATGCAATTTAAATAGTATTCCCGATATTCTTCACTTCCCAACAAGGATCAAAGTTGCACAACCCTTACGCTCTTGCGACATTTCCCAGTAGGATAAAATCTAAAGAGCATTCGACTAAGAATTAAGAGAAGGAACTAGGGATTGACAAACGAGACACGAAACACAAATCTCAAGCAAAGATCTCTCTACCAACCAAACACCAAATCAAAAAGAACCAGGAAACTGTCGTAGATCAATCAGCTTACTTGTTCGAATCCAATAAACCAATAAACAGAACCGAAATAAAGCAATCAAAAAACGAATAGGTCGCCATGATTGATTACCATGGCTACTCGTCTTCCAAATAGATCCTCTCTTTGCCACTAACTCATCCAAGATAGGCAGGCCGAGTTTGCAGAACGCCGACTCAGCGAGTCAGGCAGCTGGGCGAGTCAGATCGGGCAGATTCTAGGTTGGTGGTCTGAAAATTCTCCTGGGAGTCAGCACAGCAGACACGGGAAAATCGAGGAGATCGGTGACGGTAATATATTAGACAACGACAAACAGATAGCAGATTTTTTTTAACTTTCTGAAGTTGAATCGGAATGTTTTTTTTTTCTCTCTCTCTCTCTCTAGAAAGCTGATGGTGAAGAAGAAGCTGGACTTGGCCTTCTTGCAGACGTCTATGGCTTTTTCTCTCTCCTCGAGCAATGTTTTCTTTTGAGCTGTGTCATTCTCTCTCTCTCTAACACTTTTTTTTGTTTAATTAATGTATTTTTCCGAAAACAAATTAAAATTTTTAATTTTTTTGGTGCTTGAGAATTGAGATTGGTCAAGTGGGGTCCACTTAGACATAGGGACGGTGAGAGAGAGAGGTGGATCGGGTTGGACATTCGTGGTCAGCCACCCACACACACTCGAATATGTAAGAAGCAGACAACGAAGACGAGAGAGTGTTGGTAAATAAATAAAACTACACTTTTTGTCCCTGCCCTTTGACTTGCTGATTTTTACACTTGTATACCCTTTTCTCTCCAAAATAGTCTTTTAATTTGAGGAAATTATGGCTAATTTGTCCTTAATTCTTTACTCTATTTAATAGCTTTCGTTTGAGGACGGAGTTGGTTTTTGAGAAGTGAAAATATTATAGTATATAGTTTGATAAGCTTTTCCATTTTGAACTTTCTTCACTTGTGAATAACGTCTAAACTTTAAAGTGTTTTGACTCTTATTTCTATGAATTTGTTACGAACGAATATTAATTTAGTTCCGGGATGATGTGTGATTAGTCTCTAAATTACTTGTTTTCGTTTTCCACGCTAGATGTTGATGTTAAGACTTCTAATACCCGCGTTAATTATCTTCAAAATATTGCAATAGGTAATATGTTAAGTTTTGATGGTCCACGAGCTTTTAAGTTAAGGTTTTCGAGTGATGTAACAATAATAGTCAGAGCAATTGATGAAATATCAGTTCGTTGCTAAAAACGGTCACTGTAACATTTGAGCCAGCGTGTAATGTAAGTATGTAACTAATTCGTTTATATATATCAAATCACAACTCATTTTTGTTATAGTCGGAAATGTAAAATAATTAGTCGTCAGGTAAATATGAACACTAAAAAGTTGTGTATTCAACTCAAGATTAAATATTACAAGAAATCTATAATAGTTTTAAGGAACAGCGAATTAATGGGTTTGTAATTAGGAAAATAGCAACTAGCATACGGGATATCAATTATATTTGGCATATCAAATTATTGGCCGTGTCGATAGGGAGAGGATTTAAGATATGTGTGAAAGCGCAAGTAGTGAAAATGATTATGGCTACAAAGATTCTTTTAACTGTTGTTTATTAATAAAGTAACTAGATTGCTAGTATATTGCAATATAATTAGATGCAAAGTATATCCAAAACATTATTCATTGACCGACGCACAACCTCCATTGCCTTGCTGATTCAAAGGCTATATACAGCAAATATCTTTTCACAATTCTGAAACAATCACACCTACGAGCATTAGCATATGATCCTTGCATGCTCCTTCAACCCTCTAAAAGTTCCTGCTACTGCAAAAGTATTATTTTGAAGAATTGTATCATAAAAGACCATTAAAGCTCAAAAGTTGATTAATGACTAACAACATACCATAAGACATACATACAGATTGGCCAAAATAATCATCATTTTTTCTTCAACTACATGCAGAGGGGTCAAATTGATTCCGGTCTGTTTATACAGAAGCGAAATTGCAATGTCCTTAATATGTAAAGCGAGGCAAAGAAACCGAGTAGCATTAAGGTTTGACCGGTCCGGGTCGGATTAACTAGATTGAATTATGGTTAAGAGCAAAATTAACTAGATTGAATATTTATTAGCCGGTCCGGGTTGGATTAGGTTGGATCCGGGTTAATCATCACTACTTACAATACAAGTTTACACATCTACTATAGTTTCGACTTTCGATCCTGCAAATCTGAGCGAGAAGAAGCCATGACAATGATCAGAGCTATCGCGATGGCGATGTTACTCGCCACACTAGTTTCATCCATCTCTATGGTTTCATCCGCTTCATCCCCAGAAGCCGAGTTTGTTAAGAAGACCATCTCTTCCCACAAGATCGTCATCTTCTCCAAATCCTACTGCCCGTACGTCTTCCTCTCTCTCCCTCTCTCTGTCTCCTCATTTCTAATCACTGATCGCCCGATTTGCAGAAGAAAACAAAATTGAATCGTATTGGTGCCTTCAATTTGCGTTTTTTTGTTTCTAGATCTTATCCATTGAAACTTGACTGAATACTCTCATTGTACTATTCTTACTTGGCCGAAAACGCTCCACATTGAATTTATCAGTTTGTGTCGAGCTTGAATCTAATGAAATTCGTCTTCATGAATCATGGTTTATACTTGATGTTGAGCTAGATCATATATGTGGGAATCAAATTGGATATTTGTTATTGACATTTGAGAGCTCAGTTATGTGTTGTGAGATCACGTACCTTATAATATATATGACTATGAATCCTTGGTTGTTGGGTCAACAACAGGTATTGCAAGAGAGCAAAATCTGTGTTCAGAGAGCTTGATCAGGTTCCTTATGTTGTGGAGCTTGACGAAAGAGGTGCGTTTTAAGATTCAAGTGAATCATCCAACCATGTTTCTTACCTCTTTCGTTCTCTTGAGATCTTGATTCACAAACGTACTTTGAAGGAACACTATATATAAGATTTCGTTTGTGACTAACGATTGAGAGATTCGAGAATTTTAACACATGTTTTTGTAAACAAATCGTGTCTTGCAGAAGATGGTTTCAGCGTCCAGAGTGCACTTGGAGAGATTGTTGGAAGACGAACAGTACCTCAGGTGTTCGTTAATGGAAAGCACATCGGAGGATCAGACGGTAACACTTTGCTTTCTCCTTCTCCTTCCTACAAGAAAATGTCTTTGCTTATGACAGTATCTGCCGACTGATATACATTTGCTTATTGATTTATGGTTTTCAGATACCGTAGAAGCGCATGAGAGCGGGGAACTGGCCAAGCTTCTTGGTGTTTCCGGAACCGCTAAAGCTGAACTATAGGTTGAAAGAATTGAGAACACTATCGCCTTTGATGTTGAGGGTGTAATCATTTCAATTTTCAGCTGTAAGCAAATTTGTAATGTGTTAGGCTGATTATAAACAGCTTTGATCATGGCCTTGTCAAACATATCTTATCAGAGACTACGAACATTGAGTTATACAAAGTTCGATCTTGCTCGTTTGTTGCTGCAAGAAGGGCACTTGTAATGCTTGATGTGCTCAGCTCTAGCTGGAGTTATCTTCACACACTTCCCATGGAACCATTTCTCGCACATGTCACAGCAAATCCAGAACTCATCAGAAGCGTAGTTATCTCCACAAGCTCCACCCAGGGTTTCACCGTGTTCATCTTCAACCTCTTCCTCAGATCCTTCTTCCTCGTCCTTCACCTGCATTGTCCTTGAGCTTTTGCCATCTAAACCTCTCTGCATTCCAGAGCAAGGAAAATTAGTAACTACACCAACATAGCAAGTGTAAATTTCAAAAAACTAATCAACAACTGTCATTGGATCGGAAACTTGAGATATAACTCGGCCATTTCAGTACATGCTGATCTAATAAGTACAACTGCCTCTAAGAATTACAGATCCAGCGATTACAACTGAATACAATCCTCATGTAAATTTGGTTTAATATGAAGTTTTAATAAAACGATATAAATTAACCAAACATATAAAAATTTAAAAATAATATATCAGAAAGTCAAACTGTTAAACATATTTTAATGTTTTAAAAATATAACATTATAAATATTTCAGTTTGATTAAAAAATGAAATATTATTAAAAATAAACTTGTCAGAAAGATAAAATATTAGTTTGCTAAGATTTTATATTATAATTTGATTAAATTTTATAAGTATTATATTATCAGATCAAAAAGTTAAGAGTTTATAAATATTAATTTAGTTATATAATATTTTATATAATTAATCAATAATATTAAACTTAAAATATATAATTTATTTTTATATATTCTATATATATCTATTATTTTAATAGTTTACTTCTCTAAAATCTTTGCGCAGTAACTACAATTACATTTATTTTTAAAAAAATTATTAAAATTAATTACAAAATTCTATAATCAACTTGCATATTTGCAATTGTAATAGTAAAATTGTTATTCATACATATTACTAGCTATACATATAATTAAATAAAATTAACTAAATTATTTTCACTTTAAACAATTTCAAAAGTAGTACAAAAAAAAAATTCATCTTTAAAAAAATTGATCCCAGGTTCTTTTTTTCCTAACTTTGTATGATCTGATTTGTAAATTTCCAAAATTTTCTTCATTTACTTCATCTTCTTCCCTCCTGAACAAAACAACGATGTTATCGTCTCCATCAATGAGATGAACCAGATACGGTAAATCATAGAAATTATATAGTCTTGGTATATTGTCTGGCAAGGCTGAATCGTTTACTCCAGTCGGCCTCTTGACATAGTGAATCTCTAATCCACACATCCAGCTCAAATGGCAGATGTTGATGCAAAACTATAAGCCTTTGCCTTGATACACAGACGAAATAATTTCATAACCGGACTACGAGAATGCCTAATATGGATAAGCCTCGGCAAGATTTCTCAATCACCTAATCCAGAGCCGATGATTCTAGTATCCTCCAACGGTTTGTTTCAACATTGTAGATCTGGATTTCGGAATCGGCTGCAACATGTAGTATTTTGTAATTTCCTTTTTTTGCTTATCTGATGCCATACAAGTCCATGGGTGCAAAGACAACTAACAACTGATTCACATGGCTTCATGCTTATATCTTAGGTTCGCTCATGATTGCATTAGAGAATGTTTCCACCTTTGGAGATGTAGAAGACGAAATATCAGACTCTAGAATCTTTGATTCAGCTTTCAGATGAGTCTTTGCATTAGTCCCGTCGAACTCCATTAGTATATTTTTTAATTCTGTTGGGCTTTTCAAACTAATGTTCAACTTTATTATTAGTATGATATTGTTCGATTTGGGCCAAGTGGCATTGTCTGCATAGATTTGTCTTTGGGTTCCTCCCAAAAGGTCTCATACTAATGAGAGTTGGACATTACTTATATATTAGACTATTACTGTTTAATCTTCCGATGTGGAACTTGGATTGATATCCCAATAATCCATCCCCCCTCAAGCTAAGGACCATACAAACCATTTGTTTCCAACCTTTTGCGAAACTTGGTACCCATCTTGTACCGACATACGCATCTTTAATCGCAAGATCATTTTGAGGACTCTTCCACAACAAACAAGCAGGCCGAACCCACTTTTCGAGGTCCACTTTTTTTTAACCTTGGCTCTGATACCAATTGTTGGGTTTTTTAAACTCATATCCAACTTTATTATTAGTATGATATTGTCCGCTTTGGGCCAAGTGACATAGCTCGCACGAATTTGTCTTTGAACTTCTCTCAAAAAATCTTATACTAGTCAGAGTTGGACATTATTTATATATTAGATCATTACTGTCCAATCTTCCAATGTGAGATTTGGATTGATATCCCAATAAATTTCTGTTTCAGAATTTCGGCGTTCACCGTCGTTGAATTCGCCCTTGATTTCTCCATTTCAGCCGGAAATGTATCTTCGTATACACAAAGAGTGAGAGTAAAAACCCTAGAAACTCGAGAATTGTAAAGAATGGAAAAACTCGAGGGGGAAATTTCTGTTAGCAATAGAGAGAAGGAGAACATCAGGTAGCCTTCTAGTTTGAACTTATTCATTTGCCTCTTTTTTTTAATTGATTTTCTTTTAAATTTTAATCACATATGCCACCTGTGTATATAGCCTGCCACGTCATACCCGCGCGTTGTATGCAATCAAAATCCAGATTTACGATGGTTAAATTCTTATTAAAATCCAAATTTGTTTATTGATTTCTGGTTTTCAGATAGTACGAAATTTGTAATGTGTTCCGCTGATTATAAACACTAAACAGCTTGATCATGGCCTTGTGAAACATTTCTTATCAAAGACTACAAAGTTGAGTTAATATGAAGTTGGATCTTAGGATTCACATCTGGACATGCTCCAAACTAACAGTGTCTTAACAACAAGCAGACTTTTAAAGTGCATTAAACCATTTAGGGGATAGAAAGACAAAGACAGGTAGCTAAGACTAGTGGAATAAAAACATTTAGGAACGTGCTCTTTTGTTGCTGCAAGAAGGGCACTTGTAATGCTTGATATGCTCAGCTCTAGCTGGAGTTATCTTCACACACTTCCCATGGAACCATTTCTCGCACATGTCACAGCAAATCCAGAACTCATCGGAAGCGTAGTTATCTCCACAAGCTCCACACAGGGTTTCACCGTGTTCATCTTCATCCTCTTCATCCGATCCTTCTTCCTCGTCCTTCACCTGTATTGTCCTTGAGCTTTTGCCATCTAAACCTCTCTGCATTCCAGACCAAGAAAATTAGTAACTACACCAAAATAGCAAGTGTCAACTTCAAAAAACTAATCAACAACTGTCATTGAATCGGCCAATAAAGGAAAAAGTTGATCTAGTAATTCCATCTGCATCTAAGATTTACAGATTCAGCGATTACAACTGAATACAATCTCTCGTCTTTGTTTTACCTCAAACCTAAAGATTTCTTATGCCACAAGATTCACAAACTACGGTTAGGGAAGTATTGTGTTCAGTCTATGTTTTAGAAGCTCAATAGCAAACCGTGAAAGATATTACAATCTACGATGCATAGAATGAAAAGATGTTGGAGGAACAAAAGTGTGCATCATACTTCATTCGTGTGTTTAACAGTGATAGAGGTAAACAGAATAAACGAGGAGTAGGAAATATACAGCACAAAACCTTAAAAGCAACAAACTTCAGTTGCAGTTTATTTTAACCCTATGCAAATATGGTTATCTGATTCATAAGTATATATAGTTATCATAAAAAAGGAAAAAAAACTTTCATAGAACATAAAGTTTAACCATATATTTCAATGTTCAAATACTTCCAAACGTGTCTTTTAAGAGTTATAAACCAAGATAATAATTCTCTGTTCAGTTAAGATCTAACACTGAATTATGTAGCGGCTAATCTCTAAAGAGACTTCCATGTTTATGTAATGCCATATATAGGTTGAACCCTTAACGATGTGATAAAAAAATATGCCATTGCTGTGCTTTTACGGATATCCATTTAACCATTCCTAATTTGAAAACTGCAAAAAGGAAAAAAGAAAACGGATGATAAGAGTTGACGAGAGAAGAAGCTTTGTGTATTGAAAAGACGCTATTCAGAAAGTCGACGGAAACAAGAGCTATTTCCGCAAAACTTTCAGGATATATATAAGTCTATACCTATCGTATAACTTTTTTGTCCTTATGATTGTAGTTGAGTTTCCAGCTCAACTCACAAACAACTTAGGTCGATTAGTGAATGTGGGAGAATTTCTATAGAGAAGCTAAAGTGATAAAAGCGGAAAGTCTAAAACTCATCGTAGGATTCTTTTAGATTGGTTTGTTCTTAGTTCATAGTGGATAAATAAAGGAAATTACGTTATATATCTTAAAAACGTATAGCAAGAATCTTACCACTTTTGAGTTTGACTTGGCTTTGTTGCCATTTTGATCTGCTAAAGAAATCTTTTCCTTTGTTTGTTTTTTCGCATTTCCAGTTACAGCTTCAAATATGGTAGGAACCTCATTTATCATGCCGAACAAGCGCTTCCTGAAATAATAGTAAGTGTACCGGTTAGTGTTGTTAATGCTGGAGGTATCATGTTAAAGGTAGAGAAATGAGCGGAGAAGATCTTAAAAGAAAAGAAACACCAGGTTAGAAGATAATACAAACACACCAATCACGAAAGAAAAGATGATGTTACCTATCAGCTTTATCGAAACAGGATCTTGAACCGAAGTAAAAGGACACAGAGAGTAACCACGCATCACTGTGTACAGCAACAAGGGAAAGCCAGTCTTTTTCCTGCATTCCATCTCTGGCAAAGTTAATGCCGAGTGCAGGTTCGGGGAGCTCTGGAGGAACTTCTTCAGCTGGTAAGTTAACTTCCCACTGCTCGTTCGGGAATCCATACAAGCAAAGGTTCTCCTTCTCTGAAATGTCATTAAATAGCCATACAAACACAGACTTCAGTTTATCAACTAGCAGAGAAAGTTACGACATGACATATACTCTCAGAAAACGACATTCAGCTACACAGTACAAGACTCAGCAGTTAGTATTTCTTGATCAAGAAAGAAATCATGTGTGGTTTGTGAGACTGAAGCCATGAAGCAAGAAGAAAAGAATAAACGAGGAGACATAACAGCACCAAAGGCGAAAACTTAGTTCATGGGGAGACCAAATCACGAAACTAGAAAGAAACAGTGGTCAAATCTCAAATGATGAATACAATCAAGTCACCAGTACAAAACAAAAAGTAACACAGAAGAGCAAGATCATGTAATTTTCAGTGTCAGGTAAAGCCTATGTAACCATCTCAGCTTTACTTTGTCAGTTCCTTAAAGCAGATCAAAACTAGAAGCAAGCAGTACATAAACAACATCTGCATAATAATGAATCACTACAAAATAAACTCGAGAGAACCCAGAAACCCAAAAGCACGAATAAATGAAGCAGCTTGAGAAAGGGATAATAACAATACGCATAGGGAAACAAATCACGGAGTATATTTAAGGCTAAGAGAGGGAGAAAAACCCTAACCAGGATCGCATTGCTGGAAAAACTCCTCCACATCTGCAAAAAGACAAAACAAATGAATGAATCAAAATCATATTCTCAAATCGGAGAAGTAACCAAAAAAACAAACCTAAAAATCCATAACACTAGGACAGAATTGTACAATAAAATTGTCTGAATCAAAGAATTTCGATGAAAAAATAACAAAAAAGCCATAGACAAAATTAAAAGGAGAAGAAGAAGACCGGTGGTGAGAGCTCGGACGATGCCAGCACGACGGGCCTTGAAATCACGGAAGACTTCTTCGACAGTTCGAGGATTGTAGTGCGCAGCTCCTCCTTCCATCGCTCGTCTCTCTCTCTCACGGAATCGATGAAAGAGCGGCACTCAGGTTTGGGTCTTTTTTGAAAAAGCAGAATTTTTTGTTTCCAAGTGATAAAGCAGCCAGTCCAAATTTTAATTACGGAAATAAAGTAATGATTCAAGACGAAAAGTTGGTCTAGTCACAACCTTGTTGATTTGATTTTATATAAATAAAATTAACAATAATATAAATGCAACTAGATAGTTTTGAATGAATGGTTCATCGATTCAACACATCATTGAGACTATTGTTGACAACACAGTCGATATTAACCTAACTCGTTTTAGAAAGCTTATTAAGTTCTGAAACTGGCAGCGGTTAATGCAAGAAAAAAACATGTTACTTTATCAATAAACAAGACATGCATTGTAAGTTTGTAACATATTCTCCTTTGGAAAGAAAGGGAGATTGAATCCGAATTAAATGAGTCTTTTGCAGATTGTTACAATGCTCAGTTTGTTGTAATTGGCAATAATCAAGTCGGATATATCCATTAGGATGAAACAAACCTTTAGCTAAAAAGGGACAAGTCCTTGGTGGATCAGAAAATCACTTTATTGTTTTTGCCAAGCTTTTCGATTAAGAAGAGCTCTTTTGGTTAAGACAATATCTCTTTGTTTACTCATTGACAGTGTACACCTAACTTGATGTGTTTATTTGCATTGGTGACGTTATATTCGCTTGAAATTTTTCATCGTCTACTATCCATGAATTTTCATTGAAGTTACAGAATTATTGTATTGAAAAGAAAATATAGTTTCACGATCTTTTTACTTGTCAATTGCCAGACATCATTAATAAGAGAATAGATGATAGACCAATCGTAAACAACAAATTCGAGATTTAATCATATGACACATGTCTTTGCACTTTCTCAATCATCTAGTCATCTACAAAGCAATGATCACTACGATGAAAGGTTACTACTATCACAAGAGAAGCCACCAGCAGTTGGAAAAATAACAAAAGAAAGGAAAACTGAAACCAACGCAAATGCATCTGATTAACGTACACTTGCCATCTCCACTGGCTGGTTTTTGCTTACAAAGTCCCTCTCCCAGCATCTCACTCTCAGAACAAGTTGTATCTGTCTCACTCCCTAATGCAACATACGCACACACATATATGCTTATAAAGATACTAACGTTTTAGGTTGCAGTAGGAGTCACAAAGCGAGTCGAAACTTCCTCTAAACACAGCATCCTCAACTAGTTACCTTCCTGTCAGATCAGAGACCGACGTCAAGCCTAGGGTTTTACTTTGGGAGTAAAACATATCAACAAGCATCTACAAATCAAACATGAGAGATGATTTTACCCGTATTGTGTTTCCTTTCCTCAGGCGCATGCTTTACAAGGAACTGCATGACCGTTCTCCAGTAAACGTCACCACCAGACATCCATGTATCCATATGCATCCCATTTGGAAATTCCACAAATGTGCACTGAGAGTTGCGGGTAGCTGCTTTCGCATACAGCATTTTCATGTGAAATGGAGGGACCATCTCATCTTGCAGCCCAGAGAGGAAAAGTACTGGCTGTTTGACCTGTTCATTGTTTCAACATCAGCTTATCAGTGAGCTGCTACAGAGTCAGCATATGCAAACTTTAAACGAAAATAATCCATATAATATCAATCTGCAAGAGACGACGACGTTGCTTCTTACCTCCCCAATAGCATCAATTGTGTTCCAAGGGGAGCGTACAACAAAATTGAGAAGTTTCAGGCTTTTAGAACCACTTCCTCCAATAAACCACTTCAAGAAGGGCAGCAAAACACCAGCCATATCAAGAATGGATGTGAAAGTATTTTCCAGAATCAATGCAGATACCTATTCAAGTACAGTGTAGAGATGGTAAACATACAATTATTTGACGTGTAGATATCAAATGTAATGCTGAGAGCAGAAACAAGAAGAAAAAGAAAAAAAATTATGTAGCTTAGTCAGGGAAACTACAAATTTCGTTTTCCAAGAAACTCACGGAAAAGGATAAGGTTCTTGTGCATACGACAGTAAATGTCAGTGGGGGATATAAAGAGAAGCCAATAGCAAAGCTCGAAAGAACACACATACGACCAGGTTCTTTTTATTCCAAGGTGACTAAAACTTTAAAACAACAAATAATAACATTCAGATAGAAGTGACCCAGTAATTATTACTAGAATCTAACTGAAAAAAAAACAAAATATTCTAGAAAGTTTTGTACAATCAGACTCCAGGTAATCATCTTCCAAAGAGCATGGCTAATATTTTCCAACACTAACTAGAATCTCAATAAGATACTGGTAAGAAGCTAACTCATACTAGATCTAAACCAATCCCTAGAGGAGAGAGTAGAGGGATCCCTCAGGCCTTATAATTCCTAAGACATTGGCTAGTCATGCATGCTGCTAATGTGAATACTTAGTAAATATTACCTTGTCGGGATTGTTTTTGGTAAGCACAGCTCCAACAGCTCCCCCAAGGGACCTTCCAAATACAACTATTCTAGATGTATCAATGTCTGTCCTTTGAGAAAGGTGGTCCAACGCAGCCTTAAGAAAAAGTAAAGGGCAAGAAAATGGATTATTCATACATGGAGACGCAGAAGGAAGAGTTTAAGGATATATGTGGATATATAAAGAGAGACAAAGCAAACCTGAGCATCTTTTATGATCCCATGCTGTGACGGATAACCATCACTTTCCCCATAGCTGGTTGCACGGGAAAAAAAATCAATCACTTATAAGACAAGAAGTTCAACAAGCAGCAATGTAACTAAAAAACAATCGATTAAGATAAAAGATGGACCAGAAAACCAGTTGACTGGAACTGACCCGCGATACGAAAGCATGAATACGTTGCACTTCAAGCGTTGTATCATGATGCGAACCATCTCTAGACGATGAGCGATATCTAGGGCTCTAAGGTCAAGGCTGTTACAAGGCAAAGTATCCTAGCCAGCAAGATATTGAATTGTAAAACAGGTAGATCAGACACAGAAACTCCTTAGAGCATACACATATAAACAAACAATCACCAAGAAATGGCTCTGGAAAGGATACTTCCGGCATTCTCCTGGAAAAATAGAATGGTAGGACCTGCACATCAAACATCAACTATTACAACTCGGAGCTAAGTTAACAGAGAACTGATCATATTTGTGACTTAGTCCTCAGCTAGATATTGGGTGGTCGATGAGTTCGAATGTACTTTAATAGCAGCTAATAACTCACGGATCACAAATCTGACAAAAAGGAGACCAAAATTTAGCTAGAGAAGGAGACATCAAGACCTAAAATCCCCCAAAATTCAGCAGCTTTCGGAAATGCAGAAATCAAATCTACCTATATAAAAAAAAAAACTACTAATCGATGAGCAGAATCGAGGCGAAAACTCAAATCAAAAAGAGAAGGACCTCGACAGTCGGGGAGCATCTTGATGAACCAGGAGTGGAGGCGTGTGCCATCGGAGGATCGAAGCCAAACGTCCTCGTAGATGAGATTGAGCCTGGCGGGAGTGATCGGATAGGACTTGCTTAAGCCGGGAAGCACCGGCACGTAGACAAGCTTCTCCTGGAAGGCCACGAGCAGCGCCACGCCCGCGACGACTATCCCTCCTACTCCGTAGAACAACGCGCTCACGTACGTCACCATTCCCTCTCTCTCTCTCTATCTCCGGCTAAAGGAGCAGAAGCCGAAGATGAATCTGAGTACGAATCCTCAACAGAAGCAGAAGCAGAAATCGAACGCAGTACTTTGACACTTTCTATCTGTTTTCTCGTGCTTTTGCTTTTCTTCTGGGAGAGTTTTACAACGCAAATCCAGATGGGAACGAGAGAGAGCGAGCGAGTGTTCATAGAAATGGGCCGAAATAAGCCCATCTTTGAATATTCAGCTTCATTTTTATTACAACACTGCATAATGTTTCAACACAGAAAATCTAAACTTAAAAACCCATAAGAATGAGCAAAAGATCTAAACTTTATCTATAGCCCAATTTAACACACACGAATGAAAGTAACTCTCAAATTTACAGCTTATATTAACTCGTAAGAACATGCAATCAGTAGCCCTATTGATTTAGTTTTACTGGTATTTTCAAAGAGAACTATATCTCAACAACGGAATTTTAGTTTTACTATTTTTCTTCTTTTCGTGTAAATGTTTAATGAATTAGGATTGTTTGTTTAGAATTGGATTGTTTTATAAAATTTAAACTGTAGGTTTTTTCTTATATTACTACTCTTTATGATCTTGCTTATAAAAATGTATATTATTTTGGTTTTGTGTAAGGAATTAAAAAATCGTTAGATAGGCAACCGGCATTGACTATATGGTATCATAAAACTTATATGTTTTGAAGAAACTCTTATATTGCAAGTTTAATGAATCTGATAAGAACAACTTTTATTACAGCAAAAGCTTAAGAACAAGTTTAATGAGTCACAACATAAACTTTATTTCGTTTTCGGTTTCTCAAAAGTCAGAGCCAATTTTGCATATCGATAATCTAATCCTTGAGCACACTTGACTACAATGAACAGCCTTTGATACCTCTGAAAGTTTAAATCCACAAACAGCAATAATGCATATTCTCTCGATTTAAGCTATAAGGACAAGTGGAATCCGTTCAAGTTGTTTTACTATCAGTAAACCAAAAAAATGGTTTGCCTTTTCATCTTTTGCTTTCAATTTTTTACCACCGAGTGGATCAAAATAGCGGAATTACCGTAGAGACTAGAGAGACGCGGGACCTTTTTTTTTAATTATAAAAAAATGGAACCGGTAATCCCGGTTAAAGTTTTAACAAGAAAAAAATAATTAAAAAATGAGAGATCGAAAACATAAAAAGAGCACCAAACCCAAACCAAAGTAGAAACTGACAGCATCTCTCCGTATCCAAAAAGAGCACACACAAAAAAAAAAAACACCACAGACCAAGAAACAGTCACCGGAAAATGCTGACGTGTATAGCTCGTTCGAAGCAAGCCGGCGATGAATCTTCTGGTCAACCGGACGATCCGGATTCCAAGCACGCCAAATCTCTAACATCTCAGGTAGAGTTAATTAACTCACTCCTCTGCTCCTCCTCCACCTTCTCTTTCCGTAATTCTCTCTTCTCATTGAGGTATTTTCGTCACAGCTCAAAGATATGGCTCTCAAAGCTTCCGGTGCTTACCGGCATTGTACGCCGTGTACGGCGGCGCAGGGGCAGGGGCAGGGGCCGATTAAGAACAGTCCGGTGTCGGCAAAGTTGGATTTCGAATCGGATCAACGGTTTAAGATGCTGTACGGAAGATCAAACAGCTCGATTACATCGACGGCGGCGGCGGCGGCGACAGCGACGCAACAGCCTAGGGTTTGGGGAAAAGAGATGGAGGCGAGGCTAAAAGGAATATCAAGCGGCGAGGCGACTCCGAAATCGGCGAGCGGGAGAAACCGGGTCGACCCGATTGTGTTCGTGGAGGAGAAAGAGCCAAAGGAATGGGTTGCTCAGGTGGAGCCCGGGGTTCTCATCACCTTCGTCTCTCTTCCCGGCGGTGGCAACGATCTCAAGCGGATTCGTTTCAGGTACGCAACTCTGCACCCACTATAATCTAACGGTCGCTATTCTTTGTTGACTATAATATTCTGATCGTACGGTGGATTGTCGTTTGGCTTCGTCGTCGGTTCAGTTTTAAATTTCGCACGTTTGTTTGCTTTGGTCGTGATTTGTGAGGAGAATGTTCGGAAGATGCTCGATTCGTTGAAACGCAAAACTTAATCTGAATTTCATTTTTATTTATTTTAATTATAAAATTTGTGCAAGAGTAGGATCTTAAAAAACTGAATGCTATTGGTTTAAAAAATTCTAAAAATGTGAATATGATTTTGTGGATTTCCATGTCTAGGCAACATATATTGATAATAAGTACTAGTAATAACTAAAATAAAATACGACAAACATACGAATCTAACAATCATGCCATGTCTTTTGTAGATTTCTACCACATTTGTCTCTTAATTAATTTAGTATCTCGAGTTCACAAATAGTATAATATAACAAATTCTTATAGGACGTTGTTTTGTTTGTTCCTGATTCAGGTTTTCTGATTTCAAAGATATATAGAGACAAAGCTAAAACTTAATCTAACTCAATAAACTTTTCAGTTTGATTCATGTTCGTCTTTTGGATCATATATATATATATTAGGAAAATTAGCCAATTAATTTGAAAACAACAGTAAGTAAAAATCAATCCTATTCACCCAATACCAAAACTGTTTGTTTGATGAAGTTTTTGTCTTGAATAGATAGAAGGGGTAATTATTTATGGGTGTGAAAATATAATACTAGAAGGGGAAAAAAGGTGGGTAAAAAAAAAAATAGAGGGATGGGACCCACAGTTGTCGACTGTAACGCTTCACGCCTAATGAGAAGCAAAAGCCGTAAAGGTCCAAAAAGCAAAACTTGGTGTTCCCTTTTTTAAGTGCTTCTTGGGGTCATTTCTTCTCATTCTGTCTTTTTTTTTTCTTTGCTTTTTATGTTCTCTTTCAAAATTAGCTATTTTGATTGACTATTATTACTTTATTCCATCGTTTTGTTTTCTTCAAACTTAAAATTTTCCAGTTCACATGAAAACTTCTCCTTAAAGAAAACTATAAATTTGATTTGAAATCAGTGGAGGATGTGTCACACTAACTTTGCTAAGAACCTGGATTTTATTAGTTGCTACGAAATGTTTCTTTATTTGTTTTTTGTTCAAATCAAAAATTGAAAATCATTGGTTGGTGGAACTATATATCTTGTAATCATTTTCACCAATATTTGGAGTTTATTTTTCAACTTTTCATTTGTTAAGTAGGAGTTTTGTTTTATTAATTCAATAAGTGCCTTATTCTCCGCGTCTCTGTCCTGTAGTCACATTATTGCTGTTGTTGGGCATAGGAAGAAAAAACTGCTTCTTCTTATTATTCCAAAAGACAAAAGAAGATACGTATATTAAATTATTAAAAAATAGTATAATAAAGCAAATAGCTTTAGCCTTTAGCACAGTTTCGTTCACTCCTATGTCGCCTATTGAAAACGACAACCTCAACGTATTTTGTCTCTTCCTTCCTTCGATTCTTTGTCTTCTTCCATATTTATCACAGTTCCAGTTCTATCACTTACTGTCTTTTTTTCTTTTCTGTCAAAAAAAACTTGGTCTCTATGTTCATTGTTCTTAGGCTCAGGGATTAATCTGATTAGGTGGAGTCCTAACAGTCCTCGGTTACATGATACATGTGTTTTTTTACTGTTTAGTATTTTGATAGACACATATAATTTAATACTAATAACTTTTGAGTTTGCTTTGAGAAATTCTTTCCTACCCACCTCTCCCATTATTTTTCTTTTACTGTTAGCCATAATCATATTTCCTAATTATTAGCTTTGACCATTGTTGTCTCTGTTTCTTCGTCCATGTCTTTATCTTTATTTCTACGAATTTGAATTGGTTTATTACTATTAGTCGACCATTAAACTAACAATTTTATAAATAAGCTCAAAAGGTTGCATCTGTGTCTCTTGTTTCAACTCTCTTTCTAGCCCTAGCCTATTAGTGTCATTTTGTCAAAAGGTTTATTCAATCAGCTATTGTTGTTATTTGTCAAATCCTCCCCTTAATCCGCTCTCGTTAATTCCCACTTTTGTCTACTGGTTCTTATTAAAGTTACTTCTTCTCCTTATTTTATCTAACCATTAAAGTTAAATTAGAAATCCCACAAATATCATGTGTCAGAAAATCTATGTGAGCCAAGTTGTTGTTACATGTGAACAGACTTTTTGGTCATTGCCATTTTTAGCCGGTGGCAATATTTTACCACTTACCAGAACCTTACTCTTATGATTACCTAATTTAAAATCACTTCTTAACTTAGGCATTTCAATGTTTTCATCTTCTGCTTTTTGACTCTTGTAATATGATCATGACCTTTGCCAGATTATGTATATACTAAAACAACATGTTTCCAAAAATGTAGTTTTTCTTTTCTCACTTCTGTTTTGGTTTTGTTTATTTGTCTTTAATCAGCCGAGACTTGTTCAACAAGTTACAAGCTCAACGATGGTGGGCAGATAACTACGACAAAGTAATGGAACTTTACAACGTTCAAAAACTAAGCCGCCACGCTTTCCCGCTTCCCACGCCGCCTAGATCCGAAGAAGAGGTTAGCTTTTCACTGAATCAGGCCGATAAACAAGACAATTAAACCCCTTGATTATCCACTAATTCCTCTGCAAATCTTTTGTTTAGAATGCAAAAGGGGAGTACCATCCAGAGGATACTCCCGCAACACCTCCTCTAAACAAAGAACGGCTGCCTCGTAACATCCACCGTCCAGTTGGATTGGCGGCTTACTCATCCTCGGATTCACTCGACCAAAGTTCGACGCAGAGCCAGCAGTTTTACGACTCTGGTCTACTCAGCTCAACGCCTAAACTTTCAAGCATAAGCGGAGCCAAGACGGAAACTTCTTCCATGGATGCTTCCATAAGAAGCAGCTCGTCTAGAGACGCAGACCGGTCAGAGGAAATGTCGGTAAGCAACGCGAGCGATGTTGATCAGAACGAATGGGTGGAGCAAGACGAGCCTGGCGTTTATATCACCATTAAAGTCTTACCAGGAGGGAAAAGAGAGCTTAGAAGAGTCAGATTCAGGTAACAAAAGAAGCTTCCTTGCATTGTTTTCAAAATCCGACTTTTGTAAATAACAAAATAATCACTCTTTCCTTTGCAATGCAGCCGAGAGAGATTCGGGGAGATGCACGCGAGGCTATGGTGGGAAGAGAACAGGGCAAGGATACATGAACAATACTTGTGATCATCGTTTTATATATATATATATATATATAATCTCTGGTCTCGATGCATCAAAACGGTTTTGTGTTTTTTTAATTTCTCATTCTCGGTATACCGTTTTTTTAAAGAAAAAATTTATTCCAGCTGAAGTAAAATTCTTATCTTTTTTTTTTTTCCGAAGAGAAATCCTTCCACAAGGTACTACTCATTGTGCTAAATTTGAAATTTTCATATAAGTTAGTTAACATCCACCGAGGCTAAATGCATGCATGCTTCTATTGGCCCGTGGATATATGTTCCAGTTTTGTATACGTCAACTAAACGGTTCTAGAGTCTAGACAGACAAAAATGGAAATACTAGTTGGCAAATAGAAAAACACCAATTATTTGTAAACAACTGATAAACAACGCAACGAAAGGAAAACTATACTTAAGGAAATTTTACAATTTAATTTTTATAATATAGAAACTTTTTTTTCTCAACTGTGTGTGTATATATATAAATACACATACCTATTGTTTTGCAACGACACACACAAAAAGAAAACAAGCTTGGCTCCTTCGCATCCGTCTCTTCACACAAGTAAGATCTTTGTGAAGCCTCTCTATACATACCTTCATACGAGTTTTGTTTATGTTCGAAATAGTGTTAATATAGTATTATCTCTACCTCCACTAATTTTGCAGTTAAAAACGTTCATCATGACTTGTCTGAAAAAAACGTTATTCTTCCTGCTCACGTGCATTGCAAATCTGGTGAGTTACAACCACAACAATGTCGGTTTAAGAAACGTGGCAGCTTCAAACGTCGGCTTGAACTACGGTCTCCTCGGAGACAACCTCCCGGCTCCGCCTGAAGTTATCAACCTTTACAAGTCCTTAGGCATTACTAAAATCCGAATCTTCGACCCCAACACTGAGGTTCTTAACGCCTTACGCGGCCACCGCGATATCGGAGTCACGGTAGGAATCAAGGACCAAGACTTGGCTTCTCTTGCAGCCAGCGAAGAAGCTGTTAAAGGCTGGTTCGCGACCAACATCGAGCCTTACTTAGCCGACGTCAACATCACCTTCATTACCGCAGGTAACGAAGTCATCCCTGGACCGATCGGTCCTCAAGTGTTACCCGTCATTCAGTCTCTGGCCAACCTCGTGAAGTCGAGGAATCTTCCAATCTCGATAACCACCGTGGTGTCTATGTCGAACCTCGGGCAGTCGTATCCACCTTCCGCCGGAATGTTCACGTCACAGGCGCGTGAACAACTCACACCGGTGCTGAAGTTTCTGTCTCAAACAAGCACGCCTATCCTCGTCAACATATACCCTTACTTTCCATACGCATCCGACCCGGTGAACATCCATCTCGACTATGCAACTTTCAGCACAGAGTCCGTCGTGGTCCAAGATGGACCATTGGGCTATTCAAACATCTTTGACGCAATGTTCGACGCGTTCGTGTGGGCGATGGAGAAGGAAGGCGTCAAAGATTTACCGGTGGTGGTGTCCGAGACCGGATGGCCTTCCGCCGGGAACGGGGACATGACCACGCCGGATATCGCGGCTACCTATAACGGAAACTTTGTGAAGCATGTACTTAGCGGAAAAGGGACGCCTAAGAGGCAAAACAGTAGCATTAGTGGGTTTATATTCGCGACTTTTAACGAGAATCAGAAACCAGCTGGAACAGAACAGAACTTTGGGTTGTACAATCCTACTGATTTGAAGCCCATCTACAAGCTGTTTTGATTTTTATGATTCATGAGTCTTCTTAATCTACATCTAGCTCATTATTCATAACGCTCTAATATTTGTATTAGAGTGGGACAAATGTCAAGATTAACTATGACATTCTTTTATAAGATTTCCATTTTTGTTTTGATAATGAGGTATTGAAGCCGGAAACTCAGCTGGGTTTGGAGTTAGCTTTTTAAGGGCATTTGAAATTTATTTTCGATATCTTTTTGTTAGTGTTACAAGTTTAATCCACCATCTCTCTGTGTTTTATAGAAGTTAGCAGAAGAATACGTTTGTGTGATGCTCTGCTTCTGTTTCAACAATTTAACAATCTCAAATGAGTAAAATACAAGTTAGTTTGACAGCTTAGCCGTTGTGTCATATGCTCCTACAAATATATTGCTTCATTCGAGATCCACTTAGTATGTTTCTACTTTCTACGTATAACTATGTCCTTTATCTTCTTTATAGTTAGTTAGTTTATTGCTACAAACATAAAAGCTCAAAATGTACTCAAGGCAATTGACATTTTACAATAAATTTTCTTAGAATTTGTGTATGTGTATTTTGTAATAGTTCGGTATTTTAGTTAATTTACAACCTATGTTTTGCAACGAAAACGGAAAAAGAAGGATAAAGAAACAACTTTGGTTTGATATCCTCGTCTCTGTTCTGTAGACAAGTATGATCTTCTGATGTCTTGCACGTAAGAAGGTTGTTTACACATAAAAAAAATTATAATATTCATCTCTAACGTTACTGATTTAGTGATTAAGTAGATACACGTGTCAGATATGGATTGTCCTAACAAGTTATTCTTGTTCATGATCTCGTGCTCAACAACAACAACGACGGCTTTGTATACGCATCGACAAACATTGGCTTCTCTCCTCGGAGAATTTGGGTTCTCAATAATGATCTAATAGTTGGTACTTGTTAGGGAAAGTAGGGAACAGATCAAGTTTAGTAGAAGACATTTTATAAGAGTTTGATTTTCAGCATATGATGAAACCCTTGAGAGGAGATTTTAAGTGGGTTTAGAGTTAGCCTTAATAGTAAATTTCACTTAAAAGTATTCGAAATCAAAGACAAAACCCAAAACACTAGGATAACAGATTCAGTGAGCAAGTATCTGTTTCCACGACTTTGCAAAAGACATTACAAAATAAAGAGAAAAAGAAAAAAGCTTGATCGATCTTGGCATCGTATGCGGAAACCAAATGAACCTGAAGATATCTTGGATAATTAGACACATATTTGCTGGTACGAGTGACCCTGATTTAGTGACCATATTTCTGGAACTCCCACTCACTGTTATCTGTTAAAACTCGGCAATATTAGCAAACAAATCAAACAAAAAAAACTGCGATCAAGTCAGAATAAGCTTTTCAAAGAGAGATTCATACCCAATGGACAAACTTGACGAGTCTTCAACCATCTGCTGATACAGTGAAAGTGAAAGGCGTGATTGCAAACACCTGCAAGTAACCAAGCATCATATGTCTTTAGTTAAGATTCATCCTCAAATTTAGACTTTTCTACATTGAGCAATTGAGAATACAGAGAAAAGCAATGCAGTGAATTTGGCCATTCTCTGAGTTTATAATTCTATGTACAAACCACTGCAGGTATTTGAAAGCAAGCAAACAACAACTACATATTTGGTTTCTCTTACAAAAATCTTTAGTTCTATGAATCTAATCAAGTGCACACCACATTGAACAAATTCGACTGCTGCAAAACAAGAACAATGGCTCCTTGCGGATAAAGCATAGAGACATCTACACAGTGCCACAAAATAAGAAAATTCATATGCCAAGCTATAACAAACGAGCTCTGAGATGCTAGAATTGTTTCACGCAACACTACTTTGCATACAGATTTTGCGTTTCTAAATAACACAGCTACGATAATAATCAAAGGCGTAGAGGAAACAAGACTTACCCCAAGCAACAGTGCATTCCTCACTTGTGGCGCTGGCCTGATTCGCCTGGCACTCGATGCCTATCAACAATCAAACACACGATAACGAGTTTAGCCTAAGGATTTCAGTAATCTCCTCCGGATTATCAACATCATCGTCACAAATTCCTTATCGATCGATTGTTAATCGGACTTACACAGATCCATGATGTGGTTCCTGCAGATGGCGCAGTTGTCGACAACGATATCTGCAACCAAACAAAGATCAATAAATCATTAAAACCCTAACTAAGCAAAAAGAGAGAGCATCGTAACACAGAGGTCCAAGGAACTATAAGGAATTCGAGGTTACCCCAAGCCCAGAGAGCGACGGCGCTCCACTTCTTAATTTCAAATCGCTTAGTTTTCTTCGAGGAAGAAGAAGAGGCTACACTGCTGGAGGCTTCTCCGGCAGGAATCATAGTAACGTCGGAATCGAGAGACGCCATTGATTGACCTCTGATCGGATGGAAAACGAAAACCTAGAAAGCCGAAGGAAAACCTGAGAGAAGACGGAAGAATAAGCGTCGGAAATAAAAGAATAGAGAGAAAAATATAACTCGGGGCTTTGTTATATTTATAGTGGCCTAGTGGGCTTCCTGTGGAAACAAATTTTCGTTATTTCCATTACCCACTTAATTTTTATTTTATTTTTTTATTTTACATATTTCAATTTAACATAAATCTACAAAATTTCTCTTTCATTATCAAAAAAAAAAAATTAAATATTTCAGTAAAATAATAAAACAAATCTAAAACCGAATAAATAAGTATATATATATATTTTTAAAAAATTTGTTATTCACCAATAACTAGGTGAAATTTTAGTAACAAAATATTTAACTCCAAATTTAGCTATTGAAAACTTTAAAGCAGTAATGAACTTCAATGTATGTATTGTTGTTGATCCTATACCCAGTCAACAACAATACATGCATTAAAGGTGATTTATACATGCCTTGAATTCTTTCATGGATAGTTGGATGAAGAATTTTTCTTTGAATTTTTTTTTATATATCAAATTAAAAATATAACTTCCAATAAATATATTAATATAAATTTTTAATAACTTAATGGAAGAAGAACAATTGTAAATTGCGATGGGTATACTTTCCAAGAGCTGGATAAGGAACTGCTCGAAATGTTCTTTAGGGTCTGTTTTAGGATTGTAATGGATCTTCATGTCATCAACATAACCAGCTTTCATAAATGGAATGGCATTGGATATGTCACAAAGTCCCCTATTCGAAACTTTAAAACGGTAATGAACTCTAATGTGTGTATTGTTGTTGATCTCATACCCAGTCATCAAGAGTACATGCATTCCAGGTGGCTCGTATATGCCTTGTACGTATTCATAGACAGTTGGATGAAGAACTCTTTCCTGAATTTTTTTTATATTACATTAAAAAAAATAACTTCCAGTAAATATATTAATGTAATTTTTAATAATTTACTTGTAAGCGTTTAGTAATGTAAAACTTTTCAAGAAATGTTGGCATCTTTAAGAAAATTGAAAGATGTTATTCAGCCTAATGATCCAGCCAAATGTTCTTAAAATTTCTTAAAATCCATCACCCAAATATTGTCGAAACTTACAGTTAAATACTTTATTTTAATTAAATACTATATTATTAGAATTATGATGTCTCAAAATTTTATAATAAATGCATGAATTTATAACATGCCGCCTAAGCGGCTAAGCCTTGGGTCATGGACTCACGGTCACGGGTATGGTTGGACCAAATATTTGGGATACAAAATCCATATCACCAGTTACATTGCTCAGAGGGCATCAATCATGTCATAGAGAACCATCAAGATAGTCACAATGCGTCTCAATCATCGTGGTCTTCGTATTCTTCCTTTGGCATTCAACACACCAAATCTTTTCTACCGTTGTCATATGCTTTTGATATTTTACCAATTATTCAATATAAATCATAATGTGTATACTAAATTTTATTCACCCCACACACTTATTCCACTCTACACATTTATACAACACTTTCAATAATATTTACTTCACATACTTATTCAACAATTTTTAATGTTAAAGTGTTGAAGAAACTCTATTGCAGAGTTAATGAATCTGATAAGAGCAACTTTTATTACCGCATAGCTTATTGAAGTCTGTGAAGTCTATTTACAAATTTTGCTAATTTCATTTTATGTTTCCTCTCTATGAAGCGACTTTTAGATTGAACCTATAAGTAAGCTAAAATACCGAACCATTACAAATACACAAAATTCTAATAAAATTGATTGTAAAATGTTTATTAGCTTGAGTTTGTAATTTCCGTTCTTGAAACAAGTATGATCTTCTGATGTCTTGCTCATAAGAAAAAGTGTTTACATATATATAAATTACAATATTTATCTCCAACGCTACTGATTTTGCAGATACACGTACGTGTCGACATGGATTGTCCAAAGAACTCGTTCTTGTTCACGATCTCGTGCACAATACTCCTGCTCAGCTACAACAATGGTGGCTTCGTATACGCAGCGACAAACATTGGCTTGAACTACGGTCTCCTCGGAGACAACCTCCCACCTCCGTTTGAAGTTATCAATCTCTACAAGTCCTTAAACATTACCAATATTCGAATCTTCGACACAAACACAGACGTTCTAAACGCCTTCCGCGGAAACCGCGATATTGGAGTCATCGTAGGCGTTAAGAACGAAGACTTGGAGGCTCTTGCGGTTAGCGAGAACGCTGTCAACACATGGTTCATGACTAACATCGAGCCTTACTTAGCTGACGTAAACATCACGTTTATTACTGTCGGAAACGAAGTCATCCCTGGAGAGATCGGGTCTCACGTGCTACCCGTCATGGAATCTCTCACAAACGTCGTCAAGTCGAGGAGTCTCCCGATCTTGATCAGCACCACGGTGGCTATGACCAACCTTGGCCAGTCATATCCACCTTCGACCGCAGAATTCACGACCCAAGCGCGTGAACAGCTCGTTCCGGTGCTGAAACACCTGTCTCAAACGAGCACTCCCATCCTCAGTCAACATCTACCCTTACTTCGCCTACGCGTCTGATCCTGTGAACATTCCTCTTGATTACGCCGTCTTCAACACCGATGCGGTTGTGGTTCAAGACGGGCCATTGGGCTATTCAAACATGTTCGATGTGATATTCGACGCGTTCGTGTGGGCAATGGAGAAAGAAGGCGTGAAGGATTTGCCCATGGTGGTAACGGAGACCGGATTGTCTTCCGCCGGAAACGGGAACTTGACAACGCCGTATATCGCGTCTATGTACAATGGAAACTTTGTCAAACATGCGGAAAGCGGTAAAGGAACACCGAAGAGGCCAGACAGTGGCATTAATGGGTTTCTATTTGCTACGTTCAACGAGAATCAGAAGCCAGCGGGAACCGAACAGAACTTTGGGTTGTACTATCCTACTGATATGAAACCCGTCTACAAGTTGTTTTGATTTTAGTTTCTTGATTTTTAGACTATTCCAAAGCATTTGAGTGAATAATGCTCTGATAGTTGAGACTTAAGACTATCGCTAAGCACTAGAGTAAATAATGCTCTGATGGTTGTAAATTTGTAATAGAGTGGGATAATATGATCCATAATAACACTCATTTTATATGATTTTTCCTTAATAAAAAAATTGTGAAAAGCAGAATTCACACCAGAAGAAGATGTACATTCTCAATTGGTAATAAAGTGGTACAAGATCAAAGATTCACAACAATATAGCTTTAGTAGTATCTTAAGAATTTGGGTTCTCAGTAATGACCTAATAGTTGTTAATTGTTAGGAAAAGTAGGGACGAGATCAAGTTTAGTAGAAGCCATTATATAAGAGTATGATTTTTAGCATATGATGAAACCAAAAACCTTAAGAGGGTTTAGAGTTAGCCTTTTAGTAAATTTCACTTGAGAGTATTTTAAATCAAAGACAGAACCCAAGACATAACGATAACAGGTTCAGTGAGCATGTAAATCTCTGTTCCCACAACTTGCGAAAGACATTACAAAAGAAAAGAAAGAGAAAAAGAAAAAAAGCTTGATCGATCTTGGTATTATCATATGCGGAAACCAAATGAACCTGATGATATCTTGGATAATTAGACACATATTTGCTGGTACGACTCTCTCTGCTTTAGTGACCGTATTTCTGGAACTCCCACTCACTGTTATCTGTTAAAAGTCAGCAAATATTAGCAAACAAAATCAAATAAAAATACTGCGATCAAGTCAGAATAAGCTTTTCAAAGAGAAAAACGCATACCCAATGGACAAACTTGACGAGTCTTCAACCATCTACTGATGCAGTGGAAGTGAAAGGCGTGATTGCAAACACCTGCACAAGTAAGGCAGCATTAGTTAAGTAAGGCACTCTGTGTTGTCCAAATGCACATTATAGAACAACTAAGTATTCGAGAAGGTGCCTCTCAAACAGAGAACAAAAAGTTTCCTAGCTAACAAGATTCATCCTCAAACTTAGACTTTTTACATTGAGCAATTGAGAATATAGAGAGATGCAATGCAGTGAATTTGGCCATTCTCTTGAGATCATAGCTTATCCTCAATCATAGATAATTGCAGGTACAAACCACTGCAGGAGTTTGGAAGAATGCAAACAATAACTACGATTTGGTTTCTCTTAAAAAAATCTTAAAAATTCAATTAATCTAATCAACTGCACACCACAATGACCAAATTAGATTGCTGCATTCGGATAAAGCATAAACATCTACACAGTGCCACAAAATACAGAAAAATCCAATGCCAAGCTATAACAAACGAGCTCTGAGATGCTACAATTGTTTCACACAACACTACTTTGCATACAGATTTTGCGTTTCTAGATAACACAGCTACGATAATAATCAAAGACGTAGAGGGAACAAGACTTACCCCAAGCAACAGTGCATTCCTCACTTGTGGCGCTGGCCTGATTCGCCTGGCACTCGATGCCTATCAACAACGAAACACACAATAGAAGTTAGCCTAAACACTTAATAATTCAGTAATCTCCTCCGGGTTATCAGCATCATGGTCTCAAATTTCTTATCAACAATTGTTAATCGGACTTACACAGATCCATGATGTGGTTCCTGCAGATGGCGCAGTTGTCAACAACGATATCTGCAACCAAACAAAGACCAATCAATCATTAAAACCCTAGCTAGCCAAAAGGAGAGAGCATCGTAACACAGACGTCCAAGGAATTACAAGGAATTCGAGGTTACCCCAAGCCCAGAGAGCGACGGCGCTCCACTTCTTAATTTCAAATCGCTTAGTTTTCTTCGAGGAAGAAGAAGAGGCTACACTGCTGGAGGCTTCTCCGGCAGGAATCATAGTAACGTCGGAATCGAGAGACGCCATTGATTGACCTCTGATCGGAAGGAAAACGAAAACCTAGAAAATTGAAGGAAAATCTGAGAGAAGACGACTCGAAGAATAAGCGTCGGAAATAAAAGTATAGAGACAAAATATGCCTCGGGCTTTGCATAATTGCATATATAGTGGGCTTCCTGAGGAAATAGATTTTCGTTATTTCCATAATTCGCTAAAAATTTCCTTTTTTAATTTTACATATTCCTACAATTTTAACATAAATCTACAAATTTTCTCTTTCATTATCCAAAAAAGTAAATTAAAAAATATTTTAGTAAATCTAAACCGAATAAATAAGTATATATATTTTAAAAATCATTATATATATATATATATCTTTTATTTAATTATTTTTTGTAGAAAACATATTTATTTACTACAGTTAGAATACAAAAGGTTTGTAAGATAGTTACATCCAAACAAACAAAATTATTTGGAGGACCATGTTTAGCTAAATTATGTGCAGCTTCGTTGCACTCTCTCTTAACATAAGTTACATCAATATATTGAAATTTATCCAACCAAAATCTAATATCTTTTATTTTGTTACTAAAATTTCAGCTAGTTTGACCAGTTGTTGTATATAGTTATCGAAATCAGCAGTTGAATATTATTAAAAGAAGTATCAAAAATTTATAATAAGTAACTAATTAATAACTCGATGCATGAATTTAAAACATGCCGCCTAAGCCTCGGGTCATGGACTCACGGCACGGGTATGGTTGGGACAAAATATTTGGGATACAAAATCCATATCACCCAATTTACAATAATCATGAATGGTGTTCATGTCACGTAGAACCATCAAGATAGTCACAATGCGTCTCAATTATCGTGCTCCTCGTCTTCTTCCTTTGGCATTTCAACACACCAAATCTTGTCTACCTCGGCTAATGTTTGTGTTGTGACTTGTGAGTCTTGTGACTATTATTATTCAAAATTCTTTGATACCCTTCTCTGAGTTTGCCTCAAACACTTGCTTTACTAGTGTGTTTTTTTTTGGACGAACATGAAAAGTATTCGAGAATCATTTCTAAGGGGTATGCGCAATGTTCAAATCCTTTACCGCACTTCTACTACTGTTATGCAGCACAATGATTTATTCGAATAAGAATTTTGATGTTCTTACTAGCTGGAATAATATGGTCTTTGGTGAGTTCATAAACTAAATCAACTTTGATGGACCCACTCAATTTGCTAACAAAAAACTCGGTTTTGTTTAACATTTGAACCGGTTTCTAACACTTCGTTAAAATGTTTAGAGAAGTTTAGGGTTCATTCTTCAACTTAAGTTCAGATAATTCCGTTAATGTGAGAAATTATATTGATTCAAACCTTTGATTCTAAAGTCTAAAAGGTTTATGGATACGTTTAAAATGAATTCTTGGCTATCAATTAAGAAAAGAAAACAATCATTATGTGAGGTTGGATCGGTCAAAGAAAAGTCTTTGTTCTGTAGCTGTTTTTCTTTGTTGCTGCTGACGCCAGCGATCATAGAGTCAAAACTCGTGCGTCAACAGAATTGAATGAGCTCTCTCATCAAAAGCCCTTTGAAATTTTTTGGACACTCGATGCATTTAAGCAGGCCTGCATTTATAGTGATCAAACCACAAAAGCATTAACTAGACAATGGCTCAATAAATGAGTGAGCATTTAGTAGGAACACACGAGTGTGATACGAAACACGTAAGGATTAATGTGTTTATAGATTTGGTGATGATGACTTCATTGCCTGACTCTGTCCCCTCTTCTTTTTACAAAGACAAAAGATTTGTTGCCGATTCTTCATCTCTCGGTGATACCACCTTCATTGGTTTCATAGTGTATCGCACTTCTTGTTTAGTTGTGCACCTTATTTGTTTTTCTTTTAATCATATCGGCCGAAGCTTAATATACAAGTAAAACATGTAGATGTGTCAATACTGAAGTTTAACAACTAATTTAGTACTACAACCATATAGTTCATTGTATTTATAACGAGCATCTCACTTCTTCAGTAAGCAGTTGAAAAAGAACAGATGTTGCGTATTTTGGTACATTGTTCATCGTGAAAACATAGCATACATATTTTAGCTCATAACATTATAATGAGAATTTTGACCCCCCCAAAAAAAACATTATAATGAGAATTCGGAAAATGATATGATTTTGCATGATACAATATTTTTTGCTTTTCACAAAATAACAACATTTCAAGACTACTAATATCAATAATCATGTTTATGCAAAATTATTATATGTTGGTAAGTATTTGCAAAACCTTTATAATTATTATGTTTTTCTATAGTTCCAGTACTGGTTGTTAATCAAACCGTCAAGACTTCATGCATGTGTTAAACTTTTTTCATAATAGTTAGTATGTCAATATGAATAGACACTTTAAACATTCATGCATGGGTCACTTAGACTCATCAATTATAATATGACAATTTAAATAGAAAGAGGGTTCATATCTATTCTATGCGAGGAGGACTATACACTATACACTATACACCATAGAATACACACAATTAATGCGAGAGGGAGGAATGATATCAACATAGGGGCCTTACAACCTCATCATACTTTGAATGTTTTTTTATATCTATATGTTAGAGAAAGTTAGGCCAACACGCAAAGCCCTACGTGCACTCTTTCATTATTCCTCTCTTCTTTTGCCCCCAACAGTCTTTGACGACCCACCTTCTCCTTTCTGACCCCTCTCTCTCTCCCTCACACACATAGTATATGATAATATATGCTGTTTATTCAAAATGGTTCTTTTATAGTTTGGCATTTATCATCATGATATTTACATACTGATCCGATCGATAGAGAAACTTTAATAATAAGATTTCATTTTCTGACCCAAAAAAAGATTTCATTTTCTGACCCCAAAATTTTTTTAGTAATGCAATTTAAATTTAAAAGCGAGAACTTAAATATACTCATATCTCACTTATGCAACACATATACAAAACTTACAGTAAGAAAATTCAACTTCTAGTTTTACTTTCATAGATATTAATTAGTTTATGATCAAAGTATGAATGTGATTAATATGTACTCTAATTGAATGGATATCTAAATTTTTCAATTTCAGTGTTCCCTGATAATATATGTTATACTGTATAGTATTTCCTCTGTTTTCAAAAATTTATATCTGAATATCCAAATTTAAAAAATATAAAACGAATTGAAGCCGATATTGTTTTCCTACCCTAGAGACTAATCTAGAGAGAGGTCTAAGATATTGATAGTCGTACCGATGCATAGGATCGTGCAATAACACAAAATATGGTACACCTAGGGTTTATGTAGTGTTTGTGAAATTTAGGGCAGACAAGCCCCACGTTTTCAAAGAAAACAACAATTTTACAGAGTTAGAAGCTTATAAACTTAGCAATAATACAAGGTATTGTTTGGCCCTAGTTTCTTTTAGCTCTCATCACTCTCTCACTGTTCTTCTTTAAACCCTTCTTTTGCGTTAGTGCCATCATGGCATGGCATGGTTCGTTTTCCTTACGTAAAACACACTCACGCCAACACATATATACATACAATTATACATCTATGTATGTGCGTGTGAGTGTATCATTAATGAAATCTCTTGGCCTCTATATATACAGACATTCCATAACCAAAACTCTCATATTACCAGTGCTCACATACTTTGGAAATTTGGGCGAGAACCTCCACGTTGGAGAAGCAGGGCACGTGCAAATGAACAAACACGAAATCTGTCTCCTGTGTGTTTGCACGCGCTCCCCTTCTCCAACATGAGCTTCTCTTCCTTTCAACCTTGTTGATAATTCTAGCAACTCAAGTGTTTTTGTTTTCTTGTTGTTCTTCAACTCTTTCTGTTTGGTGGCAATAGAAATTCTAATTCCTCATAAATGTATAGTTTAGGCGTGTGCGAGGGTTTGCTTTGGTTATTTGGTGAGAAAAACTTCACCAGAACGGGCAGTTTCACGATGGAATTGACTTGACAACTTCAAACCATTCCTTCGGAACGAGTCAGAGAGTCTTGAGTGGACTTTTGTTTCAACGGAAAGCCCTTTGTATGTTTTCAGATATTTGCCATTTTGGCTGCATTTTCGTTTTGATGTTCGTTCTCCAGTGCTCGTATTCTTTTTTCCCATAGGATTGTTGTCCCAAACCGGCAATTTGCTAATAGAATTGGGTTGAGATTTATGTTTGAGTCTATGGATTTGCTTTTCTTTATTTCAGAAAAATCTGTTTGGCTTGCATATATAAGTATAATTAACTTGGAGTTTCAAAGTTAGTGACCATGAAATTATTCGATTTCAAGCTTCATCTTCTCCATAGTTTTTTGAAGCTTTTGAGGTTTTCTGCAGCATATGTGAGACGATCATCATCGAATCACGATATACATGCAATCAAAGGAGATATGAAGAGAATTATTCTGCAAATTGTCGCATGATTCTGTAAGATCGACTCTACTGCTCTTTTACTTGATTATTTGAAGATACTCTGCCAATTATTCTAATCAAATATAAAGTGCATCAAAGATCTTACAAAATGATGTCACAATTTTTGTCTACAAACCATCTGAGTTAATATATATAGTTGGATGAAGTATATATGCTAAAGCCCAATATTTGTCTTTTTTCATTGCATCTGCATCTGCTCTCTCACAGCTGAAACTTTCTTCCTCAGTTCAAGATTTGATACCTTCTCCACCTCCAGAGCTCGCTCAAGCTACAAAACCCATTGAATTTGTTAGCCACATTGAATTAGAAAACACTACAAAGAAAATCATCTGAAACAAACTACTTGATAAAGACTTTCACAAATCATATGCATTTCTATAACATTTAGAACTTTCGAAAGAAGAGAAGACTGTGTACCTTTGCGGCACGCATACTCCATTCTCCCAGAATAGCTCTTAACCTCTCATTCTCTGCCACGTACTGTTTCAGGAATTTCAAAACAGAAGACACTGAATTTCTCTCTAGAGCAATTTTGTTAAAACAATAAAAAAAAAATTCCGGAAATGTGTAGTCCCTGCAAGTTGTTCGATGCAAAAGATTTCATGGAAAAGCAGAGTTGATAACTTAATGTACATGTTGTGATGACGATTCCTCGTGGAAAGTATGTTTTGTTCTCATATGTTCTTATGTTTTATGCATAGATTCAAACCTGATTATTGGTATTCCTGACGTGCTGTATCTCTCTATCTCTCTCAGAGATCAGAGATCGAGCGAGATTAAGCTCAGAATGGAGTTGATCCACCTACAAACATACCATTAGTATTTAGTATCCTCCTTCACTCTAAAATGCTACATATAGAAATTAGCCTTGAATCGTCAATCAACTGTTAAATGTCTTCTACAAGAAAAACTATCCATGTGATATCGCAAGCGTCTCATTTGTTAACCCGAGCTTTACCTCAGCAGAAAGTGTTCGTAGTTCCTGATCACGGGTCGCCACAAGATGTGCCAGATCAACCTGAGATTTTTAACACTTATTACTTGAAAAATCAGAAACACAGGGGAAGGAAATACGTCGACTTTATGGAATTATTGTTGGATGTTGTTAGCATGTATCCATGCTTAAAGCTCGATTGAAAATAATTCATCAGTTTGCAAGGGTAGTTCAAACCTGAGGAGTGCTACTACCATTAGACTCTTCATATTTGCTTAAGGACTCCTGCAAACGCAGAATCTGAACACGCAAAAACAGGGTCAGGCACTCACTCTAGCGAAAACACAGGATAATTCAGAGTACTGAAGTTAGGATTGCTAGCAAGAAACTGTAGAGTAGTAAGAAACAACACAAGGATGAAGATTCAAAAATGAAAAGGACTCATGACAAATGTTTCATGTAATGTCACCTCTTCGCTGAGATAATGCAGATTCTCGCGCTGGTATTGAAGTAGAGCCATTTGCTGATCAGAAAGGCGACCAGCTTCATGGTACCTATATTTCAAGCAAACAAAACGAATCAAAAAGACTTTAGAATTGTATGAGCATGGCAATATAAAATAAGGTTGCCATTCTCAAACAAATTTTCATGAAGAGTGGGAGCAAGTCTCCAGTGAGATTGTGAAAGTACCTCAATCCTTCCAAAGCAGCCGGTTGAAGGGGAGAATATAATGAATTCAAGACATCTGGCTGCGAGTTCACTGAGTTATACTGGCGAACATAACCTACCAATATCAAATAGAGATAAGAAAACATGCATTAAAATAACTTAGCTACAGAATCTCTTACGTAAGACAAACAGCTGACAGAATATTGTAACAAAATAAGCCTAAAGAATCGATTTGGCATTATACTACTCTAGTTAAGGAACGAAAGTAATATTCAATGCATGCCAAAAGTGTGAATATGATTTCGTGGACCTTATGCTTACCAACAAATACAATCATAAAAGAAGCCGCGGAAATTGCTTCAACGGACATGATGAACCTGCAATAGTAATGTACTCGTAAGTGTTTTCGACCTTGGCAAAAGAACGGTTACTTCACCAAGTTATTCCAATATGAAAATACGAAATACATTGTCAGCTTCCAATTACTATTTCTAGTCAATAGCATCAAAAATAATCTTCTCATAGGCATTCAAATATATCTAGAAATTGGTAAATAGTTAAGTCAAATCTGTCAACACATGTGAATAAAAACAATTTGTCAATAAATTAGACGTTTTATTATGTGATATGCAATAGTTTTCTTAGCAAGACTGGGAAAGGTTAAGGCTGAAGTCAGAATCTTCGTTTAGTTCTTTTTATCGTCAAAGAAAAAAGAGAGAATAAACAGAACATGTGATCAACTGGAAAAGAAAAATAATAAGAATAGAAAAGCAGTTAATGTAAAAGAAGACCTCTGCACAGTTAAAATGGGAACAACAGTGACATATGGTCTCCACACCATGAACAGCAGCATAGATGCAGTTCCTAGAACAAAACGGAGTCACTATATTGAGCGCAAGAAATAGATTTATGCAAAGAATATGATTGGAAAAGTAGCATTGAAGATTACCATATGCCATGATGGCAAATGGCAGACGAACTACATGTTTCAATTTCTGACTGAAACTGTAATAACCCTGCAATAGAAGATTCTTTCAGAAGGTCTAGAGATGAAATGACTATAAGTCTATAACACCACACTAGAGAGTAGAGAATATCAACCTATGTCTATATACCTAATAACGGAAATAAAATGAGGAGCAACCCTTGGTTAGGACAAATGTTACCTGCAAGCGTATTTTCTGGACCTGATTGACAAAATATTGCTGAAACATTCCTGTTGCAGAGAATGTGAAATGAGATTTTAATGTTTTGCTCAGGTAACATTAAACCAAGAAAATGTTGTTCTAACTCCACAATCCAGCTTCAGGACCATCACTTTACACCCAAGCTTTTAAAAATACATTATCTTCATGGACTTGGGAGACTAAACCGAATCTCAGATAGGAAGAATCCACATCAAGTATTAAGCTGAAGGGGAGTATTGAGGTTACCTGTTAACATCAACAGAGCAACATTGCAGCTGCAAAGCAGCGATGGGATAAGTGACTGTACAGGCTGAAGCATCCATGGTGCTCCTGCTGCCAAAACAGCATAACCTAACTAAATTTGACAAACAGTAAACATATAAAGTCAGGGATTCATGCTTCTCATTATCCTTAAAAGGGTATGCTACAAAGCTCTGTGTTTAAAGGTCAAATGGCGAATATCAGAAGAAAAAAAAGTATGAGTTTGGAAGCACTTGCCAATATGATAAGGTACATGCAACTTCCAACAAGACTTCTAGATTCTCGATGACCGAATAGAGGAGCTTCATGCAGTATATCAAGAAACCTACAATCAGAAGAAAAAAACAGAGCCGAAATTTTCGAATGATTACATAATTCAACTTCAATAATGATGCGCAAGGAACATACTTTGAAACAACAGCAGCAACAAACTCAGAAATTCAGAGCTGAAAACGATCGAATCACGAAGCAAAAGAGAGTAATCGTCTCCCTCGATTGTAAAAAATCAAATCCCACACAAGGAATTTCGCTCGATCTCCGATAAACACATATAAAAATTGGGAAAAGCTCGAAACAAATGCATTATTATAAAATCATGAGCTTACATAGCATTGTCTTCCTCCGTCGTCGGATTGTAAGAAGAAGCGCGTCGGTGGTTCACCATTTTTTTTAGTAAGAGGTTTCGTCTTTTTCGTTTGTGGGAGTGAAAAACTGTAATCTCCGATACTTGTAAACAAAGAGTGAGAGGGGTTTCGCTTGAAGATTAGGGTTGAATCATATTCCTTCCCCGAATCTGGAGATTTGAGAGATGTGAAGGGTAAAGCGTAAGGATACAAAAAACTTCACTGTGAAATCATCTCCTCTCTTTAATTAACCTCGTCGTCTTGATTTGAAATCAGAGGATTGGAATGTTTGGTATGCACCTTTGATTTCGAAGATTCTGATCAACCAGTCAATAACAACGCTGCTACCTACAATATTTTGGTTCATTTTAGGGGTCAAAGGTCTAAAATGTTGGTTTTGATTATTTAAATCAGCCGAATAATTAAGGTTTTTACTATCTAATTTTAACCCAAAACAAAAAAAATTCCTTTGCCTAATCGCTATTTTTGTAACTTGTAGAGAGGATTCGACTTGCTCAAAGGGTGAGAAAATAGCAAAAACATTTGTTGTGCTTTTGGGGAAGCATTTCCAACATAATCCATATATATAATTGGGATAATTATTACCTGAGAGTGTATTATATAGTAACAGAAAATGTTTTGAATTCGATTATTAATTTAGTAATATTAAAATAGAAAGAATTTAGTGATCGATGAGGTCTGCGTAGCTCCAATGGTGGCGGCACAATGTCGACTTCTTCTTTCCCTTCCTTCCCTCGCACCGTCTTCTCCTACACTGTGTCAACTTCCTTCTTCATCGTTTTCTTCCTATGCAGCGTCTTCCTCTTCACCAGACGCACTCTCGAACCTTCTCTCTCTCCTTACCACGCCGACATCCCTCTCCCGGCGACCTCCTCCGATCCACGCTCTCCCGCGGTCCTCCTCCCTCCAATCGAGCCTCTCCCTTCCAAAGATTCAACGCCTCAGGATACCGATGGTGACGTCACAGTAAAACCAAACCCAAAGGAGGAAGGAGGAGATTCGCGCGGCGATGATGACGTCGCGGTAGGGACTAAGCTGAAAGCCGTGGAAGAGTCGCGCAGCGTTGACCTCCCGGGGATAAACGAGCTCGAAGAAGGAGGAGGCTCGCGCGGGGAAGTGTCGGTCGAGGAAAAGGAGGAAAGCAATGCGGAATCTGTGGTGGTGGAGAAGATGAGAGGCTGCGATCTGTACAGAGGATCGTGGGTTAAGGACGATGAGTATCCATTGTATCAGCCTGGATCGTGTCCTTATGTGGACGAAGCTTTCGATTGCCAGAGGAACGGGAGGCGCGATTCCGACTATCTCAATTGGAGATGGAAGCCTGACGATTGTGACCTTCCACGGTAAGATGCTTTTCCATTTGATCTGTTCTCCTGTTTCAAAACTCCATTGTTACTCCTGATTGAAGTTATTGTCAATCTATAAAAAAACTGTTGATCAGCATTTCACTTTCTAAGTTTTCTCTCTTAAGATTGAACTCAAGTCAGAGACTGTCATATAGCATTGTGTTCATGAGTCACAGTCATATTAGCTGATTATGAAGCTAAGGTTATTTGGATAAATGATTCAGTTGTCTTAATTGTGCAAATTGTAGATGCACAGAAAGTTTTTCTTTTGTGTGTTCATATGTTGTAGAGCAATCATGAATTGATAAGCACATACTTATTTAAGGAAATGTAATTACTGTCCAGCATTAGATGATTGTATTAGTGGAATGGATCATATGTTATTTATTTTTTTTTTTTGTGCAGTGAATTTGTATCACTTTCTTATCGACTTTCCAAACATTAGGTTTAATGCTACAGATTTCTTGGTGAAGCTACGAGGTAAAAGTTTGATGTTGGTTGGAGACTCAATGAACCGTAACCAGTTTGAATCGATGCTTTGCGTTCTCCGAGAAGGTTTATCTGATAAAAGTAGAATGTACGAGGTTCATGGCCACAATATAACCAAGGGGAGAGGCTACTTTGTATTCAAGTTTGAAGTAAGTTCACTCTTCTGCTCATCATTGCCTGTGTTTTAGGTTGAATGTTCACTGGTATTTTTATTTCTGGATTAAGGGTAAAAATGTTGGACAATGTGACAGGATTACAATTGCACAGTAGAGTTTGTGAGGTCACATTTTCTTGTGAGGGAAGGAGTCAGAGCAAATGCTCAAGGGAATACTAATCCAACACTTTCGATTGATCGCATTGACAAGTCACATGCTCGATGGAAGCGAGCCAACATTCTTGTCTTCAACACTGGACATTGGTGGGTTCATGGAAAGACCGCCAGAGGGTATGGCTCTTTCCGTTTCTGCTTTGTCAATCTTCTCTGCATATGTTGATAGCTTTATAACTTCATCAGATACTTTCCGAATCCTCAAAGCCATTGTCTAGAAATGTCCCTTAAATTTTCGTACCTGTAGTATTAATTAACGTTGCAAAATCTTCTGAGTTCATCATCTTCTAAAGCTTGATGCTGCTGGTGCATCCCATTGTACATGTGTAATTTTGTTTCATGACAAATTTTGTCTAGAGAAGGAAAGGACTACTAATTAGTGGTGAATAAAACTAGCGCAGGAAAAACTACTACAAAGAAGGTGACTACATCTACCCGAAATTTGATGCGACTGAAGCATACAGGAGGGCGTTGAAGACTTGGGCAAAATGGATCGATTTGAATGTGAATCCACAAAAGCAGCTTGTATTTTACCGCGGATACTCCTCTGCCCATTTTCGGTAAGCCTCATTTTTTTAAGTACCACCCTGAATCTTTTACGAGATTCTGTTGTTCATGTCACTTGCATCATCTTGTGTAGAAAGAAGCAATCTAGTTTACTGTTTGGTTTTCAGTTTTCAGTTTTCAAACGAAACCATAAATTTGTTCGGTTTAAATTTAACAGGGGAGGTGAGTGGGACTCGGGAGGGTCATGCAATGGGGAGGTGGAGCCGGTAAAGAAAGGTTCAATCCTCGATTCCTATCCTTTGAAAATGAAGATAGTAGAGGAAGCTATAAAGGAGATGCAAGTTCCTGTGATTCTTCTAAACGTGACTAAGCTGACTAATTTCCGCAAAGACGGACATCCGTCGGCCTACGGTAAGACCAACACGGATGGTAAAAAGGTGTCGACAAGGCGACAGGACTGTAGTCACTGGTGTCTGCCCGGAGTTCCCGATGCTTGGAACCATCTTATCTACGCGTCTTTGCTCCTTGAAGCACATCCCTAATACTACTGTACTTGAGCTCATACATCAACAAAATTAGTTAGGAAGAGAAGAGTAGATAACCAAATGACCAATTTCAGTCTTTCACTGTTATAGTAGTGACGGCATCTTTTGTGTATTTATCGAAATTGGAAGCGAAGAGGTTATTTTTGTTACTATTTAAATGGCAAAGCTTTTCTCATACTAAATCTCAAATTAGCAAACAAAATCTCGAATACGTATTAAAAAGTTGGAACTGTATAACAAAATTTGAAATTAAAAGCAAAAGCAGCAAACAGTTGACTCAACAACAACACTCGATTTTCACGGCGACGTTTTCTTCTTCAACTTCTTGATCGTCTTCACTCCTTTGCGTGCGTTGGGTTTCACTTTCTTCTTCGTCTTCCTACTCTGAGAAGACAGCTCCCTCACTGGACCAGCCGGGATTCCTTTCTTCAGAGCACTTCCTCTTGGTGTAGCAGACGGAGGCAACCTCAAATCTTGTGGAGGTAGAGGGCAATGAGGCTTCCACACCAAATTGTTCTTCATTGCGAATCTTACTCTCTTTAAGCTCTTCTCTCCGCTCGGGGCGGCTATGCTCGTCTCCGCTGCGTCTCTGTTAGCAGTAGTACCTTGCTCTACCCCTTTGTTCTCTCTTTTCCTCTTCTTTGACTTTTTGGCTACTGTCGTCACAGGTTCTGCTTCTTCACAGACACTTGCAACCTCATCTTTTGGTGATCCCATTTCGGATGCAATCTTCTCAAACTCCTCTCGAAGATCCGATATCATAGTCTCATCAACAGCTTCTTCATCTTTCTCACCAAGATCGGAAACATCAGCGCCCTTCTTCGCACTGCCTTTTTTAGACTTTGAACTTTTCTTCAAACTCTTTTTCTTCGAAGACGACCCATTGGCAACAATCTTCTTAGACTCAGAAACAGCAATTGATTCACCCGCTTCTGTCTCGCTGGACAAGGGAACCAGTTCAGGCACCTCATCGTCGTCACCAGGACGAGAAACTTCTGCGATAGAAACTTTGATACCAGAAGTCGACATATCACTCCCCAACTGCGAGAACTCCTTGTGAAGAGAGAATAACGTTTTCCTATTACCTTGATGGCAATCTGGAGAAGAACCCATCTCATAGAACCTCTTTGCAAACCCCATAGACAGCACAATGGATCCCAAAACCAATACATCAGAATCCTCAGGCTCTGTATCGTTCCCAGATTTCTTAACATCCAGCAGCTTCCTCCCCATCTTCAGCAACTCATCAAACAAATTACTCTTAATCTTAACCCCCAAAATCTTGTCATTAACTACACCCAAAACTGTCACAAAAGGGGCGAAAAGAAGTTCCAAAACCTCTTTCCTTAGTGGAAGAAACGGCTTAAGCTCTTCAACAAAGGCAGAAGCTATATGATAGTTCACACCATTCCCCTGAAACTTATCACCAGCAAGGAACGTCCCATCGAACAAAACACCCATCAAACGGCGAGTGAGTTCCAAGTCCCACGAGTTGCTATCGAGAAGGGAGAAGAAGGCGTGCAAAAACCTGCGGATCAAGAGGTAGAACTTGTCTAACCTGAGCCGGTCGATGCGGGACCACTCGCGGCGCATGGTGAACAAGAAGACGGTGAAGTAGTGGAGAGCGAGAGGGAGAGGAAGGGACTGGAGAGCAGCGGAGAGCCGATCGATGAGCTCGGATTGGTAAAGAGACTTATCGGCGTGCCACATGCAGTAGAAGATGCCTTGCCATAGCTTCTTCATGTCTTCGTCGGGGATTTCGGTCTGTTCCGGGAGCCAAGTACGAAGAACAGTTCGCAGGGATTTGTCGCGGATGTTCTGCTTGCAGGAAGCGAGCTTCTTAATCAGCGATTTACATTTTTCTTCAACTGGGAGTGCCTGTTGTTCCTGCGAAACTTGATTCCGTTTCACCATTGCTATCGAATTCTGAGGAGGGAGGAAAGTGACGGCAGCTTCTCTGTGATGGAAATTGGGGGAGAAAAAGAAAGAAGGACGTATAAAGGGTTAGGGTTTAGCTTTTGTTTCTTTCATCTATCTTTTTACATTTTAACCCTTATCTTTAGATTATTTATCTTTTCCTCCAAATAATTTTGTGAAACATTATGTTACAATATACTGAAAGTCTCAAAATAATAATTAAACGTTTTTTGGAAAGTAGCTCTTGTTTTTTAAGATTTTGAAAATGAACATTTTTCTGTGAAAATACAAATATATCCTTGTGAAAAGCAAAAGCATTTTTCAAAACATTCCTTTCTTCTTTTTTTTCGGGAATTTTTCAAAACATTCTCTTTGGAAAAGGTTTTGCTGTAGAATTAAAATTGGATATTGACGTTCCATAAAATTGGTAACTAAAACATTGTATTTGTCCCTAATTCATGTTCTAATGAAGAAAATATGCGGATCCAATCCGGATACTGTATATAATTTTAGACTGGATCTGAGATATAGCTTATTGGACATTTGGTCAAATGTATAAATATAATTAACACGAGGGTTGTAAGAAAAAAGTATAATGAACACGAGGGTTACATATCACTAAAATAATATTTCCAAGCATATTATTAAAAAATTTAAGGAAATCAAATAAAAAGAGGAAATGAAAAAGAAAAGACAAATGAAATAAAAACACGGAGAGGGTTTCTTGTGTTCTTCGTCTCCAACGCGCTCCTCCACCATTTTCTCTTCTTGCAAGCTTCCACAGAGACGACTTTTCCGTGATTGCCATACACGCCGGTTAGCTCTACTTCTTCAATTCTCCATCTTCTTTGCTTTCCTGAATTTTACTTTTTTCGCGTGAACTCAGTAATGTTGGGTTGCTTCGTTCGACTATTTTCTGACGAAATTAGCACCGATCGTTCGTTGGAATTGGATCTATCTCGCATGGCTCGCACAGTGAAATTTCGTGATGTAATTGCTTTTTTGAATCACTGGAAAAGTTGGAGACCTGCAAATGTTATGGTGTGATATTCGTTTTAGTCATTGGACCTCCATCGAGCTTGTTGCAAAGCTCACATCTCTTTCTCCCTTCTCGCTAGTGATTGTGTAGAAGTTCAATGCTACAGTAGAATTGTTTGTGTAGAGCATTAGAGTGGACAATTCCTATTTCGTTGTTTGAAAAAAAAAAACTGTTGCTGATTGGAGCTAAATTGTGACATGTACATCTCTAAGGCCTAAGATCTCGGACACTTTCTTCTCATGTGTATGGCATAGATTCATTTCAGATTTTATCCCAATACCAATACTGGAGGATGAGTTATTTCTAACACTCCCTCTTGAAATCTGATCCCAAATCTTCTCGCTCTAGGGTTTCAAATTCAGCATCCTTTTCAGTTTTGATTTCGTTTGCATTTATCTCTTTAAATGATCATGCTTTAAATTTATGTCTCTGTTCTTGTTTTCTTGTCATTGGTCAATGGCTGGATGTTTGTTCTCACTCACTACTTTTCTTTTCAGAATCTCTGATCTTCTGGTTGTTTTTCTTGCAGCTTGATCTTCTTGGATTTTGCTTGATTTCCGCAAATTCGTTGGTAAGTTTTCAGTATAGCAAACCCATGACTTCATTTTTTGTCATACTATGTGGGTTTTGCAGGATAATTTGATAAGTTCTAAAAGAAAATTAATACCTGGTTCAAAACATATTACAGATGTTTTAATTTGAGGGGGGTGTTTTTATTAAGCAAGAGTGAAAGCAAGAACATAGATAAATCTGAAAAACAGAAAATTTAATAATTCGTTAATTTACTCTTACCACATATAAGTAGTTCTGTTCTTAGATATCTTGACGAGTTTTAATATCTATATCTCTATGCATATGCTGTCGATGTTCCCCTTTCTTCTTCTCTTCTCTTGATCTGTGTCCTCAACAGTTAACCTTCTGCTTCTCTAATATTGAAAACTTCTGTCTGCAGCTTTGTGATTCTCAAGAGTTGTCGTGTACAAGATGAGTAAAGTTAATAGTGAGGAATCTTCTAGTAGCCGCAAATTGTTGAAGGAGGTCGAGACGATAAGTGAAGCTCTGTATGTGAACAAGAATCCCAGGGGCTCAGTGGCTGGTCCTAACAACACTTCAACAAAGCCGTTGGGTCGTACCCACTTGGCTGAGCCTCAGAAGGAGAAGAAATCCATTTGGAATTGGCCTCTCAGAGCCCTCTCTCACGTCCGCAACCGCCGATTCAATTGTTGTTTCTCTGCCCAAATCCATTCTATTGAAGGGTTACCCCCAATATTCCAGGATCTATATCTCACTGTTCACTGGAAACGTCGTGATGAGTCTTTAAGCACTCGTTCTGCAAAAGTTTTGAATGGAAGAGCCGATTTTAAGGACCAGCTGACACTTACATGCTCAGTTTATGGAAGCCGAAGTGGGCAACATCACTCAGCTAAGTATGAAGCTAAGCATTTCTTGTTGTATGCCTCTCTGGTTGGATCTCCTGAGGTTGATCTGGGAAAACATCGGATGGATCTCACTAGATTGCTTCCTCTCACACTTGAGGAGTTGCAGGATGAGAAGAGTTCGGGTAAGTGGTCAACAACATTTCAGTTGACTGGAAAGGCTAGTGGTGCTACTCTAAGCGTGAGTTTTGGGTACACTGTTGTTGGGGATACTCGTAACCCTGCTACATCACGTAGCATTCGAGACTTTCGCAGTGCTTCAAATGCAAAACAAGCTAGCAATAACACAGCGTTGACGAGAAGTACCAGTACGAAGTCTAGTCTAGGGAATGGCAAGTCCGCATCTCGGCGTTATGATCATGGTATTGTTAACAAAGAGTCTCTTCCTCTGTCCCAGAATATGGAGGAAATCAAGGATCTTCATGAAATTCTTCCTGTTGCACAATCTGACCTGGTCAGTTCTGTAAACATTCTGTATCAAAAATTGGATGAGGACAAGGTGGATCCAGCAGCAGAATCTCGGTTCGAATTTGACGTTGTCACTAAGCACATTCAACCTGCTGAGTCAATTTCTCGTGAAAACGAAGATGCAAATGCACACCAAAGCAGTGAGCCTTTGGTAAAGAATGAAACTGATGTTCCTTTTGAGGATAGAAAGAAAACTGGTGAAGTTCCTACTCCTGTAAATGAGGAAATTGGTACGGAAAATTTGCCTCCAGAAGAGCCTTTGGTAAACCGTAAAGACACTGATGTTCCTTTTGAGGATAGAAAGAAAGCTGGTGAAGTTCTTACAGCTGGAAGTGAGGAAATTGGTACAGAAAATTTGCATCCAGAAGAACCTTTGGTAAGCAGGAATGAAACTGATGTTTCTTTTGAGGAATCAAAGATAGATGGCGAAGTTTCTATTACCAGAAGTGAGGAAGTTGTTGAAATTGGTACAGAAAATTTGCCTCCAGAGAAGGGGAGCAATGTTTCTCCCAAGGAAGAGGAAAGTGTTGTTCCACGGGAGGATGAAGAGGTGATGAACGGCGAGAGAGACATGAAAGAAATGATAATGAAAGATCTTGAATCAGCTTTGAAAAGTGTAGAGATGTTGGAAGCAACGGCGTCAGAAGACGAGGAAGATCAAGAAAACCATGAAGACGCAGAAACTTGTTTTAGAACACCAAATAAGGATGCAGCATCATCAAGCTCGAGAGATGTGGCTGAATCCGTGGCTAATGAGTTCTTGGACATGCTAAGTATTGAACACAGCCCTTTCGGTCTAAGCTCTGAGAGTGAACCTGAGTCCCCAAGGGAGCGTCTGTTAAGAGAGTTTGAAATGGAATCTCTAGCGGCCGGTTCTTTATTTGGTTTTGATATTGAAGCTGATGATCCCGAATGTGATGAAAACTTCTCGAAAGAGTATGAATCAGATTTTGAAGAAGGTTTCGATCTGGCAACCCTCGTTCATGATATAGAAGAAGAGTACCAGTTGGAAACTCAAGCAAAAGTCAGCAACCCCAGGGTCAAAATGTTGGAAGACTTGGAAACGGAATCTCTGATGCGTGAATGGGGTATGAATGAAAACACTTTTCAGAACTCTCCGCCTCACAATGGCCGTAACGCGTTTCATCCAGCTGATGTTCCAGTGAAGGAGCCGTTTGATTTGCCTCCTCTTGGAGATGGCCTGGGTCCAGTTGTGCAGACAAAGAATGGAGGGTTCTTGCGTTCAATGAATCCCTCACTGTTCAGAAACTCTAAAGCTGGAGGCAGCTTGATCATGCAAGTGTCAAGTCCAGTGGTGGTGCCCGCTGAGATGGGCTCTGGTATCATGGAGGTACTTCAAAAACTGGCCACTGCTGGAATTGAGAAGCTCTCGATGCAGGCAAATAAAGTAATGCCTTTGGACGATATAACAGGAAAAACCATGGAAGAGGTCTTGTGGGGAACTTCACCTGCAATTGACGGTGTGGACAGGTTTGCATCATACTATCATTTTGATTTTGTGGAAAGGTTTACTTTGATAACTGTGGTTGAAATACCTTTACTTACAAGTTGGGTGTATTTGGCCTTTTCTTCTCAACGCAGGGATCATATATCACAGCATGAATCTGATGATGCAGCCGGTTTTGTGAGGGGAGCTGAAAGACGAGCACCATTTGCAGCTAAGCCAAAAAAGTCTGGTTCAAGCTCTTGCAACAACAATAACTTCGGCTCGGAGTATGTATCACTTGAAGATCTTGCTCCTTTGGCTATGGATCAGATTGAAGCGCTTTCTTTGGAAGGATTGAGAATACAGTCAGGAATGTCAGAGGAGGATGCACCCTCGGAGATCACTGCACAATCGATTGGAGAGATCTCAGCCTTCCAGGGGAAAAGCGGGTGCGTTGATCTAGAAGGAGCCGCCGGGTTACAACTTATGGACATAAAAGATGAAGGAGATAATGATGACGATGGATTGATGGGTCTCTCCTTGACACTTGATGAGTGGATGAAGTTGGATTCAGGTGACATTGGCGACGAAGACGAAATAAATGAGCAAACGTCAAAAATCTTGGCTGCTCATCATGCAAACCCACTAAACTTTATCCGTAAAGGAGGATCAAAAGGGGAGAAAAGAAAAGGAAAGAAAGGAAGGAAATGCGGTTTACTGGGGAATAACTTCACCGTAGCACTAATGGTGCAACTCCGAGATCCGCTAAGGAACTATGAGCCAGTAGGAGCTCCCATGCTTTCTCTTATCCAAGTTGAGAGACTGTTTGTCCCTCCAAAGCCCATAATCTACAGTACAGTTTCAGAGCTGAGGAAAACCGATGAAGAGGAAGAGGAAAGCGAGGCAGTGAAAGAAGAGAAAACCATGTTGAAGGAACAAGGGATCCCTCAGTACAAAATCTCAGAGGTGCATCTCACGGGGATGAAGAGTGAGACCGATAAGAAGCCATGGGGAATCACGACTCAGCAGCAGCAGGTGCAGTCTGGTTCAAGGTGGTTGATGGCGAACGGAATGGGGAAAGGGAACAGCAAGCTCCCTCTTATGAAACCGAAATCTACAAAGCCTAGTGATAAGTTGTGGAGTGTCTCTGGTTCTGGGTCCAAATGGAAAGAGCTTGGGAAAATGGGAAAGTTGAACACACACGTGCGGAATCCGAATGTGATAATGCCAAAATGAAACTAAAGGAAAAACGAGAATTTGAATGTGTTCTGCTTTGTGTTTTCGATGCCAAGTAAAGGTAATTGTTATGGGGAGTGGTGGATTGTGTAGAATTCACTTTAATGTTGCATCTCTTCACTGTGTGTGTGTGTGTGTAGATTAGTTTTTGACATTTGCGGATCAAACTAATCGCTGTTTGTTTGTACATTTAAGAGATCAATGGTCTAAATAATGAACAAACAAGAACCGTTGAACTTGATCTGTCAAAACACGAACCTGGTTCGGAGATAATTATTTTTGTAGATATATAATTAACAACAATGGTTAAGTATCATTATTTCCTTTTATATTCTATCAGTGGCCTCTACTTCATGCTTCGAATATATTGGACATTGTCGTTCTGTGGCAATTTATATCTATTAAAAATTTACCTCACTGGTTCCATTTTATATATCTTTTTGGGTTAAAAATCCAGAGAGAGTTAAGAGGCATCTTAGAAGTTTGCAATGTAATGCTTATTGCTTATTACAATTCAAGCCAAAGAGAATAAAATGAAGCATTGGGAACAATAACAACACAAATTGAAACACAACCATTAGAACAAAAATCAGAATTCTAAACACACTTGAATAAAAAAAAACGCATAACCACACACACACAAAAAAACTTAGAAAAGACGAAAGAGAAGCTTAGTTAGTTCCTCCAAGCACACCCTTAAGCTTCTTAACCTCTTCATCGCTAAGGAACGTCGTGGCTTCAACGAGCTCCGAAGGCAAGTCGTTAGCAAACAGAGCAAACGGCAGAATCTGGAGCCCCGGGGAGGAGCTTCCGAAGGCAACAAAGGCCAAGGCAGGGCCTTTCCCAGAGTTGAGCTGAAAATGAAGAAGCCCTTGAGGGAACACCATAGAATCGCCTCTCGAGAGAGACTTCAAGTAAACTTTGTTAGCAGAGGAAACAAATCCGGCGCAGATGGTTCCTTGTACGACAACAAGAACCTCAGACGCACCAGGGTGAGTGTGAAGAGGGATGACACCGCCACCGGCTAAGTCAAGACGAGCCAGTGAGACGCCAAGTCCGTTTAGGCCTGCGAAGGCAGGAGCAAAGGCTGGAGTCACCGCGGCTTTAATGATGTTCGAAGTGTTTCCGGCTTTGCCGAGACCGGAGAATGCGAAGTCATTCTCGTTGACCTGGTCAGGGTCCTTGCAAGAGTATCCTGATGGGCTTTGAGGACCCTTTGGATCAGCTACACAAAAGTCTAGAACAGAGGCAAAAGAGGTGGATGAAACCAAGGAGAGGATGAAGAAAATGTGGATTATCATTTTCATTTTTTTTCGTATAGATTTAGAGCAAGAGTGTTGAAGTTATGAGGTAGAAAAGAGAGGACGTCTGGTATATATAGAGAGTTATAAGATATTGATATGGTTAACGTGAGGAGGGTCTTGAAGCAATCCAGAGAGGGATCTTTTTTTTTGGGTTAGCATTTGCATGCATGTGAACTTTTGGTGTACGTACGTGGGAAAAAGCTCACATGGCTGTGATGGGGTATCATGTCAGAGATTTTTGTCAGTTTGGAGAATGGTGATAAATCTCTCGTTTTCAATAAACTTAACTTTTTAAGAAAGTTTAGTTTAACTGGCAAGAAGAGTAAAAGTAATCAATCATCTGTTTCATATGCAAAGCATAAATCTAACAGGCCCGATTGATTTTAAATTCATAAGTTTTCACAAAATCTTATATATACATGAGTGCCATTTTATTGAAGTATGAATCAATCATTGCTTACAACCAAATAATAACTGAGCATACGCATTGGACTCAGTCACTTGCTCCGCCCATCTACTTCTTACTTCTTAGTATGAACTAACCAAAGCTTCATTATGAATATTATTTTGAGGATATCCAACAAAATTAAAGTGGTAAACATAAGAAGAGTTTAGAATTAAGGCCAACAAAATCACTGTTTTTAACAACCTCAGGGTTTCGATTCTGATCACAACTAAAAAATATACAAGGTTTTGTAATTAAGAAAGGGTGAAAACTGTTAGAAAGCTCCTAATGGTATTTTTTAAGAAGTAAAAATATCTAGGGAGACGCTTTTTATAGGATATTTTTGTAAAGAAGATATGGAAAAAAATCGAAAGGATTGGAGAAGAAGGGAGATTGGTGTGGTCCAGTTTTGAGTAAAGAGCAAGCATGTCTCTTCCTTCTCTAATTTGGACTCCTCTGCACAGTACTTTCTTATCCTTTCGTCTCATCTCATCATCTTTTAAATTTGTGTGGCTCTTGAACGTTCCCTCTTGTTCAGGGCATTTACTAGCTGTGTTCTTCTCTCTTCATGGGCATCCTGATTTTTTAAAACCATCTCTTCTTTTACGCACCATATACTCTAGCAGTTTGCATAAGTACTGTTGGTGCCATCTTTTCTTTTACGCACTATGTTCTTCTTCCTCTCCCCATATTTAAATCCGAGTTGTACTATTGCAACTGCTGGTCATAACTCGGATTTAAATATGATGTGCGTGTATTTTAGACTATAAAAAAATGAAGAAAACAACATTCATTTTTGTTTTAGGCAATTGGTGTTTAGTACAAAAGAAGAACTTGGTTCATGCATGGCTTCTTGAAGCTTCTTGAAGCTTCTTGAATTTGGTACAATAGAGCTGGGTTGGACTCTGCCTGATTTGTTGACATTAAACTGGGCTTACACTCAGTTAAAATATACTATAATAAAGAAGTAGGTTAAGCCCATTATAAGAATATGCCCAAAACTGAGAAGCCCACATGCATATGAAAAACAAAACCAAGCAACAAGTGCAGATAAGAAATGTAAAAGAATTGTTTCCTCCATTAGTCTATCTAACCAGTTACCACAAAGCATATTAACATTATATTTGTAGTTTATAATCAATCAAATAAAAAAAATATGGAAAACGATGTATCTACTATTATAAATATTAAGACATCGATCGGTAAGTCAATTTCTTACCAAGAAAATTCATAATTGTAAAAACACGAATGATATAAATACCGACGACAACAAGCGAAGAGTGTCAGTATATAATTCACATAATGCATCGAGCCATATGATAAAATGGACAAGTTGCATTTAATAATTTGGCAGCACTTTTCTTTGCAGAGAGGTCCACTCCTCTGTTTTTCCTCTCCTATCTGACACTTTTCTGTACCCCAAATTTTCTCTATTTTCGTTTTTGGCCCCTACTTTTTTTTTTCCTCGTGACATAGACAACACCTCAGTGTTTAATGGGACCTCTAAATACAATAAAAACGGGAAAATAGTAGAAAAGACCTTCACTTCTGACTTCTGATCCAATAGTTGGATCCGTACCGTACAAAACCCAGAAACCCTTGATCAATTATTACGCAAAACCTATTCGAATTTTATTATTTTTTTTCACCATGAAAATCTATCGTTTTTACCTCTGCCGAATTATTCTCTCTGACTTCTTTGATCAAAAAAAGAATATAGTTTAGCAATTAATACGAATATCTCTAACATCTTTTTGGATAACCATCGGACAAAAGCAATGAATGTCATGTCGGATCCTCTGCTATAGATGTTTCGTCAATTTTGTATCTGGTTGTGTCCTACGAATATCGTTAAAAATTAGTTATAATTTGGTATTCAGTTCTGATTGATTTCAGACTGTTACAAACCAAACCGTGAGGATATCGATATCATTGCTTAACCGATTTAGTTGAAGATGCAAAGTGTGAACTGTGAAGCGTATAATTTGTCCTTTGAGCTAATGAGCTATGTACCAATGGATCCAAAATTAGTTTTAAAATTTACCAAACTGAAGACTTTCTTTGCAAGATAAGAATAATTTATTTTTAAATGAGAGAGTCTCCGTCGTAAGAAATACAACAGTACAAAATTTCAAAATCAACAGTAGCCGTTGACACTTGACAGCAAAACGTCTATATATATTTTAAAATATTCTTATATTAACTTGTGCGTGTGATTTAGAACAAAATATATAACGTTAAAACATAGATCATTTAATGATATAACACGATACACCGATTTACTTACTTCAAAGGATAATGCATAGCTTATTAACGTGTAACTTCACTTAATGTTCCAAAAAAAAGAAAAAAAAAACTTTACTTGTAATTGTTATTTTTATAAAAGCCATGTTACGTTGAAGCGTAAATTTAATGAGATATATTAAAATATAAATACAGGCACGTAGTACTATAACTATGTAAGAAACATAAGTGCTTGTAAATAATGCATGGCATTTGATGAAAATGCAAAGAATTGTATTATACAACGGGTTAATTAGTTTAATTCTACTATCGGTTGATACATACCAAACACTGAAACACACAGAGTTTCTGGGATTTTTTTCTCTTAAAAAGAGATGAGTTGTAGCTTAATCAAAAAAAAGACATGTAATTATCCACCTAAAGAGTGAGAAAGCATACTAAATGGATAAAGAAACAACAAATTTTTTCGCCTCGCCAAGAGAAAGAGAGTTGTGTACATTTGATACATTTTCAACCCATTAGAATTTATATCATTTCACTTGTTTTAAAATACTTTGGTATAAAAGTCCACTATTCTTGTTTTGTTTGATCAATCTGATGGAAAAAAAAAAACTAAAAAGATGAAGAAGAAAGAAAGATTTGATTGGATTCATTATTTGTGCTATGGGAATGATCTCTTTTCTTTTGGGCATTCTCTTCAAAGAAAGACGGGTCGAAGATATATCACATATGTCATTTCTAACGCGGTCTCTAATGAGCCGTCACGCTAAAATTCTCAAAATCAAGCACGACTATTTCACTTTATCATTTCTAAGTATGTTTGATTTTTCACCACGAAAGGAATTTGTAATTTTTTGACAGATTTTATGTATTTTTGTTTGAACCACGAGAGTTATGATTGCTTAATTGCATCTTGTGTTTTTTTACTCTGGTCGTCTACATTCACATATTTGTATATACTGACACATCTCATGGCAGGCTGGCCTGAAGAAATCATCCATCAATTACAAAAAAAAAAACAAAAAATATTCACAAGTTTATTACAAAAATGAAGAAAGAGTTCCTTCCTTTTAACAGAAATGAACAAAAATATGACTTGTAGAGAAAATAGCTATAACAATAATAATGATAATAATATATAATAATGTTTAAAAAGCTAAACAACAAGGATTAGAGCACATATTTTTACAATTGCAAAAACAACAACAAAGTCGTACCTTGGGACATTTAAAACAAGATGACCATCTGATCTTGCAGTTGCAGCTGCAGCATGAGCTCTTCTTCTTACACAGACAAGATGGTCGAGTGCAACTGCGGAAACAGGTGGGAATGCAGCAAGATAAGTCCGGACAAGAACAACAGCAACCTCGGAAGCATGAACAGCTTGGGCAGCTCGGACAGCTCGGGCAGCTCGGTCTTGGGCAACAACAGCTATTTGAGCAGCAAGACCCGTCACAGCATTTGGAGCCAATGCAGCTGCAGTTGCAGCACTTGGGCTTCCTCAGATGGCACGAACACTCGGATTGGCAACAACAGCAGAAACTCGCCAGGCTCACACACGGAATACCGCTACTGCAACGAGTTAGTTTATTAGTATTATGATCACTTTGTTAATAAAAAAAGAGATTTTCGGGCGATATATATATAATTCTTACCAGAGCCACTTCCAGAACCGGCAGGATCTTCTACTCTTTCGTTGTCTGTCCGTATGTAGAAAAATAAATGTTTGTAAGAGAGGGGAGAGTAAGAGATACGTGAAGTCATTGAGTGAACTAGAATTATCCTTACGCAGGGATCAAAGGGTCAGAATTTGCTAAGACAAAATCAGAGACCCTGCCACAATAAAAAAAAAACATATAACATAGATGAGATTCCATAAACATATTTCTTTTATCAAATAGTTAACCAAACTGAATCAAAACAGAGAGATCATCTCACTCTTTGCAGCATCTAGAAGCCGGTTGTACGCCTTCGATAAATTTAATTTCTCCCTGTTCATGTCAACATTCGAAATATTGGTTAATAAAACTTCATTGGCTAACGAAAAGTTTATTTGCTTGGAGAAATAGTACAAAAACTAATTTAGTAACGGGACAAGACACAACACAACAAGAATTTCACATTTCAAATTCTCAGGAGAAACAAAACATACACAGTATGAAAATGATTGAGTTCCTCATATATAAAAGAAAATATGCGAGATGAGAAAGCAACATGGAGAAAAGGTGAACAAGGATTGTCCTTTCAAACGCAGGTAGCAATAAAGACAAAAACTTTCACAAATAAAAATAAAAACTGCAAAGGAAGCTAATTCAATTTTTTTTTTTAATCTACCCATCAGCTTTCTCTACTTTGCTTTTCTAATGCTTCACTCTTTCTCTCTTTTTCTTTTCATCTTTTTCTTTCTATTTTCCTTTTAATACCCTCTTTGACTAAGCACTCACTTTCATAGTACACATGCACGAACACATACTCCTCAGTGATGCAAACAACTGAGTAAATGGGCGTCTCATCAATCACATCACACTACAAGATGATCTAAGCAAAAATCTTTTATATAGCAATTACTTGATTTTCAAGGTTGAAGACGGAAAATTAATTAATTGGAAAATTATGATCATGAAAATTAATGATGTTAGAACAGAGGTTAAGTGAAAAGTTTATGAACCCAATTAATACAGTATAGTTTTTAACCAATAGATCCGTTGAAAGCACCCAACTAACAGAAGTTTTTACTTTTTAGTATATAGATAATCTTTAAAAATGATTCAAGTTAATTTTCAATTTAAACATGCCCTTAATTTGAATGGACAACCAAAGTACTTGTTTGAAATTAGTTTTGATATAAATGTGTCTGATGACATAAATTAATTACTCTTTTTGATAGCATCTAAGAGAATAAATTAAATTAAATGTCTTGTTTTCTATAATTGCTGTCAAACATACACACAACGGTCCAGAGTCCAAACCAACCTGGATATAGTAGGGACCAAGTTTTGGCAAATCAATAACCTCTTTCTCACCAAACCAAAAAAAAAAACAAATAACAGTACTTACTAATTTATTTTAAAAACCTCTTCAAAGTCACAAGATTATTTACACAAGAAAAATTAGTTAAGATTAATTAAATTGTATTAATCAGAAGCTAGTACAGTAGTACTATACATACCATTTGTTTTTAGACATAAAAAAACAAATGAATCATGAAATTCAAAATATTCGGACAACTCCTCAGAGTAATCAAAATGGCAGATTAAAATAAAATAAAATAAAAACGAAAGAGAGTGACTGAGAGAGATACTAGTACTTATTTATAAAATACAAAAATAAAAGCACTTGCCTCGAGAAAACCAATCTCTCTCTCTAGCATCTGAACTCTCGCCGCCTCCCTGCGTTTCCCGTACAAATCTGGATACTCCGGAGGAGACTTCGGACGAGGCGGCGGTAGAGACGACGAAGTAAGAGCCGAACCTGCTCCACCAGCTCCTTCTCCTCCGCCACCGCCTGGAGGAGCAGCCATTGTCTTCTCCGGTATAAATTCCAGAGAGAAAAGGTTAGAGTGAAGAGAAAAACATGCAGTGACGAAAGAAATGAACAAAAGAAGAAGAAGAAGAAGAAGCGGCGAGTGAGAAAAACAATGCAGAGAAAAGGAGAAAGAGAGAGAGAGAGAGAGAGAGGGATTAGTAGAGAGAGTATAGGGAAGAAAGAGGAAGGTGGGTGGCAGAAGCAGTAATTATGGTACCTGACAAGGATAATTACTTACCTTCCTCTGCCCCTTTTAAGACTCCGTGTCTCTTTGATTTTTGAACTTTTATTTTTTTAACCATTTTATCGGTGGGGGGTACTTTAACAAATGTATTATTGTTGTTGTACAAATACTAATTATATCATTTCTTTTTATAAACTTTGATGCGAACTATTTAAAGGACTTTTCAAATATATTTTTAAAAATCTTCAACTTTGTTTATCTACACATTCTATCTTCATTAGAATGATATGATCCGAATAGTAACACAATAACAGTGTCGACTTGTGTTTTAACTATTAGGTTAGACAGATTCTATGTCACTTAATGCAGTTTTGTTTTTGTTATTCCGATATATAAATTTTGATTCGAGGTTAGCAAAGTCCCATCATAACTTCATTTTTCATTTTTTTTTTTTTTCATTCAAGACTCAAAGAGAAAAAGGAAGGCTTTGTAATGATCTGTGTGTTTTGTTTAGATGGAAACAATCGAATTTTGTAACTTATCTCTTCCTTAAAATATGGGTCAAAACATCTTAACAAGAGCCCAATTGCATACTCTAGTAATTGGGCCTTCTTAAGTTTCATGTGTTTAGTTTGATTTTGTTGAATAAAGGGAAAAATTCACTTGCAACAACTTCAAACCTGTTTGGAAGAATTGGCGTCGTAAATATGCTATAAAACCCTTATAAATCACACACCCTATGATATAAATGTCTAATACACAAGTGTGAAATCGATCCTCTACATTATATATTCAAGTATATCGCGTATCTTTTTTTTTTTTTTTTTTTTTTTTTTTGACGTTAAGTTTATCGGATATCTCGTAGAAACGATTAGTGGAGATATATACAAAAAAAAAATGTAGGTAAAAAAAGACAAAAGAAGAAAGCCTCTGCCGCATTGAGATGAGCTTCGAATGTTCGAATCTCATTTTAGCTTTAGAAATGCCCACTCCCACCAATAATTAATCAAGTTGTCGTTGATTAATTCTTAAGCTTTTGAAGTCTCTTGTGCACAAAGTAAGATACTTAGCATCTTTATCATTAAGCTTTTGAAGTCTTAATCAGCTTTCTTTATCAAGTGTATGACTACACAAGTGTTGAAATGTCAATATAAATATGAGGATTGAGAGGCCAAATATTGTATATAACTATAGACCTCACGTGTCAGTGTCTATATATATGTAATGGGTGCGAGAAGCAGCCAGGCGGTGGATCCGGTGGTGAGTCGGAGATACTCATCGGAAACAGAGGCGGTGCTGGTGGTCCGGCGAAGACCGCAGATGGTGAACGGAGGAGGATTCGTAGTGAGCAATAGCAAACAACAAATAGTGTTTAGAGTTGATGGGTGTGGAGTTCTTGGAACCAAAGGCAAGCTTCTCTTGAGAAATGGTGATGGTGATGATTTGCTTCTCATCCGCAAAATGGTAACCAGCTTTGTGTTTGTGGGTCTTATGATTTATGTAATCATATGAGTCTTATGCTAACGAATTTTGAGCTTTCTTGTTATGTTCTTTTCCATCGTGACAATTCTTTACCGTTAAAAACTGACTGTTATACCGTTGAATTCAAAATTTCTTTCAGGGAGGAATGGTGCAAGCACTGAACATGGTACACAAGAAATGGGAAGGTTTCGGATATGATAACGAAGGAGCACAGAAGCTGGTTTTCACCTTGAAAGATCCAAAAGATACATGCCTGGTTCAAAACGGTATAATCAGAATTTTGGTTCACGGTAAACCGAAAATATCAACCCGGAACATCTATAACAACAACAACTACGTCGAGATCAAAGGATCTTTCGCAGAGAGAGCTTGCAACATCATAGATTCAGACGGCAGAGCCATAGCTCAGGTGATTCTTCTTACTATTTGTTTACTACAAGCATAATTTTTTTTTTTCTTCCAAATTTTAGTAACTAAAGTTTGCTATTATTGGTGTGGCATTCATAAATTTCAAGTTTCTGACGAATTAAGTTGAAATAAAAATGGAAAAAGAAAAGGGTTTCAATTTTCGTTGTTGCAAAAGTCGTAGGAGATATACAGATGAATAATAATTGAAGGAGAGACTACATATATATAATAAATAAAACAATAAATGGAAACAGGTAAGAATAGAGAAAGAGATGGAGGAAATGGTGGGGAACAAGAAGGATATTTATCAAGTTATAGTCAAAGCAAAGGTGGATCAAGCTTTCATCGTCGGTGTCATCGCCATACTCGACTATATTCATGGCGAATCCACTATCTGTTGAAGATCAATATATAAAATGTATATTTATGCCAGAGAGTGATAGATAATATTAAACCATAGCATGTAACGAAAGAGCTTTTGTAGCAATCTCATAATTTATATTTTAGGAAAAAAAATGTTTGATATGATTTACAGAGTAGTAGAAGAGTATAATACAAGTTATTATATGTGTGTCTAATTACAAGATCAAAGCAACAGCCAAATCTGTCATTTTCAAGCTCGATCATAGGATTTAAACGATCGTGATTACATTATTTGTCAAACCCAGAAACGCATTTAGATGGGATAACTAAATTATACAGAAATTAAAAGTTTCTCCATAGATCAACAACAACAAACTGTAACCAAATTACAAACATCAAACACATAGCGTTCAAGTTTCCGAAACCCACCTTCGATGTCAATCAAATCAAGCACAGGCGCATGGATTCTCAGCCGCCGCATCAGCACCGCCGTCGTCGGATCTGAAAAAGAGGTACCCGACGGTTAACCCGACGACGATGGCGATGAAAACGCCTCCGTTGAAGGACATAGCCGCGAGCATCAGCAAGTAGCCGATCGCCGCGTTGACGCCGAAAAGCAGCACCGATGCAGCTTTAGCGGCGGATCTGGTACCCGATTTGGGGATAAGGGGAGCGGAAACGCCGGAGCGAGGCGGCGTAGGATGACGGGTGGAGGAAAGGGATCTGAATTGGAGGCGGCGATTCTCAAGGTACTGGTAAAAGGCGGCGAAGACGAAGCAGGCGACCAAGGTGAGGATGTAACTGAGCCATGAATCGGTTTTCCAGAAATCGAATAGAATCGTAGCTTTGATACCCCAGTAAAAGGTCATGTGCATCATCTTTGCAAGGTTTTCTGGGTTTAGCTTTTGATCGTATGTGTGAGAGAGGAGGAAGAAGCAGAAGAAAACGATGAGAAGAAATTATCCAAAAGCTGTTCGAAGCAGTTTTGGTTGTTGTTGTTGTTGTTGATCTGTTTACAAGATAAGTATCCAAGTGGGCTCCATAAATAGCCCAATGGGCTTACTAATAAGACAAGGCTTTATATACTTTATTATTAGAGTATCTACAAAAAAAAATTCATACAGGCTTTTAGCTTTATCTAATCTCCAAATTTTTAAAATGCAACAAAGAAACGATCATGTTCAAAGTGAACTAACCCTTGTAATTTCACTCTTTTACACACACAAAATGAGATCAAAGAAAAGTCATATATACGTCAATGACAGCAGTTATTTGTGACAAAATGTCATCACTATATATAATCCTATAAAGCATTTGTTAGAGCTGCAATCAAATAATCTAGTCGGTTTCGAAAATTTGGATATTCATATAAACTTAAGGTAATATGTGGATCACTATAACAAAAGTCCATCAAATCCTGGTTTGATCGTCACATACTTTTTAAATTTATTAATGAATACATACAATAATTTATGAAACGGTAGGTACAAATCTTGGTGGGTATACTCAAAGATATTCGTGAAAGGGGCTCGAGATATTTTAAACCCAAACAACAAAAAGTAACCAGAAAATTAAGAACCAAAAAGGAAAAAGAAAATGGAATTGTCTTTATATTATTAAAAACAATTAAGAAGCAAAGAGAGAACAAAATGCCAAGTAAGAGTGTATATGACACAAGTGGGCAACAAAGTGAAGAGGAAGGACCCATTGCGCCACACAAATAGGGAAGTGATTGTGAAATGAACACTTGTGTCTCCTTATCATACCAAAGCTGGACAAATCCGCATGTGCCATGCATGCAGTCGCATATGACATATATATTCATGCATTTATGTTTACACGGTTGTATACATGCATATACTTTTAAATTGGATCTAAAAGACTAGATTTTAGTTTGACAAGACTAAAAGACTAGATTTTAGTCTGTTCAATTATGTCTAAGTGGACGCCATGCAAATATTGCTATGGCTAAACAGTTTGATATTTAAATTCAACGTGAATCGAACTCTGGAGACATTAAAACTTGGTAATAAATTTAAGTTGACTGATAGAACTATACGTATTAGTAGATGCCTAGCTACAAGAGATTGTTTTACAATCCACAAATTGTTTTCTGGAATAACTCATATCAAAATAAGTTATGCGGTTGTAGAGATATTGATACAGTTAATTTGCACATTAAATTTTATAAATGGAACTCAGTTCAAATCTTGTTAGAACAAAAAATACTTGCAGAAATGATTAAGCAATCTTGGAGTTTGTAACACAATAATGCATGGATAAAACTGGGAAACCTTTATGTCCTTTTGTTATTTTTCGAATTTTGTTCTCTTATTTGTAGTTACTTTTCTATATATGCACTCCTTGTATTGGTTATGTATCAAAGCTTCCCTATTTTTCTGAGTGAAGCAAATACAAATGTCATGTATGATCAATGATGTCTAGAAGAAACAAAAGATGTAGTGGTTTCTCTCTCTCTCTCTCTCTCTCTCAGAATTTATAACCATTAGAAACGTCGCTTCTGTTTCCAGTTTATATCATTGACCCATGCTGTTTATTTATCATTCCCTCGTTTTCTTTCGGGAAAATGACCAAATTGATATTCAATAAGAAAGAGAGACCAAAATGGGTTAATTTGGTTTTGATGGAGTTTTATCCAATACACACATATGTATCTGGCTTGTCATTTGCTCTTTCTATTTGTACTTGTAATTATCTTAAATTAAATTAAAGGTATGTTTCCTTTTTTTATAATATTAGAATTAGGTATAATCATTGTTGTATAAATATGTTAGCCATTGGATAACACAAAATCCTTTAATACCTCTAGACTAACACAAAATCCTTTAACACAAAATCGACGTGAGATTTCTTGATATTTAAGTCAATAAATTTACCAATTAGTATATCTAAAAATTAGCATTGTTTCACCGCTAATTACATCAACATATTGTATGGCACAAACAAACGACATATCCCTGTATTACATAAAAGTACCTTATATCAGCTTAGAGTAACATTTTTTTTTTTTTGGCATTTGAACAACATACGTTCTAGAGAGTTTCAACTTTCAACTATATAATTTTTTTAAATGTTAACACCAATGCTATATGTACAGTACTTGTCTTTCGTCTATTCTTTTTATATTGTAGCTACGTAGGTATTTGGTAAATTTCATTAACCTTTTGTACTTCATATGTTGCACTGTTATTGGTAATCCAGACACAAATAACAGAAACAGTTTACAGATAACTTACATTTTATTACATTTAATAGAAATTAAGCACTGCAAATATAGAGATCACATAATATGAGCTTTGCTCATTTTAAACCATTTTATTAACTCACTTAGGAAGAAAGGCTAACGTCATAGGAAACTAAATCCTCGGATACCAACCCTTTCATCTCCACTAAAATGTAATTAAGTACAAAATTAAAAAAGATTTCAACAAAAATTAAGGGAAAAAACAAGTTTACGACTAACATACTAATCAAGTAGAAAGAGACGGGAAACAGCTCCCAGATCGGAGAAGCGACCGTCGTGACTCTACGCCGTCGATCCCTGGCAAAGCTCCGCTGGAGCTCGTCCTCGTGGTGGTTCCCCGTGGAGAGCCGTCGAGGCTGCGCCTTAGAATCCTACCAATGACTGAAATAGGATCTTCCTCCTCGTCAGGGCTCCAAGAACGGAACCGGTGGCAGAACGTTGTGTGGCGGCGGAGAGCTTCCTCGACGGAGATTCTAGTCGTAGATCGAACCACCTCGTCCTTAACCGCTTCCGCGCAGAGTCCACAAAGCCAGTGTCCCTTGTGCCGTTCCTTGACGCGGTGGATGTAAGCCGGCGTGCACTCCTCTGCGAAACCGCACGTGTCGCATGTGACTGACTCAACCGCCGGCAACAACAACGACGATGGCTTAGTGTTAGTATCGGTGGCTGATGATGAGGACATCATTTGTTTGTGGAAAATGATCAGATTGAAAGACTAGTAAAAAACCTTTGCTATGAGTCTGGCTTTTCTGGATTTAAGGTTATATCATTCATATACAGGTGGTCTTTCTTGGATGTTTATATAGATATACATGAAGACATATGTCTCTGTTATTTATTTATTTTTCGATTTTTCTTTGAGAAAATTATTATGTGTATTGTTAAATAATGTGAGGTTGGAGGAGGATTTGGATTCATGTGAGTGAGATAATGTGGCGAGAATTTTTTTGTTTGTTTCTTAAATTTTGCATGTGGGTGTGGATGGATAATTATTGAATTTCGTTTTGAGTAAGTAATAAATTCATAAAAATAACTATGCAATTTTGCGATTAAAGATATTCGTTTGCTGTTCCAAAAAAAAAAAACATATAGATATTCGTTTCTCCAATGAAAACTAATCTAAACTTGGTGTATATCGAACAAGTTAACTTCTATATTCATTGTTTCCCTTTCCAAATTAAATATCTTTTGTAATGATCTGGTGTTAGAATAAAAATATGATTAATGATTCTTGAACGATGTTATAACACAGGAGGTGTTATGATTTTCGGGTGAATTCGGATGAACAAGGTGAATATTTTTGTCTATGGATTTCTTTTTATTAATTATGCAAATGAATATTTAAAAACTCTGTAAAAATATGTATATAAGTTCTTAAAATCCGATACTTCCGGCATGTTGGCTAAACATAATAATTATTGAGTCTAGTAGAACAAAATAGATGCCAAAGAGAAACGACTAAGGAGAGAGTTTTGCCATTAACTAGTAATTGAAGATTTACTTATCACTCTAATTAAATGTTATAAGTAACTGTAGCAATCCAATCCAATGCATGATGTTTGCCGGTTATTTAGACTAGAGATTGAATCCTACTTAATGGGATTCCACATATATACAACGGTAAATACCCTATATAGCAAATACTAACGTTTAAAAATCAGTTTACACATCAGCTTTGATTACCTAATTAAAAAAAACAAATCTCCACAACTTGTCCAGATTCATTATTACAGGAAATTGATAAATTACCAAGAACAAAAAAATGAGCAGAGGAAATTGATCTTCAAATGTATTATGAGCTAAGAGAGAGAAAATACTTAAGGGAAGAATCATTTTATGGATATGGAATCAATAAGAATGAGCAAATTAAATAGTGCAGCTTGTTTTGGCAACAAGTGATCATTGTGAGGCGATTGAAGGAGTATAATTTGTTACTAGCTAATGACTTGAGTTACATCGTCAATCATACAGTATCATGGCAATATATGGTTGCTTGAAACTATAGGTATAGAGAATGATGAAATGTGGACCTGTAATTGAGGTTAGCCGTCGATGGATCGATGTGAATGTTAACGGATCAAAAAAAAAAAAAAGAATGTGGTTACATGAAGAAAAAACAAGAAGAAGAGGTGGTCCATGTTTTTTCTAATTGGAATAGCTGAGAAGCAGAGAAGGTACCTAGTCTTTGAAGCAATACTCTACTGACAAAGTTTGTCTTTGGTTAACATCCTATTCGATTGAGAGAAATTAAGCAGAAAATACTTTTTAAAAATGTAAATATTTTATGCAAAATGAAATGTGATTTGTTTTGGCCACAGTTTATGGAGATGCAATCTCACGACAAATCGATCTTGGCTAGTGTAGGAAGAATCTAGAATACCCTATGCATTTTAAAATAGTAAGCTATATTTACATTGTACTATATAATACCTTCACATGCTGGGACCAGATATTCAACGAGTGATATGTGACAACAATATGATAAAAAATCGTACCAATATTTTTCATAAGATTATTTTACATCATTGTGGAATTTAATTTACCTAAAAATTGAGGAACGTGCTATAGACGCTTAAAAAGTACTGCAGCTTTCTGCTTGGAAAACGATATTTGTTCTTGGCCTACTTAGAAGAAATCTCTCAGTTTCGTCTTCCATTCGTTCTCCTTTCTCATCGTTATCGAAACTCATTTGTTCTTTTCACTTTAGTAAATGTGTTTTTTTGTCTTTGTTTTTATCTTTGTTTTTCCTTTTAATACCTAGTAAAATAGCCTATTAGAATTTGACAATATAAATATGATGTAAACTAGACCCAAATATATTTTTAAAAAGAATAGACATTAATCCTGATAAATGTTGATCAAGGGCTAACGTTCGAGCAAAGTTGTCTTGGAGTTTTGCTAAGTTTGCCTGACTCTAGGGGAGATTATACTAAGGAAGCTTTGTTTGACTTATAGGATTGATTTGAAGGCAAGCTCGTGCATCGTAATGGCATTATTGAAGATTTTGTTACGGATGCGATATGTTGGTTATAAGTCGATTTTAACTCTATATATTTTGGGGGTGAGATCAAATCATTTTTCTCGGTGAGATTTGATGACATACTATAGCATGTAAAATTGTCAAATATGTTCCGCAAGTGAACAAATATGTCTCTTGCATTATTTGAGATACCGATTCTACAAAAATGAATATTTGAAAACAAAAGATATTCCAAATTTTATTTACCCTCAGACTTCTGAAAGATGAATGATACGCTAAAAAGATCTAATTACAAAAGCCAAAAATAGAAAGGCCAAAAAGGAAAAGAAAAAAAACACACACATTGATCATGAATTGAGTCATAGAGAGACCTTCAAGGCTTGAATCTTTAGTTGAGCAAACAAATTTTGTTTCAAAAATGTAAATTTCATCACCTATTAGATTTCTCCATATCAAATCTTCAAGAGACTGGATATATTCTTCACTTAACTTTCAATTCGAGGCTTGACCTGGATGTGATACCACGAGTTGTAATGATTTGAATTGATGTATACATACAGCCTGTCAAAAGGAGACCCACACAATTTTTGTTTTGATAATTAGAAAGTTTGTACTTATTGGAGTTTTATCTTGCATGCAAAACTTGTGATACATTATGGTAATTGCAATAAGACATATTCCCAGTATCAATTGATGTTTTACATGTTAGAAAATGTTATATATTAGAAAGATATAGCCATGCAGATTCAATTTAGCATCATAACTCATAAGAACAATAGATTAGTTGCTTTGATAACCAATCATTAGATCCATAGTTAATTACGTTTCATAATAGTTTTTTGTTGAAACAAGCAAGATGGTAACCAATCATAAAGAGTTACGTTTTAGAATCATTTTCTTTAAGATGCAACATGTTCTCTGTCTGTATCGCTCTCTTATGTGTTTTTCTATATATGTTGGTACAACAAAGACAACATAATTGAGAAGTACGACTAGTTTTTCTATTTTTAGTTATAAAATTACTATTGATCCATTAATATAAATGTTGTATATCGATGATGTCTAATGTGTTTTAACCAAAAACAAATATTATATGTGTATTGTGGTACCAATTTGAAAGAAACCCGAGTTACAGCTGGCATGATTTTGTCTTCAACATGGATGATAAGAACACCCACTTATTACTGTTACGCTTTCCTTCTAATCTCGACCGTTAAACACATTTCCTTTTTTATTCTTGACCTACTTAGCGGCAATTTGTGGTCTTTTTGGCATACATATAGTTAATATATTTCCCCTCATTTTTTAATTAGCACCATGTGATTTCCAGATCATCTAAGTATATATAACAAATTCTGGAGTGAGCAGAGTTTTCAGTAACAAATTTTCAGCATGTTTATTTATTCGAATAAACCAATGAATCAACAATTTTAAGTTCGAATTGATTATTTCCAAACCGTTGAGTCTTGAACTATATGGAAATATCAGATTTATGACTGAATACTTTACAGATGCGCCTACCCATCTGGATTTTTTACGTAAATATATTTGCTAATATATTTATAAGAAAGCTGATGGACGTATTACTTTATGTTTTTTTTTTTGGCGGGAGGATTCAAAGAATATGTGCTCTAAGTTTTAAGTTCTAACAAACCATTCTAACTTGCCAAAAACAAATGAAATAATCTACAATAAAATATCAGAAGGAATTTTTTTTTTTTTGACTACCCATATCAATAAAAACCAACTTTATACTAGAGTCATGTCTTATTAGAATAAAAATGATGTGGAGAAGAAAGTTTGTGGATTTGTGATTTCTGGTGTTTGCACTTTGTTTGTAGGATAGACGATTCTAGTCCGGGAAGCTGCAGAAGTGTTGTTATTTGGGCCTCGTTGGCCCATTTTGAGTGGTGGACTCATTTTGTTCGTTTCTTTTCCAGAATGAGAGTCGTAGTATTTGTTTCAAAACTAAAAAGTGTCGAAAAATGCAAATGAAAAGGCTTAGAGTCTTAGATCGATTCGAGTTAACTTACATGTGTTTAAACTCTAAACAGTATTTTGTGGACTATGGAATGGATTGGATTACCATAATTAAAAGTTAGATAATGATTTATCTGGAGGCTAAGATTCAACCAAGTTAGCGATCAAGTGTCCTAATGCATATAAACATGCGTTTTGTGAACATGGTTACTGCAAAAAAAATAAGGGCGACTCAAGTTTCAAGCAAATTACAGAAAAATATACTTATTTTTAGTCATTATAATATGATTCCACGGCCGACAAAGTCATTAGTGTCATATAATTCATAAGCATATTTTTGTTTCCTCTCTCCGAATTTTTTTTTATTTTTTGAATTTGATATTCGATTTCTTAAACGTCGTTTCCTCTGAACACGCATCTCCAGTGAATCGTATTTCATCATCGCCGACATCGAAGAGAGCGATAGTGTTATATCATCGGAATCCTTGATTCACTTTCTTCCGAAATTATTTTCCTTCCAATTGATTGACGAGGAGATTTGTTTTTTTTTTATCTATAATCTCAGATTCCAGGTATTTTGTCAATCGTCGCTTCATCGTTTCGATCTGATCTACTTGTTGTTTTATTTCGCATCATGAAACCTGTCTCCTTTTATCGTAGCAGAAGTATTGAAGGTTCCTTAGGCTTTGATTCGTTGCCGAGTGTTGATGAGAATTTCCGTAATTAGTTGTATTGAGGAGATGAGTTTAGTTGCTTTACGGTTGGATTAGGTTTGGGATCGGCATCAAACCTTTCCCGTTCTGCAATATTGACTAGTTAAATCTTTGGTTTGATGTACTGAATTTAATCAATTCAAGTAATGCGTGTTTTTCTGCTTGTTTTTTTTTTTTTTAGTTCTAATGAAACAGTGTCTTGGTAGGTGGGAAATGCAAATTTAGTAATTGCGTAGAGAATTATCCATCAATCTATATCTCTCTGGATGCACTTTTGGGTCTTATTCAAATGATTATGTTTTTACCAAAAATCTGGCTTGGTGTCTCTTGTGAGTTGTGATGGGATCAGTGTGTAGGCTGATGTTTCTTCTTTGTCAATAACGATGATGGTGAAAGGATAGGGTTCATTTTTTCCTTTTTCTTTTATTACTAATTACCCGTTCTAAACACCAATGATCTTGTATGATTTGGCAAGGAATCTACTCCTAAATGAGATATCTGTTGATCGACTAAGTGTCTGAAAGGATCACACTGAACATCGAGCTAGCTGGACATAATGGCTTGATACAGTGTGAACGAATGTTTCCTCTGGAACGCCAAAGCAGCATGACCCTCCATAGAAATAGGTAGAAACTTCCTAGTTTGATTGTAGATTTTCGCTGACATGTGTATGTAACTTAGTAGTCTAAGCTGATAAGACAGGTCTTTTGGCTGAGTGATGTGATCTTATCTGTTAGTTTTTTTCTCATCTTTCTTTCTTTCTTTCGTTTCGTGTAGTAATCTCTTATTAGGTGTGACGGAATGAAGTCTTACAACTTTTTTATTTATTGGAATTTGTATATAGGATGAAAAGAGGAGCCCTTAGACGGAGGGCTAGGGATATCTCTGTTGTTCTTGTTGTGCTTGTTTGTGCAACCGTAGTCATATGGACATGGGATAGAACTCCAACCTCGGCCTATCTTCCACCTGAAAGTCACTTTCTCAAGCTGGAAACAGGTTTAACTATGACACTTCACTCTCTTTCTGGCACTTTTTGTAAGGTCGTTTGAATGCGGGAATAATATTATAGAGACTTTGTTCAATGCTTTATTGATTTTGTAAGCTGCACGATAGTGAAATGTTTAAGTTTCCCCTGTTTATGTTTCATCGGTCTTAAAGTTTCTCTGGTCAAAATTTTCCTGTTTATGTTCTTGAAACTAATAGTACAGTTAGATCCTGGGGTATATCTGACCTAGTTCTCTGTCATTTGCAGAAGAAAAGGTTGAGAAAATACGTACAGCAGTGAATACGGAAACTAAAGACAGCTACTCATCATCTACTCCGTTTGTAAACAAAGGTAATGTTCATTGCAAATTACAGCAGCTCTTTAATGCCTTTTGTAACCTGCTCGAAAGTTCTGATTTCTAGGGAAATTAGCTTGGCATAACTTTATTCTTTTTTCTTGGCTTTTCTATAGCAGAGGAAAGCAAAGAGGATCCAACCGATAACAGAGATACAGAAGAAGAAGAGAAACAAGTGGAAGAAGTTACTGTAAGTGAGACGAATCAAGGAAAGACACCAATTACTGAAGAAAAAAAACTAGAACAAGTGGAACGTGAAGTAACTGTAAATGAGCCAAATAATCAGAAGACACCAATTAATGAAGCTACGAAGAAGGCACAACACAAAAAAGAGACAAAGTCAGATCCAGAGATTAAATTTCTTGCAACAGACGAAGAGAGGACTAAAAAGTTAACAGCCAAGGAAGATGAGGGTAGTACATCAACAGCTCTCATCACGAATCCAGGTAGAAAATTTCGTTTTATAGATCCTTGGTTTTATGATGCGTGAAAGTATCTTTGGAGTATTCATTATTCTAAAATTGGCATGACTAATCTATTTGCATCTTGATATTGTCTCAGTATGATTCTATTTTATGTGAAATAACAGGATGTTTTATTTATGTATTTTCCTCAGCTTGCAATTACGCGAAAGGGAAATGGGTTGTGGACAACCACCGTCCTTTATATTCGGGATCTCATTGCAAACAGTGGCTTGCTTCGATGTGGGCGTGCAGGTTGATGCAACGTACAGACTTTGCCTTTGAGAGGTTAAGATGGCAGCCAAAAGATTGCTCTATGGAAGAATTTGAGGGTTCCAAGTTCTTGAGAAGGTAAACAAATTTCTGTATTTCATTTCATCATATACATGTGTTAGCTTCATGTATCCGTAGATGTAGCCAAATGTTGCCATCAAGTCCATTAGTAACAGTTCATGGCACTCTCTTTGTTTCAAACGCCCTCAGGATGCAGAACAAGACCCTAGCCTTTGTTGGAGACTCGTTGGGAAGACAACAGTTTCAATCTATGATGTGTATGATCACCGGAGGCAAAGAGAGGCTCGATGTCCTTGACGTGGGACCAGAATTTGGGTTCATAACTCCCGAAGGTGGAGCTCGTCCTGGTGGCTGGGCTTACAGATTCCCAGAAACCAACACGACGGTCCTATACCACTGGTCATCTACGCTCTGCGACATACAACCGATCAACATCTCTGACCCCGCAACAGAACACGCTATGCATCTCGACCGCCCACCAGCGTTCTTACGCCAATACCTTCACAAGATCGACGTGTTGGTAATGAACACGGGCCACCACTGGAACCGTGGGAAGCTCAACGGTAACAGATGGGTGATGCATGTAAACGGCGTTCGCAACACTAACAAGAAGCTAGCCGCTCTTGGGAACGCCAAGAACTTCACGATACACAGCACGGTGAGTTGGGTTAGCTCGCAGCTCCGTCGCCATCCCGGTCTTAAGGCGTTCTACCGGAGCCTTTCGCCGAGGCATTTCGTGGGAGGGGAATGGAACACCGGAGGGAGCTGCAATAACACAACCCCAATGTCTATAGGGAAAGAAGTTTTGCAAGAGGAGTCGAGCGATTTCAGCGCGGGTCATGCGGTGAAAGGCACAGGGGTTAAGCTTTTGGACATAACAGCGTTGTCTCATATTAGAGACGAAGGTCACATCTCACGGTTCAGTATCTCGGCTTCACGGGGAGTTCAGGATTGCCTCCATTGGTGCTTGCCTGGTGTTCCTGATACGTGGAATGAAATCCTTTTTGCAATGATTTGAGTTTTTCAAAGTTGCAATTTTTGTTGCATCAGCAGAAAAAGTTCAGAGAAAGGGCTTTGAGCTTAAAGCCATTCTTTTGATAGCTTTTCTACACACATTGAAGTTTTAGCGGCATGAAGTGTAAGTTTTAGGGGGTATATTGAATCAGTGATTTGGTATAATTTTAGAATTTTACCAATCCTTATTATATAAATGATTTTGTAGAATGTTTTAGAATTCTATGTATTCAACAATTGCTAAAACTGCTCTAAAATCCAAAGTTATTCAATTTGTTATTTATAAAAGTATTTTAAAATATTCTGTTACTAGAAAATAGGAAACATATTAGATCAATAATTTTGGATGTTTTCATTTCCATACCCATAACAATTTGATTTATATATAACATGCCAAAATATATGATTAAATTTTGTTTTCATTTCTAAGGTAATGTTTCAAAAGAGATATATATGTTTTTTTTTTTGGGTATGACAAAGGCCATGTCAGTTTCTGTAACAAATAATGAGACATACATCTGCTGAAAAGAAGAAAAAAAAAGATGCAACTGTGTCACATAATAACTTCAGATCCTTATCAAAATAAAGTTTTGCTAAGCTCTCGGAAACAAACAGAAAAGGATTGTATAAAATTTGGAAAAAAAAGAGCACAAAATAAGCTATTTTTGGCAAGAAAAGTCTAAACTTTGACAGCTAAATTCAATCAACAACAAAACAAAATGTGACCCTTACCTTCTCAACCCTAACAAACAAACAATGTCCAAACTTTGGAAGTTGGAACAACAAACACAATCTAAACAAAACTAAGACCTCTCAACGAACCATACATCAGCATCATCAACAAAAACGTCGTCCTTTTCTTCAGACATAAAATAACAAGAAAGAAACAAAGAACAACAGCCTCTCTTCTCCTCAATCCATGGCTGCTGTTCTGATTCCCGGCTTCCTCCTCCTCATGTGTTTCTCCATCTCCCCTTCTTTGCAGCACGTGAGCGAATCCGAACCGCTTGTTCGGTTCAAGAACTCGGTGAACATAACAAAAGGGGACCTAAATTCATGGAGACCAGGAACAGATCCTTGCGGTGGAAAATGGTTCGGGATCTATTGCCAAAAGGGCCTGACTGTCTCAGGCATTCACGTCACACGGCTCGGTCTCTCGGGAACCATAACCGTCGATGATTTGAAGGCTCTCCCGAATCTAAAGACCGTCAGGCTCGACAACAACCTCCTCTCGGGTCCTCTCCCGCATTTCTTCAAACTCCGCGGCCTAAAATCTCTCATGCTCTCTAACAACAGCTTCTCCGGCGAGATCCCTGACGATTTCTTCAAGGACATGACAAAGCTCAAGCGGCTGTTTCTTGATCATAACCAATTCGTGGGGCCCATCCCCTCCTCCATCATGCAGCTCCCTAATCTGGAGGAGCTTCACATGCAGGGTAATCAGTTCTCCGGAGAGATACCTCCAGAGACCAACATGAACAAGAACCTGAAGGTCATCGACCTCTCAAACAACAAACTCGAAGGAAGCATCCCGGAGAGCCTCTCGGGTAGGAAAAATCTCATCATGACCTTGACAGGGAACGAAAACTTGTGCGGGAAGGAGGTGAACGTTGAATGTGATATTGTTGACTTAGAAAGCCCCGGTGAAGATGAACCCATACTGCCGCCGTCTCCGCCGTTCGGTGGAACAAACGCCTCGAACAGGACCACGGTGAACGCGATCATGTTGGCGATCACGTTTCTCATCTTGTTCTTTCTTATCGTGGGGCTTATAAGGAAGCGAAACAAGAGGAAAAACCCCCAGTTCCGGATGCTCGACAAAGAACGCCTGAGCGACATCGATGACGTGGAATTCAGGGCACCAGAATCCACGACGGCGAAAAGGTCTACGGAATCGAGCAAGAAGCGCGGCGGAAACGCGGACGGCGGTTCTACCAAGAAAGGCTCGTCTCATAATGGGAAAGGCGGAGGAGGAGGAGCAGGTGTAGGCGGAGCTGGGATGGGTGACATTATAATGGTGAACAGCGAGAAGGGCTCGTTCGGTTTGCCCGATCTGATGAAAGCTGCGGCGGAGGTGCTAGGCAATGGCAGCCTTGGATCAGCTTACAAGGCGGTGATGACCAATGGGTTATCGGTTGTGGTGAAGCGGATTAGGGATATGAATAAACTCGCACGCGAGCCTTTCGATGTCGAGATGAGACGCTTAGGGAAACTCCGCCACCCTAACGTTCTTACCCCTTTAGCCTATCACTACCGCCGCGAAGAGAAGCTCGTCGTCTCTGAATATATGCCTAAAAGCAGCTTGCTTTTCGTTTTACACGGTAACCCGCAAACGTTTTTTAGTTCCGATTTATCTAGACAAATTCTTGAAACCGGGGTCTTCTTGTCATTTAAAACATACAAGTTCTTAGGACAAATCTTGAAACCGCTGAACCTAAATGAATCTTTTCGCATTTTTCTCTCATCTACAGGTGATCGTGGGGTATACCATTCTGAGCTAACTTGGCCGACAAGATTGAAGATCATCCAAGGGGTGGCGCAAGGAATGCAGTTCTTGCACACGGAGTTTGCGTCCTACGATCTCCCACACGGTAACCTCAAATCCAGCAACGTTCTCCTCAGCGAGACCTACGAGCCTTTGATCAGCGATTACGCGTTCTTACCGTTTCTCCAGCCAGACAACGCATCGCAGGCAATGTTCGCTTTCAAGGCGCCCGAGTTCGCGCAGAACCAGCAGGTCTCGCACAAATCAGACGTCTACTGCCTCGGAATTTTAGTTCTTGAGATCTTGACTGGGAAATTTCCTTCTCAATACCTAAACAACGGTAAAGGCGGGACAGATATTGTTGAGTGGGTGCAATCTTCGGTCGCAGAGCAAAAAGAAGAAGAACTTATCGACCCGGAGATAGTTAACAACACTGATTCGGTGCAGCAGATGGTGGAACTGTTGCGGGTCGGGGCAGCTTGTATCGCAAGCAATCCAGATGAGAGATTAGACATGAGGGAAACTGTTAGAAGAATAGAACAAGTAAAATCATGATGAGATGCTTGAAACGCAAACGCGATCGGAACAGTCAAACTCTAGAGAGAGAGGAGAAGCGTTCGGAATCTGTAGATATAATGCTAACGAGTTTGAAGCAACGAAAAAAAAAACAAAATTGGGTACGTAAATAGGAAATACATTTTTATTTTTTTCTCAAGGTTGAAGTGATCTTCAAATCTTCGGGGGAAAAAAAAAACTATACTTGTTATATTCCTTGTTCAATGAGTAAAGCACAAATTGTTCATCAGAAAGAAACAAAAATTTCAATTTCACCCGTTTCTATTTTTTTTTCTCTGAAATTTATGTAAATCCCCCAAACATTATAGCACTTATATTTCTCAACAACTGTTCCCTCTTCCTTGTTCCCGATTTTAACAGCAATAACTAAAATATACTCTCTCTGTTTCAAAATAAGTGTTATTTTGACACTTTTCACATAAATTAAGAATAATATTAAAAATTCTGTTTTACCATTTGTTCACACACAAAATAACATTCTCTTTTTAATTAATACATTAATATAATAAAGTTAAAACATGATTTTTGTTTAGAAAATTGTATTGGAAATACAAAACGACACTCTTTGTGAAACAAAAAAAACTCTAAAACAATACTTATTTTGAAACTGAGGGAGTATATCTCAAATTGAAAATCAATCTTAAAATAGATAATATATAATTACTAATAATCTCATCCACTCATCACAATTCACTGTAAAAATCTTCAAAACGAAGTTAATACATACTCGGTCGGATATATACTCCCCTCCATTGTTTTACAGTTTCAGTTCCAAAAAGAAATGTCATCCTATATTTTCATATGTGATTCTCAAATTTAATTCATTTTTTACCCATATTCAGAGCTAATAAACTTTGAATTAAATTGCTTATCACTTAATTTAATTAGTTGTATATTAAATAGAAGCCTAATGTAAAGTTCCTTAATCCATATAAAATGTTTATGTACGATAAAAAAAATTGGGATTTTACCTGTTTTTTGTTTTTGATCTCAAAATTGATTTGGTATGGTCTTCGTAACCAGGTTTTTAAAAGTGCAACATACTAATGGACCCAAAAGCTTGAATGTTGGGAAGGACTCAGTTCGAATAAGAACAAAGACATATTTAATTTTTTTGCATGCAAGTCAATTTTAATGAAAGGACCACAAAGAAATTAGGTTTTGTCTTGTTCTTTCTATATAAATCTCTATAATTAATTAATAATAACTGGACTTTTATGGTGGGCCCAACCACTCAGCAATGATGTCCCTCTTTTGGGCTTATTCTCATTGCTGGCTTCTTCCGTATGGGTCGATATTATTTTATTACTACCGTAGTAGTATTATTGTATCGTATGTGCATTTTTGTAAGTTTTCGTATCTTTCACAAGTTGATTGATTGATGAATAAACCACACACAAACCAACACCGCAACAACCTTTTCTATGCTTTTATGAAATACAATTATACATCATAATTATGCTCAAATTATTCGTTTATCATTCGTATTTTTCTATACAACTTTCACCGCTCCATTTTTTTGTTGCGATATAATATATTCCCTTCAATTATTTGATCTGATGCTTGGAGCAGTTATATTCACCTTTTAAAACTTAAAAGAAAGAACGGACACGAGAGAAAGGAAATTATTTTAATTTGTTATTTATCATAAATACAAAAACAAAAACAAAAAAACACAAGAGCTTTATTCCATTTCTCGCCATTTTCACGATCAAGAATAAGATCTCTCTACTATCATTAACCCCCCCCCCCCCCCCCCACACCAAAATTTCTCGATGTTGTTTCGTTCTCCACCATATAATATACATAACATATATCATTTATATGGACATACATGTCATATTTTTATATATATGCTACTTTATTTCTCACCACGGTTATTTATGCCTAATTATTTTATTTACCCCCGATCCCCCATATATATGTATACTCAGTAGAAGAACTCCGGCTAAGTCACTAGAACTCCGGTGGAGAAAATTTGGCCGGCGGTGTAAGGAGAGGTTGAAAATTTCGATCTACATCTCTCTTTCCTTTCATCATTTGCTATATGATTCGATCGACAGTCTGTGCTACAAAAGGCTTTTTCTCCTCTGCATTAAATTAATTAAATATTCAGTCAATACGAAATTGATTTATGTACGAAACCATAGTATTTGACACTTATGTTTCCTCCCAAATTATAATACCTGTAAATAAATATGTCTTGACCATGAAGTTTCTTCCTGCATAAGTAACATGAATTGAGGAAACCCAAACCCTGAAACTCCGGCGAATTCTCTGGAGATTCCGTACCGACATCGACCACGAAAAGTCTCTCACGACGATCTTCGTTGGTCTTACTTGCGAAACACTCGAACCCATCTCTGTCATAAACCCTTGTACTACAAGATCCACTTGGACCATGGTGACACGTCACCAGCGTATAGTCCTCCTCGTCCATTATGAACATCTCCTCGTCTTCTTCTTCGTCCGTGCTTCCTACATGGCTCATGAACTGAACCGGATCAGTCCGGTTAGATTGGTTTTGTTCCGATCTACAAACGCTCGTGATTCGACGAGTGGTTGAGTTCTCTAGTGCGGCTACAATCCCTAGACCAACGGACCCACCAAGATTGTCATCGTAGAATCTCTTTGAGCTGTTTCTTTGAGATAGCTGAGGGAGAATCTTGAAATCGAGTGGGCTTTTAGGGCTCGTCATCAAGACGTCGAAGAAAGGAGCCGCTGCCGCCGCAGATCGGTTGACGCCGACGAGCAGCTCCGATATTTTCCCGATCATGGGATGGGTTCTTTTGCTAAGCATGATCTTGCTCGAGAGAAGGGTTTTGATCAAATTAAACCACAAAAACCAAAAATAAGAAGAAGAGGGAAGAAGAAGATTGGTGGTGTTTGTGAAACCTCCACAAAGAAGAGATGGGAGAGAGATGTGTTATTTATGGTGGAGTTGGTGGGAGAGTTGAGAAACTTTGCACTACTTTTATTTATTGCAATATTTACAATAAATCACGTGAACTATTCTTATTTTACGAATAAAACCCTTACTGTTTATCTTCAGAAATAAGACTACCATATAATATTTAATGACGTAGCAGACCACGAAACGTGTGAAGCTAACTGGAATCGAAAATCTTTTGGATTTTCTTTTCCTTCTTACGAACGTATAAAATTATTATCAAAGAACAACTAAAAGAGATAGATAAACAGAAGTTATAAATAAATAATTTATAATTAAATGTAGTACATTATAATTTGTAAGTACATGATTAAGTCGTTAATTATCGTTCTAAAGATAGTCTAAACGTTGACGCAAATATTACTGGCACTTCTTTCTACAAGTAATAGTGTGGGTGCCACGGTGTTAAACAGTTGATATGTTATGTTAAATCTGTTTTTAAAATAATAATTTCCTGTTATAGTTGACAAAAAAAAAATTCATGTTACATCATAAGTATTTAAGTAGCTTCCTCCTAAAAAAGAAAATTTTGATTAGCTTGTATTTATTTTTGAATTTTGACTATGATAACATAAAATTTGTAATCAGGAACATTATATGTAACAAAATGGTTATAATTATACTGGTTTTGATTGGTAATTTATATTTTTGGTAGGACAACGTTTAGAATAACATAATTATCGGTTTGAAAATTTGTAATAGAATTAGTTTCAAATGCATGCAATCACAATCATCCAGCCACAAAGATCAAAGATAACGTTTGCGAACAATTATGTATAAACCAAACGCAACCTTCTGTGTTTGCCCAGACTTATACATAACAGCGACACATGCATGGTTTATTTGTCATTCAATATTTAATGAATTTTAGTGGAGTGTTTTATGTGTAAGCTGAAATTGACATAAACCCTAAACAATGCGTATAATAATAGGATTTAGATTGGACGGATTTGTTTTTGTAAGAAAATCAACAACAATATAAGGGATATTAATTTTAGTATAAAGATTAAAAGACTGACATAAATACATAAGTAATAACAGAGATATTAAAACGAATATAAAGATGAGGTGCCAATGAAAGAGTGGTCCACACTGAGAATTAATACTTAAATAAATAAATATATTAAAAAACAAACACAAACACACAAAAAAGTCGAGATCAACAATGTCGCAAAGGGGTCCCGCATGCTAATTAAAGAGGATTCGTTGAGCACTTTCATGAGATGTGAATACGTGGCATTCATCAACAGCTTTATTTTACCCTCCACTATTATTTGCTGACTCGGATTTCTGTTTTACTTTACTATTTTATACAATATATTATTTTTTTAAATGGTCCCATTCCCCTACTGAGATCCCCTATATATGTATTTTCGGAACATTTTAATAAAACAAAATAATTTGTTCTACAACCATATTACGGATCTTAGGTGTTCAAAGATAGCAATTTCTTTACGATAAAAGTAATGGACATTTAAATGACAACTATCAGTTGATGTATTTTAAAATCCTCAAGTACGTTTTATGCGAAAAAAAGAGAGTACGTTTTATTCAAAAATCCTTCAGTTCAACAATATTTTTGCTGATGATACTAATCATCCGTCAACAAAAACGTCAAAATTCTAAACGGTTGCGTTAAATGAAGAAATATAGGGCTTTCTTTAGCATAGTGTTTTGTTTGATGAAAAAACACATCAACCAATGTAATCTACACGTTATTTTTCATTTTTCCTAATTTGTTTTTGTCTAATTAACATTATCTAAAACTCCTACGTTTACGAGAAGAAAAAAAACTCCTACATTATCTAAACCTTTTTCCCTTTCTCCTCCCTAATTGTTCGCCTCATCAACATTGTCTAAGTAGAGATAGCAAAACATATAATTTAAAATCCCCTTAGTTGTTTGTGTGTAAATAATACTAAGCATATCAAATTTTAGGGGAAATTAACTTGAAAAAAATATCAACTTGAATTTGATTTTGCTGACTTATCTTTTGAAACACAAGATATCAATGTAGTTAACGATTGTTTATGTTATTTCATGAAAAAATATTAAAAATGATTCAATGCATACGAATGAACAAGTAATAATGAAATGATAACTCAATCCCAAATAAAATAACCTAGTCAATTAGTGAATAAAGAAGAAGATAACCTAGTCAAATCCTACAAATCTAAATTAAGAAAAGTTGTTTATTTTTTGTTTCAGTTTTCATTTCGATAATTACCTAGTCACACCAGTCCTAAAAATTTATTTAATTAAGATATTGGGTAAGTTAATCTGCAATCCAAAACTTAAATCGTTTTCCACGGTTCCATGCAAGTGAATATGTACAAATATTATTAAGTTTTTTTTTATAAAAAAAAAATCTCAATATAACCTAGTCAATCATCGAAATCAAGTTAATTAAAATTTAAACAAATAAATCTAAAAAATCGTAGTTTATTGTTTCCTCAAAGTTACTATAAAAACAACTCATCTCAATCTCTTCAAAAGCAAATCATTTCCTACAGTAAAAACACAACACTTAGCTATGGAAATGAAACACTTCATTTATCTCTTATCATTGTTCTTCATCCTCTTTGCTACATTCTCTTCGTCTAACTCAACCATTGTCTCTCATGACGAACGAGCCATCACCATCAACGGACAACGTCGAATCCTAATTTCAGGCTCCATTCACTATCCACGAAGCACTTCCGATGTAAGTACTTACACTTAACACACAGTTTATACATATGTTTCTTCCTCCACTAGTAATATACATACATTGTGGGTTTTGCCTCGCAGATGTGGCCTGATTTGATCAACAAAGCCAAAGATGGTGGCTTAGACGCGATCGAGACCTATGTTTTCTGGAACGCGCATGAACCAGCACGTAGGCAATACGATTTCTCGGGAAATCTCGACCTTGTTCGCTTCATCAAAACCATCCATTCTGCGGGACTCTACTCTGTTCTTCGTATCGGACCTTACGTTTGCGCGGAATGGAACTATGGAGGCTTTCCTGTGTGGTTGCACAATATGCCCAATATGAAATTCAGAACTGTTAACACTGGTTTCATGGTATATAGCCCAAACTTCTAGCTAGACCAATTTTGATACTGTTTGATTCTTGAGTTTATTCTAATGTTTTTCTTGAATCTCTTTATGCAGAATGAAATGCAAAATTTCACTACAAAAATAGTAAACATGATGAAACAAGAAAACCTCTTTGCTTCACAAGGCGGTCCGATCATCTTAGCTCAGGTATATATCATTAGGAATGTTATTTAAAAGTCATTTATCTATGTCTTTTGTCAACATTATATTTCTTCTCAAAATTTTCAAATAGATATCTATAATATACATTAATTTTAATAACCATACTACCTTTTGTAAAGCATTTATTGATTTTAAGAAGATGTTATTCACCATTCTTTTGTCGGTTTTATTATACTGAAGTTTTGACGTCTGTTTAAATAAAATCACTGGGTGCATGTGCTGAAATGTTTTGACGTTACATATTGTGTTTCCGGATTCTTTATAACTTGTTTGGTTAATTTTATTTCAGATCGAGAACGAGTACGGAAACGTGATCTCATCGTATGGAGCAGAAGGTAAGGCCTACATTAATTGGTGTGCCAACATGGCTAACTCTCTAGACATCGGTGTTCCATGGCTTATGTGCCAACAACCACACGCTCCTGAACCTATGATCGAGACGTGCAATGGATTCTACTGTGACCAGTACAAACCGAGCAACCCAAGCAGCCCAAAGATGTGGACTGAAAATTGGACCGGCTGGTTCAAGAATTGGGGAGGCAAACATCCTTATAGAACCGCTGAGGATCTTGCTTATTCCGTTGCTAGATTCTTCCAAACCGGTGGAACTTTCCAGAACTATTACATGGTCAGATTTCAGCTACATGTATACCAAAATTAATATGTATTCATTATCATGATTAACCAATCTTTTCTAACCCTTTTTATGTGCAAAATTTACAGTACCATGGTGGTACTAACTTTGGAAGAGTCGCAGGAGGTCCATACATCACCACTTCATATGATTACCATGCTCCTCTTGATGAATTCGGTATATAAACAACTTCACACTTTTTTTTTAATTATTTGTAAAAATGTCGGATTAATATATATACAATATGCTCTTTTTTTTTTCAGGTAGCTTGAACCAGCCAAAATGGGGTCACTTGAAACAGCTACACACATTGTTGAAATCAATGGAGAAACCTTTAACTTACGGCAATATCTCAACAATCGATCTTGGCAATTCCGTCACGGTTAGACCCGGTCCTATATCCTTACTGTCCTTTATTAACTATAAAATCGACGTTTATCATTCATTAACCCGCTTGCATGTATATTCAAAAAGGCGACGGTTTACTCAACGAAAGAAAGATCGAGTTGCTTCATCGGCAATGTGAACACAACTGCGGATGCTTTGGTCAAATTCAAAGGGAAAGACTACAACGTACCGGCTTGGTCCGTGAGCGTTCTCCCTGACTGCAATAAAGAGGCTTACAACACTGCAAGAGTGAACACTCAGACATCGATCATGACCGAAGACTCTCGTAAGCCAGAGAAGCTGGAATGGACTTGGAGACCCGAAGTCGCTCGGAAGACCATTCTTAAAGGCAGCGGAGATCTCATAGCCAAGGGTCTTGTAGACCAAAAAGACGTTACCAATGATGCTAGTGACTATCTTTGGTACATGACTAGGTATATACTTATATGATCCAAAAAAATATCTTCTATTCTATTTCTTTTTATTTATTTATTAATTCAAAAGGTAGATATATAGAAACAGCTACATATGAGGAGTTTTGAAAAACTAGAGCAAAACATCCCATATTTTTCTTTTTGTTTGAAATGATTGTATTGTTTTAACTGATTTGTGTATGGTTTTTGGATAAATTAGGGTTCATCTTGACAAGAAAGATCCACTTTGGAGCCGAAACATGACGTTACGGGTTCACAGCAATGCACATGTTCTTCACGCTTACGTCAATGGAAAATACGTCGGTAACCAAATCGTGAAGGATAATAAATTCGATTACAAATTTGAGAAGAAGGTCAACCCCGTTCACGGAACTAATCATATTTCACTTCTCAGTGTTTCCGTTGGACTACAGGTAACAAGTGATCAATTATATATAGCTTCTTGAATATCATGATACTTTTTTTTGTTTAAACTTCTACTGGGGAAAATTGAAGTTGTGGTCTTATATGTTATAGAACTATGGACCTTTCTTTGAGAGCGGTCCAACTGGAATCAATGGTCCTGTGAAATTAGTCGGATACAAAGGAGATGAAACAATCGAGAAAGATCTCTCGGGGCATCAATGGGATTACAAGATTGGTTTGAATGGATTCAACAACAAACTTTTCAGCACAAAATCCGTCGGTCACAAGAATCACAAGCTCAAATGGTCAAACGAAAAGCTTCCTGCTGATCGGATGTTGACATGGTACAAGGTTAGTATCAATTAAAAAATTAATTCTGCAAAAATTGTTTGATATTTGCAAAGAAGCGGCTTCTTACAATGACGTGTTGTCTCTTCAGGCAAAGTTCAAGGCTCCTCTTGGTAAAGATCCAGTGATTGTCGACTTTAGTGGTCTTGGGAAAGGAGAGGCTTGGATCAATGGTCAGAGCATCGGACGTTACTGGCCAAGCTTTAACTCTAGTGACGACGGTTGCACTGACGAATGTGACTACCGTGGGGAGTACGGTAGTGACAAATGCTCTTTTATGTGTGGCAAACCAACTCAAAGATGGTAAACCTTAAATGAAATAAATATCGTATCATTTATTATTTGTACAAAAGTTCCGAATTTTTGGCTCATTTCTCTGAAAATAATGGTGTTTTTTTTTTAATGGCTGAATTTTTGTAGGTACCATGTTCCACGGTCGTTCTTGAATGAGAGCGGACACAACACTATCACTCTATTCGAAGAAATGGGAGGTGATCCGTCAATGGTGAACTTCAAGACGGTTGTGGTCGGAACGGTTTGTGCCAGAGCTCATGAGCACAACACAGTGGAGTTATCTTGCAGTAACCGGCCGATCTCAGCCGTCAAATTCGCGAGCTTTGGAAATCCGTCGGGCCATTGTGGGTCGTTCGCGGTTGGTACGTGCGAGGGAGCCAAGGATGCTGCGAAGATCGTGGCTAAAGACTGTGTTGGAAAACTCAATTGCACCATGAATGTTTCTTCCGACAAGTTTGGATCTACTTCGGACTGTGGAGGAGATTCACCTAAAAGATTGTTTGTGGAAGTTGAGTGCTAGATTAGATCTTTATCTCTAGGCTCTAGCTAGCTAGTGATGTGCAATAATTTTCTTAAATAATTTAGATTAATCTTGGTCGTTAAATAATGTCGTTCTTGTTTTTTTTTTCTACTATCATTTAGATGGATTTGGATGTAGGGTTGTGGAAATAAATAGTACGATCGAATAAAATTCACCTTGTTTAAATATTTTCCATTGAGTTGCTTATTTCTGTAACCTTTATACAATAAGTACTAACGATGCTACAAAGTACAAATCTACAATATGTTACTCTGTTCAGTTGTGTACTAGTGTGACCAAAGAAGTTGGTCGATGAGGATCACAAGAAGTCACCTATCACATTTTCTAACACCAATAGCTGTATCTCTCCTCCTATTAAACACATATTCTAATTTTCGGTTTATGACCATTATGTAAATGATATTTTGTCTTCATACCCAAAGGAAATTGTAATTTCTCATTACAATTATTCGTTTTCAGTTTTTCATTCTACTTCTATTTCCCCCTTATTAAAATCATTCTCTTAACAATCAATATTCTTGTTTTGTGAGTGTAGATCATGAGGATGTTGTTTTATTTATCTTGAATACATAAATCCTAGAGAATTACTTTATAAAAAGAGAAGTTTTAAAAACATCTCAAACCCAAAATGATTAATCCAGAAATTCAGAAAGTGTGCAAAGAAGATTTGGTAACGACCCGGTCGGATCCAACCCGACCCGGTTAACAGGCTAAAACCCCACCCGGTAAGAGCGTTCTAGATAGAACGCTTCCTGCAATAAAAGGGCAGTCTTTGTGTTTCTAGTCTATCACTTCTGCATTTTTTAGGGTTTTATCCTCCAAAGTCACAATCCCCTTTTCTTATCCTCAAGGTATGAATCTCTTCTCCTTACTTACCCACACTCTCTTACTGTCTCTTTGAATTATACACAAGGTTCACAACTAGAATTGAATACAAAGGTTTGAAATTTGGGCGGAGAAACTAATCGGGTTCGCTCAGTAGTGGTTGGCTTTTGCTGGAAAATGTTGTGAATCTGGGAGATACCTTCATTTCTCCTTATATGTTTTCTCTTTCTCATTCATTTCTGACTAATTGAGAGTTTTTTTTGTGTTTTGACGGATAGCAGAAATGGCGGCGACCCAACTTACAGCGTCACCAGTGACTGTGTCAGCTAGGAGCTTAGCCTCACTGGAAGGTCTCAGAGCTTCAAGTGCCAAGCTTTCTTCTTTCGGAACTTTGAAACCAGGCACCCTTAGGCATGGCCAGTTCCGTTCTTTGGTTGTCAGAGCTGCTTCTGTGGTTGCTCCCAAGGTACTTTGCTCATCTCTGAATGAACATAATTGACTGAACATGTGGAACGTATTTTAATGTTGGATTGCTATTACATAATCTCAGTCCTTTGTATCTTAATGGCACCTTGCAAGAGACTTTTAGTTATGTTCCTTTCTCTTTGACTTACAAAATTTCTCTTTTTTTCTTCTTGTGTATGGGTAAATTGTAGTATACCTCGATTAAGCCATTGGGAGATCGAGTGTTGGTGAAGATCAAGGAGGCAGAGGAGAAGACTATGGGAGGTATCTTACTTCCATCCACAGCTCAGTCAAAGCCTCAAGGAGGTGAAGTCGTTGCTGTGGGTGAAGGAAGAACTATTGGGAAGAACAAAATTGATATCACTGTCCCTGTAACAGCCTCACTTCCCCCTTAAGCCCTCTTTCTTCGTTTTGCTTCGTTTTTTGGCTTATAAATTTATCTGAAATGCCCTTTTTCGTTCTCTCTTCTTGTTGCAGACTGGAGCACAGATTATTTACTCCAAATACGCAGGAACTGAGGTGGAATTCAACGATGTGAAGCATCTCATCCTCAAGGAAGATGATATTGTGGGTCTTCTTGAGACAGAGGACATCAAAGATCTCAAGCCCTTGAATGACCGAGTCTTTATTAAGGTTTGCCTCTTGTGCGCTTATCTTTCTCAATCATCTTATTGTATGTGCACGCAAGAACAGTGATAACAAGAGGAAGTTTTTTGTTTTGAAATTTATGAATTTAGGTTGCTGAGGCAGAGGAGAAAACAGCTGGAGGGTTGTTGCTAACCGAGACTACCAAAGAGAAGCCTTCTATTGGCACGGTAAGCCCACACACACTTGATATCATGTCCATTCGAAGACTATCTTCATAGCTCAGTGTGTTCCTCATCTCATACACAAGCGTCGGTTATACATAATCTCCTCTGTTTTTTTTTCTGGCAGGTGATAGCAGTTGGACCAGGTTCTCTAGATGAGGAAGGTAAGCTTCAGCCACTACCAATATCGACTGGAAGCACGGTTCTTTACTCCAAGTATGCGGGTAACGACTTCAAGGGCAAAGATGGCTCCAACTACATTGCCCTCAGAGCTTCAGATGTGATGGCTGTGCTTTCTTAGTTTATATCCTTGTAATCTGCAACTTGTATCCCAATTGTGGAAAATTTTTCATAAACGGCCTGAGCATAATCTTGGAATAAAGACTTGTTGAGTTTAAAAATATGATTGTTATTTGATTGCTGATTTGTTGTCCTCCCCGTCTGTTACTATGAACACGCAGACCCATATAGTTCTAGCGGTTTAATCTATTCAGTTCTTGGAATGTGAAAACACCCATCAAATAAAACTTTCTTGTAAACTTGGTGGAAGATATTTTACAGGTAAATACTCTACAGTGCCCAGTGGAAACTTGAGACATGTTTATCAAAGAGAAGTTATATTACAAAAGGAAGAAAAATAGAAAGAATCTTTGTCTGACTCTGTGAGAGATCTTCTGCCTTCACCGGTTAAACGAGGTCGCCGAGTTATCATCATAATGTCCTCTCCAGGCATTGCCACTGTCACCGCCGCTACAAGCTTGATTGGTAACCGGTAAACCCGCAAAGTTCCCGTCCAAGCTCATCTGTTGAACCTCAGCTGATGAAAGGATCTTTATGCTCTGAACACAGTTTATGAATTCTCTGCAAAAAAAATCAGGATTTTCAAAGTTATGAAAAAAGAATGGAACTTTCTAACGACCTGATGTGTGAATGCTATTGTTCTATACTTACTCCCATGGATCATCGCCGACGAGAAGGATGTCGTTTTCATGATCGACGTAGACAAGTTTCCAGTCTGACGTTTGCGGATCTTCAAGCTGTCCTTCGATCCCAAACATGCGCGCTAGATCATGCCTCAACTCATCGTAGCCTCTGTAACGGTTGACGTCTATTGATCTCCCCACTGAACCTCGCTTTTGCACCTGTCATGAAAGCTTCCAACATTGTCAAACCAAAAACGTTATCCCAAGTTTCCATAAGAAGGGATTAAAGCAAAAATCAAACCTTTGTATAAGTTCGCATCCGTTGAGTCTGAGTTGGCCATAATCCGCCACCAAGAACTCCAGGATCGTTGACAGCTACATCGTTTGAAATCGCGGGCACATTGGGGATACCGAAAGATTGAGTTCTGACAGCTGAAGTAGACATCTCTGTACCAATGTCGTTTGTCACTCCATAGTTTGAAAGCATGTTCTGGAGATCTTTCTGGGAGTCGTATCCCCTTGAGAGCAATGTGTCAGGCACGAAGCCATTATCGACATTAGTTCCGCCGAGTAAGCTGTTCCTGGAATCACTGTCGAGGCCAAAGGTAGGAGCCAAGAAATTCTGTTGTCTGTTGTTGTCGCCGCCATCTAAACCGTAAGATGTCCCAGAGGCAGATGCTTCTAGTTGATGATTTGTTAAACTAGCTTTGGGCTTTGGCTGACCCACGAGTTCTTGTTTTTGCCGCATATCTGATTTGCTGTAGAGCTCCTGAACAAGACTACCAGACATATCAATCGCTGGATCAGGTATCAAAATTGCTGGCCCGCTTTGGCTTCTGTTGAGAAAGCTTGAAGAAGAAATCTGACAGTTGTTGGTGGAAGGCGAAGTTGAAGAGGAAGGTGCATCTCCTCCATCTGTGATTCCTGAATAAGCTTTGACCCCTCCTCCAACAGGTGGGTTTTGTTTTTCCTGAGGCCGGCTCGCCAGCATTTGAGGTGGTTGCAATGTCGATAAGCCAGTGTTAGTGTAGGACGACGGAAATGGCTGACCTTGAGAGAGAGAAGGCAGCTGTTGCAACTGCTGGCTTTGCAACTGTTGGTGGAGCAACTGAGACTGCAAACTGGAACTTCCTGGCGAAAGAAACTGCTGCTGATGTTGCTGTTGCTGCTGCTGCTGCTGTAATCTCTGCAGCAGCTGAAACTGTAAATGCGGTTGTTCCAAGAGATTCTGCTGGAATATCTGTTGGACCTGTGCCTGTTGAGCTTTCTGTTGCATAAGTGTTTGCTGGTTGTGTTCCTTGACAAGACCAGGGGGTTGCTGCTGTTCTACTTGTCGTGTAAACTGTGTGTCTTGCGGCGGTACGGACATCAGATTAGATGACGACTTGCTGGTATCAATTACACTACTCTGGCTAGTGCTAGCACCTAAATGGCGGTGTGTGTGTTGAAGCTGCGTAGACTGTTGTTGTTGCTGCTGAAAGCTTTGACTTAGGGAGGTAGATGAAGGCGCAATGGCACTGCTTGTCATTGACCCCGAAACTACTTGTGGTTGCAAATGATGCATAGGTGCTTGTTGCGCCTGAAGCTGCTGCGCTCCTTGTTGACCATTATAAAGTTGGTTCTGCGGAAGCTGAAATTGCTGCAACTTATGCGGTTGTAACTGTTGTGGTTGTGGCTGTGTCTGTGGATGCGAATGAGATTGCAATGACTGCGTTCTTAGCTGCTGCTGCTGCTGTTGTAGCTGCTGAGTCTGTTGCTGTAGCGGTTGTTGATGTTGTTGCTGCAGCGATTGTTGTTGTTGTTGTTGTTGTTGATGAGACTGCGATTGCTGATGCTGATGGTTCAAAGAGGAGTGCAACAATTGCTGAAGCTGCTGTTGTTGAGACAACGTAGTTGGCGGCTGAGCCAACTGGGACATTGGCGCTTGCTGGTTCGGTTTGTTATATTGGAGGTTTGATGAGGAAATCCCTCCTGGAGGAGTCTGAAAGCTCAGTAACTTGGAGGGATCATCAGTTCCACCAAGATTGTTGTGCAGCGACGCCGCGGATGGTGAGAGCATTTGCGGGAAGAAACCCGACTGTGCAGCAGCAGCAGAGGGTAACTGGCCGTTCTGCTGCTGCATGTTCATCCACTGAACTAAACTCAGACCAGGGAATATCGTACTCGAAGGGTCTTTCATCTCTAAGCCATTGTCAAGCCATGGCATTGCTCTCTTCAGCGCAGACTCCATGTCAGTCTCATCATCTGCAAGACCACCAGAATTTTCCATCTTTGAGGAGATTTTTAGATTCAACGATGTTGAGTAAAAAAATGAAATTGTACAAACATTTGACCTGGCATTCCGGGTTGCCCAGCAAACCGAGGTCGGAAAAATGGAGGAGGGCATATGTAGAAAGGAGTTAAAACCGGTTCAATGTCCCAAACTGAAACTCGACTGGGCCGATCACCAGCAGCTGACTCATCCCATCCAATCTTTAGCAGAAACAAAAAATTAAGGCACAAATTAAATGAATGGTGCAATGTTTGGCATTCATCACAGAGTTTTACTTCAAACTACCTGAAGATTTCGCCACTGAGAGTTTTTCCATCTCACTGGATCAAGATCACTGATACCGGTAACTGTACCCATATACCGACGAACTCCACATTCTTCTGTCTCAAATATCATCCTAAACCGCATACCGAGGGAAACCTGAGCGTACATTGCTTTGGTATACTTGGCTAAAGGAACCACAAACTCAGCAGGAGCAGCCCTGCAAAAAGTCGGTTGCATTCTCTCTCAGCAATGAAACAAGCATTTTAGTAAGGTTAACGGAGACAAAAGGAAGGCATAGATCACCCACCTTGGGTTGTAGAAAATGGTGAAAGGACTGTTATTAGCATTAGCATGAGCTGCAGCAGCAAGAACTCCAATGTGCATGCTATCACTTGATATTACAGACGAAGAAAGCGCAGGCTGTTGTCTATTTGCACGTCTTATACCCAACAGAAGTTGCGCTTTTCCATCTCTTAATTGAAAGTGAAAAAGAGTTAGCATCTTGACAGATGAATACCAGAAGGAGCAATGGCAAACTGAGATTGATATACCTTATAAAGAGAACAGAGTCTCCAGCAAAGAGCCTTTTCGTGCTGACAAAGACACTCCAGCCTGTAGTTAGCAAGTGCCTTTTCGGTTGACCTGATAAATACCAACAAATCCAAAATTTAAGAACAGTTTTCACAAAGGCCTAATTGATTGAATAAGGTAAATCAACCAAAAGCAAGGAAAAACCTCGATAAATATGTCTGAAAGTCCATGTGTTGTCGTGAATATCCTTAGCAACAAGCTCCTGACAAGGTGGTTGCATCGAGAAGTCCTAACATAATATTGCCGACAATGTAAGAAGATAAGGCAAGAAAGAGATCCTAATTATCAAGAAGTAAAGATATATAAGAAAGCATTGTATATACACCAGAGCAGGAAAGATTTTCTCAGCTGCTCGTCGGGGTACAGAGAATCCACCGTGAGTGCTTGTGTCACTCGCCGTGAGGGTTTTACAGAAAAATTCATTAGGTTGTCTGTTTAGCTTAAGACCCATGTCAGAGGCAAGCAATGCATCTCTGTCATACTGTTCAACAAAATCCTCAGAACAATCAGTCTATACTCTTCAAATACACACCTAGAAACGAGTTACTCAGTGAAGAAATAACCTACTTTGTTTACTGGCTGAAGAGTCATCTGCGCGTAGACCTCATCCGTCTCAGGATCAGCCTAGTTTATAACAATCGGTAATTGCACATTAGCAACTCAAAAGCAAACTGATGTTAAAAGGTCTAAACATAAAAGGCCATTATCAAATATGTAAAAGATACCATACATTCAATGTAACATTATGGAGCATGCAGATGAGCTTAGAAGGAAGATTCGGGTAGCTGGGTATGAAATCAGTCTGCTTCTGCATTGAAGCTGCGACCTAAGAAACAGACAAGAAAAAAGCAACAGTGAGAGAGACTCGTTCTTGATCAGCAGTGAATGATATATCCAACATTCTCGAACAACATACTTGTTCACTGTGACCTTGAGGGAAGTAAACAACAAGGCTTCCCGCTGGAGGCAACGATATAAGTGGCCCAGCACAAGCGTGCCATAACTCTGAGTTTATGTTTCTCCTTTCTCCTGCACCCACACAACATCAAAGATGCGATTACTTCAAATCTCTGGGATCTTCCTTTCAGTTACTACTATCAAAACAACAAGATGAGAAAACTTCTCTAAACCCCTCAAACTTCCTACAGTCACAGGATGTTTAAACCAATCCAATAGTTACTTAGCTTACTTCTAAAGCAGAAAATGAGCGGAAATCAACTCAATTCAGGTGCTCATATCCAGATATTCTGAAGAAACCTGACCTCTACTTACAACTAAAGGATTGATATCCATGAGATAGGAGATTATACAAACCTTCTACGGGATTCGGAGAAGCTCCATTTGATGAAGGAGCTTTCATGATTATTGAACTTTTACTCCTGAAGAATATACACAATAATAATCTAAATCTGAGCTTATAAGAAGCTGAGCTCTTTGCGTGAGAGCTTCATCTTCAGCAATAGACCCAAAAGTCCTAAACTTTCTCTCCAACCTCAATCGGAACGGAAGCAACTGATTCTTAGCTTCACTCTTCGCAATCCAATTCACAGCAGAAAAAATCGTTAATCTGTAGAATTAATCTGAAATGGGAACTCCAAGATCTCTGCTTTTTACTTCCGACAAAGCCTCCAATTTCTCGGAAATTTTAACTATCTCATGGAGATCAAAACCAAGACTTTTCACACGCGGAATCTCCGGAGAGACCAATAAGTCATAAGACCGAGACAAAACGAAGAAAGATTCCTTTTTCAAACGAAGCTCTTCAACTCAGCTTCAGACAATTCAGAAAACCCAGAAACCAAAAACCAGAAAGTTGCTTTATATAGCTGCTCTCTTCGCTTTCCTTTCTTGGCGCATCAAGAGAGTTGATTTCAGAGACTGGTTTCTATAAAAAGAAATCTGGGAAATGGGTAAAAAAAAAAATCGAAACAGGAAACAAAACGAAGGAAGAAGAAAGAAAATCGAGGAGCAGGGGGTTATGATTTATGACAGAGAGCTCGAACGGGAGAGAAAGACCATCAGAGTTGTCGGAAAGGGATGATCAGCGTCAGCGACCAGGACAACTACCAAAAGGTCTGCAAAGGCACAGGAATAGCTTTTCTTCTTCCTCCTTTTTTTTTTTTTTTTTCCTACTCAATTTTGGGGATATTTATTTGTATATTTATTTAATAATGCGAACGAGCCGACATATTCACTAGCAAACTGGCCACGATAAAATTCTTAATGTTATTTGTCCTCTATAAATCAACTTTATTTGCCAAAAAACTGGAAAACCAAACTTTATTATTTGTTCTATTTCTCATTAGTGAAACTTTGATCTCATCATTAAGTTATACTTATATATCACTTCTGTGATACTTCAAAGAATAATGGTAAATCATTTTGCAGATGACAGTAAAAAACGAATTTGACTAGTTATCATGAGCATTTGTATACGCTTGCAATTTTCTGATCTTTTTGTAGTTAAGTATATTTAATTCAGATACAATTTCCCATAAAAATTAGAATTAAAAATTTAAAAGAATGTAACTTCCAGATTATCAATGTTTTGCAAATACAAACATATCACAAAAACAAATTTTAAAGATCTACGTGATCTGTTTTATAAGTAGTCTGGTAAGTTTTATAAACCAAGTTTTGAATATAGATATATCGACAAAAATGGATATATTGATGCAATCTATAACTATTAATATCTTTATGTATTTAATTTAATATTTACAATGGTAATAAATGGTAAATCACGTTTTCGTGTTTTCATATTTTAGAAAGGTAATTCCACTATTTTATTTATAATATTTATTAACTTTTCGCACTCCATTACATACTTAAGATGTGTTCAAAATATATCTTTTTTTTTTTGAATAATTCAAAATATATCTTAACATCATTAATTTTTGGACATACAGTATATAGGGTGAAATAACAATCTAACAAAACTATTTTGCTATATCAAAGGTTCAGTGATATTTTACGTTTTATCATTTGGTATCAAAACCAGTTAGAGTTATTGATTGGATCACGGTATTGATTGGCAACATATATCTTGTTGGTGAATGAAAGTTTTCGTTTTCAGACAAACGAAGGAAGATCAGATTTACTTACATACGAAAAATCCATGATCCACCTGTAATGTTATGAACCAGCATTCACGTTCACGGGAAGAAAGTTTCTTGATATATACAAGATCACATAATGGAAACACATATTGAAGATTTCAAAACTATTTTATTTTGACCGGTGAGACCTAACGTAAGAACAAAGGACATCATTCATTAGTTATATCATTTATGATTTTTTTTCATTCTTAAATGTTTCTTGTTAATTGTCATTATACAAGGTTATTACTGATCAAACTATATCTTTACTTTAACCGTAGTTACTTGAGACAATCCTAGCTATTAAAGAAATTACAAACTATATATATAATGCATACATTGATGACACAAGCATCTAGGCATATGTATGTATGCATGGATGTAAATTCAAATAAGTGGTAGCGACATGATGTCCCTAAGCAATGAATGCGTGAATACTGACGTTTGGAGATTGGATGAAGGTGGGACCTTATGAACTTAGGGATTTTGAGGCCGAAAAGAACTCTTAACGATTATATCTTGTTTTTGTTCATAATTTTCTTATAACAAAAGGTACTACTACTAGTATAGGGATTCACATTAATTAACATTCGCGTTTAAATTCAATTATCCTAGCCGTGTATTTTCTACTTTGTTAAGTTACCGAGTGTTTCCTGTTCGTATATTGATTAGCTCTAAAACCTTTCCAATTCGCAATGTTTGCTAGCTATATAGAGTCTACTGATTACTATAGATTTAAGTCATGTGAATAAAAAAAAGAGTTTAAAATTGATCTGCCTCAAAGGTTATATAAACGTTGTTTTTTAATTTAATTTAAATTTCGTATTTTAACAAAACAAAAAATGGAGAAAAGTAATTAGTCTAGTAACCAAAACTGATGATAAAATTGGTTGAATATCATGATTGAAAATGATGGATTTCTGACCCCTCACCCCGAAAAAAAAGAAGAAGACTGGATTATGAACAAAACTAGAGAAGGGTCTCTCACGGCAAATCCCACCTGACGTGGTCGTACTCACACCCCATACTACATTGGCTCTAATTGTTGTGTGATGACATTGAGCTGGTTTTGCGAAATGAGAAATCTCTTTCACAGTGGACTTGGATAATTTATCAAATCTATTAACATAAAAATACATTACATATCCTCGTAAAGAAGAATAAATGAGCCTTCAAAAAAATCACCAGCTTCCTATATATTATTATTTTTTCTACAAAATATACGAACGATGTAATTTAAAACACACGTTCACATCTACCATTTTGCTTGTATTTCACGTATTCGACTAATAGAAGTTAATAAAATTAGAAACATCAATAATTATGTAAAAAACAAAATTCAAAATCATGATCTATTGAGTTTTTGATTAGAAGGCCTGGTATCCACATACCAACGTTTAAAACTAATTAACGTTGAACTAAGCTGCAAAGACGGCTTGGGATCATGCGATCATGGACACAGCGCAGCTTAGTTCTTATAAGCTGAACGTTAATTAGCTTAAACGTTTAATTTTTTTTTTTAATTTCTTTAATCGGACTTCTTTATTTTCTTTGTCTCCTTATACTTGCGAAATTTTGAGTATATTTTCTTAGCTATAAGAGATGATTTTGGTAGTAACAAGACGGCCCGATCTAAACTGGCAAATGAAGAAGAAAGCTTGTGCATGGACCGACAAATTCAACTTAATTATTTGGCGCGCCTGACTACATATGAATATAAAGGTGGTGGACCGATTCCGATTCAAGGAGGCTCTTTCCACAACCATGTTGTTTAAGGGTTAGTGCTCTTTATGAGTTTGGATATTTAATAAATAGAAAAGGAGCGGAATTTATAAGCTCAGTCAGAGCATCCGGTGACGTTGGATCGATGATTATATTAAAGTGGTGGACCGGATCTTTGCACCAGTGGGTACAATGATGTATTATTCGGGCACATGATGGTGTTGCATCTCGCAGTTTTTTTTTTTTTTTTTTTTTTTCAAACGAGATTTGATTTGTTCCCAACCCTGCATATCAGCGTTTTTTTTTTAAAAAAAAAATGTCATCCTTATAGTTTTAGATGCTTTGTATAATTCGGTTGTGTCTGCAGAAAAATGGGTAACTAATATCGATTTAGTTACTTTAATTCAGATATATGCTTTTTTTTTTATGCCAGACTCTTCTTTTAACATCTACTTCTTTTATTGATTTGTGCAAGGATTACACAAAGAGTTAATCAACATTTTATGGTTATGCAAACTCAAACCATGCAAGTAAAGTGAATGAATAAACTACACAATTTGCTGTCAATGGTTCACGTACTTAGGCCCATTATTATATTCTTGAGGCCCATAATCGTATCTGATCATTTATATTAGCGCCGCTACCTTCAAATTCAATAGCTTGCGTGTGTGCGAGAGTTTGTTGACTGAAAAATATAAAACTGTATCAGTATGCATAGTTTTCAATTGTAGATAACGGGTAATTTTTGTATATGGTGATTTCCGCTACGTCAGTTTATAACTTTATGCATGTGGTTTTCGTTTTAGTTTATTGTCTTTCAGACATCTTATTTTCAGTTTCATATCAAGACAAAATCACATGCTGGAATCCCATACGGTATAGTGAATGACATAAGGGGGATAAAGAAATAAAAAAAGGCATTTATTTAATTTACCATTATTATCAGAACTACTAAACAAGGGCATTGTCTAATTTCAAAAACGCTTTTCTTTATGTAGTAGTAGAGATTATCTTGCAATTAAAAACACACAAACTGAGAAAAACTAACACAAAATCACAACCGTCCGCTACAACAATCACACCATAACATCAAGCAAGTACGACGTGGGGCTTGCCACGTGTCTCATCTAGCTGGTTGATCATGTAAAGCGCGTTGCTCGTAACCCTCGCCACTTTCGTCATCCACTGCTTCACATCCGACTTGATCTCACCGTCGATCCCTTGAAACCCGTCGAGACACGTGTCATCGTCCGTCAACGCCGCGCTAGCCCACGTCTGCGCGTTGCTCATCTGCCACCGGAACTCCTTTGCGGAACCGCCCGAAACGCGGAGATGCTTCAAAACGCCTAGCGTGCGGCTCAGCTCGTCCACCGAGTCTCCAATCATCTCAACGCAGTCCGCAACCGCCGCTTTCTCGCGTTTCCTCCCCACCGTTTCTCGCACCGCCGAGAGTTTCTTCGCGGCGCTTTGCGCGTGGGAGAGACTGATTTTGACGGCGGCTTGAGCTAGCTCGCGGCGGTTGGTGATGGTCGGACCGGAGTAAGTTGAGAGCGTACGGACGCATAGCGATGGGTAGCTCGCGTGTACGCAAGAGGAATGTACGATATCTTCTGCAACATTGTGTCCGGTGGTGGCGGTTACAATGACGGCGGCGATAATGGCGGCGAGGAAGAGCTTCTGAGCCATTAAACTGGAGTGAGAGAGGGAGAGAGAGAGGCTATCTATGTGAATGAGTAAGGAGATTGGTGTGACTGGTGGTAAGAATTTAAGTCGTAGGTCCGTTGGAACATATGAACATAGTTATGGTTTATTACTTAATTACCCTCAGATATTTCCTTTATTTACGTGTGTACGTGAATAAGATAAGGGTGAGATGGTGAATGCAGCACCTCTTGAGTATGGGGAAAATCTGTAAAATTAAATGCACCGCAAATTACAGAACAAAAGTGTCTTTAGCGACAAAAGAAAGACTGTCCAGTCCAGTTGCGTATCAGATAAATTAATAACAAAAATGTGAAATGATACATAATGTGTAAGTGTAACGATATGAAAAAGAACAAAATATGTGGAATTATTGACCGACTGGTCACCAGTGCCCAATTATATTCAAAGAGGTTTTTGGTCCCACATTTTGTTAATGAATTGACAAAAGAGGTCTTAGAGACAAAATCTTTATCTGCCATTTATTTTGCTCGACTCTTGTACCTTTTGAAGGATAAATCCTATTTTTACGAACGACTTTTAAACGGATTAGACTTAAATTCATATTAGTTCAAAAATCATACATTCTGAATTTGAGTATGAAAACAAATAGCTTCTTAGAGTTAATCAGAATTCAATTGGTAAATCAAATAACGACAAATTAACTTGTATGCTAATTAGTTTTGCCTCTAATATTTCGTTTTAGTTAAAGTTGCCTATAATAATTCAAACGATGTTTTCCTAGCAGCCGAAGGAAAGAAGAAAGGTAAAGATACCCAACTGAACTAGAATGACCCACTTAACATAAAATGTCTCCATCTTCGTATGTTTATTGTTATGGAGATCCATTTTAATCATCAAAATTAATGTGTGAAACCATATCTTTGATCATGGTCTTAGCAGGCAGCAGCATGTTTTATCTTGTGCGTCACGGTGAGTTCCATGGTTGCTTCCACCTCGACATATCTTAACACAATATTGTAGTAGCCACATTTTCCTTGACTCAGTCCTCGTAGGAAAAAAATAATAGTAGCACCTTTAGACTGTAGAAGAAACAAATTGTAACTCTTATCAGGTCATATTTTTAATTTTTTTTGTAAAAGAAAAAGAAGAAATCAAAAATCTCAAAGACACAGTAAGAATTATTGCGAATCATCATATAAAGAGACGTCAAATTAATTCAATAATGGTAATTTCAGGATTTTGGAACAAATACGGAAAGGAGATATGACCCAAGCTTAAAACCAAAGCCAGGACATATACCAAGACGAAATAATTTTCGTAGCCATGGCTATATATTGTTATAATGATGAGGAACCAGTTGTCTGTTTCTCATTGAAGTAGTAAGTACGTACTAAGTAGTTATATCTTGTGATATGATGTTGAAGAACTACTAGTTTTGTGCTAGTCTTTAAACTAGGTATAATTTGTATATTACGAGTTGTGTTCTGAGTAGTAATTTTGTTTTATGAGTATGTATGTACAAGCTTATTTTATGAGTTGTAAGTTAATGATGTAGTTTCTTAACAATTTATTTGGTTTTTTTTCCTCCAGAATCTTCAAAAACATGATGTCCTAATAAATTAGTTATCCTTCTTTGTGTTTGTAATATTCTTATTGTTTCAAAGTATAAGCTGAAACGGTTTACAGATAGCATCATAGTTCGAATTTCGAAGCAATTAGAAATACATGCGTCATGCGTGCAGTCAAGTTAAGAATGGGCCAAATTAAATAGTATATACGTGTAGTCAAGTTTTGGATGGGCCTAACAAGCGTAACATACTTGTGTCCAAATCTTTGACACTTATCTCGACTTCACGATATCAATAAAATGACATGTTTGATCATATCGATGATGTAAAGTGATAATCATTTTATTCTATGGCGGTGCCATTTTCCGCAAAGAATCACTGTGTATCGCTTTCATTTTGGTTATACTTACTTATATATACCTCTTGCGCTGAATCTATCCAACACAGTTACTAAAAGTTCGACTAAAAATGCTCTTGGAGCAACATTTTAATATTTGATTTTCTTCTTATTCAAGCGTTCCTGGTCTTGTGGAGAAACAAATTATGTACAAATTACAAACTTAATCGACCAAAAATAAACTTTAAACCAAGAAGGTTTTGAAGGCAAACTATGAAGAGATATCCTCTAATTTAGACACCTGCCGCCGTTACGGGATCCGTTGTCATCCCATAACCTTACGACATTTCCGTTAATCACCGTTAGATCCACGTAACGGTACCAACCGTGTGCACCATTTCTCATCTTCACCACTCTTTCCCATCTCTCACACCACTCTCCGCAATCACCCAAACCATCTCCGTAGTTAACAGCCGTTAGCTCTTCGTTAACACACCTCTCTCCGTCAACGTCAACCTCGTAGTACATCGTCAGCTTCCCCTTGGTCACTCCGTCATCGCACATTAACGGCTCCCAAACCTTCGTTTTCGTAACCACCGTTTCCTTCACTCTAACCGCCGCCGTTTTTTCTTGCACCGGACCGGCCATTGTTTTCGGTTCGAGACAACCGGATTCGTGTTCAGATTTCGAGCCGGTTGATTCCTCTAACAAGACACATCCATGGCCTTCGTCTACGATGGTGGTGACTCTGATCCTCCAGTAGCTAACGGCTGCCGTCACGACGGCGATCCATGTCCAGACGTTGTTGACGACGGCGAGAACACCGAAGCTAGCGTATTCGAAAGCCAACGCCTCTAATGAAGAATCCAAGGTCGCCATATTTGGAAACTGATGAGTTTTTTTTTCTTGCCTTTTGAAATTCTGATAAGCAATGAGGTGAATGAATAATAATCAGTGGTTATATAAAGGAGGGAAGAGAGAGAAAACGGAGATGAAATACGGACCGTGGGATGAAGAGGCAAGTAGAATGATGGGTCGTGTGGACAGAGAGATGAAAGCTAAGCCGTTGGATCTTGGTCAAGTGGAAGTATGAATCTTTCGTAGATGCTGAGAATCGAGAGCGAAGATGCTTTCTCTCTCGAAGGAAGATGCGCACAGCCCTATACTTATTCCCTCAAAATTTTAATAATCATAAACAACATATACCAAATGGTTTGAGTTTGGACCCCAAAATATAACAACAACATATTTAAGATATAAAATGTTATTTTTTATCGAAACTATTTAAGAGTATTACACGGCTCTCTTTTCTGCTCACGATTGTGTGCATGTTCGACGCAACAAATACTAGGTGGAGGATGTTCGTCCCCACCAATAATTTAATTTATATACAACTATATCTATAATTTGACCCAATAAAACAATTATATCTATTACAGATTTCTTTTTTTGTAAGAACAAAAATAATGTGCGCATTGGATTTTTTTTTCTAACAGTTTTTTTTTTGGACCACAAAATATTAGTAGAAAACTTTAGAATTCATGTTTCTTAGTTTTTGTGTGTTTGTTAGAACGATACTCATAATTAAGGTTATCTTTGCCTCCAGATTTGAGGATGATAAATCAAAACGGTTGAATGTTCTTTGTTTTGCTCAAGATTTCAGAGTCATGGAAAAGACTTGCATAAAAATTTAAATGTTCAATACATACGATCCTACCTTTAAAAATGCTATAATTGTTTTTCTTTTAAATCAATAATCATAAAATTTGTTGGCACCTAAAAGGAGAAAATTATAGTGCCCATATACGGGGATGAATGTGACACTTATTAGTTAAGTGTACATATCACATAATTTATAATTTTTATAACGCACGGAGTGGAGAGGGGAGTTCGTAATAAATCGAGAGTAACGGGGTCATATTGTAATAAAAAATAACTTTCGGCGTAGAGAACGTGAGAAAAAAAAACAGAAGAACCTGAAAAAGGCGAAAGTGACGGGAAAGCCAACAAAAAAAATCTTTTGTAGGAGAATCAATGAAATGAAACTATAAATCCAAAAAAAGCCAATCCTCAATTTCTCATCTCCCAAAACTCGCTTCTCTATTCGTTTTACCCCACCAAAAATTTAGATTCTATTAATTTTTAATTTTTAATATTTTTTAGGTTTTTTTTTTTTTTGGTTTTAGTACTTGAAAACATCTCTTCCTTCATCATCGTTTGAGCTCCCAATCTTCGAACAGAAAAAACCTAAATTAAGAACGAAGCGCCCAAAAAGAAAAAAGAAAAAGCTTTGGGAGCTCCTTCCTTCTTTTTTGTTTTGTTTTGTTATTGTTTTGCATGGTGTTTCTCATCATCGGGTCCATAGCTACGAGTGATTCAATTCGTTTTCCTCTTCAGGTAATTTATATAGAAGAATGTAACTATTCCTGAGATGGGTTTTGATTTCATCATCTGAGTTATGTATTATTCTGAGAATTTGGATTCAACAAATCCTAAGCTAATCTAGACCCTTTTTTTTACCGTGAGCTTTGTGGATCTGATGAGTTTGCTGGGGTAAAAAAAAAGGAAAACTGAACGAAATTGTATATAAAAAAGAATAGGGTTTGATATTCTTGAGATTTATATAATATTTGGGTTACCTCTTTAGCTATTGCTATAGGCCTTTGTGTTACAAATTGGGATTTGCAATGAATCTGAGAAAACGAATCCTTTTGAAAATGACAGCTTTGGAGTTTGGACTCTGTTTCTGTGTGGATGTGGGTCCCCTGTTTTGGTTGATGATAGTGTATATTCTCTTTGTTTTTTTTTTTTGGTTGACAAAAAGATTTAAACAGTATAGCTATTTGTACTCATGATTCAAATTGATCCAGGGATCATATGTATAGGCTTGGTCAATTGTTTTGGAAAACATTCAACTGTTTGTAATGTTGTGTAATGCAGCTACAAGGGAATAAGAAGAAGAAGAATAAGATCTTATGCGACATTTGATCTCTAAAACCCATTAACAAAAAGCTGCGGGTCCTAGACTAATCATCTCATTAGGCAGATGGATGAAAACAATGCGGCTAAGTTAACCGGAATCAGGCAGATCGTGAGGCTAAAGGAGATTCTGCAGAAATGGCAAACCGTGACGATAGGGCCCAAGTCAGACATCCCTCCACTGGCAGCTGGAAAGGAAGCGGCGGAAATGATTGCGCCGGCGATCAACAAGAGGCTATTAGCCGTCAAGAACTGTGACTCCGATGAGGAAAACTGCCAAAGCCCTGAGCATCCGGCTGATGTTCCCAAAGGGTATCTAGCGGTTTACATTGGACCGGAGCTAAGGAGGTTCATCATTCCAACTAGCTATCTCAGCCACTCTCTGTTCAAGGTGTTGCTCGAGAAGGCAGAGGAAGAGTTTGGGTTTGACCAGAGCGGTGCGCTCACCATCCCTTGCGAGGTCGAGACTTTCAAGTACTTACTTAAATGCATGGAGAACAATCTCAAAGGCCATCACCCTGATGACAGCTCCGGTAAGCCCAAGGACCACTCTTCTCTAGAGATCATTACGTTGAACTCACAAGCCCACGGGCCCAAAGCAACTGATAGGGCTATTATTAACATTCCTCCTCTAATGAACATATCTAACCCCATTAACACTCATATGAGACTTTACAGATTGTTTGATGAAAAATCAAGCAAAAGATTGGTTATCACTCATTAGACATTGATATGATAGTTCTTGAGAAACTAACACTAATGGGTTTATCTCTTGTCTTTTGCAGATGGGGATGCAGTAGTAGCAAAGGAAGAGTAAATACAAATCAAGTGATAAAAAACTCATAAAAAAACTCTTCTTTTGTTATTATGATTATTATTATCCTCTGATATTATTATTGATGAAAACTGTTAGGGATGGTAACTTTGGGGTGTAATTGTAAAATCAGGTTATATTTTTATTTTCCTGGTTTGTTTTTTTCCTTTCTCCATTCTTTTTCAAAGACAATTTAAGTTCTTAGGACATGTATGTTAGATGTGAAAGGATTTGGTGGTAAAAGTGTGATATAAAGATTAAACAAAGATATATGTACGAAAAAATGTGAACATTTCTGTTCTCTTCCGTTTTTTATGATCGGAAAGTATTATTATGTGTCTCAATCAAGAAGACTATTGAATAATGATATACCCTTATTTGAGGTATATGGATTGTTGGTCGAATTATTTATTTGAGGTGAATACGGATTGTTGGATCATTATCAAATGTGAATATGTAGTTTATATGTTGCTCAGTCTATTGTTATGGTTAGCGACAATTGTGTTGCCACGCGATAATGTTTTAATGTGCTTGGGCATGTGGGGACATATTATGAGTATGCATGATACATTGGGGTTTCATATACGTTCGGAATTGTGGATCGTCACAAAAAAAACATATTAGTGGGAATGGAAAGTATTTGAATTAGTTATCTTTCTTTCTCTTAAGTATATGCTTTGCTTACATGTTGAATTAGTCTAGACGGCGTTTTCTTTCTCCGTGGAAGAGATTATATAAACTCATTAACTACTTGACAATTTACGCGACTTTCCACATACATGCGTGTGTATTAGTGTATATTATATGATAAAGTTACAAACTAATAAAGATTATAAAATGTTTTTCGATAACATACGGACCAATCTACATCTAATCAGGGTTTAAATTTTGTAACCCGTGAGATTGATCTTGTTCGCTGCCAGCAGTAACCGTCTTAGCTCCGAGTATATGTATCCAATCTATTAAGATTACAAACTATAAAAATCTACATTTGCAAGACAATATTTTTTACACATTTAACATTATATTTTTATTTATTGGTTGTTGAAAAGCAAATGGAGAAAGAAAATTTAACGGAAGGCTGTGTAAAGTATACAAAGTATAGTAGAATATACAAATATAAATCATTATATATATATTTTGCGCCTATTTTAATTAAAGAGTTAACAGGCGTAGAACTCGACGAGTTCGTGGACTGACTCAGGGCGTGACTCGTCTGCATCGGCATTTTCAAGCATCCAAAGCAAATGCTCAAACAAGACAACTTCACACGACACGGTGATCGAACCGTCCTCGCCGCCACATCCACTACCATCCACCGATGCTAGCTGCTGGAAAAGCGGATGGCTCACGACGTCGGAACTCACGTGGTACGGCCGTCGTGTTCTTCCGACGTAGACGGTGTGAAGTTCTTCTGAGGGTAATGCACTCACGGCAGAGGATCGGCCGTGATTAGCCGGAGCCGGTGGCTGGTTAGGCTTCGTGTTGAATGAATTGAGCTTCTTCAGAACGGATTTCAGCTTCATCAGTTTGTTTCCTCCTTTCGCCATTTCCAATACAGTTTGGAGAGTCTGAAGCCGGAGATGTACGTCGGAGTAAGTTTTCCGATGAGTGAGAGAGAGAGAGAAGGAGAGAAATATGTCGATGTCGAATAAGGAAGGGAGAAAGGGGTTCTTATATTAAAAGTTGTTAGGGGTGTATTCGTATTTATACAATTGGTTTATATTCTTCGATATAATTTTTATTTTTTAGATAAATTGATAAACCTCAGGTACCTTATCATATCAACCGGATTTGAATAGCAAAGCTTATGATCTATATATGTTTCCAAGAGTCGGAGGCAATTTATTCGAAAAAAATATGATTATGAATTAGAAAGACAAAGCGAGTGTCACATACGCTAAAAGTATTTTGCTTTTTATATCAAAAACTTATGAATATTATAAATAGTTAAATACTCACATCACTCCAAAAGTTATTGTCAGCACAGTCAACCATATATATCATTGCTCCATGACGATTTCTTTGAATTAAACCTTGTTAACGTTTTAACTACGTTGTGGTAAGGACGTTTTAATTAAGTTAGTGCTCACTGCTCTCAAAGGAAGAGAGTTAACAAAAGACGAGTTCTGTTGAAATTTTCTGAGTCTGATCAACCAATTAAGTTTGTGCTTTTGGCTCGGTTGCTAGTGGGCATTTCGTCTTTCTATCATAAGCTTCAATACTTCATTTTACACCACATTTTTGTATCTCTATAACATTTTTTTGTTGGAGTGTGCGAAATCTAAATGGCTATGATAAACAGAGAACAACTGAATTAGTTCTTCTAATTTCAACTGTTTGAACTAATCGTGCCGTGACAACTACTATACAATACGATATTTACAGTAAATGTTCTTGTTCTTATGAGTTTGAGTTTTGATACATGAGATATAGTTATATTGTATTTTCAGCTGAAAAAATAAGTATGAAGATTGTGAAGCCTTGCCAAACTAGTGTCCAAGAGCAATACAACTGAAAAATTGGAAACTATAAACTTCATGTAATCACTGAATTATAATTTATTAATCCAACAACTAAAGGAGAATATATGGTTCATGAACTTTAAAAGCGGCTTTACGAGTTCTATTTTTTTTTGTTAGGTGTGTGATTGGCTAGTATCTACAGTAGATATACTATTATTGATTTCCATTAAAAATAAATTAACATCCTATTTTTCTTACACATATAACATGTTACGAAAAACATTAAATTGCAATTTTTTTTTTGTCATTTTGTTGTGGTTAGACTAGACTCCGACATTATTCTGTTGTGCAGTTTGTTTATTATTTACGTTGTATTGGCGACTACTGTTACAGCATGTGAGTTCTTGAAATTCTGTCTTTTTTTTTTTTACTAAAAATTGTTATCTTAATAAGCCGACACAAGAGCATCAAATGTCTTTTTAATCAGGTAACCAATATATATTACTATTTAATTACACCTCCTCCTAGTTTGTCTACTTATAGTTTAATGAAAAATATTTATCCATCAATCTTCTTACTAGTATTAAGCTAGAGATAATATTAATTAGAACTACAAGAAGATAAAAATGGCGGAAGAGTCCAAATAAAGATGCATGAAGTAGAAGAAAAATGGGAGTAACAACCACTCATAACTTTATAGAAAATAAATTTGTTAGAGAATTTTTCAACTTCTTATTTTTCGGCGGGCTCTTCACATGCCAAAGCGTCAAGCTCTAGACGACGAACCATTTGTCTCATGGGACCTCCTGCGTAAACAAACCGTTTAGACGATTGAATTTTCTTCTAAAACGTTGAAGAAACTTTGGTCGTTACTTGTTGTTCTCCTTCAAAATAAGAATGAATGAATAATCGCCTCTTTGCTAGGAAGTTGTGCAAATTGAACAAAATTATTAAATTAGTGAGATGTAGGGCTTAGTTGTGTTTACATATTGAAGGATTGTGTTTACATTTTTTAAAAATCTTGAAAGCAGAATTACAAAAATACTGTTTACATTGTTTGGTGAAATTAATCATTTTAATAAGCTAATTAATAATGTGGATCTAGCCCATGATTCAGGTGCATTTTCTCTTATTTCAATTATGAGTGATCACTTTTAACGTTTTAAATTATCATAATAATCGACTTTTCACAAACTCTAAATAGTAGTGTTGAACGTTCATTGAAAAAACAATTCCGATATATTATAATTTAAATATAAATAACAGTAGTCAAAGCCATATTTTAAGCATTGCGATGAGTAATAAATTGTACCAACAATGATCAAAGCCATATTATAAAGTCTCAACAACTCGAATCTTCAAGACCTTAATTCATATATGATAGCTTAAGAACGAAAATTGTTACTGAATATCCCTATAAACCCCAACGGGGAGGCCCCGGGCCTTGCAACTTAATTCAATGATAAAGCAATTTGACAAAACTACACAATTCATCAATGTTAATATACGATTAATTAGCTGTCTTCAAATTGCGTATGCCTCAAACCGCACTTCAAAACATTGACTAATGTATGATTAAATTATTTTAAGATATATTGAACAATCACCTAATAATATTTAAGCTTTAGGGTTGAATAGTGGAGTTTTAGTGTTACTAGAAAAATGGCGGCAGAATCATGATAAATCATTTCTTACAACAAAAAACAAAATACTAACAGTTTTCTGCCAAGATGTGATTCTAATTTGAGATCACGCAATTTTGTGATTTTAATGTTTACTCAATCTATCTTTTAGTTATACCTTTCTTTAAAAAAATGTTATCTAATAGTTTTCATAATTGTAGTGATTTCAAATCGTACGTTCTCAAATCACTTACAAAGGGTTGATCACTATTAGAAAGTAACGTTCATCGCTACAATCGCTTTGGCTAGCATTCATAAGCCACGTCTGGCATTGCATACATGTCATCTAAACTTCTGGAAAAACCTTTAAACTATGGTCTATGCATGTAACTTATTCATTAATTTGATGATGTACGCTACAGTTCTTAATTAGTTTCCTTAACCAAAGGGGAATGCACACACATGTGTGTTTCCCACTTTTAAGTGGTGCATGGCCTCTGGATAATAAAGCCATACATTTTGTTTTGAGGAAACAAATTAAAAACGATACCTAAAGTATAATAAATGCCTTATTAAACCGTTTTTATTCCCCCTTAGTGTATGTTGGTGAGCGAGGACCCTTTTGGATCCTTTGATGTCTTTATTCAAAATATTATATCATTAAAAATATATTGTCGGAAAACCTAAAAATTCTCCATGTATTATTATTATCCCTATTTTCTTCCAAATTATTATTACATAATGAGAAGAATCGATTAATACCATATTTTTGTAATCCAAGATATGTTTCAATCACACGGCGGTGATACATGTAAATGATATGGACTAATCATAATTAAGAAATAATTCTGACACAAGTGGTTATAAAAATAAGAGATGCTTCGGATCTGTAATCATCACAAGAAATAATATCCTCCAATCTCACTACCAACTTTAGATTATTTGATAATGTTGTTTTCACACATATATCATATAACATCGACAAGTAAATCCTTCTTGCTACAAAGATTGTTGCACTACACATGTGAGACATCGACCATCGTCGTCAACCATACCAAACAAGAAAGACATGTGAAACAAGTTGGTGTGTATTGACTTTATATGCATCCCCTCTCCACTTGCTCGATTAAATACAATATTTCAAGTATTGTCTCTGAATCTATTGCGATTGGCACAAGAGCCGTATCATTTGTAGTGGTAATGAAGCAGTTCTGCTCATAGTACATGAGAACAACATAATTAGGATGCATCACATTCCTAATAACAGTAGTCATACTTTGTAGATCATTTGTAATCTGATAATGGACTAGTCGATACTTTGGAAGGAGAATCCAAGTTATAATAGTAACACTTCTTTTGCTGTGTTGTATGGTGGCATATGTTAATATTGAGAGAACAACGCAAGAGACACAATTCAAGATGGAAAAATCGAAATATCATTGCAATTATCAGGGAAATCCTGAAACAATCAGAATACAAAGCAATGCCGGAGGCAAAGGATTAAAATGGCAAAGAAGCAGAGGAACACAAAGGCGCTCCTAAATCCGAATGATAGTAAGAATCAAAAGAGATTTTTATTTATTCTAGTTCAAACACCGGAACCTCTCTCTCTCTTCAAGCTCTTTAATGGTTCCGAGTCTTTTCTCTTTTCTTCATTCCTCCTGAGCAAGAGGAACAGCCTGAGCCTATAAAACACAAAGGAACAGTAGAGAAATCGCATTAGAGACAAACAAAAGTTTCATTCTTTCAATACAAAAACTGTTTATAAAGGCTACAATGATGAGATAATATGCATACCAGTGGGCGATACTTCAATGCATAGAACATCTCAAGGTAACGACGGCTCTCAAGACGGTCAAGGTTCGAGACATGCTTCCAGAATCCGTACACACCAGTCAATGTCAGGAGTCTCTGCGAATATATCTGCCAGGTGTATCTGCAAAACCACACAGAAGACAAATAATTAGTCAAGCTAAAACTTGAGAATCTAGGAAAAAGAACAAGGCATGAGTTGTTTTTTGTTTCACTTACTTCTCCTCGATCCTTTGAAGTCCTCCCTGTGAGATTTGGTCCCAGTGAGATGGATCTTCCTTGCACTTGGTGAAGAAATCAGCAAGAGTATCCGCAGCCTGATCACCATGGTAAGGGTCAATGTGGAAACCCGATTTGCCGTGCACAATGATCTCAGCTGGACCACCTTTGCAAGTGGCGAAAGTCGGTAGCCCACAGGTCATGGCCTCCACAACTGTCAGACCAAAGGCTTCGTACAGTGCAGGCTGCACAAACGCACCCTTGGTGTCACAGATGTACCGGTACAGCTCACCGTTTCTGACCCGGTTCATCTGCGAGGAGATCCACCTGAACTGACCGTTGAGCTTGTATTCGTCGATGAGGTCATACATCTTCTTCATCTCGGCCTTCTCTTCGTTGTCCTTTGATTCTTTCCTCCTGTCTCCTCCAACAACCACCAAGTTAACCAGCTCACGAAGGCGGGTGTTCTTCCCGTACCACTCAACAAGACCTGACAAGTTCTTGACACGGTCGAGCCTAGCCATCGTGAAAATGATGGGCTTCTTCTTGTCCTTGAGCACACATCTGTATCAAAAAAAAAGAAAACCAGAAAGATTAGATCTACTATCATAACGTTACCTAAAGATGAACATGAAAGAGGTCATCAAAGGCTTACAAGTGCTCTTGGTTTTCAACATCGCTGTAGAGGAGCTCCTCGATCTCAGAGTTGAATTTAGTTAGTCTACGCTTCTCCTCGGTGTAAGGGAAGTAGATACTCATATCAGCACCAGGTGAGACAATGTTGAACTTGGGATCAAACACATCAATCCCGTGAACGACTCGGTACAGTCCGGGAAGAGTAAAGGCCGTGTGGCTCTCATACTGCCCAACAGTGTCCTTGCTGCAAAATGAGTTAAAAAAAAAGAGCGTTATTATACTGATACAACCACATCTCTGAAGCTATTTTAATTGTTTAAAACATAAAATCTGTTTTACCTTCCAGCAATCTCTTGGAGAGTACTGGTGATGATGAAATCAGTGTGGTTCATTGCAAACAGATCAGCAGTGAACTGGCATGAGAAATGGTACTTGTCGTCAAGCTTCTTCCAGTAGATATCGGAATCCGGGTACTTTGTCTTCTCCAGAGCGTGAGCAATGGTACACTGCAAGAAATAATCCACACAGCATTAGCTTGGAGCTTTGACATATCTCATTGAATAGATTTGAAACATATATACTGAGGGAGGAGCCTAACCTGAGTGACACCAAGTTTGTGAGTCAATAAAGAGGCAACGAGGTTTCCATCACTGTAGTTCCCAATGATAAGGTCAGGCTTACCCTTCAATTCTTTGGCAAGTTCAACCGCAGCATCCTCGGTGTAAGTCTCTAGATATGGCCAGACTTCGAATCTTGAGATCCATTTGCGAACAATACCCTTCTCTGTTCTGAAGGGCACACGGAGAATATCACAGTACTCAGATCCATCAACTCTCTCAAGACGCTCACCACATGTGGTTCCAACGGCATCAGGGAGCAGTCGAGTGAGCTGTAACAGAACCACAACACACAGTGAGACTCAGACATCCACAAGAATCCAAGGTTGGAGCAATAAACTGATAGAAAGCTTACAATTAGAATTCTTGGAGTAATGTTGAGTCCTTGTTGCTCGATACGTTGGAGCATCTCAGTCTCCAAAGCACGAACTTGATCCAGAATGTACACAACCTGCAAGATCACAAAAAAAAAAAATGAGCTCATCGATGAAGACAGAACAGGACAGGAAGCGTGCATCTATACTAGAATAAGAGGAAGGAAATGGGCCTGACCTGGCCACCAGTGTCAGGGTAACCAAGAACATTGTCCTGAGCAAAGTAACCATGAGGAGAGAGGATCACGACATTGAACACCATTGGGATTCTTCCAAGAAAGTTCTCAAGAGTGCAAGGGTCAGGGGCCTCAAGAAGGTCCAGAAGAAGACGGATCATGTCAAGGACACGCTCGGCATTGTTTCCCCATCCCCTCTCAAGACCAATCTCCTCAAACTTGGCCTCAAACTCTTCATACGGAGTTTCGGGTGCAAGCTCTGCCAGATACTCCTCTGCTTTCCTCGATATGTGTTGCAGAGTGTTGAGGTTTTGAATTTTCTCGTTCAACAACAGGGTCTACAAATTCAAAACACAAATCATTCAAACAAGATTCTGGGTTTAAAAAAAGAAGAGATTTTTCTAAGGATTTGAGCAATTTTTTACCTTTCCCTCGTGGCTGTGTAGCTGAAGGAACTTAAACAATGGAAGCAAACTCTCCTTGTCATGGAAGAGCTTAGCCGAGAGGTGACGGTTAAGGAACTCAACACCATCTCCAATGTACTTGGAGAGCGTTGGACGAGGCACAGAAGCATTGAATGGCTCAAAATCGAGCTCAAGCGTGAAATCGCCATTCTTACTGCGAATAAAAATTCATTCTTCAGTGTAAAAACACACAGCAAAAGAAAAAGAAAAAAACAGAAATTGAAGTTACACATACACTCCATCAACGAGTTCTTCCTTGAAATGAAGAAACTCAGAAGGTTGAAGCTCCTCAACGACAAGAGCATGGATATCGACTTTTAGGTATTCCCAAACACCAGGCCTTGGCCTCACAGCAAGAGCAACCCATGGTGGCAACACAATTGCTTCCTGTTTATACCCATTTTGACAAAAAGATCAAAACTTTTTTCAAAAAGATCAAAACTTTCACGAAGTTACCCATTTGAAGAAATTTGAAATGTACCTGAGTGGTTTTGAGAAGGTCGAAGAAAGCACCACCTTCAATCTTCTTCTGGGTTTCTTCAGGGAGAGCTTCGAATTCAGCGATGATCTGGTTTTGTTGAAGAATACCTTTCCCTTTAGCTTCAACCCTAAAGAATCATGTGAAGTGATCAGACTTTTTGCTTTTTGTTTTGTTTTCCTTCGCCATGAAAAGTCATTTACAAAAAAGTGATTTCAATTAGTTGATTGATGGGAATACCTGGAAAGCAAGGCAAGGACTTCGTTTCTCTGATCAACGAGCGTTTCGTTCAAACGCTCACGCTGGCTGTGGACGCGCGTTATCACACCGTTCGTCATTGATCCAAAAGAGACACAGAAACAGTGAAAAAAGTTTTTTTTTGGAAACTGCAGAGAGAAAAGAGAGACGCAAGAAATTAGAATAAAGTGAATAAGATGATGAAAGTCTTGTGTTGCCCACATTCACATTATATACAAAAAAAAAACTATGAATTAGATATTATAACAAAGGTCAAGAACTTTGATCAAAAACTTTTGACTTTTTTTTTCCTTTGTAACCTCAATCTTCGACGGTATTACGAAAGAAACCGTAGAGCTTATTAAATTGAAAAACCTGATCTCTTCTAACATACACATGGGCATTACTAAAATTCGTTTCAGTTTGTTATTAAACTATTTGTTTCATAAGTAACTAGATAATTAAAATATTTGGAGCCGACCTCGAACTTGGACGTGTACAAAATGAAAATGATATTTTATGAAGTATTCTTATCCTATCAGGCTATCAGTTTTATTAGTTTCGTTAAACATTCCTTTCCACCATCCATTTTAAAGCAATGGTGTTCAGGCCTCCTTACACCTATCTTTGTCACATTTATAAATCTAAGCGTGACCTTATTGAAAAGAGGATGTAAAAAATACAATATAAAGACAAAAAATACCATTGCTTTAAAAAGATATTTAAAGTGGATACAAATATCTACGTGTACGTCATACTCATACTATACATTAAAAGAAAATAAGACAATTATAAAACAGAACAGACCAATAATACTCTATAGTGGATTCCATATTTGGATATAGTTTTTTAAATGAAAATGAATTCAGAATTCAGCACTCAAAAGAATTTTCCGAAATTGTAAAAGTAAATAAAATAAAGAAAATAGTAGACGTGATACTCTTATTATTTTGGAATACAGCTGGAAAATTCTGTGGGAAAAAATTCCCCTTAAAAAAAATAAGAAAGCGAAGAAATAGAACACAAACAGGACTGATTCTTCAGAATATAAAGACGTTTGGTGTTTATTTCCTAACCAGAGATTTTTCAGGCAAGAATTTTCTAAAGTAAAAAGAAGAACAATATATTGTTGTAATTTCATCTTATTTTTCTGATTTTTGAAGAAAAATAAACAAATCAAAACAGAACTCTTACTAGAAAAATTATTAAAATAATGCAACCGAAAAACTACAAAGCTTTTTACAAAAAAAAAAAATCGAAAGAGGAGAAGAAGAAGAGAACCTGGAGTTGAGAGAAGACAGAAGTGGTTTCAGTGAGTTGTGAAGTTTCCCTTCGATAGATTTTCAGATTTATAGGGACGGATTCTTAAAGCTGGAGTCAGTTTTTGGTTAGTCGATATGAAAATAAATAAATTATAAAATGAATCATTACTCCCTCTAATTTCCTATTACATTTCTTTTCTTGGGCTCCAAACCCATAAAACGAGATAAATGGATTGGAAACGTGCATTTTAGGAAAAAAGACAGTTCTGGAAATGTGTACATTTTCCTTAAGTATTAGATAAAACGGATATATGAACAATTAATAACCAAACATAGTTCCTCAAATCGATATATCCTATCCGATCTGAACTTTGGATTGAGAAAAATTATATCTATCTATACAATACTTGACCAACAAGAAAATTTATCAACATAAATTAGAACCCAAAAAAAAAATCAACAGATTTGTTTATTACTGGTTTCTAAATTGCTTTCATATTACCAAAGAGACACTGTAATAAACAAATCTGTTTAATTTTCTGGACTAGATATAAAAATACATTATCAAACGTATTAACATAGATTAAAAATTGAAAGTTTGAATAAATGCAACATAACTAACAGAAAATTTATTAAGATAGTTATATTATTTTAAAATATTTATGCAATCAAAGGAAAAATTAAATTTATATCCATTATAATTTAATTTAATATAAATATTTTCACTAAAAAGTAAACAATTTTTTTTATCGTTTAGTGACATCTCTCCCACATTTCTCCCCTTTAAAAAAATTACCAAGATTTTTTTAGGTTACAAATTTAATTTTATTTCTGCTATATTTTTTTATTTTCTTTCTCATATATCAAAAAAATAATATAATTTCATTTAACAATCTTTACTAAAATGGTGAAAAGGTGCTGAAATAGTTAAAAGATATTGAAAAAAATAGATTTTTAATCATATATATAAGGGAAAAAAACGCATCATTTAAGTTATGAATTTATGACACAAAGTAAATAAAGTTGATGTCGGGACACTATATTACAAAGACAGAGGTGACATCGTTCGCTCTGCAATTCAAATGCAACTTGACCGCAAGCTAGCAATAGCATTACCCAAGGGCCATCACTCCGCAAGATGGAGGTGGCTTTACACAAAGTGTACGGTGCCTAAAATACGTGTTTTTATATATATATATATATATATATATATTGGAGATGTGAAGTTACTTTTCCAATGCGAAAATAATTCGCAAAACAAAAAATGGCTGATTGAAATTTGTAATTCACATGATGAATGACATTCAAACTTCTCACATTATGTGACTTCACAACTTTTTTTTATTATTCACGTTTTTTTTATCAAATGTTCACGTCATCATGTATTTAAAAAGTGTCTCATGTGTATACAGTACTAAACATTTGCTTTTTCAGTATCTTATGATTGTTTACAAACATATATTCAGTTATATTATTTATGTTGTTCTATCATCTCGGTATTTTATACTAGTTTGCAAAAATCATTTGACATTAGCAATCATCTCCTTAATAATCATTCATATTCAAAATAAAATAAAGAATCTACCACCATCATCAATATGTTACTATCCAGTTGTGTGGCTCGACATTATGCAGCAAACCGTTGATGGTTTTTAATGAAAACCCCGTTGATGGTTTGTCATCCATGGGACTCAGCTATTATTGGTTGAATATAAATTATTTAACCAAATAAATGGGAATGATTTATTGTGACGGAAACTTTTTAAATAAAAAAATTGTGAATGGTTTTAAATATGTATTGTCCATGTATCTACTACAACCACGTGTCGAGAACAAACTAAGAGTACCACGCGGAGTGACGGTATTAGTGAATCTAGGAGCTACACCAACTAAACAGGAGAGCTTTGGATAAGGCCAACGTTGATTGTGACGTGCCTTTCCACCGACTTTCGATGATTAATTAACAAATTTGTGTAATAATTTGTATTAGGATTGGAGTATATAATTAAACTTTATTAATTCAATGTTGTTCGTAAAAAGTAACATTTGGTCCACTAACTCAGTCCACTGTTTTGCTTCTGTGGGATCATCATGGTTTTGACTTTTGAGGTAAGCGGTTTTGGTCTCGTTTATTCTTTTTAATGTCTTTTTGCTGTAATTAAATGGTAGCAATGAGAGCATTATTACACCAACAATGAAGGGTTGCAAAGAATTTAGAGGAAGGAGGCATATAATATATTTTCTTGCTATTCTTCTCAAATAACACTTCTTCATACATCATTAACATTTAACATCTTGTAGTTTCAAACTTTGTTCAAATTTTTTATATTGCAATTATCATATTTCAACACTTTTATCCCTTAAAACAAATTTCCTTTTCAGTTTTCATTCCTTTTAAGATAAAAGTTGAAGTAAATTAGTTTGTAACACGATAACACACAGTGATGTGAAATTGTTGAACTCTTCGTGAGATATGTTTTGGCAAAGTTTAAAGTGATGACTCCGATTTATTATTGCTAGGTTAGGATTTAAAGTTAAAATAAAGCCATTAACGATAATTTTACACTAGCTTCTAAAGAGGACTTCCACGTCTGCTTCTCTACTCTCAATTTGAATATGCATTAGGACACAAGAACTCCACACTTGGCTGAAGTCTGAACAATGGAAAAACCAGAAACACCAGCATGGCCTCCACTCCATAAAGTAAAACATTGATTTATTTTTGGTAATGCATTATGTAGAATACAAACTTCCTTTTTGGTTTTTAGGTAGTTGTCAAAGTCAAACATTACATGATTTCCATTCATTAGAAAATAGTTACATTAACGTAAAATATGAACAGAAAGGCGTTTTCTTGCTAAAAATATGAAGTTCCCTTTTGGGTTTTTAGGTAGTTGTCAAACACTACATGATTTCCATTAGGTTTGCCTAATTTTTGGAATTGAAGTTTCATCTTCTTCGATAATTGATACAGGTTACAGCAACAGCATTTATATAATAAATGTTTTTTTTTGCTGTAATCAATGATCCATCATTTTCTTTAACAAACCACGGTATTATGGATATCTATCACACATCTACGAAATTTTATATCTCGTCAGAGACAAATCCACATGTCAGATTTTGTGTTTTATGATATGATTGTCTTTCTAGCTTTTTGTAGTATAGAACCTCTGAGAATCTTCATAGCACATTTAGTTTTTTATATGTTCTTTAAATGATATCTGGGATTTTTTGGGTCAGATTAACCATAACATGCTTCCCTAAGTAAAAATTATACGAAATAACTGGTTTTTTTTTGTTTTGAGAAATGATGAATAAGAAAGAGTTATTGGTTCTTGTATTTTGCTGGATTTGAGAATCCAAACCAAGAACTTCTTGGTTTTTGTATTCCAAGCGGTATTGTATCAGACATAGCACAAAGAAACATAATTATAACTGAGGATCATCCTATTTATATAACCGAAAAAAAACTTGGGAATAAAGGAAGACATACACACACAAAAAAAAACAAAGAGATTAATTGGAAATTATGGATTCACATTTTTCGGAAAAATAAGTATCTTACAAAGATGGATTAATAACGAAACAGATATCTCAAAGGAAAAAGGAATATTAAGAGAGACAAAAATATTTATTTCTCCAGGATTTTTACCAATGGAAAACAAGTTACAAGATGGATGATGGATTAATAACGAAACAAATATTTACAAAAAGAGACTTCAAACCAAAACAATAAAAGACCCTAACAAAAGTCTCAGATGATCACAAGATGAAAATTTCCCTATTCTCTGCAAACTCAAGCTTCTCAGCTATTTATTATTTGCTCCTCTTCAATAGTGTACACCTCTTTTGACCGTCAAGTTTCAGATAAAGTGGTACTGTGCATCTCTCGCCCAGTCCCAACGTAATACCCATAAAAAAGACCATAATAAGTGTATGTTCTTGCTGGAAATGGAAAGTTGAAAGAGCTTCAATGGCAGAGTGCTTCTCCATATGCTACCCATTGTTTGAAGCTATCTGTAAAATCATCTCGGATCTTTGTGTGTACAGACGGATCGGTTCCCATTGGTTCCTTTCCCTGACAAAGGGACATCATAAATCCGGTTTAAGTAACCAAAATGACAATATATGTAGAGCAGTGTGATATGTGCTGTCTGATACAATACCGTATGAAACCACAACGCTAGGATAACTTCACCTACCACCAGACAAAACTTGCTAGACAGATATGCAAAGTAGAATTTGGAAATTACTGACCTTCCTGCTACTTGATCCACTCTCGCTCACAGCTTGCGTCACCTGTTTTGCTTCACTGATGATATTCTCCGATGATGAGATTTCTGCGGTTGAATATCTCGTAAGCGCTGACGGCCTGCCAAAAGAACACAAGCGTGAATTGACTAAACCATGATTCAAAATATTGTTTTATCATTCATCATGTATCCTTGTCAATTTGTCATTTTGGTCGGTCATCAATAGTGAAAACCCCTTACACAGATTGATATTTGGAACCTTGTGATAACATTTTTGGACGGAACACAATCAACTGGATTATTAGAAAGATGGCCAATATAGAAAATTTTAAGCTTCTATTTAACGAGATCTGGTTGCTCAATCCTCTGCTTAAAATCGTACATTGGCCTCTTTAATGCAAACTACTTTTACCTGTACAATTGGTCGTTCTCGCATAGATTTTCCGACGATGAAAGCCACTCGACATCAACAAAATTTGAGACACTAGACATGTCTTCCTGCTCGGACAAGTATATGGAGCTACTACCATTACGTTGAACCTTCCGCGCATCTCCAAAAAAATGTGTGCTAGGCATTGACGGAGTACACCTATGAAGATGTTACAGATAATTATTAAGGCCAACAAAAGAGATAAATATATTACTGTGTAATAGCACACACAAATTATTTGACCTCATGAATCTATGTGCTATTATTATGGATAGAAGTGACATGCACAATTGATCTACAGCCAGCAAAATTATAATGCATACATAGCGTGGGCGCTCAAGCTAAAGCAACCAGAAGTACATATTTCATTTAGCTATAAATCAGAAAAAAATGTAAGAAAGATTTGAACAAACCTCGATAATGCTACATCACCAGCAGCTGGCATATCTGGTGATGATTCTGTAATTATATTAGTCTCTTGGTGTGACGACACGAAGCCTCTATGTGACATGCTTTCATGCTTGCTACTCATTGTGGCCATCGGTGTGTGACTTTCGTGGAGAATATTCCCGTCTGATAAGCACCTCTTCACAAGAAACCTGGAAACATAGTATCAAGAGCTATGATCATAGATGCTGCGAAACACAGTCAAAATATTTTTGTTCACTATAGAGATGGAAAAATTCATTTAGTAAAATGGCAAATTCATCAACAAATAGAGATTACATATTAAGGTAAAGTTCGATGCGGTTGACAAACCAATCCTAGTTTCCCATGACTCCATAAGTCTATTATAACAATAGCTCATACCTCCTTTTGTCCAAATCATATAATCATTCCATATGATTAGGGTCACAACCGTTTCACTGAATGATAACTAGAAGTAATGGTGGGTAATGACATTACATGAAAGGGGTGATGTCGCAGATGTAGAGTCTATTTGTTTCAAAGTTTGTATACAAAACGCATTGCAAATAGGTCTAAGATATCTAGAACTCGTATAACTCCTAGAATCATCAAACTATCAAAGTATGTCTAAAGAAGAAAATGGAATCCTCAAAACCTTGGTGAAGGATAAACATCAAGTTCTATATATAACTACCTACATGGCAGCAACAAATTCTATACGCTGATTATTGGTAAACTGAAATCCAAGCTTGCAGTCAAAGAAACCTACCTTTCATCTTCCCCCGTGCTTATATCTCCATTTCGTCCATTAGATTGGGAATCTGGATGCAACTCCCAAACCGCCTGCCTTCCTTGTTCAGGCTGGAAAGTACCAAGAAATCTGCATACAGAAATTAGAAAGTCACAAAGGCCCAAAGAATTTCTGTAGAACTCTGGGAGGTCATGGTCGAACATGGATATATATGAGAGACATAGTGACAGAGATTAGCTTACATATTTATGGCATCTTGTTTATCCGCATCCATATATGCGTTATTATAATAACGTTGCAGAGTCCTCAAGAACTCTTGTGACTGGGTTGCTGCTCTCCACTGGCCTCTCCTCTCACTGAAAACCTATTGCACACCAAAAATTCAAGGAATCAACAAAGCGTATCCAAACAACAGTGAACATAATGGTAACTTGAGTCGGCTGCAGAAGATCCAAACACCATTATTTAGTGCAGAACAATAAAAAGACAGTCAGACAGATTACAATATGAAAGTCTAATGTACTTTCACGATAGTAAGATAGTAAGGGCCCAATTGCACTGAGATATAACATAGATGACAATTTATGTTATATATATATATATAGCAATTTACATTAGAAAGGGGCATATAATTCTTGGACGTCAAAGATCAAGATCAGAAAAATAGACCAGATACATCAATTCTTTACACCAATATCATTACAAATGATGAAGACCAAACGGATTAACGTAACACAGATGAAATTTTAGATTTTTCATGAGCTTATGTCTTTAGAAAAAAGGGCAAGGCCTTTTATCTAATTGTGAACAATCAAAACTAAACGAGAAAAGGGATACAATTCATCTCATGGAGCCCGTCATAATTCCCAAATGAGACTAAACAATATCTACTTTGTGCATAATAAACAGCCCAGTATTTAGTATCAACTAACTGACTCTAGCAGAAAACTTCATATTAAGACAGTTCCATGAACATGAACAAAGTTAATCTGATGCTCTGTCAGGATAGGCAGGTAAAAAAAAGGAATTACCTTATTGTGGGCTGCAGATCCACCATACTGGTAAGCAAGTGTATCTCCCATTCTCTCATATAGCCCCATTAAAGAGCTAGACAAAGGATCATCAAGTTCTATTGTTGGAGCATCTCTAATTCCCAGAGCATGAAGCTGCTGCCCTAGAGCAGCCCAACCATACGCATATTGTGCAACATTTGTCCGATCAAGGCAATCTATGCAATTGGTTCTCAGCACGCCCCTCTGGAGCTTGCCAGGCTTGATATCATATTCGCCACTATCATCATCAGAACTATTATGTGGAGACATGTCGGCCCTGCAATTTTAAGACATCAGTACTGTAAGAGTTTACTATAGAGCTGCAGAAAAATAACTTTTCTAATAGAAATATTATTATTACATCATTGTCCACCAAGTTAAGTTGAATGCTATGCTATCACCTATTTCCAAAGAGTAACACAAATGGCGGATAGCTAATGACAATTAACCATGAAAGGATTTCTAAACTAAAAGAATGATTCCATAAACTACTTTGACAAGGTTCATCTCAAAAACCAACACCAAAATATAAAGTCGGGAAGAACTGATATGATTAACAAGTAACAGGAACACAAGCAAAAAGGCTTACTCAGAAGAAGACAAGCTCATATAACCCTCAAGCTTCACTGTTGGAGTAACTTGATAATAAAAGAAACCTGTTAGCATCAAAGCACAGGCAGCTACTTTGCCAAGAAGTGCCAAGACATTTGCTGTTTTGCTGAAATAAAGACACAGAAAATACCGGTTTTATCTTTATATGTACTTAGAGATATTCATTATTTGAAGCAGCCAGAACGAAAATTTAAAGGGATACCTCTGAAAATGTTTGTGCAAGTCCCAGTGGAGGAATCTTAGGCGATTTTCTTCAGGCAAATCTTTATTTATAAAGTCAATTGCATTAGCAAACTCTGCCCGGAGAATCGACTCCCTGGGTCTCCTCTCCTTTGTCTATTGATTGTAACAAGCAACAGGAAACGTCAGTGAAAGCTTTGAGGTGCGACAGCATCAAATTTATAATGCACACACAATAGTTCCTTTCATTGATAGTTTAGCTAGATTAAGGTGCAAGAAGACGCATAACTTGCCAATACAAATAGTACCCAGCGATGTGAAATGCTAAAGGCGTGAAAAATGATAAGAGCATGACAACAAGCTTGATCAGGCAACTCACCTTGATTAAGTTCAGAATAATGATGGGGGTTCCATATCGCTCTACAAGGTTTTCAAAGTGAAGTCTAGTTGCCTCATAGTTCAGGTCCTTTTTTGACACTGGATTAGACATTGAGGTATTCAAACACAAAGGAGAGAGAAAGAGAGGACCAGGCAGTATATTTAGTATAATAACACTTACATACTATATCCGGCTTAATATTCATCCGTGAGGTCTCCTGTGACCAGAATAGAGGGATTGAGCCGCGATGCTGCACAACAGAAGTTATTTGCATGGGATGGTCTTCAGGAACATCCTCAGACACTATCTGCTCTGTTTCGACATCATTAGCAACATTGCCACTTTCGTTTATACCTCGTTTCAAGTACCTAAAATCAAAAGGGGGTTTAGGATCATAATAACTACCTCAAGCAAAGATTTATAATTAAAATCTCATAATGTTGGAAAGAACCCTGGAGATGGACAAATATTGAACAATGCTCGCGCATGTATCCTTGTGTGATAAAAAATATGGTGGTTTTATTTGCAATAATTTCATGTCATTGCTAAAGGTTACAATACATAGCGAGTTATAATAGTCATGTTCACCAGAGAACAGGAAACTAGGGAGTGATACCTGGTTCCAGCATTATGGCGGGAACGCCTAGCAATAAGAGTGAGTTTGAAATTCCTTCCAGCTTCACAAAGAGTTGTCTACATGCACAACAAAACAAGGTTCAGCACCCATGAAATGTAAGCAGTACTGTGAGACTAGAAATGTATTTGAGAATAAAGACGCCAGCGTATCATAGATGTGAGGGGCAGAAAAAAAACACAATTCTCACCTGCTTAAAAAAACCATGCACCAATGCTACAGTCCACACGGTATTCCGAAGATGATGTCGAATTCCCCGTGTCAAGAACTCGTTCCACACAAACATTTTCTTATAGAGAGCACCCCCACTCTCATGATCGCATATATTCTTCTGGAAACTTCGCATAATATTGTAAGAATAGCTGAAAAAGAAGTCTTTTGTAAGGTCCACCATACACAGGAGCCTCTTGTACCTGTTTATCCACAAGTGGAAAATACCAGATAAAAAAACGCAAGGGTTAAATGACTTCAGTTCATAAAAAGGGTGTAGGGGTGTAATAACTAAAGACGTGCACTCTCTCTCTCTTCACCAAACAGAAAAGAAAAGCGTAACTCTTCTTCAACGTAGCAAAAAAGGATATATATCAAAGTACCTGCTCTCGTCTCTTGAATTTGCAATGTTGCAAAGCACACTAGAATTTTGCAATGAAATGATCTCACTCTTCGACACTTCATAGACCCTGTGACCACAAAGTTCACCTATCTCTCTTCTTTCAGTAATAAGTAGCATGTAGTAGGGTCCCAAAAATTTAATGAAACCTGAGACCACACAAAGAGGAAAAGAAAGAAAAAAAATGTGAGAAGGAGCTGTAAAGCAAACCCATCTACTATCATGTAAACACAAACTCGACACAAAAACACATACCGATGATGCCATAACAAACAGTGACAAGTTTCAGTCCCCCTGTCGCCTTGTTTCCTTCGTGTATCCGTTTTAGCAACTCGTAGCATTCTTTCTTTGTATACGCAGTCGAGTCCTCACTGACGTTAAGCTCAGACGCATCAAGACGGTCTATCTTCAGCACTCTATACACTCCACTCCCATTCCAACCAATCATGTAGAAATTCTGAAGAAAGATATCATCTTAGCGACAGTCCATTACAAATTATCTATAGGAAAGCAATTCAAACGGCAGCGAGAAAGCTCAAGGTGGAAGTTTGTATTTACCGATTGAGTCTCGAAGAGTTTGAATTCTTGCATACAGCCTTGAAGGGAAGATGATCCAGAGGAGGCCGAGCCTCCATTCTCCATCGATGGCGATGTAGTCATAGCTGATTTCAAAAATTACTCGTTCCTTATTGACTTACAGATCTACCGCCCAAAGCCGCTGGCTCAGGGAATATCTCGCCGGAGCATTCACCTATTTCCGAAATCCCAGAGTACAGATGCCGAATTCACACGCAACCAAAATCGAAGATGCTCCAAAAAACCTGACCACGTCTCCGTAAGCGAATAACGGGAGGAGGGGGCAACGAAAAGAGTCGAAGCTCGTTGATTTCACGGACAACACGAATCTCTTGCCCCGAGATTCGCACCGTGGAGTTACAAAACAATCGAGCAGCCTCGGGGAAAAAAATTATAAAAAAACACAGATTCTCTACTGATTTCCCCACCTGCTGCTCTCGAATCGAAGAAATGCGACTAATAGAAACGGAGAAAGGAGGTAAGCAAGTAAACAGACCCGATCACGGAGATCGCCACTAAAAAGCTCGAACAAAGGAAGAAGGAAGCTCAGATTCGCAGAAATTAGAAGTCGAAAACGGAATAACAGAAGATGAGATGACAAATTGGTATTCCCATTTAAAGAATGATTTGAAATAACGAGAAGTTTATATCGGGAAGAAGATAGGAGCAGGTAGAGAGAGAGAGAGGGTTTTATGATGTAGAGAGAGAAAATGATGATATGTTTCAGCTGTTTTCTTTGTTTCTGTCGAGAGAGAGAAGGAGGAGGAGAAGATTGGATCGGAAGAGAAAGAGACGACGAAAACCACAATTTCTATTTATTTTATTTAAAGTTAATTTTATAGTATATGGATTTGCCGAGAAATAATATCTCGTCACAATGCTATACTTACAGCTGTTTGGATTCTAATGGAATAGCTGCATTTTTCAATAAGTTATATATTATTACTCTTTTCTTTTAAAAGACTTCATTCACATTCTTATTTTTGTGTAAAAGTCAATTATCATGATTCATGACGACTGAGTAATTTTAGCAAATCTTTGAAATGTTAAAAAAAGTGAACAAAACATATTTGGATCATCATTGACACCAACAAAAATTGGCTGTGGAATCACAGCATTAAGATTAATAATAGCAAAGATGAGCCAAAAGAAAAAGAGTGGCTGAAACAGAGGATCGTGGATATGCAGTGAAACCTATATTAATACTATTGCTTTACACACGAGGTAAGTGTTACACAAAAAGGTAGCTGCAACTTTCATTACCGGAAAGATAAACCCTACTTACAAAGCTTTTTTTTTTGCTCCCTCATCACTACTTTGATGCTTACACAATCTCTTGTTGATCAACAAGTGACGAGAAAGAAAAGAAACGGGTTCTCGACATTACAAGTGAAATGGATTGCAAAGAACACAAAGGTAGAGAGAGAGAGAGAGAGAGAAGCAAGTCAAAACAATCAGTCCTTGCAATCTGTTACACCTTCGGTAGATATTTGAAATCGAGCTTCCGCTTCAGGCAAGCATGGTGAGCTTATCACTTTGCAGATTCTCTCCTCTGCTCTTCCTTTCCTCAATGCCAGCCTGCATATGATACATCAATAAACAAACACACACTTTGCCGATGAACCCTTGAAATCGAAACAAGGATTCGAATTTGCAAACATTACAGACATTACAGACCTTGTTGTGGTCGCATGAGCCATGATATTCCCACCAATCGGCTTAAACTGTGGACCAGCAAAAAGAGCAGAACCATCTACTTGCGCAACTACTTGGTTTGTAATAACAACGGCCACACCAAACTAGAGCCATGAAACATGTGAGAGAAAACTTCAGGATAGTGTCTCAGAGCAATTTTGGAAAAGGAAACAGTTAGTACTACTACTACTGAGTGTTCACCTCATCTGCTAACTTCTGAAGACTTCTCAAGAACTTTGCAAGGTGCATTTGTCGAGCCGAAAGCTCTCCCCTTCCAGAGAAATCTGTCCTGTAGAGAGCGGTAGCACTATCGACAATCATGAGAGCAAATCTGCGACATCATAACTTTCACTGTTAGCACTCTCATGATGGACTTAATGGAACTGAACACCAAAAAAGAAACCGAATTTACCTTGTTTCAATCATCATTGATGCTGCTTCAAGTAAAAGCCTTGACTGATGATCAGTATTATACGCCCTCGCATAGGCTACATTTTCAAGTACATCAGCTCCATTTAGTCCGAACCTGCATCGTTTCCATAGATGTCTTACGGATTCTACTTTCTCAAGAACCCAATCGTGATCTCACATGTGTTACAATGATAAAATTACCTGTCAGCTATCTGCAACAGTCTTTGTGGCCTGAAAGTTCCCTCGGCATCGATGTACATCGCTTTTCCCTCTCCACCTCCTTGATCCATGGGAAGCTAATAATATAAACATGAAGCTTAGTATGAATATCTTTCTCATATTATTTATTTATTCCTACTAGATAAGCAACAATAGCTGAGTGGTAAATTCAGAAAAAGGGTTCTTACTTGACATGTTACACACAGTGTATGGCACAACTGAGTCTTTCCAGAGCGGAACTCACCATATAACTCAGTGATGGATCCAGTTTCAATTCCTCCTATTGAAAGTTCAGCAAAGTAAGATCATAATAGCAAAAAATTCCGATTTAACATGCACCAAAAATCAGAACCAACCTTCAAGAACTTTGTCGAGCTCCCGTGATCCAGAGGTAATCTGAATTATCTCCTGTCTCTGGGCATGGAGCTGGCTAGCACTAGTGAAACCCAGAGGAACCAGCTTTGAAGCTGTCACAGAGGGAAGAAACACAAATAAGAAATTCATAATCTCTAAAAGCATCAAAGAGGTGTAATATAAATAAGAGAAGGAATGTGAGCTGACATGCCTGCTTCTACGATCTTGTCAACCTTAGCATCACTAATTCCTTTAATCTGCAAGAGATCCTTCCTTGGAGTATATGCAACACCTTCAACAGTACAGAGACCAGCATCTCTAAGCTTCTTTACATCAACAGAAGCGATACCTGCAGCCTGAAGTTTGAAGTTTGAAGGATTAGAGAGATGATAGAGCATATAACCAAAAGATAAAAAAAAACACTAATTCATCTCCCTCTTACAAATTAAAGGAGATGAGAAAACCCAGAGATATTATGACATTGGAATCAGAGCATGAGAGAAATTCTCCAGTATTGAACGGATTGAGCATGTATTCGCAAAGGAGAAAAAAAAATCCTAAAAGTGTTAAATTTATCTAAATCAACCAAAGCCCTAAAAGTATTTCACTCTACAGACCGTAGCGAAACCCAATTCTCGCTCAGATTCACACCTATCTCACATCGCGAGAACGAACAAAGGGTAGGAAAAAGCAGAAATTTTTAGTGAATCTAACCCGAGCCCACTTCGATTAGCGCAAGATCTGGTGTAGATTATGCACAGAGAAGGTAAATTTCCTCTACGAACGAAAGAAAAAAAACAAAATCTGGAGAAATTGTACCTGAAGCTGTTCGACGGGGAAAGGGCCGTGTTGGATCTCTGCATCGTCTTGTTGTTGAACAGTATTCTGGTTTCTACGCTGCTCCATTGTCGTCATGGCTCTCTATCAGAACAGATTCGTAGCACAAGAGAAACCGAGAGAGCAAAAGAGACCTTGCGAGTGGAGGGAAATGGCTAAACTCTGAAAGGTAATTAAAAAAAGAAGCGCCACAACCATTTTACAAGACGATGGGGTAAAGGCTTCCTCGACAAGTCTCGATTGCGTTGGGGTAGCTTTCCTTATTGGGCCTTACTCAGCTCGATTCTTAAAGCCCAATTAGAAGTTCCAAGAAAAATAGCCACTAGAAAACCGGAAAATGGAAGATTAGTTGGTTTTCTAAAGCTTTCGTAGAATGTTTTTTAACTGCCTCACCTTAAGAATATTGCTCTCATTCATGTCGCTCCAATAATCTCTCATAATCTAATGGTGGTATGGACCCATGTCGCTCTAATATATTCAAAAGTTTTTTTTTTAATTATATAATTCTTCTACAACCTCACAATCACAGTCGATTATCTACTAATCATTTAAAAACTGTTGAGAAAACAAAATATAACACGATCAAATTAAACCACAACATCAAAAAGAAAAAAGTTTACTTTCATTTTTTTAAAAAATCCAAAAGAAAACATTCTTAGTGAATGAGTTTGAATTGATTATTGGCAAAGTTTTGTTAGATATTTCAATCGGAACATAATACAAAAGTCAATTGTTTCGTATCTGCCTTGAACCGTGAACTGGCAGCTTAGTTGGCAAGCTAAAAAAAAGCAGTAAGTAGGGCCCAACCGGGTTCGAACCGGTGACCTATTGATCTGCAGTCAATTGCTCTACCACTGAGCTATGGACCCATTTTGTTTTCTTAAATCTCACTTTAGTTTTGTATTTAATTTCAAGCATCATGATGTTGCAATTACTATAAATATGTTTACCATATAAAGCTGATTTTAACATTCGATGTTAATCTCCGTGAATCGTATGTTATAATAATCTTATACTTCAAACCGTTCGTCATATCTTCTCCCAATTTTCTCTTCTTCTTGTTTTCCCTCATTTTTCTCTTAAACTAAATCCCGGAAGCGAAACTGATTCCGGTAGAGGGCAACCAAGAAACTCCATCAATAAATTTACCAACGCTAAAATAACTTGCCTCTTCGAACCCAATCAAGTGAAACCCTTGCCACGTCACTCTCTTGGAAACTCTAGCTTTAGGACCATAATTCTTGAACTCTCCAAAGTACAATGTCTTTAGTACTTCGTCTCCGGAGTTTAACCACCCGGCCCATCCTTCCTCCGCGATCGCATCGTCGATGTACGTTTCCATCACTATAGACCTCGAATACTTCTTCCACGGCCGTCCCAAGTACGAGCTATACCTATGTTTCACGGCCGAGAACTCTGAATCAGTACGTATCCTACAGCTATGAAGGGCGAATCCGGTATTTTGACGCTGGTCCGTCCTCCCGTTAGCAAGAATAACGTTATAGGCCTTGACGTCGTTAGGGCGACGCAGGAACATGTTGCAGCTTTGGAAAACCGCAGCCGCGTTTCCGAATATGAAATCTATGGTTCCGTATATGTCGCATTCTCTATAGAACTGTCGCAGAGCAGCTGCGTAAAGTGTGTCTTGGTAACCGGAGATGCTGCATCTATATAACACTGACCGGTCTGATGTGATGCTTAATGCTATGGCTTGTTTTCCTTGAGTCCCTGCCGTGTTCTTGATTCCGATATCCCGTCCGATGAATCCGTCACCCGTTACCGCTGCAAAAAAATATTGTATCTTATCAATTATCACATAACAAAATTTGGTTACAAATGTGTAACATATAATAATATTTTATGTATGTAAATTAATGATATGAATGTATGTACTTACTCATTGTAGCGGTTTCCGGCACGGAAGTTCCTCCGGCGACGCTATCATCGCCTACAATCACCGTCAAGTCTTTGCCTTCTCCGATCAAAGTGATCTCATCTTTTTCGATTCTTACTTTCTCATTGTATATGCCTCTTTTCACGTAAATTATGAATCTTCCATTCCCGTTGGCAGCCATGACAGCCTCCATCACGGTACGGTAATCACTGGATCCGTCTTTGGCGACTACCACGTGTGCTCTAGTTCTAGGCGTTCGACTTACAAGAAGTCTCCGTTCTCCGGCCGAGACCCACCGTGGAAGAACGGTAGACTTTGGATTTGACTTTGGATCCTCCATGATTGTGTCGAGAAGGGCTAAGGAGTTGCTGACAAGCCGAGAGAGGTGGTCCATTTTTTGTGTTATGTGGCTGATGGTGGCGGAGGAGGAGCCACCGGAGTCAAGGACAGAGTCTTTGCATGATTGTTGGAAAGTCATGGCGGCGGAGAGCCAGGTTTGGACGTCGTGTTTGGTGTGACGCATTCTCGATGAGCCGTTGAGAGCTTCCATGGCTTGCTGAAGTCTTTTTGTGGACATCTTCATGAGCCGTTCACATGACTCTATAACGTTATTAATGCCAATTAATTAAATATCTTCAGCTTTAAATTATGGTTTTTTTCTTTTCAGTTTTTGGAGTGAATACAAATTAATAATTGTGGATAATATGTACTACGGAGACTTAATTTGTACTTGCATGATTTGTCAAAATCATTAGGTAACTTGGTATAGAAAATATATATATACTCTAACAACTCTATCAAATAATTGTATTTTAATTTCATTCTTGTAACCAAGTGGATGATATTTGAAAGTTGGTGGTACAAAATGAAAGAGGGAAAATAAAATGGTAAAGCAATACAGAATCATGATTTCTTTCTTCTTTTACCATCACAAAGAATCATGTGTTTCTATAATTTCCTCTTCTACAACATTTGTTTTACTATAAATGAACTAAAGATGTTTATCAGAATTGTGAAGAAACGGTGACAGGTTATGCTGTGTACCTGAGACCGCAGCTGATGGCAACGTATCTGTGGAATGTTCCAGGGAAACGAATTCGTAGGAACCCATCGAAGAGGAGAGAGGAGGAATGATCATATTGGAATCAGAGATAGTCTTGTTAACAAGAAAAGACACAAAGTCGAGACCTTGAAGAGATTCATGTCGAAACTCTCGTAAGGTTTGGACACAAAGTGAAGTGTACTTTGTGGAGCTACAATGCCTTTGCAATTGATTTTGGTAAGTGAATGGCATATTTCTTGAGGCATCGACGAGGAGAAGGGCATTGACCAACAATAACACCCCAAATAAAACCATATCTATAATACTCGTTCCTATTACAAAAACTTGGCTTTGTTTTACTAATATTATATTGGTTACTTTATGAGGGAAAGTTGATGATATCCAAATGGCTTGAAATTAGCTTTTGATTTATAATGAGGATAAAGGAGTTAGTGATGAGTCTGGTGAGTTAGTTTAGCGGTTTGACATTATTTTCATAGAGGTAGATTGGGAGACTTAAGTGGCTTGGATGGATGGGATAATTAACACTCACTTTTTCATTTCTTTCTTCTTCATTTTAGGTATGATCTAAAATAACGTTCTTATCAAAACAATTTTATTCGTAACGTCAAAAACAAGAAGTAATATTGAAGATGCTATATAAAGATGGAATGTTTGCATTCCTATGAAAATTTTAATAAAATCATAAGATTATTTTTATCTATAAGTAGTAATATTGAAAATGCTATAATACTACTATCCAGAATTATATAAAAACATAGGAGAAATAGAAAAAGTCAATTGTTTCGTATCTGACTTGATACCGTGAACTGGCAAGCTAAAAAAAAGCATAAAGTAAGTAGGACTAAACAAGTTCGAACCGATGACTTATTTATCTGCAGCCAATTGCTCTACCACTGAGCTATGAACCCATAAAATCATTTTTAATCTTAAACCTTACTATAATTTCATTTTTAATTTCAAACATCATGATGTTGCAATTAATTTAAACTCGTTCGCATGCGGTATCCAATATGTAAATAAAAATCGCTACTGTATAAATAATTAATAGAATATTATTAAATTGTTTAAAAATTTAAATTTATATAAAAAAAAAAATTTGCAATAAGCTTCACAAAACACAAATCCTCTTAGCTCCTCTACGAGAGGCACTTGTAAGCTGAGTACTTCTGGCGGTTGAAAAAAAGCTCATAAGATCAACACTTTCTGTCATGAATGCCTATATTTCCTCTATCCCTACAACAATTCTGTTCTTTTAATATATGTTCGGTTAGCTTGGAACCCTCCTTAAATTCTTGACCGAAATTGCAGCTATTGACATACATGGCTTATACGATGTCCAACTTTACAACATGTACGCCATGTTTATAGGGCACATGAAGGTATATCCCGGTTCTTTTAGTTTTTTGTTAATGTACTAATAATATCTGATGCTATACATGTGTATGAAAGAGGAAATTTGCACAAATATTGTAAAGCTGGCTCAATATTCCGATGCAAATCCTTTAGAAAATGTAAGATTATTTATATGCATTTGATTCTCTCAAGCTATCTCTTGATAACTTATCAAGTTTCTGTTTGTTACGTCTTTAGGAATTTATCTTTGAGGTGTCACTTTCTCACCACTTTTTTCAAGGTAATTCTTTCACACTTTGTTGAGTAAGATATGTCACTTTTGGGATATTTAAAATAATGGTGCATGTGTTTTACATGCAACAGTTTCACATAAAAGTCTTAAAGCCAGCTCCAGTTTTGTTGCTAATGAGATTTCACCATTTCACAGTGAAGTGTTAAGGTATGTTTACTTATATATATTGTCAATATTATTATTGTACTAGATATGACAGTTTCTGCTTGTTTGTGGATTGAAAAAGGTTTGCATAGAATAGTAGGACTCGTTGGTTTGTCAGTTGGATACTGGAAAATGTAATCCTCATATTAAACCTAACTATGAAATCTTGCAGGTAAGATGGATTCATTGACTAATACATATCATTCTTTTTACTTTCTTGCTCGCATATGGTTGATATATACTATAATTGTGTATTTGTATCTATTAAACTTTGCTTGGGATTAATTTGACTTGCGGTTGTTCGGAAGTAGTCGTCAATGGTAAGCTGTTTATTCTATGTATACATCCAAATTGAGAGAGCTAATGATTAACAGCATGGCGAACCTTGAAGTATTTCGTATTGTTGAAGATGAAAATGGGAACACATTCCATGAAATTATGAAAGACACTGATGTTCTTGTCCAATTCTTGTCCGGTTCATATTTCTCTTCTTGAGCTATGTTAGATATATACCAGCAGTGATATTTTTGCCCCATTTCTTGTTTCAACAATTGCAGATAATGCAGAAAATATTAGTCAACTTTTTAAAGCATCTCTGTCGCCAAATCTTTTAAATAGAGTATCTAATATAGTTAAATAATTTAATTAAATATTAAATTAAATAAGATTTAACTAGTTACAAAAAGATATATGTTTGTTGGATATCTCATATTGTTGAAAAGGTATATTAAAGTCTCTTGTGTCTCTCACTTTTTTGATGCTTTTTTCATTATTTTTTTTTTTTTTATAATGGTAAGAGACTCTTTCTCATCTTACGGATTGAACTATTACACATTGACTATGTTGACACCAGAAAACTGGAACATTGATATCCCCCCACCCCCTAAACTTAGCAATTTAAACGTGGACGTGTTGTTAAACATGAGTTTTGCTGGTACACATGTAAGCTGTATTTCGTCTGTTTCATTCTGATGTCTCTTCTGATTGTCCGTTTAAAAGATGTTGAAAAAATGGGAATTCTTGTTTGTGATGCAGTTCCTTTCCGTGTCTATTGGCTAGTATAGCAGATACGCTTTGAAGATGTATTTAAGAAAACTTGGCAGAGTCAGCTTTAGTGTTAATTGTTTTGTCTCATTTATGATATATCAGTGTCTGCTTGACTGCTCCTTATTGTGTGCTAACGAATGAATTGATCTCCATATTTCCTTTTTTCAGGAAGACTACAGTTTTTGGTTGAACGTCTATCACTGATTGTTACAATTATATGCCAAGGCCGAGACTGAAATGAACAAACACGTTGTTGCTAACAACATCATCTAAGTACTGCTTAACAGCTCCCTTGACGTTGCAGGTTTCCTCCATCGCAGTCCTAGGACGACTCGACTCCTACGGCCCAATAAAAAGCCCAACACAAGATACAGCATGCTGACCATCGTTGTTACTTTCTCTTAGTTGGGTATAATTTTGGGTTACGATACGATGAGAGGAGTGTTTGTTCCTAACTTCCTATAACTCGATGGTGTTGGTGTTGGAGAATAGAAAAAATAGTTCTAAAATGTAAAGAAAAAGAATGAAGACAGTTGTAGAAAAGAATGTACAAACGCAAAGAAGGATCAATTTAACACCGCACAGCCAACAGCCATCGCCACCATTGTCACCGTACTCCACTTTACTTCCGGTGCACCGGAATTCCTCGACGGCGGCCGCAACGTCTCGTGCCTGCTCGTGTCGATTTCAATCGGAAACCTACACGAACCACGCGACGGGTCAATCTTAGTAACAGTCCCTAGATTGTTGAACACGCATGAGCCACGACGATGATCCATTTTCTGGAAATACATATTGAAGGCGTAGGAGGCATTCGCGGCGGAGTCCAAGGCGGCGCAAGAGGATCCCGGCCCTAGAGAGGTGCAATCGGCGAGCTGACAAGCGTAATCGGCGGACTGTGTCCACGTGCCACCGTTCCCTGCCGCCTGAGGTGAGAGCACGCACCACTCACGTGCCTGGTAACGAACACCTTTCGCCGGAACCAACTGACGGCCGTTTCCGAGGCTGAGAGGATACTTAACGGCGCCGTCGTAAGAGAATATTCCCCAGTGTCGCTCGAATTTCCCCGGATCGATGCTCTTGATGTCTTCGTCCACTAGCGAGAATATGTAAACTTCCGGCGCCGTTTTCCGACGAGGCGTTCCCTGTCCTTGAATGATACGATTCAGCAAGCCCTGGTTGAATCTCTGAGCCATCGCCGGGTTCGCGTTTACATCGCCGTCGGTGGGCCATCCGACTTCCCCGACGATGATCTCCACCTTGTTCGGATCGAATCCGTTCTTCTCCAGCGCCGAGACCAGAGTGTCGAAATTAGCGTCGAAGACGTTCGTGTAAGAAATGGATCCGTCGACGACAGGCTTAGCTCCGCGTCCGCCGCCGCCTGATCCGTCCGGAAAGAAGGCGTATTCCCTGGGGAAATTCGGATCGGCGTTGAGAGAGAGAAAAGGGTAGATGTTGAAAGTAATGGGTGAGACGGAGTCAGCGAGGAACCGAACGATGGAGACCATAAGGGTTTTGATGTCGGACCGAAAATCTCCGGATGACGGGAGACCGTCGCTGGACTCGTAGACGTCGGCGTTAAGTGGCACCGTCACTTTGACTTGCCGGCCGAGACCGGCCTTCACCAGAGCTGCTTGAACGTTCTGCAGCGCCGGGTATGTTGAACGGACGAATCTGTCCTTGTAGGTCTTCAAGAATGGCTCATTCCCCACGGCTACATATCTGATCAGATTGAGTAAACATCAACGATTAAAATTCCAAACTTTATAATCTGTAAGCATGTTTCCGCATTGAAAATCAAATCTTTAAGACACCTAAGCATGTGTTAAAGCTATGGGCTAATCGAATTTTACCTTATGTCAGTTCCATATTTAGAGATGTACTGAGAGACGTTTTGTTGAACCCAGAGCTCGGCGTTGGTAACAGTGGATGCCATAGTTGCCAAGAGATCGTTGGGGATACCGACCATGACCTGAATACCGGATTTACCAAGGGCTCTAAGTGCACCAGGGTCAGCTTCAAACAGCTTGACCTTGTTGAACCCATTTTCCCTGAGGAGCTTCACCACTATGTTTGGTGGCATGGGATGGCTCGCTTGCGTTCCCCAGTTACATGCCAAGCCATCCACATTCTTCAATATGTTGTGAAGTAACAGTATGGATAAGCAGAAAAAGATGAGTTTTTGGTATGTATCGTGACGACCCATTTCTCTATTTAAGTGTGAGATTCGGGTTTGAAGATTGTTTCAGAGCGTGTGGGGTCTAATGAGTATTTGTGTGTTATATATACAAATATAAACAAGAGATATAGACGTAGGAGTTTGGGGAAGATGAGTATATGGAAGAAAGAGGGGAAAGGAAAGGTATTTGGAAAGGTGGTTCAATAAGGAACTTGATTCCATTGGACCTAAACTTCAATTTAAAACCATCCAAGCAAGGGCTTCTCTCATGTATTTGTACCAAAAACAAACATATTAAAAGATTTCCATGGTCAACCTGTAAGATATTCATATCATCTTCAGCATAGTGATAAATAATATACGAGGGAGAAAGGAATAAGAGGGAGGGTGAAGAAGAAAGGGATGGAGTGTGTGAGATGGAGTCCAAGTTTTGGGTCTTCCCTTTCTTAAGAGAATCTTATAAGAAAGTTTACAACGCAAAGTCCTACCTTTAACCATGGGGGATTCCTCAAACAAGCTTAGAAAGTAGTAAAGATGTCAAACCATTTTCAAGAGATCTAATAAAGAGAAGAACCAAAACAAAAAAGTAATGCTTGGTGGAGCCAAAAAAAAACTGGATTTAGTAGGGTTTGCAATAGCATGAATCCATCAAACTATCGTCGAACAACAAAATGTTTTTAAAGCTACTTATGATTCTAACTCGGTTTCTAGCAATTAGCAATCATCGATTTGTTAATCATCAGTGGGTGATGAATCGTCGAGCGGTGGCTTGATCGATCGGCCAAAGAAACGACTATTCTCCAACCTGCGAGCCAGTGAGACGATATCGTCGAAGCCCTTTGGTTCAAACACGCGAAGCATATCCTTAATCCCGTCCTTGAGCCCATGGACGAAAACGTGTTCCTCGAAGAAGAAATTGGATGTATCCGCCGGTAACTGCGACGCGAGCTCCTCGAATTCGCCGAGATAGTCTCGAACAGATCCCACCTGTTTCAGAGCCAGTAAGCGACTCACTGCAGATTCAATGTGCCCAAATCGATCCAGCACCCGAGATTTTAAATCTTTCCAATCCGAAAATGGCTTAGAACGATCCGATACGATGAACCAGTTCAGTGCTCGCCCGTCAACGCTCATGTAAACTAGCCGGACCTTCTCCGTCTCCGTGAAATTTCCAATCTCGAAGTATCTTTCCGCTTTCAGAATCCAGAGGTTTACATCGTCACCTTCGAACACTGGCATCTCGACCTGGATCCTCTTCAGATATCTGTAGCGATCCTTTTCCTCGACAGCGTTATCCGCCGCGGTGGCTTGTTTCTCTGGAGCCGCGGGGAGGTTCTGGTCCGCCGTAACCTGTGCTGGAGGCGTGTGTTGAAGAACAGCTGCTTTCATCTCCGCCATGGAATTTAATATCTCCGCCATGGAACTGATCAGCACACCCACCGTCGAGTGAAGCTGAGCCATCGTCGTTTGCACCTCCCCTACGGATTCCATCAGTGAATCTGTGGTTCCATCAACCTCGAGCATCTGTTTTGGTGCCGCCATTGAAGAGAATGATGATGATGTTGATAGGAACAACTAACAAACACTCTTATCTTTATTTCTCCAAAGGAGAACAAGGGTAATAGCGAGTGGACCCCACGGTCGCCCTACTCATCAAAACGGCTGTGCTTCACTTGCTTCTCTTCGTCTCCCTTCCTTTCTTGTCCTTATGCGAATGTATATAATTATGGGCCATATCACATCTGTAATTCCAAACAAACCATTAAAGGTTATTTTCATATTTTCAAACAATATATGGACTGGACTATGTAACACAACTTGGGCCGGTGTTATATGAAAATGTATGAATAATACTTGTAATATTTATAACAAATTTACTTTTCAAAAATTTAAATGTTTTAAAGTTGATGAATGCCATTCAACCTTTGAGACTGAGACATAATTTTGGATTGTAGCAGACTAGCAGTCATGTTTTCAGGAAAAAAAATAAGTTGGGAGTTTGAGAATGTGGTATGAATATATTTTATGAACACATACACATACCAAGTTAAAAGTCAGACTTTAATTCAGTAGAAACGTTACCGAATTTGGAGATTTGCTAAGAGACGCAAGAAGTTTAAATATTTGATATTATTACCATATTTCCTATTCTACCCTTTAAATTCCCAATTTACAAAATTGACCAACGGAATTCCATTGATCATCGGATCCCCGCTAAAATCAAATAAAAATTGAAATGAAAAATAAAAATCAGACGAGAAGATCATCTCCGAAGAGGTAGAGAAGCCGCTCGACGGCCCAGCTAGGTTCGTTCTTGGCCGGCCAATCCCCACACGACGACGCATTAGCAGCAAGAAGCGGAGTTCTACAGAGAGGACACGTTCTGTGGTTATCTTCCTCGCCGTCGTTATCATCTCCGCCGCAGCACTCGTAATCGAGCCACCGATCGATGCACTCGCGGTGGAACACGTGGCTACAGTTCCTGAGTTCCCTGACCTCATCTCCGTCTTCTAGATCCCCGAGGCACACCGCGCACGTGTCGCTGATCATTTCCGGAGATCGCTCCGCCGCGTCACGGAACGTTGTCACGGAGAGGCTCTCCTTGATAGCCTGTGAAGAAATCGAGGGAGTAGAGACGGAAGAGGCGGATCTAGATCTGGATCGGTAGCGTAAGATCCAGGCGAGGATCCATCTCAAGACGGTGATTAAAACCGCCATTTTGTAGAGAAGTTGAGTGACGATGAGACCGGAATCTTCGATGAAGAAGCTCATTGTTTGTTTGCTGAGTGTGTGAAAGAGAGAGAGAGAGAGGAGAGAAGGGGAAGGAAGAATGGAGAATCAGATGCGATTTTAATAGATGAATAAAGCTGTGTTTTGCTTGCTGATGCTTTTCCTCTTTTGTTAGTGGTGTGGTGCCTTTCTTTTTTCCTTATGGCCTTTAATTTTTATTTAATTTTAGTTAATTTAAATATGTTTATATTGGTGCTTATTATTATAATTATGCAAGTTGCTTGGAGGTTTTTCTATTTTTTTTCAAAATAGGTGTCAAGTGATGATGCAAACTTTGTTTTAGAATAAAGAATAAAATGATAAGTCGACAGGATGATTTTATTAGTATTTTAAAATTGGGAATATTCACTTTGCTTATAATGTAAAAAGAGTATTATACATATGTTTGATAATGTAATGCAAAAGATTATCATTGCTGCTTTTAATTACATGAATACTTTCACAAGAATCATTCAAGATAATTTCAAACAAATAAGTTGGAGAGATATTTGAGATTATCAAAAAATATGGGTCATAAATAAATATAGGGGGTCAATATCTGAAAATTAAAAACAAAAGATTCTTACAGTTGTGCCGTGTGCGTAACGAGTGACGCGGTGGTGAGGGGATAAATTGCAAAATCCTAAAAGTAAAAGAGTGTGACTATAAGAAACAAAAAAATGACGCAGGCAAATTGCAATTTCGTAAAAGTAAAAGACTATGACGATAAGAATCAAACAATCAAGTAACTGACGTGAGCGAAGCATTTGTGCCGTTCGTGTCATACTCTTCTGGTCTCAACTAAGTCAGGTTCTCTTTTTTGGTTTTTCCTTTTTCCTTTTACCAAAGTACCCAAAAGAGAAACATTATTTTATATTTTGTTATCTTGGTTTTTAATGGAAGATGACCCATTCGATGACCGAAAAACTGTCACATTTCCTAATTTATGCTTTATATAAGTTTTTTTTTATTTAAAATTTATGCTTTATATAAGTTAAAAAAAATATACTATGATAAGTTGAAAGTATTTTGCGTCATTTCTGGCTTTTGACCCATACGCAGGGACAATTTTCTATTATCATACGTGATTATTGACCGACCTTGATCTTACTTATTATTTAATACTTATGCTTATGCAATACCTTTTCTAATGAATTCAAACGATTAATTACTATATCCTCCATAAATAGTAAAGTAGATCAAGCCCATGAGTGTATATATCCGCAGCGCAAATTTCAAAGTGCCTCATATATTTTTCTTTTTACGGCGTACCTCATATAACTTTCGTTTTATTTGTGGTGAAAAGACCAGCAATTTTTATGAAAATACAGCTCTAATGTTTTCTCACCTTTAGTGTAAATTTGTGTCTACCAAACACTTTGTAATAAACTTTGAAATTATCTTATCATTCTACTGCACATATTAGATACTGTCAACTGAGATTAGTCGATCAACCAGCTAACCGGGTCATATGCAATTATTTAAATCAATCATCTAATGAACAAAACCATTGATAATTTATACCTTTTTACTATTGTTAGACTCAAATTTGTCTTGTCAATTGATATAGTTAAGAATCAATCTCACCAGTATATTGTAAATGAATATATTTTTATCATAAAATTATCCTATTATTTGTTTGATGAACCTCTGAATTCGCATGTCGGATCATCGATATTACTGTGCACCTTTTTTGGTTGGGTCGTTCAACTGTTTTGGTAAAAGAAATCGAAAAGCTTTAAAATCATGGATATTTTTGCGATTCAAATCATCTATAAAGCTACAAAATCGAAGAAGTATAATTTTCTGGTAAGACAATTCGATAAAAAAAAGCGTCGGTATGAATAAAGCTCGCGATTATAAGGTCCCATGTTGTGATCTGCTCTACTTTATAACGTGTTTTGGTCGGTTGACCAAACTTTACAACGCCAAACCACCACAACGTTGTAGTTGATATCTTTTTTTCTCAAAATTTATATAAGATGACCCAAACAATTTTACAGGTATATAGAGGATCATTCATTTTTTTTTTTTGATGTTGTTGTTGTATCCATATAATAACTTTTAACTGATTTTCTATCATATTGTTCCTTTCTACAAATTGTAGTTTTGCTGATTTAATGTCAATGCTGCACATACATACTATGGAATAAGAAATAAAAATTCATTTTTTCTAACATTGTTGGATAATTAAATAAACTGATGAAATTCAGTGAAAATCCAAATTCGGATGCAGGTTGCCTAGTGGTCGAGATGACGTAATAAATGTAAATAGACAAGTTAAACACCTAGCCCCTAGGAGCTAACATTTTTTTTTTTTTTGACCAAAACAAAAAACAATATTCGAGACTTGAAACAAAAGAAAAAAGAAAAGAGGTAAGTTTACGGGGCAAAACATTAAACACTTAAACTTGTTCTCTGATCCAAATCGAAAACACAAATCTATGGCATTGGACATCGTCAGTGGGGGAGGGCATGGTCCGTGTAATCATGAAATCTCGCTCCCACCATGTGCATGTGACGGGTTTCACATCCTGTCTTCTCTCCTCCTAGGAGCACATGTAATGATCTCATCCACTCGCAGTATCATCTCCGCAGCTTCTGTCGCAGAAAGTAGAACCGCTTGCTTCACTTTGAATGCTTCATAGATTCCTCTCTCCTCCATATCTCCCACCTGTATAACAATCATTCACCATCATCATCTTACCATCACAATCAATACCCAATCTTCATCTTTTGTTTAGAAATTACTTACAGCTCCAGAGATGACATCGATCCCGGCGTTACAGCCTTCATTGTGGTGCTCTGCACGAAGCTGAGCCACCAATTCCGCACTGTCTAAACCGGCATTGTCGGAGATTGTCGTCGGTATAGCCACTAGAGCCCGTGAGAAAGCTTCAATGGCATGCGATTTTTTGCCAGCAGTTTTACGTGCAAGCTCATCGACTTCCTTCGCCATCACCATCTCGGGCCATCCACCTCCAAGCAACACTCTACTGTCGTTTACTGTTTGAGAAAGTACACATAGGGCATCATGAAGTGATCTTTCAGCCTCGTCTAGAACATGGTGGCTGCAAGAACATTGACGCCACACAAAAATTGTCATGAAAGAATTAGAAACAGGATAAAAGCCTACACAGAAGTGTTTATGGAATGGGAGTGAAATGTGGATACCTAGCACCCCTGAGGACAATTGAGCAAGCCTGGCCCATCTCAACACCAGAGAAATGGATCAACTTGTCTTCACCAATCATGATTTCTTCGATGAGTTTGCAATGCCCAAGCTTAACAGACTCTGGGTTGTCAAAGGTCGATGCGATTTCACCTCCGGTAACTAAACCAAGACGCTCTATTCCCTCAAAGTCAGCATGCTCGATAGCAAGCACACCAGCATCAGCAAAGAGTTCCTCGGGGAAATTGTAGATCAACTGCCTGTTAACAAAACAGTTGATCCCGTGGGCTAGTATCTTATTCACCTTGTCTTTCATCTTTTCCTTCTCAGCCCCCTCAATCTCAGCAACCTTGGTCATGGAATCCACACGGACACGTGCACCGTAAATTTTCACCTTATCAGTATCCATTGCAGTATTTGCTACCAAGATCTTTGCATTCTCAATGCGCTTTGGCTGCCCAAGTCCTATCTTCTTGTCAAGGATAAACCTAAAGGCATAGATTTGAGTTGAGATGTCATGAGACAAAATGACTTGATATATAAAATGAGGAACGCAAAACTCCAGAGTAAGACTATACTTATAAAATTAAGGTGCAGAAGCTATTAAGAAGAAAAAAAATACTGAAACACTACAGAGTTACCATGAACAGATGAATACTAGATTGAGATCAATTGCTCAAAGAAATATATTTTGAACAGGCGCAAAAGCACAAGTGTTATCTTACCCTTCATCTAAAAAGGAATCACGCAGGGACCCTCCAGGTTTTTTAATGATTTGAATAGCTTCCAAGTTTGTGCTTCCCTATATGAAGGACAACACCAAAATGTCAGAGACGCAACATATAACACTCCAAAACGAAACCATGCATATACGGGAAAGAAATTAATAGTGAAATGAAATCAGCCTATTTTCAAGACATTCATCAAAGAAAGCTCTTCTCTCATGAAATAACACATAAATCCCAAAGAAAGAGAACGAAGGAACACATTGCTGATTGAGTTTCAAAAAGAGGCTGAGATGGAACCTTTAGCCTGAAAACAGCATCCACGGCCATCTCTGCAAAATGTTCCTTGTCCTGTGAAAGAATTTTGGAACATAGCGTAGTCATCGCAATCTTCAGCAAGTCTGACCTAAACTTCTCTGCATTGACACAAAGGACAATACTGTTAGTTACAGTGTGATTTCTCAAGTTAAATGTAAAGGAAAACACTGCTTGAGGCAATCAAACAAACAAGAGGATGTCAACTCAGAATGAGTTACCTGGATTCTCCTTATTATCAATTACTCTTTTCAGTAAAGCATCACGAGCACATTCTGCGGCCATTCTGTAACCTAGGAAACCAGAAAATGAATAGAATTAGACACCATTATCATAATCGAACAAAGCCGATACACCTTAAAGCGCTCGAAGGCTGAAGCTTACCTGCTATTATCGTCATCGGGTGGATCTTAGAAGCAACAAGCTTTTCCGCTTCCCTGAGAAGCTCGCCCGCCAAGACAACAACAGAAGTAGTCCCATCACCAACCTCATCATCTTGAACTTTAGAGATGTCTAAAGAGCATAAAAACAGAATATAAGAATTGAGAAACACCCACAAATCAAAAGGAAAAACGAATATATTGGAAATCTTTAAGCCGGAATGTTGCAGGAATACATACCAACAAGAACTTTCGCTGCGGGGTTGTCAATGTGAAGTGACTTAAGGATAGTAGCACCATCGTTGGTGACAGTGACTGAATGGCCTCTACCAGTAGATTGTAAGATTTTATCCTAAAGAACCAGACGATTCAGCAACAATTCAAAAAACTGAAACCTAAAGTTCAGAGAGCGCTCTTATATATATTGGAGATCTGAAGTTACCATTCCCTTTGGCCCTAAGGTAGACTTAACCAGATCAGCAACAGCCATCGCACCAATAAAAGATGCCTAAACGAGCAACAGAAGCAAGTCAGATTAAAACAGCAGAGTGAATCTGAAAAACCCTTAATAAATCATCGATGAACGGAGAAAAGAAGAAGAAGAACTCACCATCCTCGCACGCTCTCCCTTCTCTTCCATAGCATCATCTTTGAATATCTTGTCGATCTAAATACGAATAGCAAAGTTAATTGGCCGCATCAAGAGCACTGGGAAAGCAAAAGAGACGAAAGAGACGACGGAGAATCATACCGGCATTGGGAAGAGCAGGTGACGACGGAGAGGTTTTCAGTGGCGGAGATCTCCCAAGTCCAATCTGAGATCAACGATACTTGGAGTCGTTCGAACGAAGTATTCAGTGAAAGGAACCCGAAATATTTAGTGTGCTCAGAAGAGTAGAAATGGAGAATAGCAAAACAAACAGATCTTCAGAACCCTAAAAGAAAAGCCCAAAGACAAAACTACCCTTTCATTTTTCAGATTTCTTTCGAGTGTCGAATGTCATTTTTAGAAATTTTTGTGTTAAAAATAATAATTTAGTTTAATTTATTTCATTTTTCATGACACATAGATATTGGGTCATTGACTACCAACAATTTAAGACTAAGCCCAATACTAGTTTTGGAGCCCAATGGACCTCCTATTGGGAAGCAAATGTCCCCAAATCATATGTTACATGTACATTCTTTTTGGATAGCCGGAAAATCCCGAGCCGTGAAACCAAAACTAATTGAATCATATGTACTAATATGTACACACAGTATTATTTTAGCATTTGAAACGTATAAAATGGATAACCGTGATTAGAATCTAATCATTCATATCTATTCTGATTAAGAATTACAAATGCCAATCATTCCACGCAGCTAGGCTTTTAACTATAGGAGATGAGATAATTTGGCCATTGTATGAGAGACTCTGAATTAGACACGTTTCGGGTTCTGGTTAACCGAAACATTGGAATACATGTCCCACACAAGAGGCCAAAACAGGCAAAAAACGACAGCGTATCGAATTTGCGCACGTTCTAAATTACCCATGTCTTTTAGTCACGAAAGTCAAACAAACAAAAAAAACCAACATCAGTCACCACGTGTCGAAATAATTGAAGCTTCTGAGGAGGATAATCTCGGTGGTTCTGGTCAGAAAGCGAACAAAGCAGCAGAAACATCAAATCCCGACACAGATCTACTAATTCCGAGAGACTGACCATGGTTCAGGTGGAAGATGAGCCACGCGCTTCCGTTGAAGGTGGATGCGGAAATATCCTGGGATGTGGTGCTCGCGACGGTGACGGCGGCGAGGAGCATCGCCGGGTTGAAATCGGCGGTATCGGCACAGTGCAGGGTGTCATCGCCGGATCTGTCGCCGGAGAAGGTGTATTTTCAGCTGAGAAATCGATTCACGAAGCTAGGTATGAGTTGTGTTTGAAATTGCTGTTGATTTTTGCATGTTGTCATTTCTTGTGCTCCCTATTGATTTAAGTCTAGTTCTGGTAAATTGAGTGACGATGCCAAAAAATTTATGGATCAACATTTCTGGTAAATTGAATGACGATGCTGTTTAGGGAAAGTCATCTTTCTCGGAGGAATCAATTTGTTCTTAGTTGGAAAATTGGTTTCCACTTCTTATGACTAATCAATCTTGTGCTTCAAATTCCTTCATGAATTTGAGTGTAAATGTGATTATTGGAAGTTTTCGTTTGAACATGAGAAAGTGGAGAGACTATTAATTTTATTATATGAAATATGGTACTGGCTCTAAATCATCTCTTGCCTTTTGTATACGCTGTCTAGTTGTGCCATTGTTAGCATTTCAGTATATGCTGTAACAATTTCTCTATGGGGTTTCTCTGCTATTGAAGGTCCACGGAGGTACCGTCCTCTGAGCCAGATGCTTCAACGATCCTTCCACCTCAACTTACAATTTTCTTTGGTGGGGTTGTTAGTGTGTTTGATGGAATCCCAGCAGAAAAGGTTTGGTCCGTTAAGTAGCAAATCCTGGCTTTTTTTTTTTGTTCTGTCTGAAAAGCTCAGATTTCTGCTTCTCACTGTGATCCATGCTTTACAGATTCAAGAAATCCTCCGTATTGCTGCTGCTGCTGCTAAATCCATTGAGACAAAGAATTCTAGGAGCGCCAGTCCTGTCCCTTCTCCAGCACTGAACAGAGCTCCTTCTTTCTCAAGCACATCTACTGCTGCTTCTCCAGCTGCGCAGACATTCCCCATTCACCCGATTTCGTTTTGCAGATCTGCGGCTGGTAAGCATTTCGATTCATGTGGTTACAGTATAATCTTTAAACTTTGGAAATGGAACATTCTCGTTAGTTTTCAACAAATCTGTTTGCATATTCAGATCTACCAATTGCAAGGAGGCATTCGCTTCAGCGATTCCTTGAGAAAAGACGGGACAGGTATATGATGGACTTGTAAACGTAGATGGATCATAATTTTTGACCTCTTGAGATTGCATCTAACAGTAACATTCACACATTCTTTGTTTGCAGATTGGTTAGCAAAAGCCCTTACCCTGTTTCAGACATCAAGAAGACAGATGTGCCAACAGACAATGCCTCTGTTAAGGAAGAATATCCGACTGCTTAGCAGAAGAAGAAGATCATCCTCAGGGCTAAGTAACACGTTATGTCGATATGTAATGTATCATATATGCTGCTTTGTGCTGTATGATTGTGTCTGTATAGGTTTGTTAGACACAAACCCAAGACTTGTTTGCATGTCTTATCATTTTACGTTTCCTCCTCCGATGAAGACAGAGAGTATCATCTACTAAAGAACAAACTATTGTTCTAGAGTCTTATCTCACTAATAACTCTTAATGTTATCTTATTTATGGAACCTGTTCTCGCTTCCAGATACAACAATTTGTGTGTAAATTAACCAAGTCTGTGTTGTTATTTAAGCTTTCATTCAAAACAAACCCGAATCTTAATATTGTGAACGGCGAACAACAAATCAGAGATGTAAAAGCAAATATAATTTGATGAAAGATACAATGAGAGTATGTCAATGAGTTCAATAAAAATCTAAACATACATATATTCACCACCACGGACAGCATTCTCTGCGCCTTTCCGCTCTTCCTCAGCCTCTTTCTCTTTCTCTTTCCAGTTCTCGTACTTCTGATCGTCTGTTGGCAATTCATGGCGGCATATAGGGCAAGAGTTATGCTCGTCCTGCCACACCAATTTCATCTATCAGCTTTCTTTTGTTCTTATACTTACTCGTAAGCTATACAAGAACTATAAAGATTGGGTTTTGTTTTGTTTTTACCAGCCAAGGCTTTAAGCAAGGAGGGTGAAATGTGTGCTTGCATGGCAACTCCTGCATTTTATCTCCGATCACCAGATTCTCTTTGCAGATGCAACATTCTACCTCTGCTCCCAACTTTTTAAGCATTTCCTCGCTGAAAACAATCACCGGGAGCTTCTCCACAGCTTCTTTACTCGCCGGCGGAGCTCTCGGTGGTCCACCATCTTCTAGCATCTGAATACAACAACATCACATACACATCATTTTTTCAATCACGAGGCTACGCAAAAAAGATGGTATCAACTATCAACATCATATTCAGATAACCAAAAGCCTACCTCTGGGATGATACTGTCAAGGCCGTTGATGAGCTCTTGCATCAAGCTAGCCGTTTCCCCAAGAGCGTTTTCAACAGGGGCGCCATTAGATGATTCACCAGCAGCGATCGAAGCGAAGGCAGACATGAGGTTCTGCTGCACGAGCCACTGAGGCTGTGGCGGCTCACGATCAACCGTTAGATGTCCTTCGAAAAGATAACCACCACCTTGTGAGCTCTCCGTCGGCTGAGTATCTACTTCGATTAACTGATCCTTGGCTTGAGCAATGCAAGATTTCAAGTGTTTCTTCTCGGAAGCATCAGAGACAAGCCGCTCAGCCTCCTCGAGGAGGCTCAGCCCCGCGACCCAAAACCCAGTAGCTGTGTATCTCGTCTTGAGAACCGTTGCCACACGAGATACAACTGTATAGAACTGCAATGGCCATCAATCCAAAAATTGTGTCAGAGAGAGGGTGACTCTAAACAATACACACATTCGATTGTAACATAGAGATTGAGCAAAACAAGTTCAATCCTTTGACATGAAGATTAAAACTTTCTCCACAATTTGTAATAGAAAACGAGAAAGAACGATGCTTGATTCCTAATTCGATCCTCAAAAGTTAAAAAAAACCACCATTGAACATAAGCATTGAGTACACATCAATCAGAGATTCAAAACAGCAACAATTCACCGTGACTATAATTACGAGCTATGTGTTGATTCCAAATCAAGCAATAAAACCAACCAACCTGTTTGCGGAGAGAAGGGGAGGAGGAAGAGTAGCGATCACGAAGAAGAGAATGAATAGAACGAACGGATGCCTCGAATCTCAGCTTTTTGTTCAGCTGTTTCTGCAGATCATCCAGTTCAAGCTTCAAGCTTTCCTCGGAAAGAGACGGTGAAGACGATGCATCCATTCAAAAATTTTATCTTTTACGAGTTGAGGAGAATTCTGGGGTTTCGAGAGAAATTACTATTTTGTAAAAGAATATATAATCAGATGAACAACGATCTCGTTTTCTGAGATTTTTGTAGCTGTCGAGTTTTCTTGAACAAGAGGAAAGGACAAAGTCGGTTGGGTCGAATCCGGTTCGGTTTTCTTTGGTCGGGCTGTACAAGGAGATAAATCGTTGAAATTAGCCGTGTTGACCGAAGAAGAAGAAATATCGATAATGTATATTGATAATTTGTTACAAATCCTCAGTTTTTACCTTTATCAATCTCTTGAATATTTATCAAACTTAGGACATATCTGTGACTGTATAACACTAACCATCTGAACATAATAATAGTCCATTAATTTTGATACAAAGGATTTTCAATAAAACAGGAGCGAGCTTTGAACCTCAATGAACATGAATAATGCATTGACAAGAACATTGACACACAAAAAAAAACTCCATGGATTGGCTGATTTGAAACACCAAAAAAAAAACAAGAATCTAACAAAGTAGAAGGTTTTGAACCTATTCCATATGGTGAAGTAATAATGCGGAGATTCTTCATCATATTCCAAAACAGAAAAGAAAAAAAAACAACACAAGTATCTGAACTCTATAACAAGCTCTTTAGTTTCCCAAAACAAGAGACCACTCACTTCACCGACCCATTTCTCAGGTCTTCCTGCGACCAACACGGGCAACAAAACCAGCTTTGATCTGCGCCACAGATCGTCCAGATCCACACTGCAAAAACAAGGTATCGTTCAATCATAAGTTAAGCCTAAACAACTTGATCAGGTAATGTAGGCAACGACGAGGAGGAGACAACGACATATATAGAGTTGTACCTTTTCGCACCGCAAAAAGAAGAGACGATTCTCCTTTGAAAGAATGGTGTCTGGGCTCTTGCAACCAAAGCAAATGACGTACTCGTCTGAGAATAACACACGTAAGGAATCACATTAAGAACTCCAAATCTGATATACTTTAAATGGCAATTTCAAACTTCGAGACTAAAGAGAAAGCTACTTACTGACATATCGCCGCAAAATCCCTTCAAAGTTCTTGGGTGCAAACCTACCCTTAACAACCAACCTTTGCTGCCCATCAAGCGAACCACTAGTACCCAACTCAGCAAGCAAGAAATTCATAACATGATCTGGTTGACGATGCATCCTGTTTTGACAAAACATGCCATTTAGTCATCCAAATCACTAGGTATTAGGTACTTCTTATGGTTAATCGAACAAGTTTGAAGAGGAAGATAAGGTGTTTTGTTCTTACGTCTTGCAAAGGTCCATAAAGTTGACAAACACTGTCTTCTTTGTCCCCTCACGAAGAACCTGAGGAGGCCTCATAACAGTGCGACGCCTATCTCCAGCGAGCTCAGGGTTGTTTTCACGTAGAATGTTAAAGACTCTACCAAGAAGCTGCAAGCAATAATTCCCGTCAGCAAAAACCAAGCAGGGGGAGATTTTTTTATGAAAAAGGATACACTAACATAAAAGAAGAGTCCTCTTAAGCAATATAAATAGATAATACACATTTTTCATAACCAAAGAACGTTCATCTAAGATATACTCACCTCGTCGTATATGTAATCTCTATCACTTCCCTCCCATGGGTAACGCTGCTGCTGTAGATCTATTCCTTCCACCTCTTCCTCGTCATTAGCATTCTCTGCAATATGTTATCACTTATCCGTAAGATTCAAACAAGTCCTGCCACGAGAAACGGTTAACTAGCAAAAAATGGGATTTAAAAAAAATACCATTCAAATCTTCTGCAGCATCGACACTTTCGTCATTCAATGAGCTTGATTCAACCTACCCATCAAACAAAAACAATGTGAGGCACAGAATCATCAAAACACAAGTTTCAAGAATTAAAAAACTTGGGAGGACACAAAACGTTAAAAACACTAACCGGCTTCTTCTTCTTTTTCTTCAGTCCAGCAAAAGAACTCTCAACACCATCATTGGCTGCAGGAAAATAAATTAGACAAAGTAACATATATACCGCTGAAAACAAGTTCCACAGCAAAATAGAATCTTCAACATACCAGGCAACGAATCAGATTTCTCCGCCTGTGCCTCTGTTGAGTCCTCGATAGGATCCTGAAGGACAACTTTCTTCTTCTTCTTCTTTTTGGTTGGATCAAATGGTGCGAGCTAAAGAATGACAAAAAAAACCCATACAATCATGATTTATCAAACTATATGGACAACTTAATCATTAAGGAGGAGTATCCCTTTTATTCCCTATAAAAAAACAAAAAAATTGCAACTTACTTCTTGCTCGTCCTTGACCTCTTCCTTCATCTCATTATTTTCATCAGCCATGATTGCAACTGAGAAAAACAAAAAAAAAACATAAGAATTTAGAAACCAAACATCTGCAATTGCGATAACAGAAATGATAAAGTAGAAAGCTTTCTACATCAGATCAATAATCGCGACGCAGCGATAAGATAACTAGATTCCACAATCTAAAAGATGAGAACAAATTTCGACTACCAATAAAAAGATCAATATGATTAATACACCCCTAATAAATCTAGGGCAAAGGCTTCACGATAGAAAATCTAGATTTATGAATCTCTTCGCTCAATTCCTCCGAATACGAATTCCTTTGAGATTGACAAACACAAAAAAAATTGAAAAAGGAATCAACGAAAACTCACAAAGGATGTGAAATCGAGATTGGAACGGAAAGACGTTTGCTTGGGAGGAATCTGAGAGAGATAAGCACGCGGCGCAAGAGGAGGAACGGAGTCAGTCACACAGACAAAGATGGGTAAGGGTTTTCTGATATGGTCGCTAGGTTTGTCACGTTTAAGAAGAAGGAAAGACTCTGCCTGACTCAGAGGCTTTTAAGTTTATATATTATGAAAAAAAACTCTTTTTTTTTTTAGTAGAGTATCTGAACATTTTTGGTGAAGCATTTAATTAGGCTAAATCTGATAAAACCGAAATTGTTCAACCAGTCTCTTGTATTGTGTTGAGTGTTGACCCAATTCCTCTCTTTCCCTCCTAATTCCTTAGGGTTCTTCAATTTTCCTTTTCCACCGAAACCCAACCTCACTTCTCCTCTCTCCTCTCTCCTCTCTCTCTCTCCTCTCCTATCTTTCTCAATACGTTTTATTCCTCTTCGAAGAGAAATACCCCCCACGTGGATTGCGGAAAGCTGAAAACCCCATTGATGGGTTTCTCATTCACATCCAGATTCTAGTCTTCAATTCGGTAATCCTGCATAAAAACCCTAAATTTTCCGTGTTTTGTTTGGGTGTGTTTACTCTGCTCTGCCTGATCTGGTTGAATTAGTTGCGTTGAAGCCTGCTCAAGCTTTTGCAATGTCGGATGACATGGTGATGCATTTCACCTCCAATTCCTCAAATCAGTCGGATCACTCTTTGCCCGACAAAATCGCCAAGCTCGAGGCCCGCTTGACCGGCAAAACCGCCTCCTCGGCGAAGCCACAGCCGCAACAACAACAGCAGCAGCAGCTCTCCGTCTGGTCATCTGCTTCCGCCGCTGTCAAAGTCGTGGCTTCCGCACCGGCTGGATTGTCGGAGGCCTCTATCAGTGATTCCGACGACGAGGTAGCTTCGGATGTTTTTTGTTAATAATAATTCAACCCTTCTTGTGCTTCAGAGTTGAAATTTGGTTAATTGAAAACATTCCCACTTGTTTGCTAATGTTCCTTATCCTCTTGATATATCTCAGAATACAGGAGATTTCCTAATCCGAGCCAATACCAAAAAGCGCCAGAAAGTTCAAGAGTTTAACAGCTCCAGTGCTGAGGTAGTAGTATATGTATAAGGTTTCTGTGTGATATTGAAGCAACTTATTATGCTGCAAGTTTTGTCTCCTTGAAATTTCGTTTTGATGAAGAATATTGTTGAATTGAAGCCCCAGGAGGCAGCATATGATGGAAGGAAAAATGATGCTGAGTCCAAGACAGGCCTCGATGTAAATAAGAAGAAACAAGGTCGAGGTCGGGCTTCATCAACAGGCAGAGGGCGTGGTTCTAAAACTAATAATGATGTGACGAAATTGGCTGCACCCGTATCAGCTGCAAAGTGTCAATTGGATGTCTCTGATCAAAAGGTTAATGTTATTTACTTCAGATGATCTTACATGCAATCGCTCTTTGAGGATTTATATACATTAGACTTAATTTCAGACAAAACGTGGACATGAGTTTAATGTTCTTTACTGAAGTTAAAGCCTTTCTGTTGGCCTATGTGGGGAAAATTGAGCAGGGCAAGAAAGAATTAAGATTTAAGACCATTTTCCACTTTGTTGAAGTTATATCTAGATTTGCATTGATAATGGCAACCAGACGCAGTTTATTGATGATAATTCTGCATTTTTATATTTCAGGATTTGCGGCCTGATGGACAGCACAGGAATGGTGAATGCTCCCTCCAGAATGTAAGTTTCTCCTTTTATTTCCTTTACTCTGTAATATCTCCTGCCTAAGAGAATATGTAATCGACATACTGTTATATCTTTCGTTATTCACTATTTTGTTCCTTTTTTATAAATCAGGAAGATGTGTCATCTTTACGTGCCAAAATCACTGTGCTGGAGGAGGAATTGTATAAATCTCGACAAGATTCTTCTGAGTATCACAACCTTTTACGGAAGCTTGAGAATGTATTGTGTGAACGCCTTTTAGATTTAGTCAATCCTGATTATGCTATTACCATTTTTGCCTAGATCCACTCCCTGCTAATCTTAATTATGATCTACGCAGGAGGTAAAAGATCTAAAAGATCAGGAACAACAAGGGAAGCAAAAGGTGAGGGAAACTTTTGTTTTCGTGATTAATAAGGGTTATTAGGAAGTCGTATTTTCTTTTCTTAAATGTCTCACCTACTATGGCATGGTTAATTTTAGTGTCATCAATAATCTGGGAGAATCTTAGAGTGAATAAACATATTTCTTCATAAGAAGTATGGTAGTTCTATGTGAGAATAGGTAAATCACTGACACTCGCTAAATTTAATGCTGTTGCTGCTGCTAGAGAAGTGAAATACCCGTGATGGGTTAGATCTTGCAATTGCCTATGTCACATCTATGCTCCATGTGCAGTGAGTTCCGTAAAGCATGTATTAGTATTTCTTTAAGTTAAAATAATAGGCAATGTATTGAATTTGGAGCCGAATTGTAATTGCTAATGATAAACATTTTAGCCTTCTAATGACTCGTACTTATTTGTTTTTTGAAAACGAACTGGGTATCTTTTCTTGATGCAGACAACTAAAGTAATATCTGACCTTCTCATATCTGTTTCCAAAACTGAGAGACAAGAAGCACGAACAAAAGTCAGACATGATTCTTTGCGATTAGGCAGCGTTGGTGTACTCAGGTCTGCTATTATGTTTTTATATGAGTTATTATGGTACATATCCAATATATCCTAGATTTCTATGATCATTTACACAATAAGTATTCAGAATGTATTTGACCGGGAAGTATAATAAACATGTATAACAAATAAAATATTGCTTTTTAGTGAAATCATCTAACTATCTCGCATAGAGTTTTTGATAAAAGTTAATCTCGCATTTCTTTGTAACCCGTTGCTTAAATTCTTCTTTGCTAGGTTATGAGGTTGGTTTCTTGAATTTGTAGTTTTAAGTTCAATCTATCAGCTGTGTGCCCATTTTGGTGATATCAGGACGGGAACAATCATAGCTGAGACATGGGAGGATGGACAAATGTTGAAAGATCTGAATGCTCAACTCGTAAGTTAAGCTGTGTAGCGAGATAATTTTGTTAAACAATATCAGTAGTCCCTGCACTACCTGTTTTGATTTTGCTATATAATGTTCAACGAGAAGAGACAATTGCTGGAAACGAAGGAGGTCATTGAGAGACAGAGAAAGTTCCTTAAGAAACGACAGAATGGTGGTATGTTTCCCCAGACTTTTACTTTGTCAGTCAGCCTGTGATCTCTTGTAATGTACGCTGTTTTTTTTTCCTTTTGCAAATTGTAGTGATGTTTATCACCCTTGGTTTTTCCATTTGTTTGTAGATAAGAGTGACGGGACTGAAACAGAATCAGGAACACAGGAGGAAGATATCATCCCCGACGAAATTTACAAGTCTCGCCTTGCAAGTATTAAGCGGGTATGTTCCTCCTTATGCATCATCTCAGTTTTTTTTTTCTTTCTCTACGTTGATTGGTTTTTTATCATACATTTATTGATTTTACCTTTCAGGAGGAGGAAGTAGTTTTGCGTGAGAGAGAGAGGTATGAATTGGAGAAGGGACAGCTTATGAAGGAGATGAAACGCATACGAGATGAAGATGGTTCTCGTTTCAATAATTTCCCAGTTTTGAATTGCCGATATGCACTTCTAAATCTTCTTGGTAAAGGCGGATTTAGTGAAGTTTATAAGGTCAGAACATTAAATTTAAATTTTTAACTTTTAACGTGTGAGAAATATATGCAGTAGTTTGATGTTTCGGATTTTGAGCAGGCATATGATTTGGTGAACCATAGATATGTTGCGTGCAAGCTTCATGGTTTAAATGCTCAGTGGAGTGAAGAAAAGAAGCAAAGTTACATCCGACATGCCATGAGGGAATATGATATCCATAAAGATCTTGTGCATCACCACATTGTCCGGCTTTGGGATAAATTTAGAATTGACCTGGATACATTCTGCACTGTTCTGGAATATTGTAGTGGTAAATCAGAATTCTCTGATCTCTTTGTAGATTAAGCAAGTATTGTCTGTGGCTTGCATCTCTCATTCGTATGTTTCGAATTTTTTCTAATGCAGGAAAAGATCTTGATGCAGTTCTAAAGGCAACGCCTAATCTTCCTGAGAAAGAAGCAAGGATTATCATTGTACAAATAGTTCAAGGCCTTGTATATCTAAACAAAAGGTCACAGAAGATAATCCACTATGATCTGAAGCCCGGGAATGTTCTGTTTGATGAGTTTGGAGTAGCAAAAGTGACTGATTTTGGTCTTAGCAAGATAGTGGAAGACAATGTTGGCTCTCAAGGAATGGAGCTTACATCACAGGGAGCTGGAACATACTGGTGAGCAGTCTAGTTTTAGTATCCTTGATATGTTTTTTTTCTTTTTCTCTAATAGACGTAATAGCTAACAAGGTTGAAAATTATGGATTTCAGGTACTTGCCCCCAGAATGTTTTGAGCTTACCAGAACTCCTATGATCTCATCGAAGGTTAGCGATTGGTCAATGATGTCTTAATCAGAATGTGTTACAAGTTTTTTGTGGTCCTAAATTGTGTTCAAAATTCAGGTTGATGTATGGTCGGTTGGTGTTCTGTTTTACCAAATGGTATTTAGAAAGCGACCCTTTGGACATGACCAAAGCCAAGAGCGGATACTACGAGAAGACACAATCATTAAAGCCAAAAAGGTTGAGTTCCCAGCGAAACCTGCCATCTCCAACGAAGCAAAGGTAAATTAGCTATGCGTGAAACGTTGTTTAAGTAGAGTAGAACCAAATGGTTTTGTATCTTCATGGTCACTCAGTGTTGCGTTTTCTGCAGGAATTGATTCGCAGGTGTCTAACATATAACCAAGCAGACAGGCCTGATGTTCTAACACTGGCACAGGATCCATATCTTTCCTACACTAAGAAATGAGAGTGTGTAGTCTTCACAAGCAAACCAGAGATGCTAAAGGACCAGGTCCTAGATTTTTTTGTTCTGTTTTTTGTATAGATTATAAGGTTTTTATTTGTTTGTCTGAATCTTTATCTCCCGGCCCCTTGAAACATATTAATTTCGGGTGAGTTTAGTTCGTCTGTTTTCCTTTAATTATGTCATTGTTATATTTTATGTATATTCGTCATGTTTTTGAATAGAACATGATCTCAAAGTTGTGACAGATTGCAATTCATTCTTGTACTCCACAGACGAGATGAAATAATATAAAAATAAAAACAATTCCGGATGGAGACTATTGGAACTAACTAAACCGAACAAAACCGAGCATTGATACACAACACTGAGACCATTGGCCTACAAGCAATTACTACTACTCTTTAAGACAAAAGTCTACTTTTGTTTTTTTTGCTGAAACAAAAGTCTACTTATCCACTCATACCACCATAAAACTTAGACTTGCTTCTTCTTCTTCTTCTTCCATGGCCTTATCTTTTGCTTCTTCAACTAGATTCTCTAAGATGCAGTCAGGGGTATGGTACAGTGGATCCCTCACATCACGAGTCACTGTGAGATGCTGTGAATCCGGGAAAGAGCCACCACGACCAAAATCGAAGCTCCAAGTGGGATCGCCAATCATCATCGTGGAAGCCCCCAAAGTGATAAAAACAGCCGCTTCAATGCCTTGTCTTAGGGCTAACACTGGCTTGGTCAAGCCTGGCGATGTTGGAAGGTCTTCTTCTTCTTCATCCAAATTCCTTTTTTAAAATACATTTTAGGACAAAACACAGACTAATCATAAGATTAATAGAAAACCATGTCTTCCTGGTAATTAAATAATATACATCCTTGTGTACCTTTGTGTTATTTGTATTTTTCTCACCGAGGTTAGATAGTTTAGGAGGAAAGTTTTATTCGCATAAAGTGAATTTTGTAACTTTGGATAAATAGTATCTCTGGAATCTGAAAAATGTATCTTAGTAAATTAGTGTCATATTATTCATCAGCACAACTCAAACATTTGAGCTTTATAGAGATTTCTCATTACTTGATCAATTAATCTTTTGGCCTAAACAATTGTGTGAGTCCTCTACTTAATTTACACGCATAATAAAAGTAACTTATCTATGTTCAATTTGGCGTGTGAAAGTTTCTTCTTCTTCTTTTTTCAGATGAAAGACAATCAGTTTATGGCTTTAATCACATTGTGTTTATTTTTTGCAGAATCGTATCGAGAAAACCAAAGGACTTGTGGGCAGTTCGACTCTCCATTGGAACGTATCTTTTAGATGGTAAATATTTCAAAGCTTTAGAGCTTGAAGAGTGAGCTAGATTCTCTCACGTAAATTTCAGATTTACCGTTGTATATTTTATATTTCAGAAAAATAAATATATATTTTGCTTACTAACAATGTTTAAGCTATCAAATAAATTAGAATAAGAGTACCATCATCCGAAGTTCTAAGAATCAGCCATCGAAATGGCCAAAATCACTTTGTATAAACCGATTATAAAATTCTTCAACAAAAAATTTGAATATCATTTCTAACAAAAACTTTTTTTTGCCAATTCTCCTCATGGCGCGCAATAGTCAACGTAACATAATTGAATTATTCGAACCCTCTACAAAACAGAGCTTTTTATATTGGGTTTGAGACCAACCCGAATCCAAACGGGTACAACGGGTCGTAATGCGGGTCGCCCACGTTCATCGGCAACTGATCCACTGTCCTGAACCACGTCCGAGCCAACTTCCCGGTGAATCCATAATCTCCGAACAAAACATCAGCCACTCCCTGACCTTCCGTCCCCGGAAGCCACGCCGCCACGAGAGCGCTGATATTCGAGATGTATGGCTGCATCACCACCGGACGCCCCGAAACAACCACCACCACACATTTCACCGATCCGCAAACGTTTCCGATAATGCTTGGACCCGGTTCGGCCATGGTTAAGTTCACGCTGTCTCCGTATCCCTCCGCGTACGGTGTCTCTCCGACGACCACGATCGCGTAATCGAAGCCGCCTGACTTGACCAAGCTAGCATCGGGATTCCGACTGTAGACGACTTGCGTCTTTGGATCCACCGTGTTGTTCACCGCGGCGAGGATCGTTGTACCTGCCAAAATTCAATTTTTTTCGACTACTTGTTCTGTTTTTAAAAATTTGAGAAAACACCAAAAGGTACTGTCTTTATTTCAAACAAATGAAGAAGAGGATGTGTTCATTGAAATAGAATGTGTGTGTGTACCGATGGTGAGATTGTTGCCTTCGAGGCCTTGCCAAGCGATTGTCCAGCCTCCACATTGGTATCCCAAGTTATCAGCGTGTGTTCCCGCCACAAGGATCTTGTTGGCTTTCTTTGGCAGAGGAAGCAACGGCTTATCTCCATTTTCACCATTCTTCAACAACACCAGAGACTTCCTCACTGCTTCTCTTGCCAGTTCCCTGTGTTCCTGTTTCATGGCATCCAATGTATTAAAGCTGATGTTTTTTTCTTTATCTTAATCTTGCAATTTCTACAGACCTTGCTACCGAGGTGGTTGGCCAAGCTATGATCAGCCATGGGATCTTCAAAAAGCCCCATTGTGAATTTGACTCTCAAGATTCTCTCTACAGCGTCGTCGACTCTGCTCACCGGGATGAGTTTTCTCTTCACCTGACTGGTTAAGTCGTCGATTAGCTCCGTCAAGTTTGATGAACCCATGATCTGCATCGAGTGGATTTATATAATCAAAACATCAAGTGTGTTTATTATCTTTTGAAAAACTAAGAACCGTTTTTTTTTTTTTTTGAGACTGACCATATCGATTCCAGCAGTGATAGCGGTATAAAGAGAGTGTGAATAGTTAGCATGAAGAGGTGTGGTGATCTGATCAATACCTAGAAAGTCCGAGATGACAATGCCCTGCAAAGACTTTCAATTACATTTCTTCTACATGCTTTACTTAAAGCTGGGTTCTTGTATGATTATAAAGTTACCTTGAACTTGAGCTTGTTCTTGAGGAAACCTGTGATAAGTTTCTTATTGGCATGCATTTTCAACCCGTTCAAGGACGAGTAAGACACCATAACTGTTGCAACGCCCTTGTTCACCGCATCAATATAAGCAGGCATGTGAATGCTGAGCAGTCCATTCGAATTTATAAGCGTGTTGTTAGCGTTTATCCCTCTCAATGTACCTCCATCTCCAACAAAGTGTTTGGTACATGCTGCGACTTTATTCCTGTAAGTTTTTCTACTGGTTCAAACTTAACTCCATGAATCTTTGCTTCTTGAGAGATACTTTTACTTACTTTGAAGCGACGAAAGGAACACCCTTTTGACCTGTGGGAAGGTCACCTTGCAAACCAGGTATGATCTCAGTCATCTTTTGAACTATTCTGTGATCCTCACTGTAGCTCTCATAGCATCTTCCCCATCTAGGGTCCCTACACACCTGTTCTGAGTGATTATTAAATTACAACAACTATGTTTCCGCTCTATTTCAGACCAAGATCTTACGTACTGCGATACATGGAGCAAAGACGTATTGGATTCCCGTCGCTCTAACTTCAAGCGCAGTTGCTTCACCAATCCTCTTCACAAGGCCAGGCTCCCTAACAGAGATGAACACAAACAACATGATGGAAACAATGTGGATCGGGTCTAGCTTAGAAACGGATTCTCTTCAAGAACTTGCCTTGTGACTCCGAGACCTATGTTGTGAGGGAAAATGGTGGCGTTGTAGGCGTTGTTGTGACCATGAACCGCATCGATCCCGTAAATCATGGGAATCCCTAAGCGGGTCGAAAGAGCCGCCTTTTGAATCTCGTTCACCATGTTCACCCAAGCTTCAGGGCTGGCGTTTGGCGTCGGCACACTCCCTCCACCGCTAAACGCACTCCCTGCACAAATGATTCTGTAACATTTTGAGTATTCGTATAGGTTTTAATAACAACTTTCTAGAAGGACGAGGATCAGAGACATACCGATGAAGTGATTTTTAATGACTTGGGTTGTGGCATTGGCGCGTTCCACCTGAATCATCTGCCCGAGTTTCTCTTCAAGGGTCATATGGCTCATCAGGTTCTTGATCCTGGCTTCCAATGGCTCTTTTGGGTCCTTATACTTGGCGTTCGCAAGCGGTTCTTTGATAGCTGCCACGGTAAAGCAGAGCAGCATAAGCCCTAACGTATGTAGCAAGTAACTTAAGCTCCCCATCTCTTACTCTCGACACCTGCAGATGACCAACAGTAGTAGAATGTTGCAAGGCTGGCTATTGATTAACCATTTGAGAAGGATAAGACAAAAAAAAAAAAGAGAGAGATATGATGACGATCACAACGATGATGAATATTACAATGTTTCGAGTGAGAGAGACACAACAACAAGAGGTAGAGATTTTATTGTTTCGACTGAGACAGGCACAATCAGAGGTTGATAATTTTGTCCGTACTCTCGTATTGGTATTGTTACGTGGAGACGATATCACATTTCCGTGACTAATTCAAGAAAAATGTGTGAACCCAAATATAATTTGGCAAGATAACATACCAAAGATATCAGTTTAGATTAGTGAGAATATCATTTTCAATATACATAAACAGAAAGTAGCAATTTCTTTTCTTTGTGAGATTTATTTCATTTTCTGTTTTCTAAACGCCGTAAGAATTTTGTTGTGGAATTTTGAGTCACCCTTATTTGTTAGTGTTTTTACTTTTTGTAGGGTGCAACAGCAATAGTTTTAGTTATTCAAACGTTCGTTTATCTTATGAAAGCAAATATAATATAGAGAAATTCCAAATAGTAAAAGGTGATTCAAATCATGGATGTTTATAACACTAGTTTCGTAGACAACACTCCCCAAAAATTTGAAAATTTGATCATCGAAATTATTTCGTTGGGTATCTTTCTCTTCCTTGCTCTCTCAATTACAACTTATTTTGCCTCCGAAGCAGAGAAAAGAGCCTACAATTTGTATGGTTTTGTGGTCAACCCGAATCCGAACGGGTACAACGGGTCGTAATGCTGATCGCCAACATTCATCGGCAGCTGCTTCACTGACTTAAACCACGTCCGGGCCAACTTCCCAGTGAACCCATAATCACCAAACAGAGCATCAGCCACTCCTTGACCTTCCGTTCCCGGGAGCCAAGCTGCCACGAGAGCGTCGATGGTCGAGACATAAGGCTGAATCACCACGGGACGGCCAGAGACCACAACCACCACACACTTCACTGATCCGCACACGTTCCCTATCGTGCTCGGACCCGGTTCACTTATGGTCAGGTTTGTGCTGTCCCCAAACATTTCAGCATATGGCGGCTCACCAACGACCACAATGGCGTAGTCGAATTTACCAGACTTCACGAAGTTCGCATCAGGGTTTTGGTTGTAGACAACTTGTGTGGTCGGAGCCACCGTATTCTTCACAGCTTTCAGGATCGTTGTACCTACGTATAAGTAAACCAAAAGCCAAGATTATATATATACACATCCAAATGGCCAAGCCTAGCTAACGGTGTGGTTGGAATAAAAGTTTATGAGTAAACAACATACCGATGGTGTGGTCACTGCCGTTAAGTCCTTGCCAGGTGATGGTCCAGCCACCACATTGATATCCCAAGTTATCAGCGTGTGTTCCCGCCACAAGGATCTTCCCTGTTTTCTTAGGCAGAGGAAGCAACGGTTTATCTCCTTTCTTACCATTCTTGAGCAGCACTAGAGATTTCCTCACGGCTTCCCGAGCTAGTTCCCTGTGTTCCTGTCGAAATTGGAGGAGTATTTCTATTCAGTTTCACGCCGATGATTTTGCAACAACAATTGGTATAATGATGGCTAAACAGAGGATACACATAACAGACCTTACTACCGAGCTGGTTTGCAAGGCTAAGATCAGCCAATGGTTCCTCAAAGAGTCCCATTGTGAATTTGACCCTTAAGATTCTCTTCACGGCATCATCGATCCTGCTTATCGGTATCAAATTTTTCTTTATTTGACTGTTGATTTCGTCTATGAACTCGGTGTAGTTGTACGGCACCATAATCTGCAGTTAGAAATCCGCACAACAATCAAGTAACCGTGGAGAGTATACCAAATAAAGGTAGGCTCATTTTCTTATTCGAGACCAACCATGTCAATTCCTGCGCTGATTCCAGCGTAAACAGAGTAAGAATAGTTAAGATGCGGAGGATTCGTGATCCTATCAATGCCCTGCCAATCCGAGATGACAAAACCCTACAGATAAAAAGAAAGAAGGGCTTTTACGACCAAAGCACAGAAGATCAAATGCATCTACATGTTTCGTTTCTTACTCTGAACTTCAGCTTGTTCTTGAGGAATCC